TTTTTTTTTCCTTCTGCAATGAGAATGGAGAGCGCCCGCAGACCTGACGTACTAAGAAAACTGCACATCCAAATCTGGTTGCAGCTTGTGGTGTAGCGTGTGGCTGATTTCGCTGTGTCCGGTTTTCTAGTACGTCTACAGTCGAGAGGCATGGCCCTTTCGTGTTGCACATGACACAGAGAGAAACGGGCACTAATCGAGCGACCAGCATAAGTGGTTAATAGGGAGATAAATCAACATGAGTATTCGTGAGAAATACTAGCATCAATACAGCTGTCAAGCTCGCCGTTTGTCCATGCCTCTGGCACCGACTACCTAGGAGTAGATTCGCCTGGGGAAAAGTGTTTTTATTTTCATATCATCTCGTAGGTGCGTAGTCTCACATTCTATCGTGAACCATCGGGCACCAAGTCCAACAAACCCCTCTGCCACTGCTCTGGACCTCCACCCATGTGCGCTGGACCACCAGCTGCTCAAGCCCCCTGAACCTTGAATGTCCTCCCACTTGCCGTCTTCCTTTCCTTCTCCTCGTTCTCTGGCCTGGCTCTTCGGAGGACTGCGGCCGTTAGTTTTGACAGCCAAGATCGGACACCGCGCGGCGTTCTTCTCACCTTGCAGGAAGTCTGCGGTTCTCCGTCTCATACGGGAGTGAATGTAGGCCTGCAGCAATTAGACAAGCAGATCGACGGGGACGCTAGGGGTTGTGGGTGAGATGCGGCGTACCTTGGATGCCTTGATATGATAGTGGAAGTAGTCGCGGAAGGTCTGGATGTGTGAAATGACGTCGGGCATGCGCTGCGGTGTCAGGTGCCGAGGGAACAGAACTGCCATGGTGAGCCACCAGTACAACCATCACCATCACAGGGCTTCCGAAGGTTGTCTCCTTACCAAATGTGACGTAGCCGATCTCGCCGTCGCTGCTCGCCTTGACCCCCGGGACGCCCTGCAACTCGAGAGGCGGGTCGTTCCTGAAGAGGACCTGAGGCGCATTCTGGATCGCTCTTCTTCGCGCATCTACAAACTCCTGGATAAAGACCTTGCCGAAGACGCGATCGGTCTCCTCGCGGAAGATGGTGCTGAAGATGACGGTCACGCGATCGTGGCTGGCCTTGACGTAGATGGCTTCCTCCTCACGGTAGTGGATGGCCATGACCTCGCCTCCTTCCCGCACGCCCTGTGGCGCTTCCTCGGACGTGTACTTGGACGCCTCCTCCTTGAGCTTGTAGTATTCGGCGTAGGCCTGCTCGAAGGGGGCCGCCATGGCATTCCGCTTGAGGAGGGAGATCTTCTTGACCAGTTCGTCACGGTCCTCTGCAGATGAGCGTCAGCCTTGATCCCCGCCACTCTCATTGCCGCTGCAAAGTCTGGGCGGTGCCATACCCTTTTCCGCAGGCAGGTTCTCCAGGTCTACCAGGATGGAGAAGTCATAGCCAGGCTCCGGGGGCACGACGTATTGGCCATATTCGCGCTGCAGCACCTGCTCAGCGCCGTAGGTGACCAATTCCCTGTAGCAGCGGATGTTTATCGAGACCAGGATCTTGGTCTTGGTCTCCGGGGTCGAGATGTGGAAGGTGACGCCGTCAAAGTCGGAGACGGTCTGGTCAATGGATGCGGGAGGAGCACTGGACGGCGGTGTTAGAGGGGGCGGCGTGCACCCGACGTGGACGGCGACTCACCCCGAGAACCTCTCGGTCAGAACCGACTGCAGCAGGACATTCTGATAGTCTAGCAAGAGCATCTTGGCGGCGTGTGCTCCGATGCGCCAGAGCTTGCGATGTTGGCGTTGAGGATGCCTCGGGGTTGGAGACTTGGGGGGATGATGGTGGGGCTGTGATGCTGGACGACGGACGACGGACGACAGACGACAGCCAGCCCAGCAGCAAGGCAGAGAGAGTTAACTACGTCGCAGGCGCAGGTGCAGGCGGGCGGTACCATCCAATGCCCGTCCTCCAGGGGGCCCAGGCGCTGTAGCAGCACATTGGCACCCAGCTCCAAGGCCCAGCCGTCCGAACATCTCCCGGGCCAGCGCGAGTGGCAGTGCCCCCAGTGGGGACCTGGTTCCGCGCGGGGCAGCTCTTCTGGCCCGTGCACGCGTGTGTCTCCGTCAAAGGTCGCGATAAGAATTTCTTATCGGCCCTCTGCAAGAAAAAAAGTTCGAGATCCCATCCCGCGGGCGTGCTCGACTTACAAGCGTCCAGTGCAGTCGCCTTGAGGAATCGCGCCGGTCATCATGGTCAAATCATACCTGTAAGTGTTTGCGCATGTCACCTGAGCCATGGACGTGAGGTTGAGACAGCCACTGACTTTGGAGTCCTCCACAGCAAGTATGAGCATTCGCAAACATTCGGCCTCGTAACGTCCAGCACGTCCAATCTCGTCTGGACCCCCAATGCTCGCTCGAGTACCAGCGCTGGCCACGCCGTCGTCGCCGCCAACGAGGAAGTCCTTACCTGGGACATCAAGAAGGGCGAGCTTCTGAGTCGCTGGAGGGACGAGAACTGCTCCTCCCAGGTCTCGACCATTGCCAAGAGCCAGACCGACCCCGATGTCTTCGCCGTGGGTTACGAGGATGGCAGCATCCGCCTGTGGGACAGCAAGATCGCAACCACCATTGTGAACTTCAATGGCCACAAGTCCGCCATCACCCTGCTGGCCTTCGACAAGTCCGGCGTGCGTCTTGCCAGCGGCTCCAAGGATACCGATGTCATCATCTGGGATCTGGTGGCAGAAGTTGGCCAGTTCAAGCTGAGGGGCCACAAGGACCAGATCACGGGCCTGAAGTTTGTGGAGCCACAGCCAGAAGTGACCGAGGGGGATGGAGAGCAGACAATGACCATGGACGGCCCCACGGCCACGTCCGAGGGCTTCCTTCTCACCACCGGCAAGGACGCCCTGATCAAGCTTTGGGACCTGTCGTCGCGCCACTGCATTGAGACCCATATCGCCCAGACGAATGGAGAGTGCTGGGCCTTGGGCTTGTCGCCAGACTTCAGCGGCTGTATCACTGCCGGCAACTCGGGCGAACTCAAAGTATGGGCCCTCGACGCACCCGGCCTGGCAGCGTCGCAGCAGCAGGTCGATGTTCCTCAGACTGCGCAATATCTCCACGACAGGGGTACTCTGTTCCGCGAGGGCAAGGACAAGGCGACCGAAATCATCTTCCATCCCCGCCGAGACTACTTCTCGGTACATGGCTCGGAGAAATCGGTTGAAGTCTGGCGGATACGGACCGAGGCTGAGATAAAAAAGAGCCTGGCCCGCAAGAAGAAGAGGAGAAGAGAGAAGCTGGCGTCTAAGAAGGGCGGCGCTGATGGTGGAGACATGGATGTTGACGGCGACGAGGAAGAGGATGCGAGCAATGCGTCTGTCACCGAGGCCTTTGCGCAGCATCTCATTGTCCGCACAGGCGGTAAGGTGAAATCCGTCGACTGGGCCAACAACCACGGCCACAAGGAGCTCCAGCTACTAGTCGGAACAACCAACAACCAACTGGAGCTATACAGCATCCAAACCAAGGAGAAGAACTCCAAGGCGAAGCAGGAAGATGTCCCGGATTATACTCGCTCGTTAGGCGTGGATCTGCCTGGACACCGCGCCGATATCCGTTCTCTTGCTCTAAGTTCCGATGACAGAATGCTTGCGTCCGCCTCCAACGGCAGCTTGAAGATCTGGAACATCAAGACCCGGTCTTGCATCAGAACTTTTGAGTGTGGATATGCTTTGTGTTGCGCGTTCCTCCCCGGTGACAAGGTCGTCGTGGTCGGGACCAAGGCTGGTGAACTGGAACTGTTCGACGTCGCCTCAGCACAGCTTCTCGACAGCGTTACTGCTCATGAGGGTGCCATATGGTCTTTGCAGGTCCACCCCGATGGCCGATCCATGGTTTCAGGAAGTGCCGACAAGTCCGCCAAGTTCTGGAACTTCCAGATTGTTCAAGAAGAAGTCTTGGGGACGACGCGGACCACACCGAAGCTCAAGTTGGTGCAGTCGAGGATCTTGAAAGTATCTGATGATATTCTCAGCCTCAAATTCTCTCCAGATGCGAAGTATCTTGCAGTGGCTCTGTTGGACAGCACGGTGAAGGTGTTCTTCACAGACTCACTCAAGCTCTATCTCAACCTTTACGGCCACAAGCTGCCTGTGCTCAACATGGATATCTCATACGACAGTAAGCTGATCGTTACTTGCTCAGCCGACAAGAACGTCCGTATATGGGGTCTCGACTTTGGCGATTGCCACAAGGCTCTCTTTGCCCACCAAGACAGTATTTTACAGGTTGCCTTCGTCCCCCACAACCAAGAAGGCAACGGACACCACTTTTTCAGCGCAAGCAAGGACCGCACGATTAAATACTGGGATGGCGACAAGTTTGAACAGATACAACGCTTAGATGGCCACCATGGCGAGATCTGGTCTCTAGCAATGAGTCGGGCTGGAAACTTCATCGTCAGTGCCAGTCACGACAAGAGCATCCGCGTCTGGAACGAAACGGACGAGCAGATCTTCCTGGAGGAAGAGAGAGAAAAGGAGATTGAGGAGTTATATGAGAGCACCCTGACAACCTCCCTGGAGCGAGACCCTGACGACGACGACCAGAACGCAGAGGTCGCAGCTGCAACAAAACAGACCGTTGAAACCCTCATGGCCGGCGAACGTATCCAGGAAGCTCTCGAACTGAGTCTGGCAGATTTGCATGTGATGAAGGAGTGGGAGCAAGCGAAGGCTGCCAATCCTCACATTGCACCGCCACAGAGGGACACCATCTTCCTTGCTCTGGGTGGTATCAGCGCTGAGGAGTACGTCTTGTCCGTTTTGCAGAAGATCAAGGCGTCAGCGCTGCACGATGCACTCCTGGTCTTGCCATTCGCAACAGTACCCATGCTCTTCACCTTCCTGAACCTGTTCGCGATGAGGTCGATGAACATTCCCTTGACCTGCCGGATACTGTTCTTCATGCTCAAGACACATCATCACCAGATAGTGGCCAGCAGGACAATGAAGGCCATGCTCGACGGAATCAGGACGAACCTGAGGAAGGCGCTGAAGAGGCAGAAGGACGAGATGGGATACAACATTGCTGCGTTGAAGGTCGTTGGCATGCAGATCAAGGATAAGAGCGTTAAGGACTACGTTGACGAGAACTGGGAAGATGACCAAGAGCAGAACGTTAGGAAGCGAGGTTTTGTCCACGTCTCGTAAGGATCATTGGCTTAGATTCAAAGCTCGTCTCTGCAAGATCTGGAGGCATTCTCATAGGGGAAAAGTGGAGAGCAAGGTCAGCATCCACGCAAAGGGTCACTATAGAAGGGCGGAATTCCATTTCGCTGCGCGTCGCAGCCGAGATGAGTGTCTTGGTGGGAGCCATCAGTACTTGTACATAGATTGGTGTTGAAGTAAGAGAACCCACATGAAATTCATCGCCTTGGTTCGCCACGGGTCGTCCGGATTGGCCCCAAGAGTATTGTGCGTAGTAGAGTGCAATCGGCCCAACGATGTCCTTTCGACACCAATGCAACACTAGGTTGACGCGAGGGGCCCCCGTATGCAGCTACTTGGAGTCAGCACATCGTCATAGGCTTCATCATCTCTAGACTCAAATAGCTCACTATAGAGCCAATTTCGTAAACGTGCAAGTTTCACAGCGATTACTTTATTCAACCATCGAGGACATAATTTTTTTTTGTAGTCTGCTCCGCTGCATAGCACATTGCTTCCGACGGGCCAGTCTTCAAGAACTGCAACACGCCTGAATTACCCGACACACTCAAACCATCCTATAACTTTTTGCATCGTCGTACCTGCTCAGCACAGAATGCCCACCCTGACCTCACACCTCACCTCACACCCGCAGACCGCAGAGGCCTACACCCGCGCCACGCAGTCCGCCTTCCTCAGCCTGGCGGGCCAGGGCCGCCTGCCGCGCCCCGTGCTCTCGCAGTGGCTGTCCCAGGACCGCCTGTACGCGCAGGCGTACGTGCGCTTCATCGGGGGCCTGCTCGCGCGCCTGCGGCTGCCGGTCGCCAAAGCCGCCGACGCGGTCGAGTGGCGGGTGCTGCGGGTGCTGAAGGACGCCCTCGACGGCATCGTGCGCGAGCTGGCCTTCTTCGAGGACACGGCCGCGCGGTACGGGCTGGACCTGGCGGCGGGCCCGGGGGAGGCAAGCGAGAACAGCAGCGGCGGCTTCGGGCCCAACCGCGTCACGGCGGCGTATGTGGACCTGTTCGACTCGTTCGGAGCCCCGCACGGCGGCGCGCAGGCGGCCTCGGTGGCTAGCGGTGAGAGGACGCTGCTGGAGGGCCTGGTGCTGCTCTGGGCTACGGAGAAGGTCTACCTGGATGCGTGGACGTACGCGCGGGAGCAGGGCGCCGGCAGGGAGGGCGGCAAGACGGGGGAGGACCTGGATGGAGGGGCGCTGCGGAGGGAGTTCATCCCGAATTGGACGTCAGAGGAGTTCAAGGGGTTTGTCGACGAGATCCAGGGCTGCCTGGACGAGTATGCTGCAGCACAAGGCGGCGAGGGCGTTCAAGATAGGGCGCTGGAGCTGTGGAAACACGTGCTGCAGCTCGAGGAGGGCTTCTGGCCCCATGTGAATCTTCAAGACGTCGCTTCAACAATGTGAGTGAGAACGGGTTCAGAGGATGACATAAATTTCACGTCTATATTGTAGGTTATACCTGGCTATCTAATACGTACTCGTACGGTGCAAGACAGCTGTCTAACCATATACATTACCGTTTCAATATCGATGGTTCCAAGTATAGAGCTTGAGGCAGAGGTCAGGCAAGGTGGACTACGATTGAATGCCTGGATCAAGACAAATGCACCCAAAAGGCAGTACTCATTCCAGTCCAGAGAGACCTATCATTTGTTGTCAGCAGAGTCCATGAAGTGCATGTTTGCTGAAGAAATGAGAGTTGTGATGCTCGTTCAGAAGTCCGTTGCATTCATTGAGCCCCGAGAGGCTCTAACATAAGAGGTACCAGAAAAAAGTAATAATGTGTTGTTTCATCATTCGAGTCGTAGTCGCGTAGGGGAAAAGGCTGTGACGAATTTGGAGAATGAGCTTACCTTGGGAAATGTGAACTGGAATACCCTTCCAGTTGATGATATCAGCCCGACAGTAAACATGAAGTCCTGAAAGACGTCTGGTCTGAGTTCATACTCGCCACTGGTCCATCCAACGGCACGAACGTGCTTTGGGTTGATGAGGATAGAGAGAAGGGTCCTGCAAAATTTCTTAGGCCTGGACGCGGTAGAGATTTGGAGGGTGGAGTCTGCGTCCGGCAGATCCCCGGCAGCCGCGAGGCTTCCAGCTCTGCAGTTGCTGGCCATCCGACCAATCATCAGCGGCGGCCCCGCTAGCCCACAGCGGGCGCAAACCCACAACTCGGGCATTGAGAATTTTGTGAGAATACTCCAACTCCATCGACTTTTGGACCAGTTCCTTCCTCACGCCCAACGACCAGCCAGACAACCACCGCCCCTCGCCAACGCTCTTCCCAGAATCCCCGACAACAACCAGATTCTGCAACCGCCATCATGGGTCGTCTTCACAGCAAGGGAAAGGGTATCAGCTCCTCGGCTACCCCCTACTCGCGCACTCCCCCGGCGTGGTTGAAGACCACTCCCGACCAGGTCGTCGAGCAGATCTGCCGTCTGGCCAAGCGTGGTGCCACCCCCTCCCAGATCGGTGTCATCCTGCGTGACTCCCACGGAATCGCCCAGGTCCGCTTCGTCACTGGTACGTCTTGCATCCCCACGGGCGAGAGAAAGGCTTTCTCGGGAGACACATTGTGGCTAACATATTTGCGTAACAGGTAACAAGATTCTGCGAATCCTCAAGTCCAACGGTACGCCATGAACCCGCCTCCCCGATCCGTGAATACTCGATGTGTTGTATTTGTGTGTGTTGCGTGTATAACCTGCCCCCGTCCCTCGCGGACGGAGAGGGGAAAAGCAATTATGCCTCTGTTTGGTCAAGGCTGACAGAGTGATCTTACAGGCCTCGCTCCCGAGCTCCCTGAGGATCTGTACATGTTGATCAAGAAGGTGAGTCGATCCAGCTCTGTACCCCACCTCGGTAAACCCTACAAACATGCTAACACATCCCCCAAAGGCTGTTGCCGTCCGCAAGCACCTTGAGCGCAACCGCAAGGACAAGGACTCCAAGTTCCGCCTCATTCTGATCGAGTCCCGTATCCACCGTCTCGCCCGCTACTACAAGTCCGTCGGTGTCCTTCCTCCTACCTGGAAGTACGAGTCCGCCACCGCCTCCACCATTGTCGCATAAGCGATTTCCTCGGGCGGGTGGGTATTTAAAATCTGCATGAGATACTTGGTCATGGAGTTTGTGGAACGGAACATCTTGCTTTTAGGGGAAAAGTCATCCTTCGGCTTTCACCGGTAGATAGCCAGAGCTTTCACGTAGAGATGCCAATGAATATCTCATGAACGTAATAACGATGTATGAAGCACTGGATCGAGGCCTCAATTCAAAATGCTAGGGTATCACCTGTGAAAATGAGAACACCTGCCTGCTCAGAACATGATCAATCCCAGTCATGACCAACATTCAGCTTTTCCTGTTTGTCCGTAACCTAAACGCCTTCCGTAAATGCAGACCCTTGTCCTTGCTTGCTCTGAAGGCCTGCCATCAAGCTGTCGAACCTTCAATCTCCTTTGACCGCTGCAGCAAGAATTCGCCAAGCACTCGTAGGGGATCCTTTGGCCTATCCATGATCACCGGCGGTCAGCAAAGTCCGTCTAGTGAATTGGTTAAAAAAAGAGAAAACCCACATATCCTTGGCAAGAAGCTTCATGCCCTCCAGCAAGACGCCCGTGACCCTGGTGTTCAGGTATTGCCGCACCGAAGCACCATGCGGCGGCGCCTCGGCCGGCATGGTGAAGCCCGGGTCGGGATGGGCTGACGCCGCGCGCGACGTGTTGCTGGCCGGCTCCTGCTGCTGCGCGCCGTTTGTCGTACGCAGCGGCGTGCCTGTTCGTCCTGCGGGTGCTCCTCCCGACGTGGGAGCCGGGCTCGCGGCACTCTGGCGGGCGGGGGACTGGGAGATGGGGATTGCGTTAGCAGACGCGTTCGACTTTTGGACCAGAATCTCAGAGATGAGCTATGAAGGGTGTGGCTTACGGCAGCGGCGTCGGCGTCTGTCATGGTGATGTCCTTGTCCTTGGGTGTGGGCTCGGTGGAAGCCTCGGTCGTTGTCGCCGCAGCAGTCGTCTCGGTGGTGGTTGCGTCTTCTGTGCCAGCAGCAGTAGCAGCAGCGGGTGCAGGCGGCGGAGCCACGGCGGCAGGCGTTTGGCCCAGAGTGCTCGACGAGGGCTGCACGGGTGGCTGGAGCCCGCCGAAGGGCATTGGCACGGGGATCGGGGTCGTGGAGACCCGGCGATTCTCTTCGGACATGTCTGAGGCTGGCTCGACGACGCTGGCAGTGGGACTGGGTAGCTGGATGGTGCAAGCCGACGAAGCTTGCTGGCAAGTGAACTCTCGGGCAACGGCGCGACCTTCAGGGCGGGCGCGCAATTGGCGGCGTTGATTGGGCGGCCGGTGGGCAGGCAGACAGTTGGACCTCTGCGCCGAAGCGGGTCCTGCCAATTAAGCCAGCGATCGGCCACATGACTAGGCGTCAATCTCGTGTCTCGCCAGAAACGCGGCCGGAGGCACAACCCCTTTGTTCGATGAGGTAATGAGCCATCTAGGAGGCAAAAATGTCCTCACAAGAGCGCCCCGAGGCTACACACGAACTACGAGATAGATAATGGACAAATTCGTCCAGAGAGCAGCACCTCCTACAAGAGCACAGCAGGACATCCCATGCTGCAGGGCGCCGGACCCCGGGTCACGTCATGAGCCACCTGCCAAGCGTGTGAAGAGGGAGATCGCGGACAGTGACGGGGATTCCGATGGCGACCTGTCAGATACGCACTCGCTGGGTCCAAGCCGCGCTCCCTTGCTGAGGGAAGACACTGCAGCATCTGCCTATGATGACGTGCAGTCCGACCCCGAATCCCAAATCGGGAGGCCTACTGCCATTGAAAGCTCGCTCCCAGAAGTAAAGTCGGACAAGGAGGCCATCGAGGAATACGAAACCTTCCGAGCGTCCCAAGGAGACAGCAAGAATGACACAGCCTCGAGGTTCGTCAAAAGGGAGTGGGTGAAGGGCAAGAGCTCCTTGTATGTGGACGCCTTCAACCTCGCCCTGAGCACTGTTCTCGACGACGAATCTCACCTCTTCGATGATAAAGAACGTAAGCTGTTCGACTACTGGGACAACCTGAGCTACGAGGCGCAATACTTGTGAGATTTTGCCAGCACATGCAACGCAATAAGCCAGTGTTTCTGACTTTTTCTCAATGTTTAGGTACGTCCGCCTCTTCCTCAGGAAATCTGCAACCTGGCATCGTATTGCCAAGCTGGGTTACTACGATGATATATCCAGCACTGAAGATGCTGTAAAGGAACTCCAAACATGTCGGGCGCTTCCTGTGGCGTCAGAATCCCGGGCAGAGTCACCTGACCCGGATGCTGCGTTCGCCCAGGAAGAGCACAGTCTGGAGGATTCGTTCAGTTTCGCGGATGACTCAAATGACTGTATCAACACCGTCGAGGAGTCCATCACTTTGTTAAATCTCGAGGAACTGAAAATGCTTGGCAAGGATGCTAGGGTCCAAGGGAAGAACAAAGCCGACCTGGTCAAATCGATTTGCAAGATGAGCAATCGGCAAGCTGGCTTGCTGTCCCTGGGTCTGCGGAGATCGGATACCCAGGACTCGGCGGCTTCAAGTGAGAATAGGACGCCCGAAGTCGAGTCTCCTGGGCCACAGACAGGCGATGACTCTAACAGGAACAAGCATTTTCTTGACAAGATCATGGCTATCACTGGTCCATGCATCCGGCTCTCTCTGCCTGTATTCAAGCTCTTCGAGAGGGTGCATCTGGTTTTCTACAGATCCACAGAGTGGACAGAGAAGTCTCTAACGGCAATCATACTCGCCAAGATTTCACGACGAAATTTCCCAGAGTACATTGTGAGCAGGTCTACCAACATCTTCACCTCCCGGAATCACTTGTTGGAATTTGAGACCGCAACGAGGACAGAATTCAGTGTTGACAACATACTTGAATTCAATGGACCTGTTGGTGAAGATGGGTTTCGTAAGGTGTTGGACATCTTCGACAGCATCTACGGCCGATGGCGAAAGCTTCTACAAGAAGAGCAAGTGAAGGAAGATCGAGTGTATGAGACGGGCGAGGGCACGTATCTACGCCGCTTTTCTCCGGTTCATCCTTACACTCGCATAATACATAAAGCTGCTTTCGTCTTTGGCCGCTTGAAGGAGCATCGAAGGGAGCATGCTTTAATGGTGGAGCTTCTCGAACAGAGACTTTTTCACCACGCCCGACGTGGCGCATGGTATCAGCGCAAGGCTCTGCTAGAGGAGCACTACATGTTTGCTCTGGAGCCGGATCCTGCATACAAAGATCCGGAGATGCAGAAAAAGCACTGGAAGCGCATTGCGGCTACGACATGCGAGACAGCCCTCGAGGACCCCGATTGCCACATCAAATATCATTATGATCTGCAGAAGCGGCTTTTGAAACTTGAGAAGCAGATGAAAGTCCCCTACCGTTTACAGCACGACTTCGGGCATGTAAAGCTACAGAAGCCCGAAGAGCACTATATCGAGGGAATACAAATCAAGAAGGACGACATTGTGGGCAAAAAGGGCCGTGGGCCGAGCACCAAGACTATTTGGGTTGATGAGGCTGAAGGCGGGGGCGAATGCAGTGTTGAGTCCATGTGCCTCAGCTCGTATCGCAGCCAAGGCTGGAAAGGCTATCACGCTGAAGGCGGCATCATACGCACGCTATTTGCGTACCTCTTTTACGATATTCTGTTTCTCTATATACCCAATGTCTTCCAGACGGCATATCAGACCTGCCCTCTTGACCTACATACCGACTCTTTCTACCCTACCAGAGCATCCGAGATTAACCATCGATTGGTTGAGATTGCCAATGGCGAGGCACCTCGCTTGGTTGAGGAAGTTGATAAACGAGAAAGGGAGAGGAGAACCTGTGTCGTTGGTCTGAATTGGGACTACGAGCTGCCCGACCTCATTGAGCTTGTCGGCTGCTTTGATGGCGCGGCCCTGGCGACAGTGTGCAAGGTCATGGCACAGGAGTATGGTCAGAGAGGGGGCGGCCTTCCAGATCTCATTCTGTGGCGGGTCGAACCAGACAAGGAGGTGATGTTTGCCGAGGTCAAAAGCGCGAACGACCGCCTCAGCGACACTCAGAGGCTTTGGATACATGTGCTGACAGGAGCTGGCGTGCGGGTGGCTTTGTGCAACGCGGTGGCTAATGAGGTCCGAGAGGTATAGGCCTATGCAAAACAGCCCCAGCCTCGCTCACTTTCCTGCAATGTCACGGTACCGCTCGGCCGCGATTCCATGAATCAGACCAAGAATGGCAAATTGTCACCAAAATAAGATCCCACGTGTACGAGGTAGCAGAGGCCCGTCGAGGGACGCAATCCTGTTCCTATGGCCGTCTGAAACGCCTGCGAGATTGAGGGGTCCGTGATGACTTCCCTATATCGTGACGAGCGGAGATTCTTCTTGCAGTTGCCCGGTTGGTACTATTGAAACAAGGAAAATGCATGGGCCCCATGCTCTCAGGAAATGAGGGGTTCTGTTTCAACAAACCCACGCGAGAGCAAGGCTGGTCACGTTTTCTGTTCCCTGTCACGAAATCGAGATGGAACGAAACTTACCCAATCCGGAAGCGTTCGTTCGGGGAATATTCGAGTGATCTGTCTCTGGAGGACGGTTCCTGATTGGACGCGCTGCCCCAGAAAGGGCCACGGCCTCTCACCCAGATGCTGTCACACCCGAAGTCCAATATGCAGGCCTACTGCAATACTTGTCACATGCATCATTGGAAGGCATCGTCATTCATGGGTTGTCAGTCTGCCACGCTTGATGAGTTCGACTCATGCACTCCCAGTCTGTGCCCTATGCTAGCCGTTTACTGGCCTCTGTTGCTCGATGCAATCGCCGGCGTTCTTCGACGACAGGAGCCAGATCGCCAGTGACAGTATCGAGGAAGCGCTGCGTGGCTTGTTTGAAAGCAAATACCATCACAAATGGACGGCCACCTCGCCGGCGGCCTTCCGCCGCCCGTACGCATTGAGGAGAATGACACCGGGTTAGCCGGGGGCGGCGAGCAACTTCCGTTCAGGACTCAATTAATCAAATAGATGCTGTCTTTACAGCAACGACCCTCATTCGCCCACGCTCACCGAAAAAGAAGCTCCTCTTGCCTTCTTCCCGCTATACTGCGTTGAAGTGGCCCTGGCGGAGCAAGCAAGCAAGCTGCCTGCCCTGGGACGAAGTCGTGGGCGCTTAAGTGCGCAGGCAGGCCGGCCAATCGTCTTACAGCACTCGAGGTGGGCACCAGCTGCACAAAACAACGCGGCGCGCTGATTGGCCGCTCGGCTCAGCCCATGGGCGCTTAGGCTGTGCGCCCCCCTGTCGCTCTCCCCATGCAGGTTCCAGGATGTCGGTACAGAGAGACTCAAAGAGACAGAGGGCGGAAGTGGGGAAAAAGCAATTGTCATGTCATGGGCCGTGGACGGCGAGGGTGCTGCTGCACCAGCAAGCGGCGGGCAGGGGGGGCGGAGGGGCAGACTGGGAGCTTTTCCCATTGCTGGATGTCTAATCCACGGCCCCGTACCCAGTGCTCCCCAAATCATGTGGTTCCAGAGTGTAACTTGGAGGGAAATAGACTATTGACTGTCAACCGGTTTTTATTTGCCCCAAGATTGACATGTAGTAAAACCTATTAGATTCTGCAGCAGATTTGCCTGGGTTCGGGGACATGGGGGGCAAGTGGGCTGTGGTGTTGTACTGAATGCATCATCTGCAAATATTACCTAAGGCATGTCATGTCCTTGCTGCCGCTCGGTGATATCCGTCTTACGCGTCACAGGCTCGTAACAAGCATGCTACCATTCGTCGTGTGTCGACATTTCAATCTGGGCCATTACTGAGACTTTGCTCCCCGGGACCCGCTCCAACGTGTCTTCCCTTGTGGATCTTCGCAGGGGGGTGGATGAGGCCTACGATTCTCGGCCTGGGCCTTGGCTGCAAGGTCGGTAATCAGTGTCCCCCTGCCATGCCTATCGTACCTTTTGCTAGCTACTGTAGATGTCTCGCATGTAAAACTGGAGCTCAGGTGGCCGCAATAACACGGACCGCCCATCAGGCCTTTCTGGCGGCCTGTGGATATCGCAGTCGTGGCACGCAGCGGGTGGTCGCTTTTTGGGTCGGGATAAACAAGCAAACAAGTAAACAAAGCTATCTACTACACGCTGCGAATGCATCAACAGAGCTGGTATGGGTCTTTCTCAAGATCTTCTCATATTGAAAGGGCCACGCCGTGGTGGGCCTAAGAGCTACCTAAGCTTGGGGATCCGGTAACGTTTGACACATGTCGATAGATTTGATTTCAATGAATGCCCTCCCATTTTTGACGTACGGTCAAAAAAGTCAAGACGCCCTCCGTAAAAGTGTAGAAAGTTGCAGCCATCCCGTCCCGAAATTCTTAACTCCCTTGGTATCAGCGCATATGTCACTTCTTATGAAGACGCCGCCAGCAACGCCATTGAACTCCGTTAAGATGAAGATTGTCCTCGTAAAGTCGTTCCGCCGCTCCTTGTGTTTTGTGTTGGTCTTGTTTGGTCGGGGCAGGAAGGGGGCATTCTTGCTTTCGTTTGGGCCCCCTTTCGCCCACCAGTCTCCTGGGTAGGAGTCGCGGTATTCTGCAATGTTTCCGGATTGCAATAAAGTCCGACGATGGGTGGATAATAAATACTCAGAAGTGCAGAGTGCCGTAGGGTAGAGGTTGGAGAATATTGACAAAGAAAAATAGGTCAAGGACGGAAGATAGTTGGGTAGGATGGTGACTTTAGTTAATTCGGATCGGCTGATGGTGTGGCTGATAGATAGTTTCATACGACGATGGGGCTTATTTCTCTCATGCCGAATTTGACCGCGTGGTCGGTTGTGGCTTCGTCTCTCCGGCCGCGGCCGCGACTGCCTGCGCTGCCTTCAGAGCCTGAACCTTTGAGCACTCGGTTCGCCTCCGCTTGCCCTTGGGGGCTGGGTTCATCCTCGGCGTGTAAGTGACGGTCCTCGTCACCACCTCCCGGATGTGGCGCACGCTACGATTGGATGACTTGGTGGCTTTGCAGTCCTGTGAGTACCGGGACTTGAGCGCCGATTCCCAGTCGAACGGCGAGCGGACTGATCGCGCACTGAACGGCGACCTCGCTGTGGCACTCATGGGCGAGTCCATGGTCGAGACTGCGGGCGATGGCGGAATGTGCAGGCTGGGGAACGACGTGGCGCCGGTTGGCGGCGCAGACATGGGATGAGTTGGGTACGGGCTAGGCGGCACAGCAGTGGGAGACTTGTGGTTTCCACAGTTGCACGAGCAGTCGGTGTGCTCGCTGCTGGCCGTTGATGGCATCGAGTCCTGAGCATGGTCCTCTTCCTCCTCGCTGGAGCTGCCGGATCGCTTCTCTGGTACCACGGGCGACGCTACTGACATGGCCCGGAGGAAGTCCATGTAAGCGGTAGGTGGACTGATCGGAGTCTTGGTGCTGTATTCCTCCTTGATAAAATCAGGGACTGCCGAGCGTGGCGTCCTCGCCGACAGAGCTGAGAGCTCGGACGGAAATGTCGCTGTGACTGGAGTCGTCAACTGCGCGAGCTTGGGCTTGCTTGTAGGTGGCATATTGGTGATGTTGAAAAAAGAGTCGACCTAGGCGGATAGTGTCCCGGTGCGGTATAGTGCGATGTGATATATCGACACACACAAGAGTCCTCAGTCAAGTGAATGACTAGGAGCAGGGAGAGGGGGAGGTAGAAAGGAAGAGGTGAGGATGCCTACAAGCTGCACTGACTTGACGCCCGTTGGGGAGGGAAGAGTCGGCAGTTGGGTGGGGGGGAGAGAGGAGGTGAGAGGTTAGGAAGAGGGAAGCAAAAGAATATATTATGTATGTGTGTGTCTGGTGAAGGGCGAGGGAGAGCCAAACTTGTTTGTACGTAAGGCAGGCAAAGGCGGGCCCTGCCTTGTCTCACGCGCGCGAGGGGGGTGGGAACCCGGGAGCAGCAGACGCTGAGACGAGGGCGCCAAACGGGAAAGCTTGGGCTAATAGGTGCCCCCCGCTAGAAACGCTAGAATCAATGTGACCTGATCCAAGCGGATGGGTGTGCGTCCAGGGGTGTGAAGGCTTAGCAGAGGCCGGCGTGCTGGGCGGCAGGAAGTCCCGTATGTAGGACTGGCTTGGAGTGGGTGGCCGGCGCGTGCTATAGCCGGGCGACCAACGGACGAGCTCCCCGTAGTGGATTGGTATAGGACGAGTCCCGATCAGGACCTCGACTTGCTGACTCGGGGGGGCCAAAAGAAGACGTAAAAGAAAGACTCTGGACAAGAGATGCCTTCGTTTTTGGGGCAAAATGGCGTGGGAGAGCGCGGGATTGGTCGCGAGAGCGGCAGATGGGCAAGTGGGATTCGAGGATGGGACAGACGTGCCCGTCAGCGATAGCTGCTCTGGCGCGTGTGTGCTGAGACGTGCTTTAGTCTGGAGGCGCTGGCAAATAGATGGACGGTCGAGGAAGATACATACACGTCGGCGGGAAGCCCAAGTATCTGCTACGTGAACAGCGCGGTGCTTGGCCGCGAACTGGAGAGCCCGGTGGTTGGAGCTGCGAGGCCGGATGGCGGCCGTGATTCGCCCAAGGACCCTGGGTCGAGTCCCTTGAACGGCACAACGGTCCAGGATGGGTTGCTGAGGTGTAAGCGCCCGTCGAGTATCCGGGACTTGGTCGCCGATGTACCTGGCCCGGGCCGGCAGTGGTGATTGGCTGGCTGCGTGCAACCCCTGTCCTGCGAGCGCTTCCGCTATTCTTAGCACCTGTCATTGGCCCGCTCTCATTCGACGGCCGCCCAGGTCGCGAAAACGACCACACCTCTTAACTCGTACTTACAGATCCAGATCAACCAAACGTGCTGTGTCTTGCCGGGAAGACGCCTCGACAACCTCGTCCAAGATCTCGGTCAAATTCCGCGACCGCGATGGCTTTCCTTGTGCAACAACGCCCACAGTTGTCTGTGGTTGTCCTGTCACACTTGGCGGTGGTAGGCTCAACGAGTCGTGTGAGCTGGGAGGGGTAATGGGGCGATGAGGTTGAGGTTCCCGATCCAAGCGGATATTCGGGCGTTGGTAAGACAGAATGGAGATATTGGGGCGAAGAAGATTGCCGAGTGAGTCGTTGTCACTGTTGTGTCTTGTGCTTTGCTCCAAGTTGGCTGTTGGCATCACGACTTATGGCCGGGCCCCCAACATCATTTATGCTTAACGGCTTGCCTGTCTAACCGCTGTTTACCTTCTAAATTTATTTTCTTCATGTTATTTATCGCCTCCTACCTTACCCTTGCTGCTTCAGTCCGCGCGCGGTTTTGCAGAATTTGCTTCATTCTCTATTGGCTTCCTCCATCTACAGGCTCTCTGCTCTTTGCCTGGCTGGCGTCTGGCCAACTGGGCAGGCTCAGGGTGGCAGCATGTCGGAGGGGAGCGCGCGCATCTTGACGCAACATGTCGCTCCATGGCGGACGCTGGCCGTCGTTGGTCCACAGGTCTTCAGCAGAATAGTCTTGGGGGCTGGTAACGGCTTCCGACCAAACAACTCCCATCGTCTCACAAGTTCGACACGGAGCAATAACAGCGCGCGGCTCCCGGGGGCTGGCGCCGGCCGTTTTCTCCGGCCTTCGAGAGCCTCAATGAACAGGACGCAGAGGCTCTGGTTTCCAAACCAAGAGCAGGCTGCCATGTCATTGCTTCATGTTGAACCCGGTCCCCTCCCGGTCCCGTCAGTGGGCCCGCCGCTCGACTAATGAGTGCTAAGCGCCAGCAACCTCATCGGGATTCGTCAGTGGTCGTCGACCAAATCCTTCAACCTCGCATCCCGGGTCGGCTTCTGCGCTTAGCGCAGTAGGCTTTCATCGTGATTGCTCAACATGCCGCCATTGTAGACGACTTGCAGCTTTCGTGGCTTCCCCGACCGGAGCTATGTCGCTTGATGGAGGATGCCCCTAGCTGGTAGGAGCCACGACCAGTCTGATGTCGGCGACAACACCTTCACCATTACTCTTCTTGGTAATAGAAGTGGAGATCTCTGGCTTGTCCCCGTGCAAGAAAGACCTCACGCATGCATCTTCCTTGGCTATATGCGTCAATCCTTCAGACTACTGCAGCTTACAGAACAAACATGGAAGGTTTTCATGACAGGGCTCCATGTGGCACTAGGATATACACGCGGTCCCAGAACCACAGCTTCGGTTCCTTGGGTTAGCACAACGCTCCACCGGTGCCGAATTCTCGGATGATCCTGTCGTTGACGCATCAAAGCCTGGCTGGAAGAGAACTACCCCAGAGGCGGTCGTGGGCAGGAGGCCACGGTCATTCATCGGCACTAGTATCGACATCGGCCAAACAGCGCACCTCTCACGTTTGGTCAAGTCCGCAACCAAGATGTCGCAGTACGAGGTACCACACTGTCATGTGAGACGAATACGCTAACCGATAGTCTGCTTGACCGGCAGCCTTCTAATCCCATGTGAGAACTCTCTGAACCATTGGGCAGATTATATGTCTCTGGGATTCCCATCCTTGCGATTGCATGGTGCTGCATCCAAGATGTGCCCTCAAGCGCGCGTAAGTCGGCTGAAACGAGAATGTCGAAGCGTCTACTTGGACCATCGCGGTAAATGTTTCTCGATTGCATGTATGTTCCGCTTCATCATGCCGAAGCTCTTGTACAGGTGCAAAGCAGCCAACATCGCCTCCACTCGAGGTATTCCGCATGGCAAAACCCCTGTGTTTTAGATGGATATATCAACCCCCCTATACTAGAATGTAGGTACTTAGCTTCAGGTTCATGTTTAAGTACCTTTAACAAGCCCAATGAACCCCTGCCCATGCTGATATGTAGACTTGTGCCGGGCCTCATGTATCTCCCTGTTGGGATCTTGGTGCCATACGCGCCTCCTTGGGCCTGTAGAAATTTACCATCGACAGACCAGGCATGGATAGAAGGTACATCAACCAACATCGTTTCGCTGCCATCAGCCTTTTGTCCGCGGTAGAAGTCTGCCCATCCGCAGTCGAGACATTCCTTCCGCAGCAGACAAGTCTAGAATGCCACCATCGGCATTGCGGTCTGCTCTAAGTAGCAAAACGGAAGGTGTCGTGAGGGCCGAGACACTCGTCTGCAGATTTGCTCTCAAGACACCTCGAGCCTTGCCATGTACAGTAATCTCTGGGCGGTGAAGGGGGACCATGTCCGAATTGCCTGTCTCGAGCCAATAATACAGCCATTACACAGGAGCAACTCTGCACGCTTTCAACAGTGAATCACGTCGATCGAGTTTTCGGGGGGTTTGCGATGCCCACATACCTGCAGGCTCCCTGTTTCCCATTCCATTTCTTCGTTCATTTCTTCGTCTACCAGCCCCATCCCATCAGTCTCTTGATGCTCTTTGACATTGAACTCTCTTATCACAGCCTGTACTCTGCAATGTATGGCAGTACCTAGCCTCACTCTCTAACGAGATCGCCACCAAATTATCGAGTTGCACCATTGTGATACTGATTACCGAGCCCCTATTCGAACCAATGATTCCACACGGCCCCGGTCGGCCACGATCGAAGCGAAGCAAGGACGATCCCACGGTAATGCTCGTAAATCGCGGGGAGGCTATAGTTAAACTCGTAAACCTGGCCATGGATCGGAGCCTTTGTTCGTTACATTCTTACAAGACAATAATTATTCACAAGGATTGGAGCGATTCTGCTGTCTCTCATCTCTACATGGTGATACTATCTGCGTTGGCTTGGACTTAAAGCTATACCCGAGGGTACCAGAGCGTTGTCGAGAGGACCTAGTTGTATCGACTCTGCTGAAAAATGCAGCCAGCGAGCGTCGGGGAAAAGTAAAAAATCACTTCCAATGCCATATCAGTTCTGTATCTGGGGTCGTAGATTTTTCACGGGTATAATGCTATTCGTGCTGGTACTCGAAGTTGTACATCAAAGACTTACCTATTGTCTTTCGTGGCTACCTGCTTGTCTCACCTTCTTCTGTCTTTCTGTTCCCAGGTGCGAGTCGTTCGAGTAATACACCTTGAGAATTCCTGACCGTTGAGCCAATGTGAGTCAGGCCTGTTTTACTCCAGGTTCTCTCCAGGTTTTCTCTACGTATCAACATTCAACAAGTGCCTTCCCCTAATCGCTATTATATCACATTGCTTGCTCGAAGGATATAGTATTGACTGCTTTAAATGATTGGTGTCTATATCCACTAAGAGAATTTCGAATTATCAGGCATTGCGAGCAATGCTCGCAAACCGGTGTACTGATACTTTCACAAGAACCCTCGGTTAATGCTTAAGATTAGCTTATAATGTTCAAAATGATACAGAAAACCTGTAGCAATTTCTAGGCAATTGATTGTTCAATCAATGGGTACTTGGTGGACTGGAGGTTGTTGAAGTGGGACTATGAGGCCAAGCCAGGAAGTATGAAGCATACGCCCCATACTGCCTAGCTCACAGAGAGGGAAAAAGAGGGAAAAGGCTATCAAAAGAAAACCAAAATATCCAACAGAACATGAATACGGGTGTAGAGCCAAAAGCTTTCAGGAGACAGTCGACAGTCTCATTAAAACAGAGCGAGGGGCACGTGATAGCGCGTAGGCTGGACTTCTTCTAGCGCGTCATTCAGGGTCCAGACGTCACCACGCTCATTGGCGGGGAGGCAAATTCCTCCCTCTTTACTTTCCGATCTGCCACCTTTCCATCCCTCGCAGCGCGTCCTTGTAATCGGCTCGATTAGAAGACTCGACACTTGCATTAGATATGCTGTAGCTCCTTTTTGGGCTCTTGAAACCCAGCGCGATCGGTCCAGGATGCCAGCGGCGAAGTCGACAGCGAAACCCAAGACCCCGCGGCAGACGAAGCTCAACTTCGGCGCTGCGAATGGGTCCGGATCCAAGGCCTCGGCCTCGAAACAGAAGAAGCCGGCCAACGGCAATATTTTGAACTTTTTCAAGAAGGTCGAGATTGAAGAACAACTGTTCCTCGACGCGCCCAGCGGCTCGTCGACGGCCATCCTGCTCTCGAGCCCCAGTAGGGACGCCGACAACGAGAACGATTCCTGCAACTTAGAGACCGCGCCGACGAGGTACAATGAAGATTATGGCTCGTCTAAGCGGCGCAAAATGAGCCACGATGGCTCGGACGACATAGAGGACTTGTTCGATGGCGGCAAGCCTGACAACGCTTCCGAACTCGAGAATTCAACCAAGCCCTTGACGCAGAAGAAACAGAAACAGAAGAAAGCACGGAAGGGTCCATTCCTTGACGACTCGGACAGCGAAGAGGACGCCCTAGCTCATAGCTCCCCCACAAGGCAAGAAACAACAGGAGAGCCCCCCGATAACGCTATGCTAAACCCGCCCACCAAAATAGAGCCCTCACCAGTGCCCCCTAATCTTTTACGAGACGAGAGTTGTTCGGCGGTCACCCAAGCCCTGACCCTGGAGAAAGAGGATTCGATATATGATAAATTCCAAGACCAAGACCTGGACGGCCTGGATGGAGCATTTGACGACGAGTTTGGTGACGATGAGGAAGCCGGAGAAGAATATAGGTACATGCGATTCATGCAGGAACAAGCACGTCTCGAGGCCGAGGAAGCGGGAGACCCAGCACCGGAAGACGCTACCTACAAGTACCCAGCCGATGACGGTATGACTCAGCGATGCCCCCTATGTGATGCAAGCTTGGCAGGAATCACTCCTGACGAGGCAACTGTCCATGTGAACGGCTGCTTAGATGGAAACCCGGTGCCATTGCCAACACCGACAAAGCCTCCCAAGGAGGATTCGGTGGATGCCCCTGAAATCGGCAAGCGCTTCGCAAAGGCGGCCGTGCCACGGCCTGGACAAGCCAACCCGATCAGCCTCGGAGGAGGCGTGTCCTCCGGGAACAAGGGAGGCTCTGCCTTCAGCAAGTTGATGTCAGGACATGCCGAAGATGCTGCGTGGGCTTCCGCGGCCGCTACTGAGCACGCTTCTCGAGGGAAGCCAGCCTACCAGCGTACATGTCCCTTTTATAAAATCATGCCTGGGTTCTTCATCTGCGTGGACGCCTTTCGGTACGGTGCTGTTAAAGGGTGTAATGCTTATTTCTTGAGCCACTTTCATAGTGATCACTACGTCGGTTTGACAGCGAGTTGGACCCATGGACCGATTTATTGTAGCAAAGTCACCGGGAGCTTGGTCAAAACGCAACTTCGGACAGCCGCGAAATGGGTTCGAGAGATCGAGTTTGAGGAGACAATCGAGATACCAGGGACAGAGGGGGTAACAGTTACCATGCTGCCAGCTAATCACTGCCCTGGCAGCTCCCTGTTTCTCTTCGAAAAGACGCTTGGGAAAGGGGCCAGCGCAAGAAAACAGCGGATACTCCACTGCGGCGACTTTCGAGCCTGTCCGGCTCAGGTTACACACCCGCTCCTGAAGCCGGACATCGTTGATGCCATTTCTGGCAAAACAAAGCAGCAAAAGATTGACGTATGCTATCTTGACACCACTTACCTTAACCCGCGGTACTCCTTTCCGCCCCAGGAAGACGTCATCAACGCTTGTGCCGACTTTTGCAAATCCATCTCTGGGGACCCCAATGCCCTTGACGACGCCTTTGACGCCCTGAAACGCGAGAAGGGCACCGAGTCGGTCACCAAGTTCTTCACCAAGGAGCCGTCGAATGCCGGCGAGGGCGAAGCCGTGCCCGAGCCCCCGAAGACGAATTATCGTCTGCTCGTCATCTGCGGCACCTACTCCATCGGCAAGGAGCGCATCTGCAAAGCCATCGCGCAAGCCCTCAACACCAAGATCTTCGCCTCGGCCTCCAAGATCCGCATCATCAAGCAGCTGGGCGACCCCGAGCTCTCGGCCCTGCTGACGTCGGACCCCCGCGAGGCCCAGGTGCACATGCAGATGCTGATGGAGATCCGCGCCGAGACGCTGCAGGAGTACCTCAACGGCTACAAGCCGCACTTCAGCCGCATCGTCGGCTTCCGGCCCTCGGGCTGGAACTTCCGCAACCCCAGCTCCACGGCCAAGGCCGTCGGCGCCAACGTGAGCCCCGGCGCCGTCGCCACGACCCAGATCCTGCACGGCACGGCGTGGCGCACGAGCTTCGGCGCCCGCGACTTTGTCGCCCAGCGCGGCAGCACCCGCGAGGCCATGTGCTTCGGCGTGCCCTACTCGGAGCACAGCAGCTTCCGCGAGCTGGCCCTCTTCACCATGGCCCTGCGCATCGACAAGATCGTCCCCACCGTCAACGTCGGGAGCGAGCCGAGCCGCAAGCGGATGAAGGCCTGGCTCGATCGGTGGGTGAGCGAGAGGCGCCGCGGCGGCCTTGTCAGGTTGTTAGAAGGCGAAGCTTGTCCAGCGGAAGAAGACGGTGACGGTGATGGGAAAGCAAGGCAGAGAACTACCGCGAAGGCAACTGCGCTCTGGGAAGGCAAGGATGGGCGAGGAGGTGGGGTTTATTGGTAGAGTCGGTTTTGAAGCGAGGTTTGGATCACGACATGAAACTGTTGGAATGGGATATAGCATAGATGGCCTGATTCTCTGGAAGAGCAAGTGATACCACTGTATTGGCTCATCTTTGTCATGTTTATTGCACGTTTCTCGTACGTGAGGGCCGTGTCTAGACACCTGCCCGCTTGCTCATAGCGCTAGACGCTCTGGACTTTGCGATCCTAGCCAAGTCGATTTACTTTCTGGGACCGCCGCAGATCATGCGCACGAATTCGTTGTTCCCCACTGCAAGGGTCATCCGGCTTGTAGCAGACGATGTCTGAACACTCCAGTCTCCCGAGGCCAACGCCGCTGGCCCTACTGTGATCAACCCTTCCAAGCCATCTATGGGAAAGACACAGACCGTTCCTAGGTCATCATTTTGCCTTCTGTGCCTGGTTTGCAGCCTCTGTACCAGTCCGTTAGTAAAACAAACAATATTGGCGGAAGCGTATCGTGTCGTTGGGGGAACTTACCTCTCCGTGTGGCGTCCTCCAGCAGCGTGACGTCCACGGCGTTGTGCGGCAGGTGCACGTATCTCACAACAGAGCCTCGGATGAAGACATTCTTGACGGAACTCTAGGGGTACAAATGCTAGTCAGCTGGTGATCCGTAGAACATTTCAAAATTTGAATCGCGAGTTCCCCTTGTCACAGTCTAACCAGTGGTTCTTTGTCCAATAAGGGGGAGGGCGGGGAAAAGCACCCAAGGGGAGGGGAGATCGGCCCAAGAGATGCGACAGGAGGCGTGGCTACTTACCAGGTGAGGGTACTTCAGGTCGTCGAGGACTGAGATGTCGTCGAGCTTGATGTTGAGGTACTGGTCGACGCTCTTGAGGGTGCCGCGGATCTGGATGTCGTTCTTGAGCTCGACGGTCACCTGGTTGTCGATGAGGGTCTTGAAGAAGCTGTTCCGCAACCGTTCGTCAGCGCTGGGCTCACACATCCCGACATGCCTGCATTTCTTCCGCGTCCTTTCTCGACCGCCCGCAACCACGTGATGGATGATGCCATGTGCCTGCCTTGTGAACTCCTCTGCGGTGGCAGCGCCACCATGCGAGGAGCTCCCATCCACGAGTCGATGCCACATCGGTTACTTGCAAAAGCCCGTCGGGCCCTCGCGAGGCGGTCCCTCCCCATGGCCTCTCACGTCCACCTGTATGGTGGGGAATCGGGATATAGACTCAAAGCAGTCATGCCATCGCGGGTCATCGAGGGCAGGTTACGCGGCCACACGCACGAAGTTGCTTCGCAGAATCAGTGATTCTCAATCGAACGTACCTGAAGAAAAGCATTTTTGCATTTGGGGTTCTGCTTGCTTTCCGGGAATGGTGTGGTTCTTGAGTTCGAGATGCGGCTCCGGAGACCATAGGGAAGTTCTGATGGAGGCGCGACACCCAAAAGCGGCCAACCAGTCACGTGATCCGTGCGAATTGCCCAAGTCCCCTACAATCTACCCGACCCAGCCCAGCCTCTGCTGTAGACTGGGTAATTAACCAAGCATCAAGTGCATGGCCATCTCTCTGTTCATTGTGTTCACGCCGCATATCTCCTTCGAATCTACACGTCACTGTCGCATCTAGCAACCCAAAGATACTTGCAGCAGGATTGAGCCGCATGTGCCCAAAGCCCAAGCGATGTGAGCTCACTGGACCATTCTGCGAGATAGTTTCAGGGTGTTTCAATGCTCAAAGTTCCAATTCTAATTCAGTGGGATCATGCCTCTGCATTTGAAAGGAAGCCAATCATTTTTAATAGGAGATGTGTATTTCTGCCGTGTATTTGCTCCAAAATCCGGCGACGGATCACCTAGGAAGTCTCTATGTTCTTCCCAAAACCAAAATCCAACGAATCAGATTTGCGTGTCGTCAACTTTCTTTTCCAATTTGGGTAATTGTTTCTGTTTGCTGTTTTCTTGGTAGCTCCTCGTCGAGTCTACCCATACATCCACCACCACCTCCTCCGACGCAATGTTGGTAGCCGGACCCATGCGCATAAAGTGAAAAAAAAAGGGGGGGGGGGGGGGTGGGGGTCATTTCAACATAGTGAACACGAAGTGAAGTCAATTCAAAAGGCACATTGCCTCCAAGGGAAAATGGCAAAGTTGGGGGGGTATCCTTCCATAATCTCGTGTCATTCCATGCATTCTTTCCCGTCCGATGATCCCTGGCCAATCCGTCCTATCAAACAGTGCCGAAAATGCATTCGCAAATTAGAAAGAACGAGAACTTATCGCGTGGGCGATGTTGGAAACTTTAGGAGAGACGTTTGAGAGCGAGTGTCCTGGCGCCCTCCCCTGATGTGATGCACTTGAACCCCCCTGGAGAATATCGAACTGATCCGATCCACTGTGCTCGACACTCCGGATGGGCAAGACGAAGACAAAGAAAGCAACGCTTCGCTCCACCATGCCGCCGTTGTCCGTCAAAAATAGACGCGAATAAACATGTAAAGGCCTTAGATTGAAAAAGGTATAGGTGCTGAATCAGAATCGTCGTAACTCGTAGCATCGGACAAATTAGAAGAGTGTGTAGCAGGACGCTCAGCGTTCAGCTGTCTCCCTCGGCATCTTCATCGTCGTCATCCTCCGGAGTCGTCTCTTCCGTCTTCGCTTTCTTGTTCGACGCGCTGGATTGGGCATCTGACTTTCTCTTAGTACCCGCCTGAGCGGACACCTCTTCATCGTCCTTACCCTCGGAGCCTTTGCCCTTCTCAATCTCCGCCACTTCCTCCGCCGTCAGGAAACGACCGCCGGGCCCTCTTGGCCTCCGCATAGCATGGTTGTGCCTGGATTCGTGGAGGTAAGGCTTCCGACCCTTACTCGTCAGCCTCAACGCCTCTTCCAACCGCTGGCGCGCCACTCGTCGTTTGAGAATGCGGTGGAACTGCTTCGCGTTGACATACAGGGGCGATTCTTCGGCGCCTGCTGGCATCTCGGGCGATTGAGGCTGCGGCATAGCTTGTGTGGGAGGCATCGGCGGCGGGATTGCTGACCGTGGACCGTGGTTCAGCATGGGCGCATTCGGAACACCGGGGCTCGTGACTTGGCTCAGTCTCCGCGCCTGACTCAACTGCTGCGGGGACCGAGGCCCATGGGCATCCTTCTTTGCGTTGACCCCTGAGCCCAGGCGCGGTGAGCTCTGCGTCAGGCTGGGGTCCGAGGACATGTAGTTACTATATCCTGTGCCACCGGCGGCGGCAGCAGTTGCAGCCATGGCGGCGGCCTGGATCCCAGGCACGCCATAGTGCATGTTCTGCTGCGGCACGCTGTACTGCGTCTGATACATGTTGTGACCTTGATTTGACGCAGATGGCTGATGCTGTGTGGGCAGGATGGGAGATGTCTGCACGCCGTGCTGATGTATGTTGTGGCTTGAGGGGGACGTGATGGTATTTCCAGTGTTCGAATTGGTGTAACCTGATTGGATATGCCCTTGCGAATGCGCCGATTGTGGTGGTTGCTGGTATTGGGCGTAGTCCATCATATCGGGAACGGGATGCGCGGGGGCGGTGGGGTTGGTGGTAGTACCAAAGGTCGATGTCTCTGTCGTGCAATACGGATCAGAAACACTCGGCCAGGGTTTACAAGGTCGTCTTTGCAAGCAATGCGAAGGCCGGGTATGGGTATAAGAGAGACTGTCGCGAGACCGATGTAAGCTGCTGCTTGACGTCGCCGAGATGGGAGATAAAAGGCCCCAAGGTTGGCCTGCAGAGTTGGGCACACGCGTTGGGACGGGGTTTCGTCACTCAGGTAGCCGCGAAGCAGGCTGGATGTGCAGCCAATCTATTGGTTATGCGCGGATGAGCTGGCAGTCGTTGAGGTGGTAGGTGCACAGCGCAAGTGGCCGCACCACGGCATATGCGAGACGATGTAAGCTTGTCGCGGGGCGGATGTGGCTCAGTCTTGCTGGACTGGGCTCGTAGGATCAGCCTGCGTGCAACTGCAAGAGCCACGTGAGAAAGCTGCGAACGCGACGGCGAGGCTCTCCAGTCCTCGGGCGCGCCTGCAATAAGGGTTTCTGCGCGGGTGGATAGTCTGGCGAAACAGCGTCGAGTGAGTTTCCCCAGAGCTATTCTAACGGGCTGTTTGAATGTGGAGATCTATCCAACCAAAGACATTAGAATCGCTGGATTAAGTATAAAGAAAAGGCTCGGGTGATGTGAGGGGGTGCGACGGGGGTGGGAGGGTGCCCATTTTCGCGCCTTGAGCCACCATTTGATGCGCTGGCATGCATGACGGAATATGCACGAGCTAGGCCCCACTCGACGACCAGCTCAGCGACAAGAGAGAGCCAACTGGTCGCCGGTGGCGGCGCAGGGCAAGGCAGCGCACTGCAAGCAAGGCAAGGCAGGTGTGCCCAGCGCATTGCTCTGGGCTACAGGGCCTGGAGGCGACTGCTTCAAGATACCCTGCACGGTGGCGGGCTTTCGCTCCAGCGTTTGATGGCAGGCCCCAGGCACACAGATGATGGGAGAGGGCTGGTGACGAGTCCGCTGTACACCACAGCACCTAGGTATGCAGTCCTCACACCTGCGCGCACCCACAGGGGTAACTCTCGTCTGGGACGTCAAGTGGGGAACTAACCGCCGTAAGGGCACACAGTGGGTGTGCGCGAAAAGGGACAAAGTGTAGAAATAGGCAATGCCCGAGGGCAAAATGCACCGAAAGGATGGTGTCGGGGGCACGAATGTGCAAGGCCAGGCGACGGTTCACCCGATCTTCGCACCCACCCCAGTGTCAGAGGTGATGGTAGGGTAGTGCCGATGGTGGGTGGATGTATCGTTGCAGATGGGCAGATGGGGCAGTTGTAGGGGCTTCAGAGACTCGGAGCGAGAAAAGCATTGCGTACCTTGTCAGAAAACCAAGCGGTTGGGAGAATGCACGTCAAGTAGTGTGCACACCTTGCCAGACGGGCGGAAGCGCAAACTGCTTCACAAAGATACTGTCAGTATCTATCGGGAAGCTTGCGCCAGGAGCACTTTCTCGTGGGCCACGACGTCAATAGTGAATCGCAAAGCGACGCAGTGCGGGAGATATACAAAGAAAGATGGAGCCGGTGAGAGCACCGTGGTTCCAATGCTGAGACAATAGCTGGCAGTACCTATAGCACCGCAAAGGATGGTGGCTCGGGATTCGGCGAAAGAGGCAGTTTGGTTGCAGCGACGAAACGGGTGCAACTTACCAAAGCTTGACAATGAGGTCACGCGTCGCGGTCCCTCGGTCCTGAAAGCTTTCGGCAAGCGACGACGACGACGATAGTCGACGCGTCCTCTGGTTTGAGTGTTTTGTTGAGTTGGTCAATAGTCGTCCGCAGACGGCCTTTGTCACCTGATGAGGTTTCTAAGCCAATAGCGACTTTGAAACGCGTTGTGGCGACGATGATAGGCCTTTTGAGAGTTTGGCGATACTATGGGGGTTTGACGAGTGCGTGTAGAGTCGCTGATTTGCTGTTCGGGCAGTTTTCTTGGTCTGTCCTTTGCGACAAGTCTCTGAGTGGCTGGGTGTGTTCGGGGGGGACCCTCCAGCGTCACCGGGGTAAGCTAGGTGGGAGCGACGTTTGACAAAGGGCGGCGTGGTGCGAGGAAGGATGCTGTTGTGCACCGTGTCACGCTCCCTTTCTGATGCTATGAGGGGACTATGCGCGCAACGCAACGGCGTTGTTGAGACGAAAGGTTAGGGCAACGCGACTGTGGTGAATGAAGCTCAAGCTCTGCAGTTCAGGGCTTCTCGCATACACAGCCCAGATGCCGGGTGAGGAAGAGTGCTGGAATTGACTTTGAATGGCTGACTGTTCGTGTGCCTGGTCCCGGGCAATGGAACCGAATCAGAGGTCAGGACAAAGCCTGGATAGTCGCAGCGCAGCGCAGCGCGTGTGCAGTTGCGGAGCGGATAAATTTAGTGACGGCGGCAGCGGTCGATGTGATTTGATGGACGAGGCCGTGGTCTGCGACGTCTGAATCCCAAGAGGCGGTTTGCCAAATAGAAAAGCGCGGGCAGAGGGGGATGACAACTGATTCGATGATTCTTGGTCGACGGTGGACCGAGAGGGGATTGATTGGTGAAAAATGGCAGAAGCGAGTCAAAGGGCGAGGAAGGAGCAGACAAGAGGTGTTTTAATGGGGCGCCGCCAGTGACTAATGGGCTAATCAGCGAGCAGGCGCGAAAACTGCTGTGGGTCGGCCCTTTCAATTCTTTTCCAAGGTCCAAAACCTCTCCCGGCGCTGGCAGCTGGGGGCCCTGGACTGTGCTCTGGCGATCGGCTTCGGGCTGGAGGCTTTTCCCTGCTCGGCCTGATGATGACCGCCCGCTTATTAACTACTGTGCACTATGTATAATGGCATGTATGGGGGGCCAGGGTTGGCGTTCCCCAGCCTTGTTGTGTACTCGCTCTGCCGGCACTCGTGGCTAGGACCTGGAACTGCTCTCTCTCCACGCCAGATTCTCCGCGCCGCATTGAGCGCTTGATGACAAGACAGCCTTCAATGAAGGGGTGCGGGAGAAGATACAACGTCGGTGGCTGGGGGTGAGGTTTGATCGAGCCACCCCTTGCCAGTCTTCCCTTCCCTCGACACGACCAAGACGATCGTTCGCTCCGGTACGAGCCCATCTTGGGCGGGAGCACTCAACGCCAGACGTGCAGCCGGGGTCGCTGGAGAAGAGCGCCGGCAGGGATGCTGTGGTGCCCAGCGCGTGCGCGAACGACTCCGGCACAGTACGCCTTGCGGCAAGTGCTGGTCTGCAAGCGTCCTTCTTTTGGCGCCCTTTCTTCCGTCGAGGGGACGGGTCTAGTCCTTTTCGGCGGGCGGCGGGGTGGTCGGGAGCTGTTCACTGACAGGGGTGGCGGCCGGGTGGTAAGAATCAGCGTGCCTTCACAGACGGCAGGCAGCCAAGGCAATCTCTTAACGCGCCTACATTATTTCCCAGAACTCATCGATCTCTGGCTTCCACTCGGTTCATGCGAAATGACCCAACTAGGACCTCAGCACCCAGAGCCGTACTCTCCTCTGTCCAGCTCAGAGCTCACAGTGCCGCAGATACGAAGCGCGTCGGAGCCGGATCCCTCCGGCCTTTACGTACAGCTAAGTCTGCTAGTGTTTTAGCACCAGCCAGCCTCTAAATTTAGACGGTACCATAGTACAGTCTCTACACCGTTTCGGGATCTGCGACGCGGTGAGCTGGAGAAAGAGGTTGGGATCTCTCAGCCCTCTGTAATATGTAAGACCAGATTGTGCTCGGAAAGTGAACTTCTGGAAACTCAAAAGGGCAGCACACCGCCTGCGAGTTGTTTCCTTTCCAGGCCTCGGTGGCGAGCTCGTCAGCGCGCCTTCTCCCTGCGGAGTCATGTGACATCACATTATGTAAAACAGGATATGCACTGTGCTGGGACGGGATGAATTGAGAACGGAGAGGCGCCAGCTAGGGGTGGCCCGATATGGACAGCCGCTGGGAATGCATCATTCAGACGGTGAAGGACAGCGAAGTTTGCGAGGCGGGGTCCTCGACGGATAGGTATCAGACCCAAGCCCTGGGGCAAAGCAACGCTCGCACATGAGTTGAATGGCAAAAGTCGGTGTAACCAGTCTGGCGGCGGCCATGATGAATCTGCCGACGCAGGCAAGGCAGGCTGCGACAGCTAGTGCTGTGCGTATCCGATGCCACGGTTTCGAGAAAAGAAAAGATAGAGAGACTCGCTGCTGCGACAGCGTTCAGACGGATGTCTACGTGATACACTGATCAATGCTTTTGAGTGGTCAAAAATCCATGGGTTTTTGGTCTGGAAAGATTCTGTGACTGGCCAGAATTCATCCATTTTCAACGACTCAGAGTAGTTCAGTGGTCCTCTCGTGGTCACGCTCAGTTGGGTTGGGCTGATCTGCCAGGGTTGCTGGGCTCCATCGGTCGACTGGGGGCTGAGAGGAGCGGCCATTGAAACGACCTGCATCGAGGCACCGTATCACGAGAACGCCCAGTAAACGCCGTGATGGTTCCATCGACCTGTGCCTCTCTGCCTCCCTGCCTCGCTATAGCTCCCGTCATGTTTCTGCCTACAGCCTACCCACTCAGGCAGGCTGCGCATCGATATTCCTTGTCATAATCCACGCCGATCACCGAAGTGGCATCCCCAGCTGAACGACGATGAAGCAGAAGGATGCTCTTGTAAAGGCAACGCCAAGCCATTCTCTGCGCGCTCCAAACTCAAATCACAGGTCTGCCTTGGCTTATTCCGCTGTCGGAACACGTCCCGGAATATTCCATCAGCTGATAAAGTCGATCTATTGCCGTCAGGAGCATTGTCATCACATCCGCTCATTTCGCTGCACAAGCCATATGGTATGTCGTCGTTAGTTATTTCGTAGGCACCTCGATACGCCCAGTCTAGATCACGTTTCAAAACACACTTTGAACCATCTGTTATCAAACGCTGGGCCCATTTATTTCCTAATATTGCAAAGAGCTCATCCCGACAACCCAGGAGCTGTCTGGCGAATCAGACGTTGGAACTGGGGTTCTGGCTTTTGATTCGGCCTCGCACTATTTCATCCCATTACATAGCTTCAGTGCCGATGTCATAGCTTAACCCCTTGCACGCGCGCTTAAGCATGTTTCTCGTACCTGGACGGAGTTGAACAGGAGAAAGCACGAGCATCGGTGACTATTCTGCAAACGTAACGATGTATGATCGTTCGTGCTGTGATTGGATTTGAGCCAGTGTCAACACGCCATGTTATCACAAAACGCAGGGACTTACCACAGCGGTGGCTGAGCCGTAGTATGATTGACATTACTCAGCTTCGCTGATGCCTTCGAGCTCGCTGTTAACCTGCTGTTCTGGGGAAGAAGTCTGTTTAGTCTGATGATACCTTTGAACATGTTGTTCTCGTTCTTAATCCGAGTGAGGTGTGCTGCGTCTGATGGACCACGAGGCTGTACTATCTCAACAGTGACAAGTACTATGGGACATCTTGGATTGAGAACCAGTTTAGGCTTTATAGAAAATCGTGAAGCATGTTTGATGCTGTGCTTCATCACCACTGCATGGCCTAAGATATGCTGGATTTTGGTATTTGTGTAGATGGTACGAAGGCTTTGCTCCTTTGGAGAACTCATCAAGCAAGGCATAACATGAGACTGTCTACAACTCAGCGGGCACGAGGCTGCTGTAGAGCTGTCAGAACCTTCCTTACAGATTTATTCGTTCAATGGAGTGTTAACGAATTGCGCTACATACATAGAACTCGTCATCATGAGTTGCCGGATATATTCAATATAGTGTTATCTGGTGGTTTGAAAAAAAAAAAAAAGAAAGAATAAAATAAAAAAAGCGCCTGCCTTGACCCTAGACTACAGCGTGGCTCTCGAGTAATTCGCTTCTCTGAGACATTTTCCTAACTTGAATTTAGTGAGGAGGGCACTAGAGAAGACGTCACAAAGTCAGTATGAGTACTTCCAAGTATCGAAGGTATCGGGAACAATAATCCAACTGTGGAAGGTTGTTTTTAATATCTTGAGTCGTCGTCTCTAGGACTCTTAAAACCAACGATCGTAGCTGGGTTACGCAGTATGCATTGTTCGATTTTATGTATTTACATGCTAATGACCCTGTGGGCTTCCTCAGTGGGAACAACGCGATGAATGCCGATAGCTCGCGGTTCGGAACAACAGAGCGCTTTCTGCCACGTCCCACAAATATTCGTCAGAATAGCGGTGTTTTCCTCAGAAATCTACCAGACCAGTTATTTAATCTTGAAAGTAGTGTCAGAAAATACCCCCCTACTTCTGTACGTAATACAGCCTGCATGATCACGGCATCTAGGACTAGTTTGAGGCGTATATGTTGGTCATGCTTTGGCAGGTTATACCGTTCGCTGCCTCAAGGGGGACTGATCTTGAGCTTCATTTCGCACAGGTTATGTGTTCAACTCAGGCAAGCATTGTATACGTACAAGGTATTATCTCCTGAGAACAAGGGAAAATAAACCGAACTCATAGGTTAATAGAATAGAGAACATACGCCTTCAATTAACTCACATATTGTAACACTCCCCGTAGTTCCTTATCACATTACATTAAGTAGTCACCCGGGCGAGTCTCACATTCCGAGCCATTCTTCTTCCGCACAACTACCGGAAGAATGGCTGGGTGTACTCCACAGAAATAAAGACCCGATGCTCGTGTTAGAGCGTAATACTCAACGATTAGGCGTCGTAGTGGCTCTATGGTTCCCTTGCCCATTACGCCGACATAGAATCTAGAGTGTTGATATCTTAACCTTTGACTACATCTATCTCACGTCTACACCTTCATTTTACTTCGTCCTGTTCCCCGATGTAACAATGAGCGAAGGAATGAAAGATTGATTTGTCTGTTTGCTGTTTGTTCCAGAGGGCGAAGCAAGAACCAAATTATACCAACTTAGCACCTTTAAGCCTTGCGATAATGGGCCCGTTCATCATCATGGCAACTTAACCAACATAGTACTTCGACTTCTACTTGCCGCAAAGATTAAGCTTGCCACATATCTCGTAAGCAGACGGATGTCTAATGGTACAGAAACAAACAATATTGGACTAGAGCCGTGGATGTCGGAGTATTCGCTGGTCCATGTATCCGTAGATGTGTACCATTAGCTGTCATCCTCTACGGTACCATGGGGATCACCGTTACTCAATGCATCAACGGGCAACTGCTCTCGTATTGTTGGAAGTCTGTAGCCCAGGTTACTTCAGATATGGACCTATAGAACTGCTGAGTAAGGTACATCAGGAGGTGAGATGCTGTTTCAATCCATGTACGTAATTTGGTCCATCTTTCTCAGACGTAACAGTTCCAACTATATTACCTGGAATAGTGAGGAATTCTCACCGATTCATCCAAGTCGAGCACATGGAATACAATTTCCTTGAACCTCACCCTCCCCTCTTGAACCCCACTAAGAATATGTCATCCCCTGCAGGAACGTCACTGAGCTAAGGGCGACGATTGACTCCGGTCTAGTGCCACACATCGTTCGTCGTCTCCATTCGACACCAGTTCCGGGTCCGGCGCGGACGAGTAGGCAGTTGTTCATCAGATACCGAGCCGCTATCCAGCAAATTGACAGGAATGGTCCAAATTGACTTGCTGGGGATTCAAACCCACTGACTAGAGCAAATGTGTACAGTTTGGGGCGCAACGCTGCAACACACTGTAGTAACCCACACGCAAGGTTCTATTAGAGATTCAGTACGAGGCACTCGTGCAGGAGACAACGGGTACCGCGGATGAGCCGCAGTGTAGGAAGGCGTGAGTCTTGAAGCGGGGATATAACAGTACGGCCTATCCAGCGCCAGAGGCCGATGCTGGGCTGAAAACTACTGGGAGAGCCTACCCAAGCACAAAACAACGTATTATTATAGGTCCAGAGAAAGCCACATTGCGAACGTCAGAAGACTCAGCAGCGATGACATGATTCCAAGTATATTGAGAAAATAATGCCTGTCGGCGAAATATTGTGAGTTGTACAGCGTGCCTGTCATTCCTTATATTTAATTATCATGTAGTCTGTACCTCGACTATGTATCATTCATTGCTCGCTTTTCTGAACGCCCAAGATCAAAAACAAGGTATCGTAACGCCTGAACACCCGTGCCCTCGCTGCTTATGCTCGGCAATCTTCATGATGCGAATGCATCCGTGGAAGACCATGCAGGCCCGCGTCAACTGAATTCGTTGACGCTTCCCTCAACTTGATTTACTTTTCCGAGATCTCGTTATCATCTTGCACAGCCGTGTGGTCACTGCCCTTGGCCGAGGACACTTCATGCGAACCCTTCTCCTTCTTTGAGCTCAAGATTCCACCGTTGGAAGGTGCGACACCGCGGAAGTAGCTGTGGATCTCCTCAGTCAGATCCTCATCATCGTCAAGAATGTCTGCCTGCTCAGGGTCTTCCTTGGCGGCTTGCTTGTCCTGCCAGTCGGCCTTGATGTCCCGGATCTTAGCCTTAAGGTCAAAGTCGGGGTGGTACGACTTGCCAACACCCAACCATCTCTCCCACATGGACAAATGGGCCGGGTGCACGGCGATACCGTGGTATTCGTCATCACGACCCTCGAGAATGTACTGCCATCGACGCTCCTGCTCCTTAAGATCAAGGCCGGTGGTGTCTGGAAGCCAAAGCCAGGTCATGAGCATACCAGCAAGACCGAACCAGGGTACGACGTAGAACTTGGTCTGGTTGTCGATGTAGTTGTAGAGTACCGAAGCCAGCAGGGCGCCAGCCTTGCCAATGCAAGCTGAGAAACCGTGGGCACTGGCTCGGATCTGGGTGGGAAAGACCTCTCCGGCAACAAGGAAGGTAACCGAGTTGGGGCCAAACTGGTTGAAGAACGACGACAAAAAGTACATGGCCATGAAGGAGTGAACGCCTGCATCGCTGGTGTAGTACTTGTAGTTGAAAGCTGGGATGACGAACATGATGAAGCACATCAGGAATCCGACTTGCTGCATCATCTTACGTCCATACATCTTGTTGTCAATCAGCATGGACGCAGCGTAGTAACCGGCGAGGGAGACGACAACGTTGACGAGATTCCAGGTCCAGGTCGTCATGACCGAGGAAGGGTTGTTGGAGACCAGGTTGATAAATTGTCCCTGGAACAGCTTGTTTCCATAGAAGAAAACGTCGTTGCAGAACCAGCCGCCGGCTGTGGCGACGATTCTACCTCCAAAGTTCTTGAAGGTCATCTTCATCGACTTGACATCGTAGCCGGTGACATTGGCCTTCTTCTTGGCCTGATCAAGCTTCTTGCCGGCGGCCTTCATCTTCCAAGTACGGTAGTAGACAAGCCACAAGGTTCCAATGCAGGGGATAGCGAATTGGAGGCGGAAGACCCATTGGGTGGCCGTCTCGCTGTAGGGTGGGTTGCCGTAGCCTCGGTTGAAGATGAACATGAGAACGATCAGGATGACCTGGTTGACAAATTGACCCCAACCCTGCATCAGGAACGCCATTGTGACCTTGCGACCACGGTGGAGACGGTCGTCGCGAGTCGAGAGCTTGCCAGCAGACACAGCATTTTCCATGGAAGATGTTGCGGTGATGGGATACTCTCCACCGACGCCAAGACCGTAGATGAACAAGGACCATCCGTAGCAGATGATCCAGCCTTGAAGCGTGAGGCCCCACGAGCCAGTGAGAAGGACCAGACCAATGAACATGATCAATGCGTCTTGGATGAGACCCCATCGTCGACCAACCCAGTCACCGATGATCTGCAGTAGATGCGCCCGTTAGCAATAGTCCTTGATATGGTGGGGTCGACAATAATAGGAGGAATCACTTACACCAACGCCAACCTGTCCAACCATGATGCCGATAACCTCAAGGTAGGTGACGGATGCGACCCAGTTCTTACTGCACACTGTGGCATGACCCCAACATTCGGGCCAGACGGATTTGAACAGAGGCTCGAGATTGCCGATAGAGAATAGCACGTAGCCCTCGAGGCCAAGTCCGGCACCGGGCAGTATAGCATTGCGCCAGTACCAACCCAGTGGGCTCAAGGGATCGTTCTTGACCATGGCCCAGATGTTGCTCATTTCCGTCTTGGACTCGGCCCTGTCAACCGCGCTCACAAAGGACCATCTTTTCCAAAAAGGGAGGTCGGCCCAGTACACGCCCTCGGACGTGTAGGAATCGTCGGGTTGTGTGATGTGCTTGAAGATTTCCTTTTCGTAGTCCGTGGCGGGCGGTACGGTTGGGTAGTGCTCGTGTTCATTGCCAGTCTCAGGTCCATGAGGAACCGGGATCTCGCCAATGGGCGGATCATGCTCATGATGGCGGCGGAAGACAGTAGACATAGTGTCTTGGTCTTCGAAGGACGACAAAAGCGGCGGAAGAAACAATAAGCAAATACTTAATATGGGCAGCGGGCAGCGTTTAGCGAAAGGGTGGTACCTTTCGTTAAGGCTGCGGGCTGGGACGGATTAAGTTTCGCTGAGTGTGACGACGGTTGGGTGGTGGAACCGAACCGCACCTTCAGAAACTGTGGTTGTTCCTGGAAGTGAAGAGTGAGGGAGAAGGCATATGGTTCTCGGATTTGCGAGTATCTAAGATACTTAAGAAAATGGAAACTGGGACCCTGTCGTGCCCAGGTGGTGAACAGAAGCGGGCCGGGGGCCAGTATAGCGCGGAAGGCGAGCGTCTGAAAAACTTCGCGATCGAGCTCGCGCCAATCCGGGCACAGGGATTCATGCAATCACCACAGCATACTACACACGACAACCCAGGTATCCCCCACAAAAACGGCCACTACCGAGTGGAGTGCCTGGTCTTGGCGAATGGTTGCCCCCGATTCGACATCGTGCTGCTATGCTTGATTCTCAAGCGGACAGGACGTGGGTGAGCAGCAACGTTAAAACAGTCCCCCTCGGCCAGGAAAACCTGGTCGAAGCCCCTTCGAGCTGCGTCCCCCGACGTCAGCACTCGGGGCGGCTCAGATTCACAAGCAGGCCTGGGACCTGAGGCCATGGGAGCTCTCCGTGGACGCCGAGTAACGTCTCACAAGCCACGATCCACGGTCGTTTCGCAGATGGCCGCGAGTGGGGGGACTATGTCGGGCGAAGCTTGAATATGACGAGCCGCATACCAAGGGGATGCCGAGAAGGGAAGGGAGAATAGAGATCTGTGGCCAATCAGACACAAGAACAGCACCACGTGTGGTCGACAATTGGTTCCTGGCGAGTCGGGAAATGTCAGTGCTAGAGCGCGGCGGAGGATGGGGCTAGTCATGAGGGCAGCGGTCCATCCGCCGCCCATCGGTGCCGCTTTTCATGGGTTGAAGGAGACGATCTGTGGTGTCGACGCTGCGAGGTGCCCCAGAGGCTCCAGAGGCCCCAGAGGCACACAGGCGTGGATGTGGTTGGGTGACATCACCTGGCCTCACCCCGCCTGCCCGCCGCTAACACAGCGCCCAGCCGAGCGCCCAGTGCCACCCACGCGGCTTGTGTGCCCCCTTTCAAGCCTTTGGCGACCTTGGCCTGCTTGGCTGCAGTCTCGGCTGGTGCTTGACCTGCTTGGCCGCAAATCCACACACACTACAGCGCTCAAATTTTCATCAATCAGGAAAGTGGTCGCGTGCTCACATTGACACGATGGTCTGCAAAGGAAAAATGGTATAACGTCCAAGTATCAACCTCAAACCGTCCTGCAGAGGCCACATGTGTGCGCCTGCACACCGGACGACGGAGTATCCAGCACAGCCTGCATGGACTAGCGGATGGCCAATGAATGCTCCATTGCCTCCATCCCCTTTTGGACGTGCAAGAAAGATGGGTTTCCCATCCGACTCGGCCAATTAGTGGAGGTATCGCGGTGGCCAGCTGCAGGGACTCGCGAGACTCGCCCTCCCCCAACCGCCTGGACCCTGAACAGGCCCCAGAAATCGACTGATGAGCTGATGAGGGCCGCGCCCAGATACGAATCTAGACACCGAGACACACCCACAACCGCTGCGCTGGCCAGCTGAATTGGTAAGTGTGCGGTAGCTTAGGCCCGTCTCTGCCGCAGTTTTCCCCATGGGTAGCCGAGGTTCCCCTGCCGCCCAAGTGAGAACTGTTAGCACTTTCGCACCAGGCGGGCACGCAACGCAGTTGGCGAGGCGGAAGTCGGAGTCTGCCCGTAGTTAGGTGCTCTGGTGGCAGAGACGGAGGACCCGCGACCAGCCGCTCCATGGTTTGCAACTTCTGGCTCCCCTGCCAGATTGTGCTCCTATAGACGTGGGCGGATGGGAAGGACAAGCCCATATCACACATCTTGCATCATCAGCTCGACCAACCCATTTTTTGTTCGGTTTGGCGGCCAAGGATTGTCTTGATTGTTTTCTGGTTCTGTTCGAGCTATTGTGCACTAGAGGAACGTGCACACATCAATACATCACAAATCTGGGGCTGACACTCAGTGAGATCTGCGCACGACCTACGCTTGCCCATTGTTGCATTTACCCGAATTGCCGAGTGGTACATTACACATCTCTGTAACTAATAATTACCTGAAGTGTAGTGCAGTAATTTCCTTGGCTGCTTGGTCAGCCACCGGAGATCCGTCGTCCTGGCCACGACAATGTGAGCACTTGGTGTTTAGAGATATGCATGCAACTGTCGTACTTGTATACCTAACGAGGTACCTATATTAAGGCATCCAGATCAGTTTATTGCTTCCTTTCGCCGCGTCCTGCAAATTGGTAGTAATATCATTGGCCAAAATGGACGCAATAAAGGTTATGGAAGGCCAATCCTTGTGGATCTGTATGCACAGCAATGGAGCTATACTAAATCGCTGTCTTACTCATGGGCAAAGTTGGTTCAGTGTCTCCATGTTTCAACGAGCGATCTATAGGTGACATCGGAATATGAACTTCAGAACACGAGTTCGCAGCCATCAATTGCCGACATTCAATCTTGCATCAGATGCTGGTCGCCAAGAGGGCGAGAATCCTCTTCGACGGAATAAATCGGAGACAAAACACTCATCCAGAAAAAGCAATCTTGTTAGACAATTGATTGGCAGCAGGAGTTCAGAAAAAGGAATCAGTCACGTTGTACCAAGATGACTTCTTAATTGAGCACGTGATGTCGCGTAGCGCTTAGCCGCGTCCCTATCGACTCCACGCGCGTCCCAAGCTCCATCCCTCGACATCACCACTTCAATCCGAGACCGCATTCATCGCCCGCCCGTCCGTGACGCCGTCGTGGCACTAGCAACCAGGATATCGAGCCGAGCCCATCGGCTAGGTCATACACACAAGAGACACAATGCCTCGCCAATCCCCGCGCAAGCGCACGACTGTGGTATCCAAGACTGAGATCAAGACCGAAGCGCCCACGCCGAGCACCAACGGCGCCGCCAGGGCCGTGAAGAAGACCACCACGAAGCGCAAGGTCGAGGCCGTCGTGGAAGACGAAGAGGAAGAGGAGGAGCAGGACGTCAAGGCCGAAACCAAGGCCGCCACGACCACCACCGCCACCAAGAAGCGCAAGACCACGGCCAAGGCCAAACCCGAGGACGCCATGCCGCTCGCGCCGCGCACGGCGGTGGCCTCGCTGCAGAAGGCCATGCACATCGGGGCGCACGTGTCGAGCGCCGGCGGCGTGCAGAACAGCGTCACCAACGCGGTGCACATCGGGGCCAACGCCTTCGCGCTGTTCCTCAAGTCGCAGCGCAAGTGGGCCAACCCGCCGCTGGCGCCTGAGGCTATCCAGGCCTTCCACGCCTGCACCAAGCAGCACGGCTGGGCCGTCGACAAGCACTGCGTGCCGCACGGCTCGTACCTCGTCAACCTGGCCGCCGCCGAGCGCGCCAAGGCCGACCAAGCCTACGACGCCTTCCTCGATGACCTGCGCCGCTGCGAGCAGCTCGGCATCCGCCTGTACAACTTCCACCCGGGCAACACCAACGGCGAGGCGCGCGCCGAGGCCGTGGGCCGCATCGCCGCCCAGCTCAACAAGGCCCACAAGGCCACCAGCACCGTCGTCACGGTGCTGGAGAACATGGCCGGCCAGGGCAACGTGGTGGGTTCGACGTGGGAGGACCTGCGCGACATCATCGCGCTGGTGGAGGACAAGAGCCGGGTCGGCGTGTGCATCGACACGTGCCACGCCTTCGCGGCGGGCTACGACCTGCGCAGCCCCGAGGCGTTCCGGGACACGGTAGGGCGGTTCAACGACGTGGTCGGGGCCGGGTACCTGCGCGCGTTCCACATCAACGACAGCAAGGCGCCGCTGGGCTCGCACCGCGACCTGCACGCCAACATCGGCACGGGGTTCCTGGGCCTGCGCGCCTTCCACAACGTTGTGAACCACGATGCCTTCGCCGGCCTGCCCATGGTCCTCGAGACGCCCATCGACCGCAAGGGCCCCGACGGCAAGACGGTCGAGGACAAGCAGGTCTGGGCCGACGAGATCAAGCTGCTCGAGAGCCTGGTCGGCATGGACCCGGAGGGAGAGGAGTTCCAGGCGCTCGAGAAGAAGCTGCAGGCGCAGGGCGCGAGCGAGCGGAACAAGATCCAGGAGCAGGTCGATCGCAAGGCCGCGCAGGACGCGAAGAAGGGCACCAGGGGCAAAGCGGCCAAAGGCAAGAAGGGGAAGAAAAAGGCCGAGTCGGACGAGGAGAGCGGGTTAGATTAGGGGTTGAGCAAAGGGCAGGTCACACGAACCAAAAGGCGGTAAAAAAAAAGGGGGGGCCGAAGCGTTCAAAAGGTAAGAAAGAAGAAACTCAGTTTTGTGCAATTGGGGGTATGTAAAACTGAAATGTACAACAACCAACCACCAACGCCTCCTGTATACTATAGACTCGATGAGAGATCAGAGGATCCCCGCAACAGAGACAAAATTTCCATGATTCCAAGTCTCTGAGACCCAAGCTTTGCTTGCTGTGCTGCCAACGCCTGTTGTGTATGTGCAAAAGAAACTTCGGGCTCAATCATTCTATGTCCACTTCCCTGCCACGGTAGCAAAAAGTCCAAGTCACTCACTCCCTTTCCAGCTCGAGAGCCACTGCCCTCTATTCCCAGAATTCAGAATTCTTAGGTCGGCCGAATAGATACGGCATCTAGACTCCGCGCGAGCGGCGCGATCGCCGGGCGTCCTACTTCCGGTTTCGTGCGCTGGCGAAGCCCTCGACGCGGCCCATGAGGGCCTTGAGGCCGATGCCCTTCTCGCAGTTGGCCTCGAGCCAGGCCTCCATCTGCTCGCGCACGCGGCGCAGGCCGTTCATGACGGGCATACGGGCGCCATCCTCGCCGTCGACGAAGGAGCCCGGGTTGAGCAGGACGTCGAAGCAGGCGGCCCAGAGGTCCGTCTGCCAGTAGCGTTTGAGGCTCTCGCGGACGCGGTAGCGGCGGCCGGCTGCCGTGCCGAGGCCGCCCTGGTCGCAGCGGGCCGTCTCGATGTAGCGGCCGAACAGCAGGCAGTGCACGATGCCCGCCAGGCCGTGGTAGTCGATCTGCCAGGTCCAAGGTCGGCCCTCGCGCATCTCGGCGCAGTCGGCCGCCGTGGTCTTCCAATCGGCGATGAACTGCACATCCGGGTCGAAGGCGCGCATGTCGATGCCGCGCCCAAAGTCGATCATGACGATCCCGCGGGAGCTCCAGCCGCCGCTGCCATCAGCATGCCATTGGCTGCTCAGAGATTGATCACCGGCGAGAGAGTCCAGGCGGAGGAGACAGTTGTCCACCTTGAGGTCGCCGTGCAGAATCTGCTTCGAGTGCAGGGCCTCGACAGTGCGTAGCAGCTCGATAGTGAAGAACATGGCGAGGGGCTCATCCATGGCTTGGGAGGGCTGCTCGCGGAAGAAGTTGACAACATCTAGCAAGGTGCCATGAGGGTGATATTGCAAGAAGAGGAAGCCCTCGTCTTGGTATAGGTGCAATTCGTGCGCAGCGGAGATGCTGGCAGTTGCGCGGTGTTGAGGGCCGAGACGTGTAGCTGACAGGCGCATCATGTGGAATTCCCAAGCTGTCGGGGGCAACTCCATCTTCAATGCTTCCTGCGCGGCTCGAGACGTAGTGGCAAATGCGCCCTTACCCATCTCGATCAATGCCTCCTCTCCATCTTCTGCATGATCGTCGGGGCACGAGTTTTCCACGAGGTAGACAGGGGCGAAGGCACCAGCACCGAGTTCCCGCTTCAGTGTGTAGGTCGACTTGATCTCTGGAAACTCCAGAACAACAGGGGTGCCGATGCTGCTTCGGTCGTTGCCACTCTTGCCAGCCTTGGCCCCAGACTTGGAGAATCTGCGAACTTCTGCGCCACGGTTGCAGCGGCTGTCCCGATGGTCAAAGAAGCCTCGGTAGGCGTCCAAGGGAGGGTGCATGCTGTTTAAGATTTCTTCGCGAACTGCGGAGTCGACCGGGTTGCACTGTGCGTCCTTGATGATGGGACCTTTCTGGATGGTCTTGGCAGGTGCCGTGGCCGTCTTTTGCAATTTTGGCTGGGCGATTTTGACGGGGGAGCGATTATCGCCAAGAATCTCTCGCAGGGGGCTGCTGAGAGGCTCAAAATCTTCATCGTCCTCCTCTTCCTCGTCATCTTCCAATATTTGCGAAGACACCGGGGTGGCGGTATACCGCGACTTGGCTGCAGTGACGGTAAGTGACATCTCAGTCCGCTCTGTTATCGGCGTCATGAACGGGAGGCGATTGTTAGCCACCTCGACCGGGTCCCTATACGGCCGAGAGTTGGGAACATAATCCTCTGGCGGGATGGGTACAAACGTCGTCCAACCTTGGGGCGGTGCCTCATCCGTGGGCGTCTTGATGTCGCGACGTTCTCGGGGGTCGATTTCACCAGTAATTTGGCCAGAGTGGTCTTCATCGCGGACGTCGATAAGGTCCGATTCGTTACCCTCCTCGTCCGCCATGTCAACATCCTCACCGTCGATATCTGGGATGTGCTTCCGGGCAGTGAAATCTGACCACTCGCTTACGCTCTTCACATCAGAGGTCTCTTCGTCATGGTCATGGTCATGGTCGTGATCATCATCATCACCAGCCTCACTCATCGAGATCTGGCGAGTAGTACAAGTGCTCTCACCACCACTAGTGTAATCGCCGTCTGTCATGTACTCATCGTCGTCGCTCTCATCCTGGCCCTGTGATGGCTCGAGAGGTGCGTTGAACATGTCGTAGATCTCATCGGTAGCCGCCCTGGTGTGGAGCGTCATGGTGGGCTCAGCCGTGCTCCTCTTGCGAATCTTGGGTCCAGATGGCGAGTCCAGCTTTGCCTTGACTGTGAAAGGTGGTTAGCAAATGCCCCCCTCGTTTGCTTCGTAAAAGAAAAATAGATCAATGGGTTGGGGATTGGAAGTACTTACTAACTTGCGTTTCGTTGACCTCCATCATTTTCTTCTTCTTTGGCTTGCTGGGCTTTTGATGGGCCTTGATGGCGCCGTTCTCGTCCAGCTCGACCACGTCGTGGTGGACGACCAGCTTGGTCGCAACCTTCTGGGTCAATACATCGACCGGTGAGTTCTCATCAATGAAGTCCTCCTGTCCGTTATCAAATTCACTTTCGTATTCCTCCCACGAACAATCCAACCATCCTCGGCTGGCGGCCCATAGCTCTTCAAAACTAAGCTCTGTGCCTGGCTCCTCGGGCGTCGGGTAGACGGCTTCGAGGTTGACAAAAATACGTTCTCGTTTGCCGTTAACGGGATTCACGATCACCTGGTGTTTTGACGGTGCAATGACAATATGGGACTCTGCTATTCTTGCTAGGGACTGAAAAAATACAAATGCGACAACCGCCAACAATTAGTCCTATGATCATCAACATTTGGCATTGGCCGAATTGGGGGAACTGAAATCAGCGGCTTACCGGATCCCTGAAGATGGACATCTTGGGTGCGCTGCTCTTCTTCCCTCCTGCCTTGAGCGTCTCTCCTGCCCACGGCTTGGGCTCCATTGTGTTCTCCTTCTTGCGGTCCGCCAAAGACCCGATACTGTCCCAGCCCTTGGAGCCTGATCCCATCGACGACATGACCGGTGCTGCTGCGTCGGCGTCCGAGAAGATGGCGAGCTTTGACTTGGTGGGTTTCGAAGCGGCGCCGCCCACGCCCAGGTTGGCCCGTGGTGCTTGCGGGTCGGCTGCCCGTGCGCCTGCGAAAGGATCGACCTTGGCAACGAGTGCGGCCCTGACGGTCGGTAGAGCAGGAGATGAGGGCGCGTTAGTATCGTCGGGCTGCGCAGCGCGTCGTTGTTCGAACTCGTTGAATTTGCGCAACAGGCGGGCCACGGGTCTGGCCTCACGCTCGAGGCCGAGCTTGTACACCTCCTCGGCCTGATTCCACCGGCCAGCACCCTCCAGCCAGGCGGCGTACTCCTCGTAGAAGAGAGCAAGCCCCTCGCCGATATTGTGTCGCGACAGAAACACAAAGGTCTCGCGCGGGGCGTCTGAGAAGAAGTTGATGTAGTGCATCCAGAGTTTCAAGTATCTCGGGTCATTCTTGTACTGCGACGAGCCAATGAAGGACTTGGTCGCACGCTCAAGCAGCGTGTGTAGTTGCGACTGCGGGGTCGCTTGTGCCGAAGGGTATGCGTCGAAAGTCCACTTCACATATCTGTCGAAGATGTCGAGGGGATCATCCGACTCGGAGAGGGCGGCGACCTCAGCCTCGTACTGTGCTCTTGTGCGCTCATTTGCGTCCTTGATGTCTGAGGGCGTCGGCAGCTGCTGAAGGGGTGTGGGCGAGTATAGTTGGGCCAGCTTCTTTGCTGACCGGCCGCCAGGAAGAGACTGGATGTTCTCCTTCTGGCCTTCGATCACATCGAAGTTGATGAGATCTTCCGACGGGGCCATTGCGGACAGTCCGGTTACCGAATTCGCAAGACAGGCCCGGCAGTGTATCTGGTCGTGGATTCCTAAGTGTTAGTTGCGAGATCTTAGGAGGCGTGAAAGGGCCGTCATGTGGAGCGGGTTTGTTAGTTATCGCAATCAAAACCCTTGTTGACTGTTTTGGCGCCGCTGCCGAATTGGCAGTCAGGGGACGCCGTTGATCGTTGCCCTGACAACCAACACCTACCACAAGCCACAAGCCACAAGCCACAAGCCATAAGCCATGAGCCCCAAGAATTAGGTAATTTGACGCCACAGTTCAGCCACAACTGAACCACAGCCCTCTGGCCCTTAGAGGACCCCAAGCCACCTGGTCTACACTGCAGCTTTCCGGCAACTTGCAAAGGGGGGGGGGGGTCCCGCTCTGGGCGACAAGTCGCATAGCCGAGGTGCCGGTGGTTTTCGTTCTCGCGACTCTCTCCTCTTTCTTCACCTCTCACTTCCTATACAGACCAACCTCGCACGCTGGTCCTGCTTTCTTGTTGAAACGACAGCCACCTATAGGCTCGCCCTGGTAACCCTCCCCCATCGCGGCTTTCGCGCTAAGACATTCACGAGTTAGTGCTCGGTGAGAAGGTGCCAGCCATGGCTTACAAGCAGTCGCATTTTGTCTATGACACTATTTTCAACCGATCAACCGAATAAGCCCGAGCCATCCCTCGCCTTTCCGATCATAATCCGTATCAGTCATTCTTCGTTCCGGGGTAGCCCGTCTACCCTTTACATGTTGACGGCCTCGCGGAACTTCTCGCCGGCGTAGACGGCGTTGTCGCCCAGCTCCTCCTCGATGCGCAGGATCTGGTTGAGCTTGGCGAGACGCTCGGAACGGGCCGGGGCGCCAGTCTTGATCTGGCCAGCTCGGATACCGACGACGATGTCGGCGATGGTGACATCCTCGGTCTCACCGGATCGGTGGGACACCATGACGCCCCAGCCGTCGGCGTACGAGTCCTTGGCGGCCTGGATCGACTCGGTCAGGGTTCCGATCTGGTTGACCTTGAGCAGCAGGGCGTTGGCGGCCTTCTGCTCGATGGCCCGCTTGATGCGCAGAGGGTTGGTGACGGTCAAGTCGTCACCGACAATCTGGAAGTTGGAGGTCTTGTAGAAGTAGCTCCAGGCCTCCCAGTCGTCCTCGGCGAAGGGATCCTCGATCGAGACGATGGGGTACTTGGTGGCCAGCTCCTTGTACTGATCAGCAAGCTGCTCGTAGGTGAGCCACTTGGAGGGGTCGCTGTCGGGGTTCTTGAAGTCCAAGTCGTACTTCTTGGCGTCCTCCTTGTAGAACTCGCTGGATGCAACGTCCATGGCGATCTTGATCTTGCCGGTGTAGCCGGCCTGCTCAATGGCATCGGTGATGAGGTCGAGGGCCTCAGCAGCCGTCTGGATATCAGGTGCGACACCACCCTCGTCACCGACGTTGCCGGCAGACTGGCCGTACTTCTTCTTGGCCAGAGACTTGAGCTTCTGGTAGACCTCAGCACCCTGGCGCATGGCCTCGGTGAAGGTAGGTGCGGCCGAGGGGACAATCATGAACTCCTGGAAGGCCAGACGACCACCAGCGTGGGAACCACCGTTCAGGACGTTCATGAAGGGAACGGGCAGGACGTAGGGCTTCTTGGTGCCAGCGAGGTCGGAGATGTGAGCGTACAGCGGGACGCTCTGGGCGACTCAGTCAGCTACCTGGCCATGGGAAACTTGGAGAAATGGGGTCACGGAGGAACTCGTCAGGGAGAGTAGTTGGACTTACCTTCTCAGCGGCACCAGCCTTGGCAATGGCCAAAGAGACACCCAGGATGGCGTTGGCACCGAGCTTGGTCTTGTTGGGGGTTCCATCGAGGTCGATGAGGAACTTGTCGACCTTGGACTGGTCCTTGACGTCAATGTTCTCCTTGATGATGGCGGGAGCAATGACCGAGTTGACGTTGTCGACAGCCTTGGTGACACCCTTGCCAGCCCACTTGGTCTTGTCACCGTCACGGAGCTCGCAAGCCTCGTGCTGACCTGTCCGGGGCCGTGTTAGTCTACGACGCTATCGTCTACGATGCTTCACGGGTTGCACGGGGGCCTCGAGGGGCGATGGAAACGTACCGGTGGAAGCACCCGAGGGGACGATGGCACGGTGAAGGCCGGTCTCGGTGACAACGTCGACCTCGACGGTGGGGTTGCCACGAGAGTCGTAGACGGAGCGGGCGTGGATCTTCTTGATCGCCATGGTGTCTAGTAGTGTGTGATTCTGTCGTGATGAATGGTGTCAGTCAACAAGACGGGGCTGGCGACCTTGTGTTTTGTTTTGCAGACGTAGACAGGACGGGAAGGTTTAGGTTTATTTAAAGCGACAAAAGGGATGTGCTCAAACAAGGCCAAGACCCGGACTTGGAAGTGATGGCTGTCGTGTTTGGACGTGTTTTGCCATGTTTTGGATGCCACTCGGTACCCAGATATATGCCTCATCGCCACGCCACGGCCTGGTGCACTGGTGAAATTTGAGGCAATGGGCAACGGACAGGAGCAGAGGTAGGTGGGGTAGCTGTGCTGGGCTGTCACAGCCCTCGCAAGCTCGCCCGAGCCTTTGGGAAGGGCGACGGGAGGTTCTGGGTCCTGTGTGCTGCGAGGCGGATGCTGGGGGATCTGAGACTTACACGTTGGGTGTGCTGGAGGTATGGGAAGGGTATGAAGGTTGACAGGACGAAGTTACAGTCCGGGCAGAAGGTCAAGATGAAAGCTCGAACTTGGCCGTCTTGTTTCTCAGGGCATGGGAAATATTGGCGGGGTTCTCTGCATTGGCTCAGCGGTCAACCCTGCGGGTTGAGGGCGGGCTGGGCGGCCGGAAGGCAGGTGGGTGGTGGGCACCAAGGCGCATCATCCAGCGGCCAGCGGCCAACGCCAGCGCCAGCACCATCCATTGCCTGCAAGTCGAGCCAGCACCTGGGCAGTCTCAGACAGACTCGCTGCCCGCCCACTGCCCATGAGGGCCATGAGGGGTCGAGGTACATGGCCCGCCATACTAAATTGCACCGTCGCCCAAGTCACCTCCGCGGACTGGCCGAAGCTCCCAGCTCTTCCCCACCAGAAGCTCCGCGCCCGGGCCACGGCGGCTGCCAACAAACAGAAACGAAACCTGCCTCCAGTCCCCCGTCTGTCTCGTCTCGTCCGTTGCTGGTGCTGGTGCTGGTGCTGGTCAACAAATTCTGCCACTCTGCCACTCTGCCACACTGCCCACTCCAGCCAGAGACATCGCACTTGGTCAATCCTGGCCTGCTGATTGGCTCGACGTCTCTCCTGCCCAGCCAAACACTCCTCACTGTATCGGACCGTCTCTGTCATCAGGGTGCCTCTTGGTCTGGCTGCCCGAGGAACGGACTAGGCTGGTACTGCTAACGTTGCTATGATGAATTGAGTTTTGTCATCGCTGTCCACATACGAGTTACGGTAGCAACCCCCCAAAGTCTGTTTCTTCGGAGCCGTCCGCGGCTACAAGTGTAAACCAGATCTGAGCTCGGCATACCTGCCGAAGAGGATACGAAGGAAGCAGATTGCGCTGCTTCATTCTACTCGGCCCTCGGGAGGTCCTTGCAGCCTTTGCGGCCCGGATCGTCTTTTTATCTACTGTGTGTCCATAGGAGTACAGCCCGTACTGTTCGTTAGAAATACCACATTCACTGCTGCAAATCTATCATGGCGGTCAGCCGCCCGCTTGCATGCATCTTGCTTGATCGTATACTTACGCCGCAGTAGCTGCGAAGATCTCGATGGTGCGTGCGTTTGTCATTGTTGCCAGAGCTAGGGAGAAGCAAGCGGAGAACAAAACCACCAGTCCGAGTCTCAGGTTGTTTGACTGTACCATGTACAGAGCAATGACTGAGCAGAGTGGCAATAGAGAGGCAACAACAGTCGCAATAACCCGCAGAGCCACCGCCAGCTTGTGCTCAGAATAATTGTATATCCCAGCGCCGACCGTCTCAGAGGGTATAGGCTTCTACAACGACAGATTAACATCCGATCTGGATAAGAAGCGGGGCATCTTCTTTGTTACCTGAAAGCTCTCACCAATGAGATGATGGAGTGCAGGGACTAAACGTTCAGCGAACCATGCCGAAAACGCATCAGGCGCAGTTCGAACGACGAGTCCTACCAGATCATTCTCGTACTGGCTTTCCCAGGACTTACGATCAAGACCAAGCAGAGGAAAAGAGCCCATGCCTGGTCGTTCGAACCAGTCTCGAAGGAAGTCGAGGTCGTACTTTCGCGGTTTTGAGAGTTGCGAAAGATGGTGCTGCTTGATCAGAGCAGTATCTGTTCATTACGCCATTCAGCATGCGTTAGGCTGCTGTATGTGACCAGGAGACAACGCACTGAAGGCATCCAGCTTCTTCCTCAGGCCCTCAAACTTTTCCCACTGTTCCCTGTCTTCGTCGGAAGTACACCGACTCAATGAAAACCAGTCTTTGGAGTGGTATTCTCTATCCAAATGCCGAGAGTCTCGGTGTGCCAACTCGGCTAGCTCCGTTTCCAGATGTGTTATTTCGGCCTGAAGATATAGGAGGTTCTGTATGTTCAGCGCTTTGAAGCGACGTAATATGGCATATTCGCCATGAGTTGCCATCAATTTTGCGACCTTTGCGTAGCCATCCATCGTGTCACGAAATGTACATCATCGCAATCGCGATTTCAGCATATCAAGAAGCCGTTTCGGTCGCTCTCATATATCCGATTCGAGCGGAATCGTCAGGCAAACTTGCATATGCAGGAGCGTGCAGCTTGCCACAGCCTGCCTAATATCCAGCCTTATGCAACTCCAGATACGCCGCGATGGCAAATTCAGTCTTGTGCTCTTTTGAAGCACAGCCCTGTTACCAATCAGCTGTCATTCGACGTGGCACCAGTACCATCGAGATGGCGCACCTCCTTAATGGCGAATACGTCTACCGTTCACACCATTTCACCTCCCCAGTGAAACATGCTCCCTCACAGAGTCTGTTGCCTGTTGCTGGCTCCTCAATAGCTGTGTTCGCAACTTCGACAGTGCGCACAGGCAAGGGCTGGCCTCAGGTCAGAGTGACACCCTGGTATAGATGCTCGTGTTTCTTTGGCGTGCTGAGGAGTCGATGTTGCAAACTATTAAATCCTTTATGTGACCTTGAATCTCTTTCCCGCTTTGCTGTATAATACGTCATATGCATGTTGGCGCTGTCTGTCTAACAGTCCCAATAATGTCCGTGTACGCCAACACAACTGCGCGGAACTTTACTCCTGAGCAAAATAGGGAGTTTAAGAGAAGACACTTAGACAGACGGAGGGCCTACGCTATAGCTGATCTTCTGAGTGGTATCCCTCAAGATGTCGACCAGGAGGAATGGGAGGAATGGCACGCACAAGCTATCCAGGAGAATGTCAGAGATATTGGCAAAGGAGATGCATTCATAGTGAGCCCATTTACTAGTATCTCACTGATGGATTCATACTAAATCACCGTCCCAGTGTCCCGCTGGCCAGATTGAAGAATGTAGAGGCCAAGAGGTTTTGGTGCGCGGCGAGTCACATCTAAAATGGGCACAGATTCACAACCCTACAAATTCTCTTGTGTTTGATGCGCAAGTCATCGAAGACTCGGGAACTGGGGTCAACTTCATTCATCCAGCACTGGCACAAGCCTGTGGTCTCCGGATATACCCCACTGCGCCAACTGTCCACAAAGTCATAACCGGCCAGCAGTTCCGGTCCGACAAATGGGCTCAGGTCGAGTGGATGGGCAAGCCGGGGAGACTTGGCACCGATTGGTTCTATCTAGCCCCGGAGGAGGCACCCATACAGCTTCTCGTGGGAAGACGTTTCCTCAAGGAGAACAAGGGGGTGTTCCTGAATGAGAAGCCCGAGGTGGATCCTGTACTGCTCAACGTGCAAACCAAGAAGACGGTGAGATCCTAGTTGATTACCTCTCAAGGTGCTGAATACAATGCTCACGGCGGTGGCAGGCGTCAGAAAAGGCTCAGATAGAGGCCAACCGCGTGGCGGCTGCAGCTCAAGCTGCAGCTTTAGAAAAGAAAAGGAAAGAGCAACAACAGAAAAATAGTCAATCGAATAAGGGAGCTGTTGACTCGACAAATAAACACTCCGCTCGCCGATGAGGACTAGTGGTCAGGCTGAAGGCGAGGCCGTTGGCCGGCCTCCTCTTGGTACGATATCTTCGAACTTGGCAGTCCAATGCTCTGAGTCAAGGTGGTAAGTCTCGATCGATAGAACTCACTGTATTCTGGCCACGTGCCCACTAGACTGTGAGTGTTCACCTCGTGGGTTTACTTGGACTAACAAAATCGAGCGCAGCAATACCAAGCGAAGACCAATTGTCTTGCGTTCTTGCCTGGTCAACCTTACACATAATGAGAATCTCAATCGAACAATCTCAAGCTCTTAATCGAAATTGAAGTTTTGCTGCTATAAATCTTCCACTTTCCCACGAAGTGTCTCGGCAGGTGATATCGCGCATTATAGTATTCCGTAGCCTAGCTATAGCCCTGCCAAACCTGGTCAGACACCATGGCGGATGGCGCAGCCCAAACATGCATGCGATAGACCCCGCAACCGCTCGCCGGGCGATTGCTGAAACACCTCTGCCGTTGTCAAATAAATCCATCGCAACCTGTCACACACGTCGCCGACACCCTATCCTCGTTGCGCGCCAAGCCATCGCATACACAGTAAAGGGAAGAGGATGCGATAGCCATCAATTGTACCCTGTTCATGGGGGACTCGTCGTCGCAACACATGAACAAGTACCAACAGAAATACGTCGAGGCTGTGTTGCACCAAGCTTTCGTGGACGGTAGGCAGTTCGACGACATCGACCAAGTCGAGGCCTTCTTCAGAGAGAACAGCGTGCCGGCAGACTTCGACAAGAATTCGCGAGACATCTTCAATATATTCCTGCGAGTCAAGGCCCGAAGCCGCTTGCCATTGACTCCAGATGGGTCCAACCTCGGCTCGACCGGTCCTCCTTCGGGAGAAGCACAGCCTGATGGAGACAGATGCGATGCGGACGTATCGCCCACCTTCACGGATGAAGTGAGTCTTCGTTCGGCACCCATCACGGAGTCTACATCTGAATTCGACTCGATCGGGCGATATACTGACTTATACAATAGGACCCATACTGCATCAGTTTCTGGGTCGCGCGAGCCGATGAATTCAAGGTAGCCAGTGCAAGGCGATGTTTAGGGAAAGAATGTTTCATGTCCAGAGACGTCGCAGAGTTGAACCGTCTCGACATTAGAGATCAGCGAGTGCTTCTCAAGTGGCACCCAACAGGCAGGAGGCTCGTGCCGTTCTGGCAGACATGGTATCGCATTGTTGACCAGCAGACCATTGAGGGCTGCGAAGTCGCCATAGGCGAGGAGTGCTCGACGCAAGATCACGACCTCCTAGACAGCGACGAGATCGAGAGCAGTGAGGATGCCACCACCGAGGAGCTCGTAACAGCTCGGTCTAGGGATCTAGGTATGGCCACCGCCCAAGAATGGACAGCGCGCGCTCTCCCCCCTCTCCATGGAATGCAAGCGCTGACTACTCAGAAGCAGTATATGATTCCCAGCCAACCTCGCAGTTGGATGAAGCCGAGTTCGAGCAGACATTGGCGCGCCTAAATATGTACTCGGCTCTGAATGTGGTCAACGCAAAGCGGAAAGCCGCACCACCTGCCCACGCGCAGTCGTCGTCCCAGGGCTCCAAAAGGCACAGAACCAGCTTGGGTGGCTCAAGTGCGCAGAGCATGCAGAGCAATGCTCGCCAACCGTTCTGAAATACTGGTTACCGCCAGATCCACCATCAAACACAAAGTTCGCTGTTGGAAATTCAGAAAGCAGCAGTGTTACCAGATGCTTGTGGCTCATGTAGCCTCAAACCAACATGTACCGAATGAATCAGCCTAATTAGTGTTCTGCATTAGGTTACCTCGAGCCTTGGTTCTTGTAGATTCTTGAACACTTTCAAATACAGCATCTCTGTAACATGAAACCAGTCACGCACACTTCGATGGCGGCTCGGCTCTGACAGCGCCTGACCTAATAAATGACGCTGTCACCAACAACTTCAAAGGGCACTCAAGGATGCGCCGGCTACAACTTCTCGTTTGGGGGTTTGGGGGGGCGTTTCAGTAGGAACTCCGGCCCGGTGCTTTTCAGGGAACTCGAGCGGCGGCTCAAGCTCGTCCTCCGTCTTTGACTCCAGCGGTGATCGACGACCTTTCGAGTACAAGCTTGCGGTATGAGCACGCCATCTGACTGAGCCTAGCGACTAGGGCTGGTGTTTAATGTCACTTGCAGGAATGCCCTGCAACTAGGCAACTAGGTGTTTTTATAGCAGCGAAACTCTTTAAATGACTAAGCACTGAAGAAACTACATGGAACTGTAATTTAAAACATCGCAGTAACTCCTGCTTTATTTCTCGGACACATTTCTATGCTGTTGAACTAGTAGCGCCATCTCCGCAAACGTGGGTCAAACGATTGTGACTCCAGATGTTGCTCTTTCGATAAACACCAAACGAAGGCTGCAACTCATGACACGGCCTGAGTTCGCTATAACAGAAGAATTGGACCTGATGACTATGATGAGAATGACAGTCACTTGACCCGTCCTGAAGTATCTTCCCATTTCTAACTCATGGTAGTCATTATTGAGGCATCTTCGCACATCAATATGAAATAAGCACCGTGGCTTGCCAAATGCCAGAAGTAGTCGGCATTGTATTTCATTCGAAACAGTTGACCAAGAATTGCTGTTGAGTGTACCAACAATTCAGCCCCAACTCTATCGGTCACCCACGCTATTGTTGACATGCCTAGGTACTTTTCTATGCCAGCGCAGCAGCTTACACGTACCCCCACACCAATAATCCTACCGACGTACAAGGATCGTTCACAACTGTGTGCAAATCAGACCCTCAATTGATCTCAGGGACTGGTTCATCTTCATCATGACAACTGCTCGTCATCGTCCGATGCATATAGCTTCAAACATTCTCTCAGGCCCGCGGGGAAGTACCTTGTCCGTATGGATAGCTTAGACGCAACTTCCAAGGCACTGGATAGGAGAACCAACAACAAGAAGGGCGTCCGGCCTGCCGGTTCGGTTCATCGCCATGCGGCTCCTCAACGTCTTCACCCGGGAGCTCGAAGACTACGTCAGCGATGCCGCGCCGTCCTACGCCATCCTGTCACACACCTGGCACGATGACGAGGTGACGTTCCAGGACATGCGGGACCCCGAGGCTCGTGAAGGGGAGGGGACGAGGGGCAAGAAGGGCTACGCCAAGATCGAGGAGTGCTGCCGCCAGGCCGTCAAGGACGGCTACGGCTGGGTCTGGATCGACACGTGCTGCATCGACAAGTCGAGCAGCGCCGAGCTGTCCGAGGCCATCAACTCCATGTACTCGTACTACCACAACGCGGCCGAGTGCTACATCTTCCTGGCCGACGTGCCGGCGGGCAGCGGCAGCGGCAGCGGCAGCGGCGGCGGAGAGGGCGAGGACCCGGGGGCGCCGGGCTCGGCATTTCGGCGGAGCCGGTGGTTCACGCGCGGGTGGACGCTGCAGGAGTTCCTGGCGCCGCGCAAGCTGGTCTTCTTCGACGGCGGGTGGGGTGTGTGCTTGGAGATCATCCGGCTGGACATGTTCGTCGGCACGGCCAAGACGTGGGAGCACTACTTCGGGCCGGCGCAGTACGCGCTGCTCGAGGAGATCACGGGCATCGACGCCGCCGTTGTGGCCACGGGCGACTTCCGCCGCGTGCCCCTGGCCCAGCGCTTCTCGTGGGCCGCCGGCCGCACCACGACCCGCGTCGAGGACATGGCTTACAGCCTCCTCGGCATCCTGGGCGTCAACATGCCGCTTCTGTACGGCGAGGGCGAGGCCGCCTTCCGCCGGCTGCAGGAGGAGGCCATCCGGACGCGGACCGATCAGAGCTACTTGGCCTGGGGTCTGGGTATGTCGTGGACCGAGATCCGGAACACCCTCAGCTTCGGCCGCGTCCTGGCCAAATCACCGCATGTGTTCAAGAACTGTGGCAGACTGGCATCTCTAGAATCCGGCGACGTGCTGACACTGCCGATCCAGTCCCTGTCCAATCGCGGCTTGCAGGTCGAGTTGTCGCTGCTGCCGGTGGACAACGACATCGGTGTTACCCTAGCTCTGCTGCCTTATGGCGGGCAGTCTGATCAAGTCGCCATCCCCTTGGTTCGTTGTCTAGGGACATCGTACTACAGGAGGCTGGACGGGAGCCCGCCTTTCGTGTGTCCCAGGGCCAACGTGCTCCGGAAAGCCAAGAAACAGACCATATACCTCCTGGATGATGACGGCACCGAGCACATGTTCTACGACTGGAAGCACCGGAAGCGCAGCTGGCTATCCCGGTGGCTCCCGCTTCATCGGTTTGAGGGCGAGCTACACTTCGACTTCAAGACCCTCCTGAGGGCCGGCTATAGGCTCGAGTCCTGCTTCCCCCCGGTCCGCGACACGGCCAGGCCGTCGCAGGTCTCGGGCGTGCGACCCGTAGACATCAACGACCCGGAGGTCGAGGACGCCTTCATGGTCGACTTCCTGGCCATTGTTCTGCGCAAGGGCGCGGACCGCATCGGGCTCTATCTGAAGTTCCACGCCGGGTTCTCGCGGGCGCACAAGCGCCGGGTGAGCGACATGGCCGGGCTGTGCACCTTCCGGGTCCACGGCAACTCGGCCGCGCTGGTGCTGGCATCGACGCAGAGCCAGCGCAACGCGTGGACCAGGGGCCTGATCAAGATGAGTCCCACGTGCATGGGCCCGGACTGCCCCAGCACGGAGCATCTGCACCTGACGCACGAGTTGGATGAGAGTGAGGCAGGGCGGATGTTGCGCGTCGTTGTCAAGTTCCGCAAGACGGATACCCTCTCGTCTGGTACCATATCGTAAGTTTTCTGCTTTCCGTATCTTGTCTGTGTGTTATCACTGACAAAAGACTAGACTCAAGGCGCCGCCATCTCACACGCCTCTCAGGGGATACCTTGTTTACCAATCTCGTGGCAATACCTCGCTGTCCCAATATGCCTGAGCCCCTATTCTCCCAGATTATCTCCGAAACTCGCCATCTTATCTGCCAATGTGCCAAGCAACATGGAGTATTTGGTAAAAGATCTCAATATCGGGTCCTATACCCCTTCACCGATGTCATGAAGGCTAAATTTGCCACGATGCCAACTTCCAGCGCAACTGCTGGAGCGCCCAACACATTGGAAAACTAGTACTGCGAACATCAATGCTCGCTACAGTCCCAGGTCTGTTCATATATGCCTGGTAGCCTCGAATGCGACTCTAACTATACGATGAAAAGAGATAACGGGTTTGGTAAGATGCTCAAGCACCCCATGCTGTAGGTTGAGGACTGGGAGACTTGTAACCGATATCGTCAGATCAGAATTTAGCCACTTAGACAGCGACATCGAGTAAATAGTCGCCAGCTCATGTGCTGACTTTTGACTTACACACAGTTTAAGTGATAATGCATCTATAGGTAGATGGCCACTACGGACTCATGTCTTTTATGGACGGACAGTTTTGAATGGAGACGAGGTTTTTCCATTGAACCTACTCGACCTTCTGGGTCTAGTATAGTATCTTAGCTGGCACTCACATGCGTCGAGCCACCCACAGTTTGGATGGCTCCCGCATTCACTGTATAGGTCTTAATCTAGGACCACATCATTGTCCCAAGTTCCTAATAGACCTCATCAATCGTGGTCATGATTTTATGACGCACATTTCTACAACTGAGCCTTGTATCCGTTTTCCTTGACCCACGAGGCCACGTCATCTCTGTCACGCTGTAGCCAGGCGATCTTACTCCTGATCGCGTCCTTACTCTGCGACAGAGGTTGAATGAAGGCCTTGGTGTCAACGTCCTTGAAGAAAGCCTCAACCTTGTCAAGCTGCTCTTGCTTGGCGAAGCTGCTGGTGCAGATGGTGACCATGCTGCCAAGGATAGGCGGGTTGCCGCTGAGGCGCTTGTAGATTTCGGGCCACTTCTCGGTCAACCAGCCCCAGAGAGCATCAATGCCCTCGGCGTGGCTGCGAAGGCCGCTTGCTGGGAGATATAGATCTTGACTCTTGACCTCGCCCGAGAGGACCAGGTCAAGCGTCTGCTGGATGAGAGCCGGCTCCTTAGCTCGGCCCAGGCAACGCAGGGCGGTGTTGCGTTCATCGCTGTTGGTTGAAGTGCGGAAGAAGTTCAGAATGGCATCGTACTGCGTCTTGTTAGCATCGATCGAGAACCCGTCCGCGAAGGACATTGCTTACCTCTGCCTTGCCACCGTACTTCAGAGACATACTGAAGACGCTGCCGCGGATGTTCGGGTGGACAGCCGACTTGTCACCAGCCATGTACTTGTTGAACATCTCCTTTGCGGCATCTACAATCTTCTTGTCGCCAGCCATACCAGCGGCGCTGAAGACCATGGCCTTGAACTGCTGCTCGATGTGACCATCCTTGTCGGTGAAGGTCCAGCCGAGCTTGTGGGCTCTCTCGCTCACAAGGTCCTTCACAAAGGCCTCGAGGCCATCCTTCACAGACTTATCCTCAAAGACCCAAGCAGATTGAACTGTCGCGACACGAGCAATGATCTCACTCCAGACAACGAAGGAATCCTCGGTGTCAAAACCCTTCAACAGGTTCAGGACACCAGAAGTCTTCTGGTAACCAGAGACGGCAAGAGCGCCTGCATCAGCAATCATGCCAGCGCGGTCCTCAACACTCAGCAGACCTTCCTTGGCGGCCTTTCCGAGCTTTTCAAGGCGTTCGGGAGAATACGATGTTCGGTAGATGCTGGTGTGGTTGGCATTGAGCTTGAAGAACTCTGAGTCCTTAAGCTTGTAGTTGTCTTCCCTCTTGGACAGGGTCAATGTCTCGTCAACACCGTCCTTGGTTCGTAGTCCCAGGAAAACGGGATACAGAACCTTGTCCTCCTCAGGCTTGACATCACCGGTCCGGAGGAATCGGTTCTGCTTCACGTGGATCGAGCTATCACTGTTCTCAGTAACCTGAACGACGGGGTAGCCGACGTTCTTGGTCCAGATGGACATGATATCCTTTACGGGCTTGCCGCTGGCGTCTTCCAGAGCAGCCCATAGATCCTCGGTCTGCGTGTTGCCATAAGCATGCTTCTTGATATACCGTCTGACACCCTCTAGGAAAGTTTCCTCGCCCAGGTAGGTGGAGATCATGCGAAGGACACATGAGCCTTTGGAGTATGAAATAGCATCAAAGATCTGATCCACCTCGCTGGCCTTCTTCACTGGAACTTCGATAGGGTGACTGCTCCTGAGTGAATCCAGACTGAGGGCACTCTGCAGATTGTCGGTAACGTAGTTCTCCCAGACCTTCCACTCGGGGTAGAAATGGTTGCAACCTAAACAAATAGTCAGAATCCGAGTCAAAGGAGAGTCATCGGCGTCACTTACTCAGCCAGCTCATCAACGTAGCAAAACCCTCATTGAGCCAAAGACCCTCCCACCAGTCCATAGTCACAAGGTTTCCAAACCACTGGTGGGCCAACTCGTGCTGGACGACCTCGGCAACGCGCTCCTTGGTGGCAGCACCGCTGGTCTTCTCGTCGTAGAGAAGATCGACCACTCGGTAAGTAATCAGACCCCAGTTCTCCATGGCACCAGCCGCAAAGTCAGGAATGGCGACCATGTCCATCTTGGGCAACGGGAAGTCGGCGCCGAAGATCTTCTCGTAGTAATCCAGAGTTCGGGCCGCAAGCTCAAGAGAGAACCGGCCGTGCTCGATGTCCGAGCTTGGTGGGGCATACACTCGAATAGGCACGCGGAAGTTCTTGGTCTCAATGTAGTTCAAATCACCAATAATGAAGGCGACAAGGTACGTCGACATCAAGGGGGTGGGGTTGAACTTGACAGCCTTCTTGGTTGTGCCATTGATCTCAGAAGTAACCTCGGACTCGGAGGCGACGTCCATGTTGCTCAGGCACGTGAGGTGCTTGTCGGCGATGAGGGTGACAGTGAACTTGGCCTTGTGCAGTGGCTCGTCGAAGCACGGGAAGGCGCGGCGACAGTCATTGGCCTCCATCTGGGTGGTGGCCAGGATGCCCTCGGTGCCGTCGGGCTTCTTGTAGGTCGAGCGGTAGAAACCGGCCATGGAGTCGTTCAGCTGGCCGGTGAACTTGACCTCGAGGGTAGCCTTGCCGCCTGCGGGGACTGCATCCTTGAGGTCGATCTTGGAAACCTGCTTGGACTCGTCGTAGGTGACGGCCGAGGAAGAGCTGCCGGGTCTGTGTGTGAGCATGTTGCGGCGAAGTATAGCAGCTTCGGCGGGGACCTACGTTACGATCTTGTCGCCGTCCTTGACGCGGGCGCTGTGGATGTCGATCTCGATGGTGTGCAGGGAGATGGACTTGGTCTCCTCCTTGACGTCAAAGTCGATCAGCACGGTGCCCTTGAAGGTGAACTTCTCAAAGTCGGGCTCGAGGGTGACATCGTAGTGCCTCGGGATCACGTTGGTGGGCAGCAGCTCCCGGCCCTGGGTGGGGTCGGGGTTTGCGCCGCCCGTGTGTTCGATGTCGCTGCCGGCGAGTCTGCACATTTTGTTGAGCCGCTGGTAGGAGCAGTGTCTGGCCGGGGTGGTGTTTCTCAGCGAGGAGGGCGCACGCGAGGAGGGCAGCGGGCGGCGTGAAGTGGTGACACGGGTAGGAGGGACAGGTGTAGAGGCAGCTGTGGTGGTGGTGGTGCTGAGGGGGCGTGGAGCCGAGCTACATAAGCTTCGAGGTTGTTAGTCACTGCCCGCTGGCTTGCCCAGGTGGGAAGGTCGGGCCCCGAGGCCCAGAGCTGAACTTGCCTGAGGGTTGAGGCTGGCTTGCTTGGCTGCAAGTGCGAGGGAGCGAGGAGCCGCGAGCTGGAAAAGGGCAGCGAGGGCGGCGATCTATATCTACAGAGGCGCGCGGGTCTGAGGGCGGGCGAGGGTCTGGACATAGACTCCAGGCGGCCCAGGTGACGCAGCGTCATTGGGCAGGGAGAGACGCAGCAATTATATACAGAGCGAGTGTCCCCGGCACTGGACGGTGGGAATACAGAACGGGGACCCGGCGGTCCGCAACAAGTACAAGTGGAAGGAGGGGATGGGGGCTGCCAAATGGGGTGCCCGGTGAATGCAAATCAGATCCTGCTGGACATCAGTGCATGCGAATGAATGGCCGTGGGCTGCCGGCGTTGGTGACGAGCTCGACGAGGCCGGCGCAATCAAGAGCATGGAACGAGGCAATCCGAAGAAAAAAGTGCTCCCAGGTTCCCGCGCGCCCACGTTGTCATGCACCTGGCCCCCCTGGCCCCCTGGCACCCCCCGGGGGGCCGTTCCTTAGGTAGCACCCCTAACACGCTACCCCTACCCGGCAAGCCGAGCCGCGAACCAACAGCGCACCACCACAGGGACCGACACCAAGGACAGTGCCGCGCTAGCGGTGTGCTGTGCTGCTGTGTGCCCAAAAGTGTGTGTACCGCACATAGCATGTGTGTGTCCAGTGTCTGTGTGTGTCTGTCCTTTCGGTTACCTCTTATGGGCGTTGGTACCCTGGGCTGCGGCCTACCTAATGTTGGCACCCAGGCCCCCTGATTGCATGTACCTAGCTTACATATGGCCCCTACTGGACGGTACTGTATGTGCCATGGCATGGGCGTGCATGGGTGCTGGGGCTGGGCCCCACCCTGGGCCGATCGCCTACAGCCTACAGCCTAACCGCGGGGTTGGCGCTCGTTTCGAGCGCGCTGGCGACAACCCCTCCTTCCCTCTTGAGAAGGCACGGCGTTAATTTCGACTCCTCCAGGACGAGGGTATGTACTTATAGCAGGGACAAGGAGGACGGGCGATGGATACCACGTAATGAAATTATCATCGTCGCGCGACCTCGTCTCTCGCCGCGCCTGTCCGACGATATCCTTTGGCCGTGGCCGAGGCCTTCGGAGTTGGAAGTGGAATTGAAATTTGTCAACCAGACACAGACTTCTGCTGTCCTGCTCCACAAAGAACCGGCCAGCTCCATGTCCGATGTCCGTAAACATGCAATCTCCTCTCCTTCTATTCCAATGGATGAATGGATGGCTGGCTGGCTTGACGAGCGCTCTCCACATCGCACACCCAGCATTCGCTCAAGACCGGAGCACAGGGAAGGAGAGAAAGGTGGTCGGACGAGAAAGAGCTCGGCCGAGAGTCCATACCAGCAGCCTTGGTTCCCCATTAACTTATTATTAGAATATAATCTATTTCCTCGTCTTGCGCGCGTGCTTGACCAGGTTTTCTATAACCCCCTCGAATGCCTCCCTGTCGCCAATCTTCTCGTCTGTCCTCTTCTTCCAGTGCTCGAGCAGCTCCTTGGCCAAGCCGTCCAGCTCCTCGAGCTTCTTGATGTGCCCTTTGAGCTCCTCGTCCGTCATGCCGTTCAGGGCCTCGTCTGTCGTCGTGCAAAGCTGCTTGGCCGCCACGAGGTCCAGAGCCGGTTCCGGCGGCGGGCCCTTCCTCCTCTTGGACGACGATCGAGGCTTCTCCTTGCCCTGTGAATCCAGCGACACGTTGGAGTTGTTTGCATCCGTCTTCCTGACCCGTGAAAGCGAGCGAGAGTCGATTGACGTCCGTAGAGATCCATTCGAGGTGACCCGGTGCAACGAAGGTAGGATGAGCTTCTTCTGCTTGGAGGCAGGCAGGATCTCGTCCAGGTCCACAGGCACGCCGAGTGATACTAGGAATAATCGTCTAATACGTGACCGTATCCAGTCGGGCGGCTGTAGCGGCGGCGGCGCTGCCAGTTGCGACCATAGGGACGCGCTTCGTGGGTTAAAAAAGATGGGGTTCTCCTTGGGGGGAGATGGGGTTACGGGCAAATCTGCCAAGTCAGGTGGGTAGAGAGCGTCCAGATACGGTTCCGTAGCTGCTACTATGTCCTCTGAGTCGAGACCGTCTAGGTCCAAGATGGGCTGGAAAAGGAGTGGATTGTCAGCTCGGGCAGACTGCTATGTAGACTAGGTGCTAAACATACAAATGAGGGTGTAGAGGCCGGCGGCGGCGCAGCCACGGGTCCAGGAGGAGGAGCCGCCGTGTCCGCCTCGGCCTCTTGAAATCCATCGTCAAAGTCGCCAAAGTCGGCGTCTTCGTCGCCTTCCTCGAAATCGTCAAAATCGTCACCGAAGTCATCATCATCATCTTGGCCATCGTCATCCGCTCCTTGCTCGTCAAAGCCGCCAGTCGACCTGGCAGCCGAGGACTTTCTTCGCCGGTGTTTCATGGGGGACTTGAGAGCAGGAGAGATGGGCGCAGCATCTACGGGGACAAGGTCAATCGAGGTGGGTAGCTCAGGAGGATCTGGCGGCCGTACCGGTTCCTTCTCCAGTAGTCTCTAGCGAGGCGGGCATGGTGTTGGCCTCGCCCGTGCCGTCTGGCTTCCGAACATAATCTGGGGCGGCGTCTGCTTGGCGGAGGTCCTCCTGGAAGTGGTGGGTGGTGGAGCCCGGGCCGTCGGCAGTCTCGTCGACGACGGTCTTGGGGATGGGCTGCCCTCCCGGCGTGGGCGTGTCGGTCGACGCTGCTGATTCGGCTTGTGCTTGAGCCTGGGTCTCTGGGATGATGGCGATCTCGTCCGGCGCGGCATCGCCAGTGCGTTTCTCGTAAGCCTCGGTCCCGGGGACTTCGCCGTACGATGGCTCGTCGTCCACCTTCTCAACTCTGGTCTTGGGCACGGGCGAGGCTGGCGTAGGGGTCTCGGCAGGGACGGATTGAGCGTCCGAGAAGTGGTCATCAGAATCGGAGGCTGCGGTATATAATGTTAGAGCCGTGGCCAGGCAGAGAGGCGGAAGAAATGGGGGATATAGTTTGTCATGCTATATACACATACTCAACTCATGAGCACCAGGATCTGCAACGTCCTTCCGCTCGGGGGGCTCGAGACTCGAGGATCTTCGGCGGCCCTCAGACATGTTCTTGGAGCCTGTTGGTGTCGAGCTGCGTGCTGTATGAAGTATCGCACCAGCAGGTAGGCGCGCCGGACGATCTGGCTCGACAAGAAGAGCTTTGTAGGGGGGAGCTTGAATCTAGGTCGGTGGGCAACTCAGGTGTTGTGCGTGGCTGAACAATCTCATGGAGATGGGATGAAACGCAGAGGACGGTAGGATATTGCAGAGGGGAGAGGTGCAATGCAGAGGAGGCGGCGAGATGGCGATGCTGGAGGGAATGACGCGGTTGGCTGGACTTGATCCCCTTAGTCGATTGATGCTCGTCACTGACGATGGGGGAGGAAGTTGGGTCCCACGGATCGTGGACGGGCTTCGACTGGGACTGGCAGCCTTAGCTAGAGGTTAGCATTGGCTGATGGGCCCATATTTCGGCTGCTAGGCTGCTAGGCTGTTTCGGTCCCAGGCCTAGACTGCTGCTACAGTACCTACCTTCTCCTGCTGGCACGCGCTGGCTGGCATACCACAGTACCTACCTAGGTATCGCAGTGTAGTGTGCCCCGGTGAGTGGCCAGCCTCGTGAGAGAGTGGGGAGGGGACCCAGGCGGCCTAGCATTCACCCAATCCGACGGCGCTGGGTGGATGGATAGGGCTTGGCGGCGAGGCTGGCTGCCAGGCCGCCCGGCCGCCCGGCATGGTGCGTGCTGGAAATCTCGCGCTAGGCACGGTGCGGTAGGTACCACAGTACTTACTGACTTGAGTTAGCCACTAAGATTCCCACGGTACGTGCCCAAGGTTAGCGGAGCAAAGGCGCGTTCAGCAACTGTCTGGTGCTTCCTTGCCCGTGCTTTTTTCTTTGCGAAGCTATCTCGCGAAAAGTGACAGCCCGTCACCTCACAACAACCGCCCATTTACTCAGCGACGGACTGCACACCGCATCCGACCAGACGACGACTGCCTCGCTGCGCTGTCTAGCACGCACAACAAGCAGCCTGCAAACGCCCCGAAGCGTGTCCGCGCCCGCGCCCGCACCCGGGACCCTACAGGCATCCCGCCTGGCTCACGGCATCCAGCGAGCTAGCGACGTAAGGATGAGAGATCTGTGAGACCCGACCAACAACTATCCCATCTCGACGCCACCTCGACATCAAACCGCATTCCAGCCTGCCAGCCCCTCCCAAGGCCCTAGCTGCCCATCATGTCCTTCACCTTCGGCACTCCCGCCAGCTCGGCCGCCCAAACCACTGGTGCCACCACCTCGACTGCACCCACAACCTCCCTGTTTGGCTCCTCGGCCAAACCTGCATCGGGCGGTGGTCTCTTCGGCCAGGCACAGTCGTCCGGAACCCCCAGCTTCGCCTTTGGAAACGCCAGCGGCGGCGGTGCTAGTGGTGCTTCAACACCCGCCTCTGGAGGCGGTCTATTCGGCAACTCGGCTGCCAAACCCGCAGACCAGAAGTCCTTGTTCGGCGCCGCGTCCAGTGCTGCTCCTGCCTCAGGTACGACCACGCCTACGACCACGGGCCCATCTGGTGGACTGTTTGGTGGTGCATCTACCTCTCAGCCAGCAATGAGCAGTGGGTTGTTTGCCAACAAGCCGACCCCGCCAGGCGGTTTGTTTGGCAACGCCAGCTCCGCCCCGGCCTCCAGTGCAGCACCCGCCGCATCAACGACCGCCAGCGCATTCCCCTCGGGAGGCTTGTTTGCCAACAAGCCCACCTCGGCCAGTACACCAAGCACGCAACCAGGCAGCCTGTTTGCCGCCCCCAAGGCTGGCTCCTCGCCGTCGCCCTTCGGTTCTGCCAACACCAGCACTCCTGCCACGACAGCACCGACGACGGCCACGACTTCGGCGTCTCTATTTGGATCCGCCAGCGCTACCCCTGCGGCGACCGGGCAGACTGGCACAACCGGCTCGACGTCCCTGTTCGGATCTTCCAATGCCCCCGCAGCTTCTGCCACTGCAACTCCCGCCAAGTCCATGTTCAGTAATCTGCCCTCTACGACTCCCGCCGGCGCACCGCCGGCAGCTGATGGGCAGAAGACCGAAGCCAAGAAGACGAACCTTTTCTCCGCTGCAAGTGGGCCATTGCCCAAGCAGCAAGGAAGCCTGTTTGCGAACAACGGCCCGCCCAAGGCGGCTGAAGGTGGTTTGTTCGGCGGAGCAAAGCCCGCAGCTTCCGAACCGGCAGCTACTGGCGCTGCTACTTCTTCATCAACTCCCTCATTGTTCGCCAAACCTGCCGATACACAGGCTAAGCCTGCAGACTCCAAAGTAGGCGCTGCGGCTACCACTGCACCAGCCTCTGGGGGTTTGTTTGGAGCCGCCGGGGCTAGCTCTTCTTCATCTACGCCAGCTACAACGGCTGCCTCATCCGGAGGCCTGTTTGGGAACACCGCCAAGCCGGCTACAGGTGCAGCTTCGTCTGAGGCTCCCAAGTCGGCCGGGGGCCTGTTTGGCGCTGCAACTTCAACTTCTGCTCCTGCGACTTCAAGTGCCACCGCTACTTCAGGGGCGGCCAAGCCAGCGGCTGGTGGTCTGTTTGGCGGTGCCGCGGCGGCTACCACCGCAGCTCCGTCCTCAACACCGGCAGCTGCCGCCGCAGCACCAGCTACAAGCTCTGCCCTTGGCGGTGCAAAGGCGGCCGGTACCCCCGTCACTCAACCCGCTTCGAACCCTCTGGGAGCGTCTACCACGGGACCCACATCACAGTTGGCTCGCCTCAAGAACAAGACCATGGACGAGATCATTACGCGTTGGGCGACCGATCTGTCCAAGTACCAGAAGGAGTTCAAGGAGCAAGCAGCCCAAGTGGCTGCTTGGGATAGACTTCTTGTTGAGAACGGCGCCAAGATTCAGGAGTTGTACCTGAACACTTTTGAAGCAGACAAGGCCAGCCGAGACGTCGAACGACATCTGATCACGGTCGAGAGCCAGCAAGAAGAGCTCGAGGTCTGGCTTGATAAATACGAGGCCGAAGTCGACCAGATGTTCTCTAGAGACATTGGTCGCGCCGAGTCCTTGGCCGGCCCTGACCAAGAACGCGAGAAGACGTACAAGCTTGCCGAGAAGCTGACGGATCGGTTGGATGAGATGGGCAGAGACCTGACCAAGATGATCAAGGAGATCAATGACATCTCCGGCACGCTCAGCAAGGGCAACAAGCCCGACGACCCGGTGAGTCTTTACACTTGTGCCTCCGAGTTTGCCTGGTACCAGAACACTAACACACATCTCGCAGTTGAGCCAGATCGTCCGCGTGCTCAACAACCACCTGACCCAGCTGCAGTGGATCGACACCAACGCTGCCTCCCTGCAGGCCAAGGTCAACGCGGCACAGAAGGCAAGCGCCACCATCGGAAACCAGTACGGCGGTTCGGAGCAAGACGCTGCCGAGAGCTTCTACAGATCTTACATGGGTGGCCGCAGATGAGACGCGCCCTCTCGGTTCTGCTATTATGGATGGAGACGGGGACAAGCTGTGTAGACTATCTGGGCCGAAACCCACGGGACCAGGCATCTTGGTAGATACGTAAAACGGAGTTCAGGCTTGGATGCAACATTGTGTGTCACTGTACATACCAGGGAAGAGTCGCTAGTCTCTACCCTCTTCGTGGTCTTTCAAGGGGGGAAATAATAAGGGAGTGATGGCGTGTATCAAAGCTGTAGAATCTGTCTTGCTGCTGTACTCTGTGCTACTTTTGTCTCCGCTGGATTGATCGGCAAGAACCTTGGCCCCCAAGTATCCAAAGCATGTTCGGGGGACCAGTATTTCGTAATCCCCACGGTACCATCTACACCTGTCTTTCTTTTGATGGCTGCAAATGATGACGATGTATTGTCAGGGGGCTTTGCGTACGAGATGTTACGAAATTGTACCTGTGAACTCGGGGTATTGGCAGCTTCAGATATCAAGAAATATCTATACACCTTCCAAATAAGTCCAACTCTTAAAAAAGCGAGCGTTCGTAGCACCCCGTTCAAGGCAAACATGAAAATAATCAATCACATTTTCAGATCAGCGCTTGGTTGACCACTAGCTTCAGCCATCGTACATAATAGCATTACACGATACAGCAGGACCAAGTAACCCCATAGATAACACATGGGAGCAGGAACGTGTATGGGAGCTTCGGTCTGTTCTTCGTCACAACTAGGGAACACGTGGTCGAGGTGGGGATTTTTTCTCAATTTGAAGATCCATGCATACCCGTCGGGACAGCACGATAGGGTATGTATATGTACACCGGACTACGGCTACTAGTAGTCCATTCATACACACAACCTCGGAACTACACACGCCTCATTTCTGAAGGGTCCGAACGCCCGCATCTCTACAAGCCTTCGTTATCCGTTCCTCGCCCGTGGAAAACAAGAAATTCCAAGCCTCCGAGAAGGGCTTAGTTCTGCTCGCCGCCTTGCTCGCGAGTCAACTCGTCACTGAGAGACACAAATCAGCACAGGTTCCCACTCGTTGTCTTCCTGTCGGTTCCCTGCCCACAACCCCCTGCCTCAGGTATACACATATTCCGTCTAGGCAGGCGGAATATTGGGGATGGGGAGGGCGGAGGGTTGGTCCATGGAGGTGAAGGGGTCCGCAGGAGGGAAAGGGGAGGAAACATACATGTGCTCGCCCAGCTTCTCGAGGTGGGTCTGCTGCTCGGCGATCTTCTTGCGGAGCTCGATGAGCTTTTCCTTCTCGCGCTGGCGGATGGCGTAGTCCTCGTTGGCCTTCTCGCGGCGCTGGAAGGCGTCTCTGTTCGGGGCGGAATTCCCGGGTTAGCCATCTTTGTGACTTGCTCTATAGGGCGTTCTGACCCTGTCTCTATCTCCGGCCCTCCTTCTCCCAAAATTCTTCACGAGAGGGAAGGGCCGTGGCACACGGGAAATGGATCGCTTACCCTTGGCCGCCGGTTCGCGGGGGGGCACCAGTGTCGCCCTCGCCCATGACACGGCCGGTGATGGAGAAGGCCCGGCGCGAGATCGGGGTGGCAGCCCAGCTGCGCATGGGGACCTTGGCAAGGGTCTGTCTGTACATGACTGCGGTTTGTCTGCGTGGAAAGTGTGTCAGAAAGCCGCCTGTAGAATTGCAGGCGTGTTCGCCCTTCCCCGTACTTCCGGACGAGAAGGCAGATTCGATTGGGGAGGCTCAAGCTGAAGCTCGGTGCGCACGTAGCACTCGAGGAGCAGGAAGCCGGAGGCCCGAAGCTCGAGAAGGGGACGGGACGCGATGGGATGGGGAGCATGCGTACCTGGTTTGATTCAATTGGGTTTCGAATGCTGTGATGAGTGGAAGGGATTTTTGGGCGCCAGAGAAGACGGAAGCGAAGCGAGGAGCTTATGTTGCTACGCTGCGTCCGTGGTAGAGCTCGGCTGATGACGGAGCTGCAGGCCGAGAGTGGAGCCACCGACACCACCTAGACCCAGCAACGGATGCCTGTCTGGTGGGAGCAGGTCAGGCCACAGTAACGAGACGGGCCGGCTGGATCCGAAGCAGCTGGCAGGGACTAGAACCTGCCATATACCCGCGGACTATGTAATCATGTCTCGTCATGAGGGTGTTGTGTTGTCCAAAGCAAAAATAACCAGATCAGGTGGTTCGTCGAGGCACTCACTGAGGGGGAACTGGCAAGCCCCGTCGTTGCGTTGTGATTGCCGTTGCCTTGGCTGTTGGTTTGTTGTATGTCTCTGTCTGACTGTCTACTATGGTATTTGCTGCTCGTTATACTAGGCGGCCGAGTGGATCACTCTGAGGTCCTGCTCATTCTAAATTTGGCAGCCGAGTTACGTGCACCTGCTTTGCCATGTTACCGACTTAGAAAGCTGTCCTCGCATGCTCGTTCGACGACCGCCATTCTGGCAGTGGACCATACGGTGCGAAACATCAATTGAGCTGTCGCTCTCTACAGAAAACTCGACGCCCCAAGTTACCGAGGGCATAATTCTCCGGACACGCATTGACTGGCTGTGACAGCCTGCCGCAGACGTGGGGTTACAGGAAATGTCTTGGCAATAAAGGCCATTTCTGCGTAACAGAGCGTCCGCCCCCGTACTGCGTAACCGTCGTCGACCTAGTGGCTCAGCTCCTCCCGCGGCGGTGGTCTAGTGACGTCGTTTAAGCTCGCTGTGGCCACACACCACCGGCCTAGCCCGCGATGACTGGTCAGGGTTCTCGACGGCCACGACGTATCACCTGATGGGCCGCAGGAGATCTGAAGAGGCCTGCATGATGCCCTCTGGAAGGTTTCTTGGGATGGTGGTGGTGGTGGTGGTGGTAAGCTTGCATTGCAGACCCCGACGTTATCTTGCGATCTCCGTTCCCGTCCCTTGCCCGATTCCAAGGTCCCCTCTTTTCAAGCCATCCACGGACCCTGCGATCATCCTCAACCAAATACTTGGCTCGTGCGCTCGCTCATCAAAGGGTTTGTGTCTTGGACTGGGAATTCGCGCCCTGATTGGTGCCGCCATCCAGGCAGGGCCAGGCGATATGGACATTTGTACATGCCTGAGACGCATCAACGGGCGGTTGGCATTGACAATGGGATGGCAGGAGGTCTCAGCCGCAAGCTTTGACACCAGACCAAGCTCACTATGCCATCTGTATCGACGATGGAAGTCGCTAGAAGTGCCCTATGGCTTACCGCCTGGACCCGAGCAATAATGATCCAGGGCGTTCGGGAGATATCTGCAGCAATTCTGCACAAGAGGCTCCATGGCAACTGTAAGAAGTGTTGTGCTGCAACTTACGGGCACCAAATAGTAGGCCCACACTCGACTGAGAAGCTTGAATGTCACCAGAGGAGAGTTGGACGTGCCGGAGCAGAAGGATTGGTCTGTGTGTGTGTGTGTGTGTGTGTACGTCTGTACCGTGACTTCTTCTTGTTTACCAACATGAGATAAAGCATGATGTGGCACTAGATGCTTGTCAGCCCAATGAGAAGCCCGTTTCGAATAGGGGAAGCAATCAGTCGGGCGAGCGACCCTGAGAGGACGTGAGGATCACAGACAGACACCCATGACCACGTCAACAAGGTACAAAGTAGAGATGCGTGTGTATAGCATGTACTATGTAGGTGCAGCAGAACGGGTGGGCCTATCTGAGAATGGGAATGGGAGAGTGCGCAATGGCATGGCATCTGCATGGCATTGCGCGGGCGGGCGGGCGTGAGGCTTCAGGAGGGGCACGAAACGGGCATCATTAGGCGGGGACTGGAGTGGTGACGGTCAGCAGCACCAGACGTCGTGTTGACGGGGGGGGCCTGGGGGGCAGACCAAGCGCGGATGGATGACTCCCAGTCCAGTGAGCACCTAACTTTTAGTCCAGCGTCCAGCCCAGTCAAAGTGCACCTGGGCACCATCCCAGGTGGCCCACCGCCCGTCCAGCAGTGCCCGCCCGCCCAGCTTGCCCCCCAGTTTGCCAGTTCCCAGTCCCAGCACCCAGCATCCCCCCCCCCAGGCGCAAATCAAACCCCCCCGTCCACTTGGATACATGTGGCCGCCGCCTTCTTCCTCTCCCTCCCACCTGCACCTTGGCTGCCCGCTTCACCTTCTCTCCGGCACCAGCCAACAAAACCCATCCCCAATTTCGACACTGCACCACTTCCGAAATCTTCTTGCCTTCTCCCCCCCAAACCACTCACAACAAACCCACACAAAGTCCCTCCCTTATTTTGTGCTTCACGCGTCTTGTGCAGCCCTTCCCTTCGCGATAACCGCAACAAACAAAAGGTGCGTGCCTGCTGAACTCTAAACCCGCCCGCCTGCCCACGGCACCCCTTGACCTATCACCTGGCCCATCCCCCATTGCCCAGTCTCTCCCGAGTCCCTCTCTCCTTGCCCTGCCTTGCCTGTGCTCTGCATCCTATCCTGGGAAACCCTGAGAGTGTCGTCATCGCCTGCCACGACGCTCACCCGACTGCACACGCCCTCGTCTCCCAGCGACGACCGCCAGTCCACCCTCACAGCACAATTCATCCATCAACAAATCTCCCCCCATTGCCAGTTCGCGACTGTACAGCACCCGCGCCGTCATCCCTTCCCCGTTCGACGACGCGCCCATCGGCTTTAGCGGTAGGCGCAAACCCCACCACGCTCCTGCGGGGAGGCTACAATTGTCTCGATGGTGACATCGGCCCTGCCTGAGGCTTCCGATTGTTCTCTCGCTTCGAGGCGCATTCGCCAGCTTGACGAAGGGCAAGGCAGTTGCCCAAGGCCTTCCTGCGGTCCCAAGCGGTTTTAATTCACTTCACGTCCACCCCCGCCGATGCGTCTGGGCTCTCCTTCCGTCCCGTTCACCTCTCCCCAAACTCTCGTCCTCTCACCTGACTCGGCGATTCACATTACACCATCGCCTCTCGTCTATTGTCCGCCGAGTTCCACTTTGCTGACGCATAAGCGCTGTCCTTGCAGTTCTCACAAATCCCACGTCCATCAATTACGACAAGATGGCCCACGAAGATGCGGTTTATCTCGCCAAGCTCGCCGAGCAGGCTGAGCGCTACGAGGGTATGTTATGCGTCCGACGCTCCTCCGCGTATGTGTCTTGCGCTCGGCGCTCGGCTGACTCCAAGTAGAGATGGTCGAGAACATGAAGATCGTCGCCTCCGAGGACCGTGATCTCACCGTCGAGGAGCGCAACCTCCTCTCCGTCGCCTACAAGAACGTCATCGGTGCCCGCCGTGCCTCGTGGAGAATCGTCACCTCCATTGAGCAGAAGGAGGAGTCTAAGGGCAACTCGTCCCAGGTCGGCCTCATCAAGGAGTACCGCCAGAAGATCGAGGCCGAGCTCGCACGCATCTGCGACGACATCCTCGAGGTCCTCGACCAGCACCTGATCCCCTCTGCTAAGTCCGGCGAGTCCAAGGTGTTCTACCACAAGATGAAGGGCGACTACCACCGCTACCTCGCAGAGTTCGCCATCGGCGACCGCCGCAAGGAGTCGGCCGACAAGTCGCTCGAGGCCTACAAGGCCGCCACCGAGGTTGCCCAGACCGAGCTTCCTCCTACCCACCCCATCCGCCTGGGTCTCGCCCTCAACTTCTCCGTCTTCTACTACGAGATCCTCAACGCACCCGACCAGGCTTGCCACCTCGCCAAGCAGGCCTTTGACGATGCGATTGCCGGTAAGTTACCAACACAGGCAGAAGTGAAAGTCCCCTTGGCCATTCTCTTACTGACGCATTGCACAGAGCTCGACACCCTCAGCGAGGAGAGCTACAAGGACTCGACCCTCATCATGCAGCTCCTCCGTGACAACCTGGTAAGCAGCACGGCCGTGATCAGTGCTTGGGGAGTAGCTGCTAACACAGAATCCAGACCCTCTGGACCTCCTCCGAGGCCGAGCAGCCCGCCGAGTCGGCTGCCCCCGCTGCCCAAGAGCCGGAGAAGGCTGCCGAGGCCCCCGCCGAGGAGCCCAAGGCTGCCGAGTAAATGTATTGATGCGCTTTTTTCTGGACCATACCTGCGAAGATGGTGGTTGTAGGGGCGGACCATGGATGGGATCTGGTGTCTATGGAGTGCGGCTTGTGAAACCTCTTCAGTTGACAATTCTGCATGCTTTTTGTTTTCCGCCGGCAAATACACAGACAAAGAAAGACCTATTGGGGAGAAAAGATGGATTTTTCTCTCTTTTTCCTTCAGGGAGGAGCATGTGAGCTAAGGGAGAGCTTTTGGAGGTCAATTGTACCGTGCCTGGCTTTTAGACTCTAATGCAAACCCGTCTGGACAAAATAAAAACCCTTGTTTTCTAACAATGTGACGATGCACATGATGATTGTGGTATTATGTGAGATTGAAGTTGGCTTGGCTTTGGAGCTGTCACCTTTCATCCATGGAGACCGACCAAGATTTGTACAGAGTTATGCGCTCGCTGGTTTGATTAATGCTCTAATGACATGCCATGCCGCCACGACTTTCCGCTCTTCAAGAGAATGCTCTATATGGTACAAAAACACATCACGGGCTGACCCATCCATGCCATCCATGCCACCCAAGCGCCTATATTACATTGCCGTAAAACTCCCTTGCCCAAAAAACACCACACCCAGACCCGCCGCCATCGGTCACGCCCCGCGGGTCATTCACGACCGACGGCCCCAAGCCGAGCCTACGAATCCCGCCCGGACTTGACGCTCGCGCTGGCCCCGCCGCCGATGGAGATGCCAAAGTTGAGCTTCCAGGTCCAGGCGCCGTTCTTGCCGGCGGCGCTGCCGCTGCGGACCTGCTTCAGGTCGGCGCCGTCGGCGCCGTTCTGCTTCTGCACCGTGCCGGCTCCGGCTCCCTCCGCCTCCTCGTCCGAGTCCTCGGCCTCGGCGAACAGCACCCGCAGCCACAGCGAGCACCCGATGCACTGCACCATCAGCTCGCCCTCCTCGCCGACCTCCTCCAGGTCCAGCTCGCGGAAGCAGTAGCCGCGCTTGGTGCCGCACCGCCCGCACGTCCGGTGGTACACCTGCGCGCGCCCGTCCCACCGCATGTCGTCCAGGTCGACCGTCTCGGTGCCCGAGCCCCCGGCCTTGGCCGCCGTCGACGTGTGCACGTTGAACGTGTACAAGCCGCCGCCATTGCCGTTGCCGTTGGCGTTGGCGTTCCTGCCGCTCTGGGAAGGCGCCGACGTCGACGATGACGACGAGGATGAATAAGTGGCCGCGCCGAACTGCGTCTGCAGCAGCCGCGTGTACTCGCGGCGGCGGCGGCCGTCGCTCAGCACCGTGTAGGCGTGCGTGATCTGGTCGACGGTGAAGGTCTCCTCGCTCCGGTTGCCGCTGCTGCCGTTCTCCTTGGAGGCGGCGTCCTGGGGGTCGGCCGGGGCGCCGGCGGCCTTGGCCTGCTGGTTCTTGTCCGGGTGGTGCTTGAGCAGGGCGCGGCGGTAGGCCTGCTTCACCGTCTTGATCTGGGTGGCGCTGTCCTGGCCGTCCAGCGACGTGGGCGTGATGGCCAGGATCTCGAAGAGCGTTGGCTCCTTACTCTTCTGATCCTTCTTGGGAGGCGCCATGGTGAGGGGGGGGGGGGGGGGGGGGATGTGTGTAAGCTTGCTTTGGCTTTTTGGGGGCCGCTTTTCTATGTGTATCTGTTCTGGTTCTCTTTAAAAGTTTTATTTACTGTTTGTGTCTGTGAATTCGCGAGATCTTATTTAAATCTGCACGGTAGTGTAGCATGGAGATCCAAGTTTTCAGATAGAGTTCAGGTCATATAGGAGGGATCTTCAATAAATGGTAGGCCGTCCTTGGCCGTTGATGTAAGTCGTGGGATTCGGGGTCTGAAAACTTGATTTGGGTACCGAGGCGTGCTGGGGTCCGCAAAGTTGCTTGGATGGAGGCTCCCGGAGACGGTCACGTGACCATGAACCGGATTGCGCCAGCTCCTGATTCCGGGACACGAAATGACGATGGTAGAGAAATATCGGACGAAGGAAATAAAGCACAAACCTTTTGGGGGGATGCAAACCACGTCTTGAGAGCTGCGTCCAGAGGCGGAACAAACAGTGGCGTAGCCCAATGGCTGGTGATGAGCGGCGAACTGGTGGATCGCAACGATTGCTGGTGGACTCGAGGGCCGTGTTGCAATGATTCTTTGGGTTTTGCACATATTGATACATTTTTTTGTACATTTTTCCCTTTCCTATTATGATACACCGTAGCCCTGGTTTGCCCCTTACCTGGGGAATTTGGTCCATTTGCGTGTACCCGTCTACAGCACATGGTTAGCAATTGGGGATCAGAGTACGAGATGTTGGTGTCGAGAACATACCTTCCGCCATTCCCTAACCAGCCGCGGCATGCCCAAAATAGCCGTACGTCTCTTTTCCATTCTACGGTATTGTCAGCACCAGTCCATGAAAGACGAGTTCGTATTCTACGGGGTCGGCGAGTTTCCCCGGTACCAGCACCAGAAAAACTCGCAGACGCCGCATAGAACAGCACGACATACCTCGGGGCCAGCATTCTCTCGTGGTGATGACCCTTGACCTTCTGTCCCACACCGGTACCCTTGACACGCAGACCCTCCTCGACACGCTTGCGAATGCGCTCCTCGGTGCCCTTGTTGGTGAAGGGCAGCAGCTCCTCAACGCCGGCCTCGCGGGCCAGCTTGACCAGCTCGGCCTGGCGGCGCAGGGAGAACTCGGGCTCCTGCCACTTGCCGGTGACGGGGTGCTTGTGTGGGAGGAAAGGGTTCGGCACAGCGCCCTCCTGAGCCTGTAGCGAATTCGCGCGTGTGTTGACGGGCAGGATCTGGGTGGGCGGGTACTTGGCCAGGAAGCGCTGCAGGCGCGGGTGGATGGCCTTGGCCAGCTCGACGTAGCGGTTGGCGACGGCGGCCATGATCGCAAGCGCTGCCTCTCTGCACGTTGCGGTCGGGCTCGGGGGCGAGGCGGGTTGTCGAGGGCTGGAAGGGCTGTTGATGAGCAGTGCAGGTCCGGTCCCCTGATGGAGTTTTGGCCGTGAGCGAAGCTCCTGCATAGGAAATTTCGGCTGGGTGCTGGCACTGGCGGGCGCGTTTCCTTAGCGGCAGAAGGCCCCCCGGCCACTGGAAAATCCCCGATTGGCTGCCTCGCCCGCCTAGACTCCGGCACGCCACAGCGCAGGCAACGGGCAGCTCTGGTGGGTATGGACGGTATCGACGCCGCCGTCAAACCCCTGCGGAAATACTACTCCTGCCCACCTACGTTAGGTATGTATGTACTCTACATAGTTACAGGCTAGCATCCGCCTTTTTTTTGCCGACGACCTTTTGCGCCGCCGTGCCTTGCGCCTTCAAAACGGCCCCTGAGAATACAAGACCCTCACCCTGCTCTCCCCTGGATCAGCCCATCGGTCACAGAAGTGGCAAGAGTTCTTGCGCGACCACCGACATCATGGGCATTCAGCCGCGTGCGCCATCCACCAACGGCACCGCCAACGGGGCACCGAATGGAGCCGCCAACAGCAAGAAGAAAGTTCCCCTCGACATCGAGCAGCTGTTGGCCAAGAAGAAGGCTGCCGACGACGCCGCATCCAAGCCCAGGTTCATCTCCAAGGCAGAACGAGAACGCATAGCGGCCGAGAAGGCAAAGGCGGAGGAAGAGAAGCAGCGACAGAGCAAGAAACAGAAAGACGACGAGGCGGCTGCCGCTGCGCGCAGCAGATGGAACAATCACTCAGACAGTCGCTCGGACGACCGCTATGGCCGGCCGAATGACCGCTACGGCAGAGACGGCAGAGACGGCAGAGATAGCAGAGATGGTAGAGACGCGCCCTCCGTACCAACTGGGCCCAGGGCCATGCGCCAGAACAATGCCAGCGAGAGACAGCCCCATAGAGGCGGCAAGAAGGATAAGGACGACAAGAAGAGACCCGCCCCCGAGGAGACAGAGGCCGCCTTGATACGAGAACGGTACATGGGCCCGCAGATGAACGTGTCGACATTTTCTGCCGACAAGAAGCGGAGGCGGACGACCGAGAAGAAGTTCAACTTTGAGTGGGATGCCGCCGAGGATACCAGCCAGGATTATAATCCCATTTACGCCGACCGCGTCGAGCCCACCTTCTTCGGCAGGGGCCGTCTCGGTGGCTTTGGCGACGACATGACCGAGGAGAATGCTAGGAAATACGCCCAGTCCCTGATAGAACGCGATCCCGAGAACGGCGAAGCGAGAGCCCAGGAGATGCTGGAGATGATGCGCCGTGCCAAGGAGAGGGCAAACCGCAACGCTCTTGGCAAGCACTGGTCAGACAAGAGTCTGGAGGAGATGCGGGAGCGCGACTGGCGCATCTTCAAGGAGGACTTCGGCATCGCCACCAAAGGCGGGCTGATTCCCAACCCCATGAGGAACTGGCAAGAGTCCGGCCTGCCGCGGCGCCTCCTTGATATCATCGCCCAAGTCGGTTACGACGAGCCATCCCCCATTCAGCGAGCAGCTATCCCGATAGCCTTGCAGGCTCGTGACTTGATCGGCGTCGCTGTCACCGGTTCCGGAAAGACTGCTGCCTTCTTACTACCCCTACTGGTCTACATTTCCGAGCTGCCGCCACTCACAGAGGCAACGAACAATGATGGCCCGTATGCCCTCATTATCGCACCTACTCGTGAGCTGGTTCAGCAGATCGAAACCGAAGCCAGGAAATTCGCGACGCCGCTTGGTTTCACTGTTGTCAGTCTAGTCGGTGGTCATGCCCTTGAGGAGCAAGCGTTCGCACTCCGTAACGGTGCTGAAATCATTGTCGCCACCCCTGGTCGGCTGGTCGATTGTATTGAGAGACGGCTGCTCGTTCTATCACAGTGCTGCTATATTATCATGGATGAAGCAGATCGAATGATAGACATGGGTTTCGAGGAATCCGTCAACAAGATCCTGGACGCCCTTCCAGTAACCAACGAGAAGCCGGACACAGAGGCAGCTGAAAATGCCCAACTCATGTCTCGCCACCTTGGGGGAAAGGACCGTTACCGCCAGACAATGATGTACACAGCCACAATGCCTCCTGCTGTGGAGAAAATCGCCAAAAAGTACTCTCGTCGTCCAGCCATCGTCACCATTGGTAATGCTGGTGAGGCCGTCGACACCGTTGAGCAGCGCGTCGAGTTCGTCGCCGGAGAGGACCGCAGGAAGAAACGCCTTCGCGAGATCTTGCTCGACGAGGGTTTCAAAGCCCCGATCATCGTATTCGTCAATATCAAGCGAAACTGTGATGCCATTGCCAAGGAGATTAGCCGCATGGGTCTCAGCTGCGTCACGCTGCACGGCTCAAAGACCCAGGACCAGCGTGAGCAGGCCCTGGGCTCGGTCCGAGCGGGCCACACCGAAGTCCTGGTGGCCACGGACCTGGCGGGTCGAGGTATCGACGTGCCCGACGTCAGCCTGGTCGTCAACTTCAACATGGCGCCGTCCATCGAGGCCTACACGCACAGAATCGGCCGTACCGGTCGTGCCGGCAAGAGCGGTGTGGCCATCACCTTCCTCGGCAACGAGGATGCCGACACCATGTACGACCTGAAGCAGATGCTGAGCAAGAGCAGCATCAGCCGCGTGCCCGAGGAGCTGAGGCGCCACGAGGCCGCCCAGTCCAAGCCCACGCGGGGCGGCGGCGGCAAGAAGGCCGTCGAGGAGTCGGGCGGCTTTGGCGGCAAGGGTGGGTGGAATTAAGTATAGTGGAGTTTTTGGGATACCATCAGATAGGAGAATGAAATCAAATGAAGCTTAAGTGGACTGTGATATTGCGTCAATCAACTGAATGGTTATCCATAGTTGTCTCGCTAAAGGCAGATAATTGTACTTCTCTTCCTACAACCCCTGAGCGAACTTATAGGCATGTAATTTTCGTTCGCCTTATCCAGCACTCGACTTCAATTACCGATAACTGATTGCCTTTCTTTTCAAGGACGTCTCATTTTGCAAGTCCACGTAAACCTGTTAGCTACGCTTTGATTTTCGTAGACGGCGCCGTTGCATAAAGAAAGATATTCAACGACCCTTTCCGCCAAGCGTCGCAAAGTCTCGAGCATCGGATAACCCGAAATGCAAGTAGTCCTGGCCTGCAATGAACTAGAGGACGGCATAGAAGGACAAGGACGCGTGTCCATACACTCACTGTCGTGAGAAGGTACCCTTACCATCAGGCCGCCTTATCAACGCCAAAGTGTACACACTACTGCGGTCAGACCCTGATCACTGTTTCACAGGCGACACCCATGGATATGTCTCAAATCCAGAGTGCTAAGACACCGGTGCCAATATTTCCACGCTCTAGGCCGTTGTAAGACAGGAAACGAGTGTAAGAACTAATAAGAGGGCGGCCATTAATAGGGGTGGCCCACTCAATTATACAGTTTGATGTTTTCTCACGTGAGTAATAGAGTTGTTTGATATTATCTATCTCTATACGCTTATAATATGACCAAGCAAGATACGAGACAGGCGGCTCCGGCTACGCTCCACATCCTGTGTGCGCCGCGTCCTGACATCGCACCAGCATACTGCAGCGATGTTGTCGGGCTCGGCGCGGCCGCCGTACTGGTCCCGTTGCCTCCGCCGGGCTGCGTGCCGTTGCCTCCACCGCCGCCCGAGCCAGCGAGCACGATCTTCTGCACACCGCCCGTCACCGTCTGCAGCGGCGCCACGAAGGCCATCTGGCTCCAGCTGAACTGCGTGTTGCGGCCGCCAAAGACAAAGACCTCGAAGCGGCCCGCAAAGCGGCCGTCAACCCACACCCGGGCACCGCCCACGGCGTCCCCCGTGATGGTGACCTCGGCCGGCGCCGCGACGGCGACGGGCTCGTGCGACGATGTCGTGGCGTTCACCCAGATGCGGCCCGGGTGGCCCGGGTCGAACCCGTCGGCCTCGGCCACCGCCCGCAGCGGGTACTCATAACCGTCGGCGCTGAAGACCAGGCTCTCGTTCGGCAGGAGGGAGAGCGCCGCGTCGTCCGAGGACAGCGTGAACGGCCCCGTGACGGACAGCGTCAGCGTGTAGTTCAGGCCCCTGCTGCCGCCGCCGAGTGTGACCGGGGTGTTCTCGTCCTCGTCGCCGCGGGTCCACGAGACGAAGCTCGTCTGGTGCCGCTCCAGGTCCTGCGACGGCGCGTGTGTGGCCCAGTACTCGAGCAGGGCCTCGACGTCGCCGGGCTGCTCGATCCGCCCGCCGTTCCACGCCTTGGCCGCGATCAGCGGGATCCCCTTGCGCATGGCGTAGTAGGCCTCGAGCTGCGTGGTGGCGTCGGGCCCGTTGTCGTTCCAGGCGGCGAGGATGGCGCCCCTGTCGCCCTCGCCGCCGGCGACCGGGACGAGCTGCTGCGTGGTGTTGGCGGCGCTGGTGTTGAAGAAGGACGGGTCCCACTGCCAGCTAGCGCTGTTGGCCTCGCCGTCTCGGGGCACGACGATGCGCGTCGTGTTGAAGAACTGCGGGTACGGCGCCGGCGAGATGGGCATGTGGTCGTTCTTGAGCGACATGTAGGCCCAGTAGTCGGCCGAGTTGATCAGGGCGTGGCCGTCGCGGCGCAGCTGCGCCGGGTCCGACTGCCCCAGCTGCCAGTGCTGCACGACGACGTCGCGGGCGATGGTGGTCCGGTTCGAGGGCTCTTCCGTGCCCCAGATCCGGACGCGCTTGCCGGAGGTGGCGTTCACGAAGGCGGCCATCTCGTTGACGAAGTGGTTGTAGTCGTCCGCCAGCGTCGCGTCGTACTCGTCGGCTCCGATGTGCACCTCCTTGGTCTGGAACCAGGGTAGGAACTCGGCCCAGATGCGCTTGACCGTCGGCACGCTGTCCGGATGCGTCAGATTCAGAAGGTCCTTCTTGGCCAGGGCCAGCTCGGGCTTCCACTTGGTGATGGCGAGGCAGTGGCCCGGAGCCTCAATCTCGGGGATCACCGTAATGCCCCTCTGAGCACAGTGCTGCTGGAGATCCTCAAAGTCCGCCCGGCTCAGGGTTTGGTTGGGCCTCTGCACGAGGCCGGCCGCCAGCTCCTCGTCCTCAGGGTGGAGAGAAAACTGCGTGTATACGTCGGTCCACGTCTCGTTGTGCCCTCGGTTCAGGGGGTAGTTGTCACTGGTGTGGTAGTGAAACTCAGACATCTTGAAGAAGGACGCGTATGTGCATAGGTCCTTCAGGAACGCGGGCGAATACCATTTCCTTCCGGCATCGAGCAGGTAGCCCCTTGTTGGGTAGTTTGGCGCCTCCTTGACCGAGATGCCTGGTACCTCGGTCCAGTTGCTCACGATGAGATACTGGAGCAACGTCCTTGTGCCCCAGAACACTCCCCGAGCTCCAGCTCCAGAGATGGTCGCTTTATCTCCTTTGATGATAAGCTGGTAGCCTTCCTCGGTGGGGGCACCAGTGGCGTACGTGAAGTCGCTCTCGCTGCCGTTGTAGAGGGAAAGCAGGATGCCCGAGGCGTCCTCAGCGAGGCTGTCAACCACTTCTAGCGACCAGTCCTCCTTTGTCAGGTCGGCCAGTTCATCTCGAAAGATCTGGGCGAACTCTTGCCCTGAAGGCGGGATCAGCGTCAGACCTCCCAGGTCCCTATGTGAAGCGAGGTCCCGCGTGATATATATCGACTTGGCGACATCCTTATATCTGAACGAGGCAGAGAGATCTGGCTGCCCGCTTGCTGGTGCTGCTATGGGTGGTGGAAGCAGCTGCAGTGCAAAAGCACCCACCGCAAAAGTGACGATGCCAAGCTTCATTGTGATGTATACATTTAGCCCTTTTATTCCTTTTTCACGCCAGCTTGGACGATGAATAAATATGGCAAGTCCCCAAAGGTAAATGCATGACTGGGAGGAAGCGGGGTCTTTAAAGACCCAAGTGCAAGAAGGCCTTATCTCATGAAGCAGAGGCCGAGGCCGAAGCCGAGTGTGCCTTACGAACTAGATATCGGTGGTTGGCGATGTCGGTGGTATCTCAGACCCGCACGACGTCGCGCCTCACCACCGGGTTGGAGTCTGGGGTTGATCAGCGGGGTCGAGGCAAGGGTCCCGTTGGAACGTTGCACACGTTCCCCAAGGCACCATGAACTAAACGTCGAGTCAGCCAGGCACGATGCTTGGCGCTCGTATCTACAGTACACGGTAGCGCCAGTGGCCCTGAGTTTTTAAGTTCACTGAACGATTCTGTAGCAATTGTGTTGATACTTGAAGCAGCCAAGGCAGGATAGGTATGTTGATAGGGATGCCACGACTAGGGAGACTTTCCGCTACTCAAACGCGAAACTAGTCAGGCCATGTCTCTCATGCCAGTAACAACAAACCAGATGAGGCATTAGCTGTAACTCAACTCTTCATCCGTATACCACAGTGTATCTACCTGCAGGAGCAATTTTCAAATGTCACCAGCGCAAGGAGTTTCCAGTGTGCCATATGGTATCGATTCACTCTATTTTCTGCCACAACCAGACACCGTACAATGCAGTTCCCTTTTTGTCTGCCTGAGTGCCTCCTCGTGGCATCGTAATCATCGTCTCACATTAGCCCCTTATACTGCCGTTGGCTCCAGAGTCACACCGCTATAGGCCGCAATTAGTATACACATGATAAATACCTGTTACAAGGGGACTGGTCACTTACGCGTTGATGGTGGCCCAACCAATCAGACGCCAATGCTTCTCGATACGGCGGGACAGAGCGATCTTCTCGCCCAGATTCGTGCAGGCAGGGGATGTGAGAGACAGCTTCGCGGCATCTTGCTTAATGGCAACGACCTTAGCACCGGTAGATGTCGATCCAATGTTAACCATGAGAACTTCGTTCTTGGCCAGCTTCGCGACCTTGGCCTGCTTGCCATCCGCGGTCCGGACACCCAGAAGTCTCTTGAGGAGGTAGAAGTTGACCTCGATCTCGCTGTAGATGGCAGGCAGGCGGCCCTTGAGACCCAAGACGAAACCGACCAGACGATCGGCTCGGCAGAGGGTAGGGTCGATGCGGGTACCGACACCGATCAGACCACCGGGGACGGCGTACTTGAGCTCGTTGAACTCGGAGTTGAGCGAGACGATTCTGCTCGAGATGGGCTTGCACTGCAGATTGCCCTTATCGTCGCGAGTGACAATACCTGGTCTGATCTCGATCTCGTCACCGAGCTTCAAGACACCGTGGAGGATACTGCCACCGGCAACACCACCCTTGAGCTCCTCGATCTCGGCACCGGGCTTGTTAACATCGAAAGATCGAATGACCATCATGTGGGGGTCCTGGGTGAAATCTCTGGGGGGCACAGGGATGGTGTTGACGATGGCCTCGTTGATAGCGTCAATGTTGAACTTGAGCTGGGCGGAGATGGGGATGATGGGCGACTTGGCGGCAGGCGTGCCACGGACGAACTTGAGGATGGACTGGTAGTGCTGCTGGGCAGCCTCCTCGCGCATCAGGTCGACCTTGTTCTGCAGAATAATGATCTTATCCAACTTCATGATCTCAATGGCAGCCAGATGCTCCGAGGTCTGGGGCTGGGGCACGGTTTCGTTACCGGCAATCAGGAGCAGGGCGGCGTCCATGACGGCGGCACCTGACAACATGGTGCTCATGAGAATGTCGTGACCGGGGCAGTCGACGAACGAGACATGGCGCAGAAGTCTGTACGTGCCGCTGCATCCGTCGCGCTCACACGGGGGGTCGACCTCCTTCTCGCTCTTGTAGCTTCGGAAGCAGGTCGGGCGCGGGCACTCGGCATTGTCACACTTGTAGATCTTGGCGTTGGCATAACCAAGCTTGATGGTGATGTTTCGGATCAGCTCGTTCTTGAAACGGACCGTCTGGACGCCCGAGATGGCCTTGACGACGGTACTCTTGCCGTGGGCGACGTGGCCAATGGTGCCGATGTTGATGGTGGCCTGCCGCGCGATGATCTCGGGGGTGAGCGGCGTTAACGTCTTGACGTCGAGGTCCTTGGGATCGGTCTGCGGGGGCAGCTCGGGGCGTTCTACGGGCGGGGCGGCGACCAGGGGCGTCTTCTTCATGGACGACTTGAGCGGCTTCTGGTCGAGGTCGTCGGCGCCGTCGTCGAGCTGCTGCTCGTCAACCGAGTCGCCAGACTCCGACTCGGAGTCGGGGATATCGTTGCCAAACTTGTCGGCCGACATGGTGGCGGGAATTCGAACGGGTTGCGGTGTCGAAGAGGTCTGCTGTTTTTTATGGGTTTTTCTTGCGGGAGGAGGAGAGTCGCGAGGAGGATTGCCGGCGTGGTGAGTCGGTTGCTCGCGTGTGTGTGCCGTTGGGATCCGACTTGGTGGGAGGAGAGATTGCTGCCAAATGACGAACGTTATCCCACCTTTGCCTCCAGTATTTTCAATTTTGTGGCGGTGGTGCAGTCACAGCGATGACTCCTCTGCCTCCAGCTGCTCAGGTGGGATGAGATGTCCGGCAGGTCTTGTCGCCAGCTGCCACCCCAGATAAGATAAGCTGGAGCTCGACGAGGTGAAGCGGGGCATCAGGCATTCCCCCGCCATGGTTCCCTATTCACACTTGACAGACTATTGCACAACCAGGACAACACTATTAGACAGACGGAGTGACCCGCCCCCCCTACATTTTACACCTACAAACAAGAGTCGCGTCTGGCGGGCTTTATCGTGTATTTCATTTTCCGATGTCGACAGGTCTTCTTTCTACAGGAGGCTTATTTGTCTCTACCGATATAACAGAAGCCAGCCAACTTGGGACACACATCCAGTAAGTGCCAAGTTAGGTTGGCATAGGTCTGATCATACCGAACTACGGGCCTGTGAAAGAAGCTCAATCAAATCAAGGATGCTGCTCCGGCACATCACATAGAATCTGCCCGACGTGTTTTGTATCAGTCCATGTCTTACCGCACATGGTCCAACCAGGCTGCCTGTAGACGACGATGTAATCGACAAAGAGTTCCCGGTATGGCATATGCTTGAGAACAGTTTTGCGTATACTTTATCCGTTTACGCCAAGGCCTCTAGGCAGATACAGCATATTCGACTGTTCATCGACGTCAAGTTTATCGTACCGATCGTGGGGTATACCAGTATAGGCTCTGGTTAGGAATTAGCTTCGTACTCCTGGACACGTGATAACACGGCCTTATTTTATAAAGCATAGCTGGTATTCTGCGCCGGACTTGAGGATTGACTTCCAGGAATGCGTATACACATACGCTCGGATCAAAACAGTATTGAGCTTTTTGCAAAGCAACAGTCCGGTCGGACGATATATGTTGCCGGTATAGAGATGCTGCTCGGGTAGCTCGTAGTCAAGTCATAGTCGCGGTTGGTCGGCGCTGGGATCCCCTGCAGCCCTAAAGTCTGGACGGACCAGGGAACGAACGGCTTAGCCTGGGGCATTCCACAGGATGGCTACACCACAGCCGACTCTACAAACCATCTCACTCAGGGAAGATGAAAGGCCAAACATTCCTCGGAGCCTCTGCACCGGACAGGGAATACAAGACAAGAAAACCGCATATTCTTGGAATGTGACGACAAGCATTACTCAATAGTTTGTCGAGCAGACCATGGACGTGATTATGGATCTGCTCTTCCATCGAATAGCAGCCAGACCGCCACCGTGGTTTAATTATAACACTGCTGCTCACGCGTCATCTCTAAGCGATCTCCGAAAATCGTCAGGCTTGACTTCGTGATAGCCCGGCTGGAGATCACTGCTGAAGAAAGAGCTTCCCAGATTTCCAGACAAGGTAGCAGTCTCCCGTCGGGCTGACCTCTCTGCTGGGTTAAATGGATGCACGCCCGCCAACGGGGAATGCAGGTCATTGGCTGGCCGGCCAAGCAAAGTAACCCTATGGTGGTTAAAAATATCCTCTGGCTGCCGCAAACGTGGGCTAAATGGGTGTGCCACGAGCCAGCCCTCCCGGTAGAAGTGGCGCCATGTCGACATTGTGTGGGTGAAAATGCCATGCAGCAAAGTCCCATCGGCCGTCGAGTCCTACGGAAGCACAGCGCAGACGAGGAGACTCGAGAGGGCCCGAGTCCAAAAGATCCCGGCCCCATTGCAACGGGAGAAACACCCGGGCCCACAGCACCCCGATCGCTCTTTGCCCTCTTGAGCTTCGTCCAGCAGCTCTGATGACAAGTGTGCGACCTTTCTTCCAGATTGAGTCGAGCCGTTTATTTTCGACTCTGCTGACATGCAGTACGCGATGCTACTTTCTTGCCCGGAATAGAGTGGCTGGGCTGCTGTCGTGTGCCCCAGCTCGGTGACTGTCCGTGGTCGCTGCTGTTCGCCTGCGATCTTCTGCTGGGGCAGCGAGGGGTTTCGCCGCTCGTGGTGCCATCCTCGCATAGGGTTTGCCTGACGAACACACAATTCGAGCAAACACCACACACTCTGTCTCTTGCTCCCGAGAGCCATCGGGCTATCTGGGGGTCTGGGCGACAAGAATGCATTTGCGGTACGCTTACCGCCCAATCCTGGGACCCATGCAATATGATCGCTGGGCATCACGCATCCCTCGCCTGTGATTGGGCAGGTGTTCCTGTCCTCGCATGCCGCACCTAGACCATCTACCTATCACGCGGAGAGTTGAACGACCAGGGTATAGCAAAGCGCTCGACAGGGTCGCGGCGGTTGGCCTAGTCCGTCCAACCAGATGCATTACCCGCCCTCTTTCTGTTCAGTCCCTGGCACTTGTTCCTCAACCTCGCATGTAAATTTGGCATCTCGAATACGCCCAATCGCTGCCGCTCCCTGCATCTGCAGACCTGTTGGCTGCAACGGCCGGGGCGGCAATCCCAGAGATGGCAATCAATGTTCGCTCCGCTCGGGAAAAGTGTACTTCTTGCTGCTAGTGACACGTAATGGCACCGTGACACCTTGCTCGGCGAGTGTCGCCTGAACTATCTGTGTCGCTGTACTTTGCCGGCATGCGATGTACTTCGCGTCCGGGTGTTCTTTTCGTCGTGACTTGCACAACCCCTCTTCTCTGATATACCCAGCCTCTCTCGCCTTGCGGCCACCGAGAGCTGTCATCAAAACTCTTCTTCTCCGGGTTAACTGGTCAGAAGTACACCTTTTCACCAGTCTGTCAGTCTGCGACGTCGACAGATACACAGGAGTGTCAGGCGGTTTGATCTGGAATCTGGCGATTCACATCAGATTCATCACGAATCCGGCGCCACTTGGTCAAGTCCCGGGCGTCTATTCGAGTCTATCTTGTCCACTAAGAAATTGGGTCCCTCTGCAACCGCCCTATCAGAGGAATCACCACTGGCAGTTCCAGACCCCTGGTCGTTGTGAGCAAATCCCATTGCTTCTTGCATAGGCTCCTCCACTAACGGCCCCATGCAGCGGCTGCTCTGGATTGATCGAATGAGATTGTAGTTGTGTTACAACAGCGCCTACTCAAAACCTCCTCCTCTCCCAGCTATCCCGCCTTGGGGGTTCTTCTTTCCCTCGATAGCTGGCCTCATCCAATATTGTTCTCAGATTGCTTCTTCACCTGCTTGAACTACCCGCATAGTAGTTCTATGAACGAAGCATACATATATACGCCCTTCCTTTATCAGCCCGTATAGAGCGTGTTTCCGTTCTCTTTTTGCTTCCACACATCACAACACCATGAGTCCACTGGACGACAGAAGGCGGCCCGCCGCCCTGAACCTCACACCCTCACGGTCGTCGTCGGCCGGCTCATCCACAACCACATCGTCTCTCAAGCCGCCAAGGACACCAAGATTTGCTGAGGCGACGACCGTCCATTCGCCTATTGATGGAAGGGGGCCGTTCGCAGACAGGTCAGAGGTTGCTCAGGCCCAGCCGGCTGATGTTGGGTTCGGATATATCAACAATGGGTCGTCGAATCGGGAGTCCGTCAACGTCCCAATGACACCGAAGTCGCCCCTCAAGAGTGCTATGAGGGTTCCTGGGACGCCAGCAAGGAAGTTCGACAACCCTCTGAGCCCTACCTTCAGGGAAGAAGAGATCCTGGAGAAACGCGAGAAGCTTACTGAGAAGGAGCAAGCTAAGGATCTGGTATGTCATTCACTCAAAAGCACGCTTTGTGTACTTGCTTACACTCTTCTCAGACCATCAAGACACGAGTACGGATGGCCAAGTTTGCTCTGCGTGGTGTCAACTTCAGCTGCAGCCTGATCATTCTGTCCATGCTTTCCTCGTCCTTTGCCATCTTCAACGCGACCAAGGTCCTACCAGCACAAAACAGCCTGCCCGCCTGGGCTCCGAACACGAACTCGTGGCCCCAGAAGGTTGTCTTGGCCGCTGCCTGCGTCTCTCTTGCTGTCTGTGTCCTGGTCTTTATCGGCTACTGCCGCGGCGGCCACCACAGAGCTGAGAAGGTTGGAGTCTACTACACGCTCTTCGCTGTCGGCTGGTTCATCTTCAGCATGGTCATGTGGGCTATAGCGGCGGGCATTTTGCAGTACAGTCGCAGCAACTCCAACAACAAGGACATGTGGGGATGGGCTTGTGTTCAAAATCACCGGTCCGATCTCTTTGCGGACAAGGTAGACTATGCGCTTGTGTGCAGGCTTCAGGTAAGCTATCCTCGCAGAATTCCATATATGAGGCACGGAACTAACAGTGAGGATAGAACTGGTCACTGATCTGCATCATCATTGAGATTGTGGTCGAAGTCATCAGCATCACTCTTTACAGCGTTGTCTTCTACCGGTACTACACCAAGCGTCGCCTGACCAAGTCAATGGACATGCGAGACCGTGCTCGCTCGGATCTCTACCTCGCTCAACTGCGCAGCCAGTCGGCACCCAACACCCCCGGGTTCGGCCCCAAGTCGCCTGCCTTCTCGCAGTACGCCTTGTCCCCTCGCTTCCCGCCTTCGACCTACAACTCGCTCTCCGAAGTCTCCGAGGGCCCATCGTTCACTCCCGCCGCTCCCATCGTCGAGCCTCCATCAGCCTTTGCCGCAGCAGCCTCGCCCAGCTCCCCGAGTAAGCCCTTCAGTCTGCAGGCACCGCCGAAGAAGGCCCCCAGTGCAACCCCTAAGCTTGGCGGCTTGAGGACACCGGACACGCCGAACGCACCGCAACCCAACTTCACCTTTAGTGAGCACGCACCCGCGGCACCGGGCGAGCAGCAATACGCGGCCGTGCCGATCCCAGGCGCCTACGCCGACGCGGCAGTGAAGAGCCCACCACCGAGCGACGTCAACTTCAGGTACACGTAGTTGATGACTGGGATGCTTTTTTCTTCTTATCCTATTCCCTTTGTTCAGCTGAGCTGATGGAAACGGGCGGACCAATCCGAGGGATGTGCGTGCGTGCTTGTGCGGTTATATACTCTTGACACCCTCCTACAAATGGCGTTTTAAGGAAACGGAAACCTCGAATACCTCTTTTGCGTTGGGACGGAAGCGGCAATACCTTCTTACTTTTTAACAGATGACGAATTTCTGCTCATCACGCCAGCCCAAGAACAAAATCCATCTCGTTGGCTAGGCTTGGGCAGATTCTGTCCTTTTCTTTTTCTTACTATAAATGTAATTACTTGTACAATCGAAAGAGATATCGAAGCTGAATCCGATCTTTATCGAGCGCCTGCCCCAAGACGTGCCGTGAGAAGTGTGACTTTGCAACCAGAGCCCGCGTATATTATACCCATCATTTGTCGTATAGTTACTATACGGAACAACGAAGTCACCGGCGGTCCCCCTAGGCTCATCCTAGAAAGCACATTCACAATTCCAGAGAACACGCCCTCGTTCGAGCATGTGCCTCTGTATGTTTGAATGTCACTGATCGCGCCCCCAACACCTTTGTCTCTCGCAGCACGGAGAAGAAACCCGGCAAGGATCCTGCCGGGGTCGCGGCCTGCGCCATCTTGGGGGTGGCAGCCAAATCTTGAGGCCTGTTTAATGTTGCACAGGTTGCACAGGGCTGCTACGGGGTGGAGGGGGCCTTCGAGGAAGCAGGTACATGGAGAAGTTAGCGGGCGCGTTGCAGTACTGGGCGGATGATGGCGTATAGCGTTTTACGACCGAGACAGGAGATCAATCCTGCCAGGCTCGGAGGTGCGCACGTGTGGCATGTTCTGGCTTGAGACTGGATGGCTGACAGGCCGAACTTCAGGGCAAGCCGGGCGTTTCCAGACAGAACTCTACGGTGGATGGTATGCAGACTGTATTTGTAGCGGCTATTACTCGTAAGTCCACGACTGACTCTGCTGCAATGAGTATGGGTCATTGGCTTGTATGCTGCACCCACTCTACTTTGGATATACCGTAGATGATTAGGTTGGTGCACAGCACTTACAAGCAGTAGACCAGCTGCGCAGCAGGTGTTATCCCCTTGGCGGTTCCAGCTGTCCGTTAAATTAGGGGCAATTCTACCAAGTTTCGGGCCTGGCCAAGCCGGTGGCCCCACCGACGTGTGCCAGCGCGTAGAGAGACACGCAGACAAGGTGAGCTGCTACTGGGCTACTTATTAGTGAACAGGTTGTTGGTTTAAGGGGGGGGTGGGGGGTCCAATTAGTTGTTAGTTGGTTATTTGTTAGTAGTTACGGTAGCTCCTATTTTCCTTGGTGCTGCCGCCGCCGCTTTGCATCTGATCGTCACTTTCCAACACCAGGCCAGAGGGGAAAAAAACAGGGTTTCAGCTGCCGAACCCGTCTCCTTCATCCCAACACCACACCCACCGTCGTTTTGCTTGTATCCCGTAGACAGGTCCGGACCAATGGCAGCCTCCATGCAGCGCCTTCTCTGGCGGCAAGCCTCGCGCCCCTCGGCGTCGTCATCGCCCTCGCTCTCGTCCCTCGCCGGCCGCTTCCAGCGCGCATCGTACGCTTCCTCCCCCTTCGCCGCCCGAGCTGCCCCTACACCCTCCAGAGTCGCAACCCGCACCGCCCGGCGCTCCTACAGCTCCGAACCCCCCAAGGGCTCCAGCAGCAGCATCAAGTTCTGGCCCTTCCTGGTCATCATTGCCCTGGGCACCGGAGGTTACGCCATGGTAGTCAAGCAGAGAGCCGGTAAGTCGCATGATCGCATGATCGCATGAGCGTCTGTTACTGGTGCGCACACGGCCGAGGGGTCTGGGTCTGGTCACAGGGGGCCTGTCACACGCTGCTTGCCCAAGCTGCTACCATTCCCTGACTTGCCGTAGGCGTGCGTCGAGGGGAGAAGTCTCCATGCTGTCTACAGCGGCGCCAACTCCACCATCCTGCCCCTGAATCCGCGAATCCAGCAACAGCACCAGCAACAGCACTAGCAACAGCATTAGCCACCTCGTTGTCTACAGAAAGCAACTCCGAACAGCCGCTGATCCTCTCTGCCCTCCAGAAATGCCCGCCATCGACGCCCCCAAGAAAGCCGGCGAGCTCGGTGCTCCCGCCAAGTCCACCCCGACCTTCTCGGCCGATGACGTGACCGTCGTCTTCGTGCTCGGCGGCCCCGGCGCCGGCAAGGGCACCCAGTGCGCCAACCTTGTCAAGGACTACGGCTTCACCCACCTGTCGGCCGGCGACCTGCTGCGCGCCGAGCAGGAGCGCCCCGGCTCGCAGTTCGGCGAGATGATCAAGGACTACATCAAGAACGGCCTGATTGTGCCCATGGAGGTGACGGTGCAGCTGCTCGAGAACGCCATGGTCGCCGACCTGGACAAGACGGGCAAGGGCGCCATCGCCGGCCGCAAGGGCAAGTTCCTGATCGACGGCTTCCCCCGCAAGCTGGACCAGGCCCACAAGTTCGAGGACGCCGTCTGCCCCGCCAAGATGGTGCTCTTCTTCGACTGCTCCGAGAAGGAGATGGAGGCCCGCCTGCTCAACCGCGGCAAGACCAGCGGCCGCAGCGACGACAACGCCGACAGCATCCGCAAGCGCTTCCGCACCTTTGTCGAGACCAGCATGCCCGTCGTCGACTACTTCGAGACCCAGGGCAAGGTCGTCAAGGTCAACGCCGAGCGCAGCCCCGTCGAGGTTTACAAGGACACCCAGAAGCGGCTCGAGGGCGTCCTGGGCAAGGGCTTCTAGTTGAGCCGGCGCACTCGCCGGCTCCGGGCCCGGCGGCACCAGGGGAACACGCCTGGGTCACCGCCATGCAAGTCGAACCTCGGACCTGCACATCGCAGCAAGACACCCAAGCCTGTTCGGTCACCCGCCTCCCGTGCGACGCCGAGCTCGAGCCCAATCAAGACCACAAGCATATTCGTGATGGCAGCCGCCGCAGGCGGAGCCACTATTTGTACGGCATGGTAAACGTGTATAAAGTAGAACTTAGGAGCCGGGCGGGGGATCCGGCTGGGCCATAGAGAAAAACACACACACACACACATACGAAGACATGCGAGGGGGACATAGCAGGTAGACAGGGACCGCCCTCTTTTTCCTTTTTGTTACGTTCTGTATCATCATCATCACTAACATCCGCACACACCCGAAATGGGGCTTAGCGTGCGCGAGAGAAAGATTCTAGACAAGTCGACGTTTCCTTTTCATCATTCTGCTGTATAGTTCTTTGTATAGCTTTGCCGGGCTCTGTATCAACGCAAGACATAAGACTTTAATGGCATACACCAACGTGGCACTGATTTCCGGCTCGCAACTGTCGATGCTACTCTGGGTGAAAGGTGGTGATGCTGATATGGTTCGACGAAAGAATGCCCGGTTTTCGCAATTAGACGTACTCGTATTCAGGTGAAGATGGCGGCTCCGTGGTCTAGGGAAATTCCAGCATCGGGTATAATGGTGAGAACGTCCCTCCCACATGTCGTAGAGGCAGCATTTAGCAGTGCAACGGGGGCCGTACGTATTCACACAAACCCACATGTCACCAGTAACTCCTCACATCAAGGCTGCTTGTCATCTTGAGAACAGGAAAAAAAAAATTGTTGTGTGGCAATGCATCTATCCTTTTTTGGCTCGCGGGCCCTTTCTAATGCTAGGACTCCCGCTCTACCCTGGGTCTACGAGCCGCGCCCCCGAGAGAATCATCTTGCACCCCCAAGGGGGTGTATGCCGTGTCCGCTCTTCCGGGTCCGGCCAACGAGTACTGGGGGAGAGAAATGCTCCCGACAGTAGGAATCCGGAGGAGGGAAAAAAAGCTGGCTGGTCCTCTCCTTCTCTCGTTCTTTCTCTCTCTCCACACTCTCCTTAGCTTTGTCTCACACACAGGGAGACGGTACAGTATCAGTGATGTAGTATATCTCATGATCGCCTTGCTATGCAGTGTTCATGATCACGTGTTTTTCACCATCCATCCATTACGCCTAAGACAAAAATCCCAGGTGATTCTCTCTCTCGCTCGCTCCCCTCTCCGGCCCTGAGAGCCGACCGTTCCTGGACGGCGGAAATCGATCAGCAGAGAGAACAAGAAGAGGGCGTTTAGTCGTCATCGTCAGTCCGGGGCTTGGGCGGCGGTCTGTCGCCGCCGGCACCACCGGCGCCTCCTCTTCGGCCCCCGCGCTGGGGTCTGTCCTCAATACCGGCGCCGGCGAGCTTGCGCTCCAGCTCCTCCTGCTCCCGCTTCCTCGCGGACTCGACGGCGGCCTGCTCGCGTCGCAGGGCAGCGGCAACGTCCTTGAGCGTCGACGTCCAGCCGTCGACTCTGTCGCTCAGCTCGCGCCACTGCTTCTCGCCGAAGACGCGGTACCAGGCACGGTGGACCAGGAAGACCTTCTGGCGTTGCGAAAGCTTGCCCTCGACCAGGCCGGCGCGGATGATGTCGATGGTCCACATCTCGATCTCCTCGTCGGGGATCTGAAGGGCGGCCGAGATCTTGGCGTAGGGGATCTCGCGGCTCTTGCTCTCGGCGGCAGCCAGCGAGGCGAAGGTGAGGAGGCGCATCTTGCGGAACAGCTTGTCGGCGTCCAGCTTCTCCTTCTCGATCCAGCCCTCGTGCTCCTCATCGAACTGCTTGTAGTCCTCGAGGTCCTTCTCGGCGAAGACCATCAGGAGGTCGTAGTAGACGGGTTGGGTTTCTTGCAGAGCCGAGACGGCGGGGACGCCGAGCAGGTCTGAGAAGTCGTAGTGGGTGGGGGAGAGAAGGGCGGCCTTGAGGGCGCGCAGGGTCAGGCGTTGAGCCTCCTCCGTCTTGTTGTCCTCGTCGTCAAAGGTTCGGACAGCCTTGAGGACATATTCGTATGACAGCCTACAAGAGAGGCATACAGGTTAGCAAAATGTGCCACAAAGACAACGCGGTGCGCTATGCGCCGAGACCATAGGTGGCTGGACTCACTCGTCGTCACCGGCGTCTGAGGCGGCCTCGGCAACGGCCTCGTACAGCTTTCGCTCGTCCTCCTCGTCGATGTCCCACTCCTGCACCCAGGACTCGAGCTTGGGCAGGTACTTCTTCAGCTGGTCGAACAGGCCGTTGAGCTTGGTGAAGCGGACGATGGCGGAGAAGACGTGGTAGCGGGTCTCGTCGTCGGGCTTCAGCATGTTGAAGATGTTGGTGAGGGTGCCGAGGGCGAGGCCGGGGCCGTTCTGGGGCGACGAGGTGACGGGCTTGACCAGGTTGTCGCAGACGCGGGACAGGAACATGTTGGGGTTCTTGGACTGCAGGACGAGGTAGACCAGCAGGTTGTAGGAGGCGGTGAACTCGCGCTCGGGGACCATGTTGAGGGCGGCCGAGGCGATGATGAGCTTCTTGAGGATCTCGTCCTGCTGGTCCTTCTCGATGAGGGGCTTGACGTCCTGGCCGACGTTGAGGTAGTCGGCCATCTCCTGTGCCAGCTCGTTGAACGAGCCGTCAACGAAGACGAGCTGGGGTTGGAACGCGGCGTCCATGGTGGCGGCCGAGTTCGTCGTCGACCCTCTGGAGGATCAGGTCGAGGTAGTCCGAGTAGCGGAGATGGGGGTCCCGGGGATGGGGGTGCGGATCGCGGCGGTCGTGGGCGTCGTGGTCCGGGGGAGAAGGAACCTCGTATGCGGAGTGGCGTGCGTAGAAGGCGGCCTTGTCTTGGTCACGCTGCAACTTCTGGCGGTGCACGGAGTTGATGCCGGGGAGTCTGAGCAGCAGAGCTTTGCACCAGCGGCGGCGGCCTGCAGTCATCGCGAAATTTCACTTCGCGGGGCCACTTGGGCGAAATTCTGTGCGCGGGGCTGAGACGCGGATAGATGCATGCAGAGTTCCCCAGCCCGGACAGATGCACTTATCCGTGTTTTTCCACGCTGGGTCCCCGCACTTTGCTCCCCTGGCTCCTTATCTCCAGTGCGCCGTTCGGACCCGTCTTTTCTTATCGGCATCCTATAGATGCATAAGTTGCAGTACAATGAATGCCACAGTGTCCGTCTAGTGTGCCCCTCCTTTTTTTCCCAAGCGCCCAACTCAAAAGCGCTTCTATTTTCCCCGTCTGGCCTGGGGTGCTCTGCCCCTATCATCCATAACCGTAGCTACAGTACCCGTTGTAGCCACCCGCTGCGAATCGTGCCATCTTCAACATCAGCCATGTGTGTTAGTGGATCGGGGCGTGTCCGTTGTCACAAGATAAGCCATCTGATTTCACGTCACCACAAGCTGATTAATTCATTTCGCCCTTGTAAAATGCGCTGCGGCTCATTGTGACTCTGTAATGGCTAGCAAGTCCCAGACCCCTTGTGAGCCACAGCCTTTTGTAATACCATGGCAAGTTGGTCAAGTAAAATCCCCTCATATCTGATTGCGGTCAACACATGCTAGACTGATAGGCTGAAGAATCCATTTCGGCCAAGGGTAGCCGGCCGGCCGTCAAGAAAGTACACAATATTCAGGGGTATCTCTCAGGTGCGCCGCCGCCGTAGAGCGGTCCTCGACCGCTCGTACTCTTAAATACACCGCAAAGTAGGTATTCCTCAAGCAAGCACATAACGCCTTGATCGTCCAAGGTGTTGAATAATGCCCATAAAATAAAATATCCCCCCGCTCCGGTCTTTCCTGCTAGGTGATCTGTGCCTAGCTCAATGTCAACAGTTGTCTCTTAACGAGTTCAGCTCGCTCGTCGGTTGGGCGGCACAGTGGCCGGAATCTCCTCATCCGGGTCCGAGTCCGACGATGGGCTGTCGTCGTCCACAACAATAGGCGCCGCTGTGGGACCGCTGGGCTCCGGTACTGGCGGCGGCTCAACCGTGGCACTTGATCTCGATCCAGCCGACACGGGTTCAACCTCGTGAGGTTGCGGTGACTGTTGTACCGAGACAGACTGCCGCGGCGTATGGGTGCTGATGCGGTATCCATTTCTCTGCATCGAAGAGAGGCTTCGACCTTGACTGGGTGGCGGAGAAGCCTGCTGCGAGCCCGGCACCGTGGGATCCATCATGGCTGCTGTGGCACTGGCCCCTCCCAGGCCCGACGAGTTCATCTCCGCTACCGACAGATGCTTGCTCGGCGAAGGTTCGGGCGCAACTGGCATGGAGCTGGGAGGTTGCTGGGTGCTGCTAATATATGTTGGGGTGCCACCATGCCCATCATCCGTTCGCTGGCGCTTACTAGCGGGGGTGTCGGTCCTGCCATGCATACGCATGCGCTCGGCCTCGATTTCCGCCCTCGTACGGCGTTGTCGCAGGCGGACACCATACTTCTTGCGGATGATGCTTTGCTTGGTGCTGAAACTGTTCTGCACGGCTTCGATCTTCAGCTTGCGCTCGTTGGGGTCTTGAATGGCTTCCGCCTCCCTGAAGCGAGGCGCATATGTTTCCTCCGCTCGGCGAAGATCCTCGTCCATCCGCTCCCTTGTCTGGGGCGTTAGGTGAGCATACGGGTCAGCACCCGAGGGGGTAGATGGCGGCGGTCCTCCTCTGGAAGCGCTTGACGGCGTGTATTCATATTGCGGCGTCTGAGCAGCCGATGGCGAAGGCGCGTAGTTCGCAGCTCGCCAGGCGCTTACTGTCGGACCCTGTGGGGTTTGTGAAGGGCCTGGCGGAGGTGCAGCGGGACTATTGGCGCTTGATTCAAGGGCGGGCGAGGGAGTCGTGGGCATACCCCTTGGAGTTGCAGGGGCAGTTCCATGATCTCCGCATACCTTGTTGGCGTGATGCTACTGATATGTCAATATAATCCTGAGTGGATGGGCAAAAATAGCTACTCACGTATTGTTGGCCAACATTGGTGACGAACCCGGCACCGCAGTGCTCGCAGGAGAAGGGAAACCCTGCCTGACTTGGTGGAGCCTTTGTACACAGCTGTTTCTTGACGTGCTATATTATCCCAGTCAACAAAAGGTCATATGGGATACATGCGATTGGTAGCATGCTTACATATTCATATGGCGTCACCGACAGGAATTTCCGCCAACACTGAGTACACTGCAGGGGTTGTGTCGACTGATAAGGTGGTGCTTGTGCCCGAGCCTGAGGTTGATTTTGAGCGATTGGGCTCCGGTGTATCACGTCCGGCGTCGGCCTTGGAGCTTGATTCACATGATGGTATTGGCCTTGACCTTGCGTTTCCGGCATCAATGAAGGGGGGAAGGGCTCTGTTCCGGCAGGAGGGCCAGGTCGCATATCCACCACATCGTCATTCTCATATCCGAGACGCTCAGCTCGCGCCAGCGCGTTGATCAGCGAGCGTGCGTCGATGGTAGCCAGGCGCCGGTCGAGCGCCTTGTCAAGGAAGTGATCACTCGCCTTGTCCAAGATCCTGTCGGCTACATCATCGAGATCCTCTGCCATGAAGTGCCCTATCAACTCCTGCTTTGATTCTGATACCATCTTGCGGCCGAAATCTCGAATTGCGCGACGAATGATGAGACCGTTGGCGTGATGAATAACAGCGTTCATCTATGTTCGGGTTAGTCGTGCGAGCGTTCGCGCATGGATGGGCAGGTGTAATGCAAACGCAATGCGGAATACTAGTCTCGCAGGCACGTAAAAGGTTGATTGGGCAAACACTGCGGTTGGAGAGAGAGGATGTAGAGGAGGTGCTTGCAATATGGTGATACTGTATTAAATACGCGACGCGACTGCCTCGCGGCACTCAAGTTACGGCACGAGCCTTGACGTCCGTCAAGTTCCTCCTCCGATGATATATCACTGCCGAAGGAGGTTTTCGTACGATCTGGGGGGAAAGACCGCATAAAAATAAAGCAAGGATTATAAATACAACATACCACAAAGGCTTGGTGGAATTCTGTGCCTAACAATGATTTCTCCCAGTTGTCCCGGACGACACGTCGAACAGCCTCGGGCACGGATTGCTGCACCGCAAATGTGAGTCTGGAAACGTCTTCATTGAATTTGGGAAGTTCGCGTTGGTGGTCCCGGGTTGGCGACCCGAAGCTTTGGGAGAAGCTGGAAGTCCGATGTGCACCCGCTCCGGGCGGCTCTACTATAGCTACTTTGCCTTGGTGCATGGACGGCTGCCTGTTCAACAGGGCAGGCTGTGGTTGATGTTGGGGAGGAGCCTGGGGCTGTTGGGCGAGGTCCGGTGATGCTTGCAAATATGCCGGAGGTGCGGGCCCAGGCATCGGGGCCGGAGGCGGCGGCGGTGGTGGTTGGGAAAGTGGAGAGACTCCGGATCCTTCACGCGCGCCATGTCCATTAACGCCATTGGGAATGCCTCTGAATTCGCCGCTGGCTTGAGCAGGATGAACTGTCGTCGGCGAGGGCACAGGCGACTGCTGCGCAGCAGCTGTGGCCATCATCATCACCACCAATACACCACACCGGGCCCAGGCCTTGTTGGAGTCGACCGGCTCCCGTTTGAGAGCAGGGCCAAGTGGAAGGGATCAATTGCGCCCCCCAGATGGACACTTTGGCTGTGCTGTGTCTCAAGTGGGCTTCAGACTGACTGCTGGTACAGGTACACTATTACTGGGCATTCGGCTTCTCTAGACTGCCACGGCCCAAGGAGAGAGGCGAGGCGAGGGACCAGATTCTGGTGAGTCCGGACGAGGGGGCACGTTGCCAATTGACTGATAACTGCAAACACGGGAGACGGCGCGCGCAGGAGTTAAGGCAGGGAAGGGAGCTACAAATCGGGGGGGCAAAGCGCATTTTTAGGTAGTGAAAACTTGCATTTAGCGTCCTGTTAAAAAGAAGGACAAGGGTGGTCCGAACATATATAAGTGCTCCACAAGTTTATAACTCTGCGGGCCGCCATTGGCCGGCTCGGCCTGCATTACCAACGCGTTTTGGTGTGAGACGCTTTGTAATTCGTACGTACTCCCGGACCTGGCGCTCTACAGTCCAGGGCAGGAGAAAAAAATAAAATAAAGGCGAAAATTCACTGCTCGCCCCCTGGTCCCCAACAGCAGCAGCCGGGGCCTTCCCCCGAGGTGTCTTCGTCGCAAATTACCCGCGAGCTCTGATCCGTGCTCGCATGCAGCAATATCACAGTGGGGCCGTAGAGGTCGTGCGACACCCAGTATTGGCCGCCCGCCTCGGACCTTGTTGCTCTCGCGTTACACAGGCTTCGGCTATCAAGATTTGCAGCTGCGACCCTCGCGAATTATTAACACTAATGACCTTTAAATGACATGATAAATCCCGGAGCATCCTTTTGCAGCCGCCGCTCTCCTTAACAACCCCGGCCACGTCCCCCGCATAAGCAGTTATCTTATTAGCATCCATGCTGCCTCTATTATTCCACCCACCCTCCTTTCCGTCTTGATGCGAGCAAAGCACACCAGGGTGCACAAATTGTACAATGTAACTGCCAGCTCTGTTGATGAATCCTGGTAGAATCACTGTATTCATTAGCACACGTTTCGTCCTATATCTGTTTAGTAGACCATATGGAAGTCGCCATTTAGCCACCTAGGGTCCCTCGGGGAAAGGTGCATCATTTGAGTCTCCGGTAATGGTTTATGCTCACTGATGTAAGGCCCTATTCCACCAGCGGATGGCAATTGCCAAGGTTACGTTCATTGCCAAAGAGACGGTTTTGGGTGAACTCAAACGAGTCGCCGAATCATCCATGGTTAAACGATGCTAATGAGATCGCTTTCGGTTCATACAACTACTGAAGGTCAAACAGAATCCTCTTTCGTGATATATTACTAACACAGCCTCTCAAGCTCCAACAACTTCCACAATGAAGCGATACTGCTCGTCACGATCGAGGTAGACCACGCAATCCAGCCAAGCGCCTCGTTCGACCTTATCCCCAAAGTTAGACAAGAGGGAGAGGGAAACGGAGTAGTCATCGTAGTGAATGAGAATGGTGAGGTCCAGACTCACTACTTTATCAGCTCCAGTGCCTGCGCAGCATCTGTAGCTACGATCAGCAATGGCTTTAAAGGGGCCGGAATCATGCTGCGGCGGCCAGTTAAATGTTTGAACTTGAAGGCGGTACGAATCTTTTACGGAGACGTATGAGCGTTTGCTCAGCTATATACTCTTTGATTTATGGACTCGTCTGTCTTGGTGATGTGATAGCCCGCTCTAATGGCCATGTGTGGCCTCCGCCAGCACCTCTGACTCCAAAGCTTCAATTTGGAAATGAGAGGCGGACCAGCATTGATCAACGCCCACGTCGGTGTCTGGTAGTAACGCCATTATTCACCACTTGCCAGGGCGCTGCCCTTCTACAATCTATAGCTTGTTGCGTCATGTTGAATCAGGTTTATAGGGGGCTATATGGTTGAGACCAGCAATGAGAGAAACAAACACACTTCCATTAGTTACTCCATATTTATCATCGTCGTTGTGCTTTAGGTAGCCATGAGCTGCGATTTACCATTTCTTGTGTTCATATTCCAAGGAGACAGCTTCTAGGTTCCCAGTATTCGTGGACTGCACTCGCTACGTGTCTAACGTACTTGCCGAGAGGCTTTTATAACGACCTCCACTGTGCGATCAGGCTGGCTCAGAAAAGGACTGTGTCCTGCCATGCAGCGCTCTGTTTTCATTTTAGGGATTTGTGAGACCATACAGTCCTGAGCCTGGATCGGCACGTTAATTTCAGCTTCGCAAAGCAGATAAATCATCAGAATGGAGATATCATTGGCGCAGAAGGGCAATAGCTCTTCCAACGATCGCTGAGAGTGGTAACAGAGCCTCTCGGCCCAGAATTTTGCCTCGTCTGGCGGAAGATCGTTGTAGGATAATTGCATCTCCGGTCTTACATTGATGGAATAGCATTGCTTCGGAGAAACTCATGTCAGCAATCTTTGCTTTGTTTCGTGTTTACTACACCTAACAGCAGAGTGACTTACTCCCTTAAAAAGCTCCGCAGCCATGACCCAAGAACCGTATACTCCGGCAGTCGACATGGCTGAGTTCCCCTTTTTTGAGATGGGGAACGCAGAAACATATACTACTGCAACCAATCCACCAGGCAGCCCTCGTTCCGTACGCTCTTTGACTGTCTGGCATTGAGTTGATATGGTTGCTACGCAGCCACCATACGAGTGACCGACAAGAACAACGCGCCCGCCACGGTCAACGATAGGTATGGCCGTGTCGTGAACGACTCCCATTTCCACACGCCAAGTGTGCGTCACCGAATCCGGGCCGCGGACAGTCAACATTCCCGGAACGTGGACCTCATATCCCGCCTTTCCAGCCTGGTCTTGACATAATCCCATGACTCGGGGAGGTGCCACGCCCCTGTGATGATAATGATTGCAGGCTTCTCCTCTGCCATTGTGTGCGACTTAAAAGCTATTTACCGCGAAACCAAATTACATAGAACTTTTGGGACGATATAATACAAGATGGTACATGAGGAATTTCTGAAAGGTGCCTCCTTAGCATGTAGACACCTTCTAAGACTGACACAGAGTGTCGGGCCCAGCGCATAATCACACTTCACCGCAAACATGAAAAGTCATAATTACCAAGCCCACGAGTCAAGATATGATATGATCATTAAAATCGAGGACCAACAGAATAATTCTTGGGCGAAGCTGCATCCAGACAAGGATTACGTGCCCACACTTGAGCCTGGTTGGCCAAGCCCACTGTGAACTACCAACTGCATAACGGTCGTAAAAAACAGTGCATCGAGTATCGCAAGGGTCTGCGGGAAACGAGCTAATATGGTTTAGTTGTTTTCTTAATTTTATTGCTACGGTATTCTTCTCTCGTTTCACAAGCTCAGCCTGTCTCAAGCGAATTTGGGAGAGGTTACAGTGAAATAGTACCAGCATGTACTTGAGCTGTGCAGTCGTGACTGTATAATACCTAAAGTATCCGTACGAAAAGAAGTCGAGTCATGTCTCCACTTCAATTTCTGTGAAGGTCACGAAAAAGTAAGATGGCCAAAAGTAATGTGGGTAGTAGCTACTGTTTAGGCAGATATTTCGATGACTCGGTCAGGGAATGTCTGTGGCAGGATCAGATCCGCATGCTCCTGCATGACAAAATCGATAGATTTCCCCAGAATGAAGAAACTGTCGTTGACTTGACTGTTCAGAGCCTGAAGTAGCGCGACACCCTTGCGGATGTCGTCTTGGATGGCCAGGAAGTGCCCGGTAGCGAGGGCATGCTGGAGTTTCATATTCACCTCCGATTTCCTGATGGCTTCGTCCTTCGTAGACACTGGGATGAAAAATCAGCAACTCCGCGAGATCATGATTGCAGCATTTCCCCAACCTAAGAAACTCTTAGGGCACCATTTCCCAGGGGTCACTTTCCGCCGAAATGAGATGATGCTTATTAGAGGAAACTAGCAGTAATAGAATAGGTGCTTTAGGATCTACTCACGCATATTGTGGCGTTCTTCGTCGGGCAATCTCATCACCATTTGTGTGAAGTCGTTCCAGTCTGCTTCCGGAGGTAACTCCGCTGGTTTGCCATCAAACGATTTTCTTACAGGGAATCTCAATTTCGATCGATCGCGCTCCCCGTGAAGATAATATCTTTCTCGCCATTGAGCGATCTCTTGGCGTGATCTGCCTTCTCTCTCCGGATATTCAGAGCCTGTCCATTCCCGCTGACCGTACATGATAGCGAGGAAATCCTCGATGATGTCAAACTCCTGCTCTGAGATAGTTTGGGCGTGATTCGAAAGAACACCGACCCAGTCAATGATATTCACTTGAGCGAGGAAGCTCTCGTGCATGATCTCATGCTGCCGGCTGAACGGTAGAGGTTCGTATTCTTCGCCGAAGTAAGAACTTCTGATCCCGTCTTTCGTTTTGTCGCCCCGATCTTCCCAGAGCTGGTCTCGGAAGCGCGCCAGCTTATACAAGACTGCAAGTGGGGTCTCGTCGGGCTCAAGCCCCAGATAAACCCTGATATTGCGAAGGTGCTCCAGACCCTCTGTTGAAAAGGCGTCCACTTTATCATCTTGGTTGGAATGTGCTGAAAGATCACTCTCGTCTGACGATGTGGAGTTGCTCCAAGTCGAACTTGCTTCTACATCATTTGGATTGTTCTCATTCTCGCATGTGTCATTGATTTCGATTTCTCCCTGTGATTCAATCCACTTTTCTATCTCCTCTTCTGTGTCTGAAGGCTGATCTGTCGAGTTGAGTTGACCGTGTTCTTGACCGAATAATTGCTTCTCCAGGTCTTCTATTTCTTCTTCGTCGTCATAAAACCCAGGTATTGGTGATGGCTCTCTTGGAGACTCTGGATCGAAGTCAACAGATGGTTCGTCTGAGCCCGATGAGCTTGAGCTTGGCCTAGATTAAGGTGATGAGCTTGAATTTCTACAGACGTTAACGCTAGCTCTTACTGAGACGAAGCAGGTCGATCGCTGTCGTCCGATTGGGATTTTCCATCATCTTCATCCTCACCATCATGGCTGGGCTCTGCGATCTCTGAGGTCTCGGGAGCTTTCAACATTTCTCGTATCTGCAGCTCTCGTACCTGCAGCTCTCGCATTCTGAATACATGTCTTGATGCTCTGCCACAATTACTTCTGGGTGGCAGGCTAAACTGAGCGCGGGCTCCGGTTCTGGGGAGCATTTGGGGCTCCTCCTCATATTCGTTGGCAATAGCAACAGCGGCCGTAAATGCAGCAAGAGGGAACAGATCATTGCTGAGAACCTCAGCGACGCCGTTGGCAAGGTTTGTGGCTATGTTAAGCATGATAGCGGGAGGTCAGTACTTCTTGGTGCAAAGGTGCTCGCGTTTCCGCACATTGCAGTAGGCAGGTTGGCAACAATGTCTGGGTAGATATGGTCGCGGAGAACCTAACAGCCGCTTGTTTTCTATGAGCAGCCCCGTTGTTAATTTCTTTGAGTTGTGGTCAAAGCATGATATAAGGTACTATATGTTTGTTCCAGCACTCTCGAGCGTCTGCAAAGAGATTAGTCTGGCTTTGTCTCGGAGTATATTATGTCCCATGTGTCACAGGCTCCGCATGATTCAGCTAGATGAAATCGAAACAGTCGAGTAGCCGATATTAGGCGCCTACTCACGCTTGTGCTGACCTCGCTTCTTTGCCCTGTGCGTTCTTTGGAGGGAAATATGGTGTTAATGGCGTCCAGTATCATGCACACAATATTACCTATGAAAGGTTTCTGCATGTTGTCATTTTCCCCTTTTCAAACTCGTGCTGTCAGAATATCATACGTCTGAGCGTGACGGGTCTTATTTGCTGCCATCCAACAGCCTACACGCCACGAATTAATATCCCCATCGACGGGCATACAGACCCTCTCGGGGTTTCATGTGATATCACTTGGGACAAAATGCTCGCACTACAATTATCTGAAACTTTGAGTTATCGATCGAAAACCTAGATACGTCTATAATGTCATTGTGGCATCTGTGTCTCCAACAGCCACAAGAAGTTCTTTATCAGGCGCTCTCTTGTTCGACTTATCACATCACAGTCTTAAAGGTTAATTACCTGTGAACAAAGAGCGATGACAGGCATAGCCACATCCTTTGATGTGAGAAACAAAGATGTCTCGTGTAGATTAATAGTCACTGACAGTGACTTGTGGAAGTCAAGATCAGAACCCCTGAATCAGAACAACACATTCGTTTACTCATCTACACCTTCGTCAAAGCTGCTGTGCAGAGTTGTTTCTACTTCAATACTGTCTGGAACAGTAACCCTCATCTTCGGCATATTGCATTTACTTTAGGATACATTGGGATTTTGAAAGTGCTCCGTACAACTAAAAACACAACCCACAAAATTTACAGCAGGACATATCAGCACCCAGGATAATGTGTATTGGTAAGTTGCATTGATTGCCATTTATATCTGAGCCATAGATGAGCTAACGTACACATACCTAGAACGCACTTATTACTTTCCCCATTGCCGGCACACGGTCAAAAAGGTGGAGGCTTGCGAACATAGGCGGCAGTCCGAGGAGTCATGCTTCTACTCTTGCTTCGGTGGAGGTAGTTGTAACGGGATTGTCGCTCAAAGCCACTACAGCCAGAAGACATGCAAACAGTGCGAAGAATTGAGACGCAGAGCAAAAGGAGAAAGGGAGAAGAGGGAAGCTCGCGCAAAGGCGACCCACGCTGCTAACCACTACGGCTGGGCGGGTCGTGCAACGGAAAGCAGAGACTCCTTTATTGAGCCGTCCTTAGGACAAGCACTGACTAACATGCCTGGAAGCGAGTTCCGCTCTCACAATTCTAGCCGCCGTCCACAACAGCCTACCACCTATCATCAGCAGCGACAGAACAACGGCAACAACTGGCCAGCACAGCGTACTCAAACCCAGGTCGCCCAGACCGGAGGCCAGGCCCGCCCCGTCAGGAACTTGCCAGCCATGCCGGTGAAGCACACCAACGTCACGAAGCCCCAGATGGGATACGTGTCGATTCCCGAGCCCATGAGCGCTGAGGTCCAGCGTGTCAAGTCTACTCGGGCCCACAAGCCAGCTCCTATCAAGGTCCAGCAGGCGACTAACGTCCACAGGCCGCAAATAGTGCACCACCAACCCGTCTTCCCCCAGATGGCCCAGATTGCCCAGGTCGTCCAGCCGGTGCGTCGGGACAGTAATGGCATTTCTGAGTGTGGTAGCGCCGATGGTGACTCCCCAGGGTGGAGGAACCACGCAGTCTCGCCTCGAGCCGTCTCGCCGCTCCATGAGACCTACCAGTATCAGTCCTGGCCCATGGCTAGATAGAGTCCAACTGCAAATCTCAGGTTGAGTCACGGTAAGTCAAAGGCTGCCCTTGTCTCAACTGCACAGAACGCAACCACCGTGCACTGGATGGCCGCGGAACACACTGGAACAGCATATTGGCGCGGGAGGAATGCAACCTCTTCTGCCAAACGGCTTGGTTCCTACAATGTACGATACGAAGACTGCTGCTGGCAGTCCAAGGTGGAAGCTGTCACAAGGAGACAACGTGATTTAGGCTACTGCCAAAGGGCAGTGGGCCGCAGATGACGTAGCGAAATGGTAATGGGGTTCGTAGATCGAAACACGCACATAGAGACTGGAATAGAAACTAGTAGATTGGCACGGGAGAACTTGACACAGGCAGCATTATATCGTAGCCGAGCTCGGTTTGTGAACCTGGCCTAGCTAATATGACCGGCGACTCTTTTTCACCGTAGGGCACTAAGCTAGTATTCAGGAACAACACGATATAGAGTTATGAGGTAAGCTTCATGTGTGGATAGGCAAGGGTCGACTGGATGGGGTCGAAACTGATGCTAAAACAGCTGCATTGCGCGTCTCAGGCAGCCGAATTGTCAATTGAGGCCAGAAGTCCGAGAAATGTCAAGGATCTCAAGGACCGATCGTGAACGACTCGAAGCAGCCGTGGAGCTACCGAAGGCTCCTGGATTTTCTAACAGCCGATTGGCCAAAAAGCCATCGCCAATGGCCAAAGAGCTTGAACTGATCATAGGGCTGGCCTTCAGATCTGACCTTGTAGCAATTGGCGTGGGGTTCCCTCAAGAGGGTGTGCGCCATTTGACGCGGCCCTTAGAGACATGCATACGTGTCTTTCCCTAATGAGTTCAGGCACCAGAATATCATGAATCCTTCCAATGAACCACGTTACTTGTACACTGCACTGTAAGGCCACCTGGGGAGAGCTGGGATAATGAGGGATGAGTTGAGCACAGATGGCCAATTGGCATGGCATTCGAACGGGCATGACCAGAACTCCTCAAACTCCGGCCACATTTGGCCGTCCAGTCCCTTCGCCTGAGTGAGTCAAACCGGTGGTAGGGGAGTCCTGGACTGGCAGCCTATTCGTTGATGTGGATTGGGCAACAGGGGGAGGGGGGGGGGCAGCCTCAAGGCCCACACACTCTATTTAGCCTTGATTGTGGGGAGAGCTCGTGGCGCCGGCGCGGTCGATGCAAGTGGAAAATGCTTAAGATGGTTCTGGCGTGTTTCCACAAGTAATGATCATGGTGGCCCAAAACTTGACAGCAGCAACAGTAAGTTACTGCGAATTCCGTTTGGAGCACTTGACTGTGGTCAGGTTGTTCGCCCCCTGCTTGCCCTGCAGCTTGGATCGACTGACAGTCAGGGTCATCCTTTTGTTCTGGCCAATAAAGCCCAAGCCCAGACGTGCCAATTGCTGACAGCGAGGATGCCAATGGACAAGAAGGTCTGAAACCCACGCTGCAGGCATCTCGGCAGTCGAGAACATCTGCATCGTCGTGAGGCCTCTTGAATCGACAGCGACGTCACATCACTAAAAGATATGATATGATAATGTGGTGCTACTGTATGTACGGAGTAGATTCACCCTCGATCCAAGCAAAGGGCCCTCCAGGTATGAATTGCTGCAAGGGACTTTTGGACCAATTGCGAGACCCACCAAGCAAGCACGCCGCCGCTATTGGCAGAACTGGAGACCTTATTATCAGGTGTTGGATGGCTCAGCTCGGATTGCACTACTATGGTACAATATGGCTGGGGCTTTGTGCTGCACAATGCAGGCTGTACTTGTTTGGATTGAGGCTGATGAACTGGGCCATTCCTGTACAAGAAGGACCTGTTTGTTTGCTGGCATCTCATTGATGCGCAGCACGAGATGCAGAGTGCTTGCCCACCTCGACCTGAAACTCTCCGGTGGCCGTCGGGAGATGCAGGACAGCAATGTCCTATGGGATAGGACACACACTGTAAGTTAGTGTAGGACCATGTCCGGCCCGTTAGCGGTATTCCCCGTGCGTGCGACGACGAAGGTTCGCGGACGGAGAGCTCGGCCGCCCACTCCAATGGATGCTGATTAATTGACGAGCCCTGTGGGCAAAGCTTGGCGGTCGGCCAAACGCCACGCCGATCTTACATGGCTCAAGTGATCACGGAACCCTTGCGATGTTCTTCCACGCGTTTCTGCGCGCGCGACCGTTTGGTATCGATGCGCGCGCCGTGCATGTTTCGCAGATGCGACGACGAGCAGAACAGAGGTGGGCATATCATCATGGAGCGCGCCGGCCGTTGAACGTGGTGCTCATCTGCTGTATGGACAGCAAGAAAACGGCGTCTAAAAAGTCGCCAAGTTCAGCTCGTCCACAAGTCAACAGGGGTCCATTGAATCCTGGTGCCTCAGTCCCATAATGATGCGATTCCAGGAATGGGGAACGCGCCATGCTAGGAGAGCGCGAGGTATCGCAGAAGTACTCGAGATAGTGCCCCAATCCTGCAAGGCGAAGACCAGCGCTGCGCAGGTGGTTTGGAGCCCGTCGCCCATCGCCCATCGCCCATCGCCCATCGCCCATCGCCCATCGCCTGTCAAGCGCGGCGTGGGTCGGGTCTCGGCTCTGCAGTTGGCAGCTGCAAAGCAATCAGACAACTTTGGGTCCTCGGTGTTTCTTGCCTCTCAACCTCTGTGCTCAAAGGAAGCGGCGCAGCTTTACACAGTAACTAATGGGACACCAACACAAACCAACTGAGATGAACTCCGATCCCCTCCCACGCTCCCCATCCACACCAGAACTCCAATTCCCATCGGCCTTCCACCAGCTCGCTACCGCGCAGTAGAGTTTCGCTCTTCCCTTTGTTTTCCCGTACGAGTCTCCAGTCCTCCTTCTCCTGCTCGTCGGAAAATCGGGCGGGTTTCGACAGTGTCACTGCGGTAGGCGGATCGTGTGTCCGGGTTTCCACTGTAACTCCGTGCATAGTCCGCCGCTTCTCGTCACAGACTCACAGCCCACCCCGTCGGCTCCACCCTATCGCCAGTACATCCCCAGTACCGCACTCTATCTGGACGCTATCATTGGCACTTGGTGCCGTCTAAAAGAGGCGCAGTCCTGGCTCTAGGCAACAGCATTCGATTGATGACTGCTTCTTGAGAGGACGACATCCCATCTCGTAGGCACCTCGTTCTCTCCCAGGTCTCTTACTCCTCGGGCCCAGTCAGTTGGAACTTTTGCCTTCCCGTCCACAATCGATGAACCTTGACCTGAGTTGTTTATCGTCTCAGGCCGACATTTCTGCGGCACTTCAGCGGTAGGCGCCCACTTAACCCGGCGATCCACCTCGTCCGTTTGTCTTCTCATCAGTCTATATCTCCTCCATCATCGCTTTCCACCCATTCATCCCTTGATCCAACCAGCACGACATTGGATCATCGTCTGGCACCTCATATATCTGCACAGTCCCTGTTCGCCGTGCACTCCAGCCTTCGCGCCCTCTTTGTGTGCTATCGGGGACCGCGAACTCGGCCGCATCCGCCTTCGACACTGCGCACTGCAATCATCCGTGACAGCAACGCGGCAGCCGAGTCACCTCAAAGATTGGCGAACCCGATTCTGCTTGCCCGTTGGTTTGTCTCAGAACGTAAGGACATATTCCTGTCTTTTGTCCTAAGCTGCTCTGCCCTCTTGTCCCCGCTATCCCGACAGATTGACCAATGCCAGTTTGGCATTCGTGATATCATTCTGGAGACCTGAGGCCATCATCTTTGGCTTCGGTGTGTGGCAGGACTTGTGACTCATAACCTGGCTAAGACCCTTGGAGCATAACGGTGCTAACCATACGGTCCTTGGACACAGTATCTTCCCATCGCTACCATTCATAAACTTGTCTACACCCCACCCTACTTCTTCACCGAGGAGACAACATGTCCTTCTCTAACCCCAGAAGAACCCCGGTGACTCGTTCCGGCTCTGATGCCAAAGATGGTCTGAGCCTTAAGACGAACCTCACCCTCAGGAAGGGAGCTACCTTTCATTCTCCCACTTCTCCGTCCAGTCCACCTGCCTTCAAGGTTCCGTCGCTACCTCGTCGGTCCCAGACAAACCTGGATGATGTTATTGATGCCAATCGGCGTCGTGTTGCCTTAGCCATTGGCACCGTCGATAACATCCTGACCGGCACCAAGTCCGAGACCTCGTCCCGTCGGTCTTTCCGTGACAACAGCTTGCCTGTCCCACAGGGCTTCCTGGACCACATGGTTGTCGACGATAAACTGGCCGAGGAACCATCAACCATGGATATGGACACCGAGAGGCGCGTCCTGCGCCCTCGTCCTCGTCGTTCATCGAGGCACCACGAATCAGACAGTGGATTGGGGTCCTCGATTGGTTCGACACACAGGTCGGCGAAGCAGTCCAAGTCGTCAGGCCACGCTGCTGCCATCACTCGATCTGCCAGCACCATCAAGACAGAGGACCTTTTGCCTCTCAGTGACCGGGCTTTCAGCCGCATTAATGAACACACGCTGAAGCCGTTGTTGGCCAAACCGTCGCTGAAAGAATTCCGGCCCATCATCCTGGACTGCCCCAGGAGAATCAAGGAGAACCAGATCATTTGTCTCAGAGACCTGGAAAAGACGCTAATCTTTATGGCACCGGTGAGTCAACTTCTGAAAGATTCTGGCGTTTGGGGAGTTACTTATCGGGAGTTGTGCTTGAAGGAGAGGGCCAAAACCACCGAATTGTACCTCGATTTCTGCCTGACATCGATCCGCTGCATCCAAGCCACCGTCGAATACCTGAGCGACCGGGAACAAACTCGACCTCACGATCGGCCATACAACAACGGCTATTTCATTGACCTCATCGAACAGATTCACCAACACGCTCAACAAATGCAAACCTCCCGCGAGAGGCAGCAAGCTGGTGAAGAGCTCGACGATATGGACGTCGATCCGTATGTCACACACCCACTCGCGATCCATCTAATGGCCCATGCTAATTCTTCCTCCAGCACCGATGAGGTGAAGCTGATGGGTGGCCTTGCTTCTACCGGCCGACCTGCTGAGCTGGTCCGTGTCAAGAAGAACGGCACCGCCATCTCCATTGCCACTGGCCAGCCGGTCGAGGATTTCGACGAGGATTCCAAGGCTCCCATCCGGTTCAAGCGCTCTATGAGTGAACAGCTTGAGGATGAAGAAGAGATCATGCGATCCATGGCACGCCGGAAGAAGAACGCTTCACCTGCTGAGCTTGCTCCTAAGAAATGCAAGGAACCCGGCTGCAACAAGGAGTTCAAGCGTCCCTGCGATCTGACGAAGCACGAGAAGACTCACTCTAGGCCTTGGAAGTGCCCCCTGCCTACCTGCAAATACCACGAGTATGGTTGGCCAACTGAGAAGGAGATGGATCGTCACGTCAACGACAAGCACACCACTACCCCGGCCATGTATGAGTGTCTGTTCAAGCCTTGCCCATACAAGTCCAAGCGCGAGTCAAACTGCAAGCAGCACATGGAGAAGGCTCACGGCTGGACCTATGTGCGCACCAAGACAAACGGCAAAGGCGGCAAGGCCAAGAGCCAGGCCGGAAGCTCGACCAACCCTACACCAATGATCCCCAGCATGCCGACACCAAGCAGCGACAACAGCCACTCGGTCATGACACCTCCTGAGGAGTTGATGAACTACTCGGACAACTTGAACATGTTCCCCACCTACCCGACCACTGCCGAGTTCAACGAGTCTCTGTTCGACAATATCCCCTTCGATGATGACATCCAGTTGGACTTCTCTCCAATCGACAATGCCACACCCTCCACCGATGCTGGACAGTACAGCACTTACAGTGAAATGAGTCCCGACATTGGTAACCAGTTCGATGACATCTATGGCGCCCATGCACGGTTGCCCACGCCTACCCACTCGGTCTACAACAAGAGTGTGCCGGAGGTTTTTACCAACTTCAGCGCTGACATGTGTCCTGCACCTATGGCCCAGTCAGCTCCACACATCTCCCCCGGCGGTCATGGCAACACAATGTTGTACACACCGGCTTCGATGGTGGATGAGGGATTTGACGAGTTTGCTCACAACGACCAGCTCGGAAATGACTTCCTCTTGTTTCCTCCGACAAGCAAAGCGGCCGAGTTCGACAACAGCCTGTTCCTCAGCCCACCCAGTGCGGCTGGCGGCTTCACTCAGCCGTCGTCACAGGATTTCAACATCGACTACAGCCAGGTTATGGACTGGACTGGAGCCGAGTTCAACAACTACAGCCACCAACAGTGATAGAGGAGCTGTTACTCCCAGATGAGAATACCAGAGCAGTGCACGCCCGCTGATTAAGGCGCGGAATAATCTACTTTACGATGAGACGATAAGACAAATGACAGAAGCAATTCAGACTGCATTAACCGTTGACGAGCGGGCCTTGAACGGCAAAACGGGCCACAACAGAGCTGTGGTCAATCATGTACAATTTTGAAGGAGGACTAAGTTGGGTGCTTTAGCTTGAGATGGCTTTCCGGCTCTGTCTTTTCTGTGAACGAAGGCTGCTTGTGTCTGTTCCCATGCGTTTTCAGATGAGCAACGAAAATGAAGTGGAGACTTGGAAAGGGGGATTCTTCATCAAATTTTTAGTCCTCACATTTGAGAACATCTCTCTTCAATGATAAATGGCGAGATATGACCAAAGCAAAGGAACTGTTCAGTGCAATGTGAGAATGTGTCTGTAGATGAATTGTGCAATGGTAATTGTATGCTTGCATCTTGCCGGGTTGCCAGTTGCGTTTCCGTAGGTCGTCTCTGATGGCTGTGGAGCCCGGGGGCTGCCGCCAGCTGCTCGCCCATCACCAGCTGGCAAATAAGCCATGGACCAGGCTTAGGCAATCCCCACTACTTCGAAAATTTCCTGCGAGTCAACTCCCAGTTCAAGCAGTACCACTAAACACCCACAAGCTCTGTTTTTCTTTCATCACGTTTCGCCTGGCACATTGCTTTCTCTTGTGATCGGTCACCCGCTTGACTATGCGCAATGGAAAGGCCTCGGCCCGAAAACAGCCAGCAATAGCCACGTATGGTGAGTTCTCTCCCCGCTGTTACCGACCCCGTCGAACGAAAGCGCTCGTTCTCCCCGTCTCCCTCTCTTCATGATGACCATTCGACACGCGTAACGCGTCGTCACTCTCAAACCATCTTTCACATAGGAAGAGCCGTATGAGTGACCATCCCCGGGCCTCGAAAACCCTTTGGCCGAGCCGCCGTTTGCTTCCGCCGTCTGGCCCCGCGCCGGAGGCTTGTGCAATATCGTCATATGCTGCCTGGCTCTCTCGTCGCGGTGGCTGGCGGCGGCGGCCGGCGTGTGAGGTGGGGATCTGGTCGTGCTTATAACTTTGGTTTCTGATATTCAAGAGACTGGATCACTTTTTCTCATGGACTTGTCATGTGGAACATTGTGCTAACTTGTTCCAGTAGGGTATCTATACAGCGATGTTGAACGTGATCAGGGCACGGTAGGTAACAGAGGCTTGACATCGGTTCAATGCCCAGGGGTGTACATCCTCGCGCAACAAGGGTCATCGTTCTATTTAGATGAATAAACCATATCTCCAGTGCGGTGTCTTCTTTCTTTTGTGCCTCCCATGTTTGTGATAAGAGACAACTCGCCTAGGAATTCCCATGCTGTATTACCGACGCCCTCATCTACCAACGTCACTCGCCGTTTCAGAGCTACATTCACATACTGCTACACTCTTCTTCATGCCATATTTCTCTCCACACAATCACGAGGGCCATGGCCCCGGCCACGGTAGCGCTCAAGTGAGCGGACGATCAGGCACTAGCCCGTGCGAGACTTCATGTTTGAAGACAGGGCACCCTGGATCTACCAAGCCGTTGAACGTGCTCATGCCGATGGTGAACTCGATGGTCATCTACTATGTTTGGTGTAACCCTAATGGCGAGTGAGATGATCGTGGTGAACTCGTGGAAGACACCGTAGCTCAAGGTCTGGGTGTCTTCGAGACTCTCACACCGTCAATGTTGCGATGACGAAACTCCCGGGCAACACATCTGGAAACCATCTCCTGTGCGGGAATGATTTTTGTGCCCGATGGTTGACAGGAGAATCGTCAAATGATGTACAAATCCCCCAATCTGTAAGCGGAGGTACAGACGACGACTGTTGGTCCGTCGACAGCGCTCGCTGCTCGGAATTATGGGCTACAAGTTTTTTCGGATCGTAAGGCAGGTCTTGGAAGATTAGGTTGCTGGCTCGTTCATGTATTATGTTCTCGTAGCATTGGTTCACGCCATGTTTGGACACGGACGTGATGGGCACCATCTCTCGATGCAGATGACTTGGCCAAAGGCATCTTGTACCGAGGTCTTGAGGTAGTAACCACTAGATTTGTTTAAGCATTACTTGCGAGTATGTGCCGTAGCCCAGCACGGCCATGGTTCTGTAAAAAAAAACTCTACCCCAACTCCTGGCAGAGGGTGAAATATGCTCTGGGCGCCCCCAACTTGATGCTACGTCTAGAGGAATATCCCACCTTGATAATGCAGATGGGGTAGTTCTCGTTTGCTTGTAGCTTCCGGGTCAGCTGCACGACATGGAATCACGTCGTGCTGCTACCACTGGATTTTCGCCAGGCCCCATAAGGATTGTTGACATCACATTGTTCTTGGGTCTTCATTCGACCGAAGTAATGTCACTAGTGCGCTTGATCTATTGCTTGCCGTAAATATCGAGGTCAATTGCAGAACGCTTTTGTTTCGCCAAACCCGACCCAGGTGAGCAGGTAGCTGACCCAATCCGCCTTTCACATTTTAACACTCGCCTCATTTGTGGCCTGACGATAGACACTCTCTCCCAGCACCACTACTTGAGACCACTTCCAGAATACCTCCACGGCCTGAACTTTTACGAACACCATGGCCGACAGCGACCCCCGTCAGAGGGATTCTGATGAGCTCATGCCCAACATCGAGACCAAACCCAAGTCGTACGCGGAGTACGTGCTCAGCTGCGTACAAAAGGGTGAAGATTTCATGCTCCCGCTCTCGATGATTGTTGCCCTAGACGCAAGGAAGGTGCAAGCTGAGGAGATGCAGGAGAACCAGCCTGTCTTTCTCGTTTTCCAAGAAGATGGGTCCGTTGAAGGTTGCCAGGGCCTGAAGAAAGTACCGAGCTCAAAGAATGTGGTGGGCATCTACTCTACGATTCTCAGTGCGAACTTGAAGGCAGTGGAAATTATCCGCGAGGCGATCAAAGAACCTTTCTGTAGGGGACTGCCAAGAACTACGAAGGAGTGGGCCACAGAGCACAACGATGAGATTAAGGCTGGATCCGGCTTGGAAGGTGACGACACTTGGTTCATTGACGAAGGCGGACTCTTACACTTGCGAGTGACGCAGAGAACTTCTTTATTCAGAGAATCAGTCAAGGATGCCTGGGTGGAAAGACGATCTATTGAGGATTGAGCTGTGAGCTTCATTGGGCTCACGTTATGGCAGGAAGCATCAGGCGTTCCGTAGCAACGATAATTTCTGGCGAGAGCCTAACCTATGGCTGCAAGTTACAGAGTACTCAATCCCAGAGCATTTACATATGACCCAGATATGAAGCACACCGCGTAAACTTGGTACCAGCGTTGTGATACCGTGATATGGCAACTAAACTCTGTTCATGTTTAGGACAAAGGCTAAATCCAGTCTCCATGTTTGACCCTTCCATCTATGGTTGCAACTGATGACAGTCATACTATGGCACCAGTGTTGCATCAAAGTCTGTACTAGGAGAGGAAAATATCAAACATGACAGGTGCCATTCAACCATCGAAAGTAATTTGGGAAATTATAGAAGAAAAGAGAAATCCATACTTTTTCTCAAGACGACAAAAGAGTTCACTTGCAATGCACTCACTCTCTTAGGAACCTATATTTTCAGTGGTCAACGTCCACCAGACAGTCCAGCTTTGGTCGGCGCCCCAGATCAAGGCACTGGTGCGTCTGTAGCGTGACGGCGATGGCGGGTGGCCGCTTTTGCAATACGGCATAGTCATGAGCTCGGACAAGCCCGAGATAGATCGATCGAGAGGCGAGACAAGTCCTACATTTGAACCTTGATGGACCAATTGTAGGGTACCGAACTATCTAGTCCCAGTCTGAGAAGATGCAAGCGCGTACACTATCATTAAAGCCGATGCTTCCCGGGTTTTCGTAATGACATGGTAAGAATGCCGTTTCGATAGGGTTCTTCATTGCCTTCGTCGCCCAAATACGCATCCTGGTAAGCACAGCTGGTAGTAGTATTGAATAAGTAAGACATGGATCCCGAGCTCTGACGTCAAGTCCTGATCGCCGTCGCGAGATCGCGTGAATATTGATATATTACCTTTTTGGGCAAAGATCGGCAGAGGCTGTTCTTATCTCATATACTCCTGCCTCTGGCATGACGTATCCTAAACCGATCTCTCATGACAAGAATTCTCTTCCTCTTCCATCAGCACAGAGATCGCCATGGCGTCGTACACAGAAACCGTATCAATTCCCAGCACTCGAAAGCACGAAGAACACAGTGAGACTGATTCGCCAGATCTCAAACGACACCGCTTTGAAGCAGATGCTCCTTCATCAGAGAACTGCCCAGCTCCTGGAGTTTACGAAACGTATATAAAACATCATGAGACGTTGAAAGACATTGTTCCCAGCGCCCTGCTTCAAAGACTAGACGACTGCCTCATCAAGACCGGGCAGACCATCGACCCAGCCTTGACCGCTGCCTCTGCGGCTCGCCACGTTTTCCTCGTTCTCAGGAGCCGGGAGCATGGGCAGGGAATCTTCAGCGAAGAACACGAGTTTCTTGTCCTGGGCGTGTTCGGAACTGTTACAAGCGCCAACTTCGAAGTGATGGAAGCATTTCAAAAAACTTATGAGTGTATGCTTGATGAGGCCGACGAAGAAGGGAGACCAGCCTCACGGCGCGCGGCCGGCTATCCGTCCACATGGAAGGTAGACGAGGGATCGGGATGCTTGAAGCTTTGGGCTGAGGATCCAGAATATGGAGATGGAACAGTGTGGGCGGAGAAATGGGTCGTGGGAGAGTGAATCGATGAAGAAATCTTTTTTGCCTACTCGAGTTGTAATGTACTTACTGTAAACTAGAAGGCAATGGTAGAGACTAGAGTCGATCAACAGACCCAAAAATTACATTCGATACCAGAACTCGTGAACAGGATATATGAACTGTACCATAGTTTATACGCACTCATAGCTGACTAGGAGAGTGCTGGTGCTGGGCACGGGACGGCTGGGAGAGTTTCATTGGCTGGAATCTCCTTCCCCTGGCTCATCGCAACAAAATGCTTCCTTATCAGCTGGATGCGGCTGTTCGTGTACTCAGAATTGGTTGGGTTATTGTATTGCAGCGTGAAGCCATCTGAATGATCCACGAATGTCTAGCCAAGATAATTAGAACTGTCCTTCGTGTCAAGACACGGTAGTAATGCGGTCACTTACATTGCAGTCCGGCAGGTTACGCCCAAAGAGACTCCAGAATGCGTCGCCTGCAGCCACTGAGCTGTTCTGGATGATATCAAAGAAAGACACGAGGTTCATAGGACCACTTGAATCGTCAGGGCCGACCCAGCTGTACTCGCCGGCGAAGTAGGCCCTGTCGGCACCCTCCACAGTTTCGAGATCAAGCTGCAGCTTGGTGGTGTTCACGGGATAGTAGTGGTTCGAAAAGATGTCGATGTCTTGAATGTCGAAGTGTGTCCGGTTCACGCCGTACGTGCCATCGACAATGAGTTTGTTGGGAGCAAGGTTCTTGATGAAGCTAGTGATGTCACGCACCCAGTCAGCTGGGCAGTCCATGTCGCGGTTGCGGGGGCCCTGGAGTTCGTTGCCAGTCTCAAAAGCAAAGATGGTTGGGTCCTCGGCATAGGTCAGGTTGTTGTACTGGTTTCTATGCGTCACCAGTTTCTCGATGTAGTTCTTGAACGCGGCAACTATGGTCTGGTTCGTGTAGAACTGCTGCATCTCCGGATTTTGGCTGTCATTGGCCTGTGTGAGATTATATCCGAACCAGCGGAGGAAGTTGTATTTTCCGCCGTGGTAATAGTCCCAGTTATCCGTGAGCGGGACCATGTATCTAATCCCGTAGAGACCCGCTTGATAGACAGCCCAGTCAATAGCTTCAAAGGCTGCCTCGTTGATGACGCCCAATTCTGGCATCACGGTCAATGGATTGCCCAGGTTGGTGCCGAGAGTATGGGAGCGGATCATAGTCCCGCCCAAAGCTTGCACGGTTGCCAGAGCATCTGTAATCCGGCCTTTGGTGGGATAGCTAGACTTGGTTGCGGCATCGTAAGGTTCCCCATCCGGGGGTACCACATTTTCGTCAAGACCGAGCCAGTAGATGTTGGGGCCAACTGCCTTCCACCGTTTGCCGTCGACCAGTAAAGTTGAACCCTCCCGAGTGACCGGCGAAAGCACCGTAGGGTATTGTGCGGCTGCTAGCACGCCGGATAATGCTACAGAGGCATAAAGTAACTTGATCATGGCTATAAGGACAACTTTCCCGCAGTCATGGAACTACAGCGTCTGGAGACGTGAAAGAGGACGAAGAGAACGGAATTGCAGTTTGGCTGGAGAGCTACCAACTTGATCTTTATAGGCGATCATACCTTAGACACAATTATATCATGGTCCGGCTGGTTACTACTTGTATATACCAATCAAACACAGGATCTACACCTGGGCAAGCCCAATGTAGCACGTACTCCGCACGCGGAGAGCCTCTATGTGGGTTTGGTCGGACGTCTGTCTGCCATGCGAACGATGAGGCTCAGCAATTGCGGCGCGCAGGATGCAAGGTCACGGAGCGAGCGTCTCCGTGTATGTGTAGGCCCAGTTAGGAATAGGGGCTTTGCTTGCAAGGTGAATTGTTTGAATGCACCCCATGGGGCCACTAAACTGGGTTCCATTTCGGACCGGCGCGGTGTCGCGTGTACCTACCTCGCGCAAAGAGGCGAGAGCGGTCGCGACGGAGCATAAAAGTAGATCCAGGGCTACGTTACCTCGGGCGAAGTCAGGAGCCCAAACAGAAAGGAAAAAAAAACTCGATCAGGACAGGTCAGCGTAATAATAGAAAACCGGCGCCCCATAATAGCTACTCCTCCCGACTGCCAGTTTGCCAGTCTATCGTAATATGAAATTGTGCAATGTGCAAGGGGGGCCTTCGGGGTCTTGCAAGACTGCGACATTGCTTATGACGTGGATCCTAGGCCAATCACAAAACGCCGGCGTGTCTAGCTGAGCTCCAGAGTTATGCGGCGTGACCAGCATTTCCACCACCTGTGCCTCCATGCCGTGACTTCTGCCTGCGCTTTTCGCCAGCTTCATCCCAATTCCATGCGGCCACGATGATGGGGATCCTGCGTACGAGGGCATCGTCCTTCCTGTTGGCGTTCCTCGTGGGCTGTCTGCTGCTGGGCGCCGCAGAGGCCTCTCTGGGCGACCGACTGCCCGAGTTTCGAGAATGCGTTGATGTAGGTGCCGTGCCCTTCAGATGAGTAGCAGGCAAAGGGGCAATCCTGACTGATCCTCACATTGCAGCTTTGCGCCAGGGAGAATTGCGACCCGAAGAACAACCCGACACACATCCGTAAGCGAGGCCAACTCTCTGTTCTCCCCGCGCTCTATCCTCGAGCCTCTCGACTAACACCCGACCCCTTCCCTCTACAGCTTTGCACCGTCGCCTCCTCTTCTGGACGTGCCCGCAAGAGTGCGACTACACATGCCAACACATCATCACCTCGAGACGAGTCGCGCGCAATGAGCACATCACCCAGTTTCACGGCAAGTGGCCCTTCATCCGGGTCCTCGGCATGCAGGAGCCCTTCAGCGTGCTCTTTAGCCTGGGCAACATGGTAGCGCATCAGAACGGGCTGGCCAAGTTGCGCGCATCGGTCCCGGCCAACTACCCGCTGCGCCCGTACTACTTCATGTTTGCCTACTTCGGCATCACCACCTGGATCTTCAGCGCCATCTTCCACGTCCGCGACTTTGCGGCCACGGAGCAGCTGGACTACTTTGCCGCCGGCGCCGGCGTCCTGTACGGCATGTACTACACCCCCATCATAGTCTTCCGCCTCGACAGGCCGACGCCGCGGCGGCGCAGCGTGCTGCGGCTCTGGACCATCCTGTGCTGCAGCCTCTACGCCAGCCATGTCATCTACCTCAAGGCCTGGAAGTGGGATTACACGTACAACATGGCGGCAAACGTCATCGTTGGGCTTACTCAGAACTCGCTGTGGACGTACTTCAGCTGGAGGAAATACAGGGAGACACATCGGGTTTGGGCCATCTGGCCCGGCTGCATCGTCGCGTGGCTTATGATGGTCATGAGTCTGGAGCTGCTGGACTTCCCACCGCTGTGGGGCGCGCTGGATGCACATAGTCTCTGGCACCTCGGTACTATTGTGCCGACCATCGTATGGTACCGGTGAGTCATTGCCTGCAATGGGGGGTTTCGTCACTGAATAGTAGAAATGCTGACCCGGTGTTTCTAGCTTCCTGGTCAAGGATGCCCAAAACGATATAGCCATGTCCACCAGACTCAAGGACAAGGAGGACGAGTAACCTTCTCGGTAAGATACAAAGTCGAGGAAAAGGTGGTTTTCTCAGCGCTCAGCAAGCGTTGCCATTCAAAAGGAGTCACGGCAAAAAAAAAAATTGGGTTCACCGCACCATGTCAGTTGGCAGGCGCTTGGTGCGAGGCATGATCCATGTATGTTATCTTGGAGGAAAAGGGCAAACATCTGACGAGGGCGTCACGATTCAGTGTGCACGGGTACCTAAGTAGTACGGCTCGCATCCACGGAGTTCCAATATGTTCATAGAGATCGAGAATTAATGGAGCAATCTTCATCCCCAGCTTGAAATCCGACAGGCTCGCCAGTATTATGTGATTCTACACTGCATAGCAACGCGTGGGTATGGTGAGTATTGGACGGCTACTACCGTGACTAGTGGCGCGGCGTTGCGCTCCAAGGGGGGTAATCCTAGTATGAGGCGACTAACTTGGGCCTTTGAACTAAAAGTATCAGATCCTTCCTTCTCGCTTGGAAGAAAAAAAAAAGGCAGTTCGGGCGAGGCGAGACGCTCGTCAGTCTAGAGCCGCAGGACTGGCTGACTGGGGACTGGACTGACTGACTGGTGCTAGTTGGCTGGCGTAGACAGTAGAAAAGACTGCTATTGGGTCGATGACCCGGGTGGGGCTCCAGGGCGGTGAGGCCCGCAATTGGCAGTAAACCGATCTACGGACCCTTGATTCCAGAAAAATTATGCCCGACGACGCTGGACGAAGGGCCCTGAGCGACGCTTCCTATCCCCCGTCCAACTTCTAATAATTTTCATCCCGCTGCCCCATCCCTCGGCCAGCCTGCAAACATCACTGCCGGTCATGTCGGACTCAAAGAAATCGGATGTCGAGGCCGCCGAGCTCGCGCTCAAGGGCATGGCCCATTCTGAGCAGCACTACTTCAATAGGTGGGTTACACCAAACACGGGCAACCTCCCCTCTCAACAAAGGACCTCCCATGTCTTTTGTCACCCCGAGCGACATTGTTGGCTAACCTGTTTTGTCGCGCAGTTATAACCATCATGGTATGTTTCTCTCAACCATGCTGGGCATGAGCATGTAGGAATTTTCGTAATTTTTCTGTATGGTACTAATGTGGGGTTGAACTCATTCAGGTATCCATGAGGAGATGTTGGTATGTGACTATTCTGCAGCCGCCGTGTCTACCACGAACCCGGCCTTGACCTGATACTGACTCTGCATACAGAAAGATGAGGTCCGCACCAGGTCTTACATGAACGCCATTGTGCAGAACAAGCACCTTTTTAAGGACAAGGTCGTTCTTGACGTTGGCTGTGGAACTGCCATCCTTTCCATGTAAGCATCCAATGCACCTTTCTTGACGGTCTCTTTTTGTTGGCATGATATATCTCAGTTGCTGACCCTTGATTCTCAAGGTTTGCTGCCAAGGCTGGTGCCAAGCATGTTATTGGTGTTGACATGTCGACCATCATCTTCAAGGCCAGGGAGATTGTCGACCGCAACGGCCTGACTGATAAGATCACCCTGATCCAGGGCAAGATGGAGGAGATCGAGCTTCCCTTCCCCAAGGTCGACATCATCATCTCGGAGTGGATGGGCTACTTCCTGTTGTACGAGAGCATGCTTGACACGGTTCTGTACGCACGTGACAGATACCTGAACAAGGATGGCTTAATCTTCCCCGACAAGGCCACCATCTACGCCTGTGGTATTGAGGATGGCGACTACAAGGACGAGAAGATTGGATGTAAGTGACCCTCAAGCACCCACGCCGCGCCCAAAAGTCTGACATTGAATGCTCTAGTCTGGGACAACGTCTACGGCTTTGACTACACGCCGCTCAAGGAGACTGCTCTGGCCGAGCCCTTGGTTGATACTGTCGAAGTGAAGGCTGCTGTGACCGATCCCGTAGCTATTCTGGCTCTTGATCTGTACAAGTGCACAGTAGAGGACCTGGCCTTCGCTGTCCCGTTCAAGCTCACCGCCCGTCGCGACGATTTTGTCCACGCGCTGGTCGCATGGTTCGACATCGACTTCACGGCCTGCCACAAGGCAGTTCGCTTCTCGACTGGTCCCCACACCAAGTACACTCACTGGAAGCAGACGGTGTTCTACCTGAAGGACGTTCTGACTGTCACACAAGGCGAGGAGATCAACTGCCACCTTGATGTCAAGCCCAACGAGAGAAACAGACGCGATTTGGACATCAAGGTCAAGTACCAGCTGGAGACCCAGGACCCCACAAGACAGGGCCAGGGAGAAGCCGAGTACAAGATGTGCTAAGCGGCGATTATTGTGAACGTGATTATTCAGACATGCTACCTTGGGTCTGAGTGGGCTACACCACATCCAAGAGTGACACAATGGGTCAGCCCATCGGTGTTGGAAGGGTCGACACCAAAACAAGGAGCTGGCAGATTCAGGGCCGCAGGGATCAATGGCGTATTGGTCAAACATTACTGGGACGATCATGGTGCCAGGGACAGGGGACTACTGCTGGGGAAGCAAAGACTTGTTTCTGCCATAGGCTTGCATAGATAGTTCCCCCGACGTAAGGGGAGCGAATGCATTGACGAGGATCATGAGCGCATGTATTCTTGACGTCCGGGAGATACCATTACGCATCAACTGCATATGCAGAGGTGGCGGGGATAGTCAGTGAACACAACCAAAATAGATTTGCATTTCAGCACAGCCATGACCCCGTGAAGTCAAGTCTTGGGCGTTGATATCGGCAGTGGCCCACAACCATCAGACCAACCGTTCAATCCACGTTGGGGTCCTGTTATTCCATTGATACCACGAGAAACATAGCGGCGTCACACTCCACGCGATCAGTCAACCTTTGGTTGCAAATTGCTCATATTTTGTCATACGCCGACGGGCAATATCTACTATAGACCCTTCTGTCCTGAGTAAGGCCACTATGATCTTCCTGTTTTATCTTGCTTTCTCTCCTTCGTGCTTTCACCTTTTTTGGTAGCCGATCCCCATATACGTATGAAACTTCCTTTCGTGACGTCGTTCTTCTTAATTTTTTTTTCTTTCCTTTTTTTGTATAATTCATTTTGGATTTTTGTTATATATTGATTTGGCCTAACCTTCTGTCCGTCTCAGCGCATCGTAGAGAAGCCGTGCAGGTGAGCGAGGTCGGCGGGCGCGAGGCTGGGGTTGGCCCTCCTCAGAGCCTCCTACGCTCCGCCGCCGTACTGCTTCACGATGAGGGCTACCTTGTTGGCGAGGTCGTCGGCCTCGGAGCGGGTGGCAGCCTCGGCGTAGACGCGGCAGGCGTTCTCAGTGCCCGAGGCCCGCGCGAAGGAGCGCGCGTTGGTGTACTTCTTGACCGTCTGGTCGATCTCGTCCTGGGCGCCGGCCGGGTGGCTGAGCTTGCGCTCGGCGTCCGTGGTCTGAAACAGGTCCTTGTCGCCGACCTCGACGCGCACCAGGCGGTTGGGCAGGTCCTGGTACGTCATGGCCCAGTCCTTGAGGCCCCAGCCCTTGTGGGCGAGGATCACCTCCACCATCAGCATGTCCGAGATGGCGTCGCCGACCGTCTGGTTGATGAGCTCTCCCAGAGCTTGCAGGGTCTCGAGGGCGTCCTTCTGGGCAGGGGACTGAGGCGCCTTCTTGGCGAAGAGCTGCATGGCATCGGGGGAGAAGAGGACGGTGCCGTGGCCGTTGGCCTCGAAATACACACCGATGTCAAAGTTGCAGGCAGCGTGGTGGAGATGCTTGACACCCGTGGGTGTGCAGACGACAGGCAGCTGCAGGTGCTTCTCGATATACTTGGTGCTGGCACCGTTGGCGTAGGCAGTCTGGACGACTCCGATGCGAAGCTCACCCTCAAGGCCAGCGGCACGGAAGAGGTCGGCGATGAAGGAGGCAGCGAGAGTCGCAATACGGTCGCCGTCGAACATGAAGAAGCTGCTCGTATCGGGGTCCACCCAGTAGTAGATCAGACGATCGGCGTCACCGTCCAGGGAGCACCAGCGGTCGCCCGGCTGGGGCTTGGGGTTCGGCGGTGCCCTCTGGCGGGTCTTGACAAAGTCGGCACCGCAGTCGAGGTTCAAGATCTCGGGCTTGAGGACGTCGTCGTTGACAACCTTGCAGTCGATACCGGTCTTGGAGGGGTCGACGATCTTGAGAAGCTCGTTCAGCTTCGGGCCACCAACGCCGTTGGCACAATCGACTGTGACGCTGCCCGAGATCCTCTTGCCTCGCATGGCGCGCTCAAAGGCGCTGTTGAGTTTCTTGTAGTAGCCAGCCTCGCTCGTCTCGCCGTATGAGCTGGGCAGGCCCTCGGTGTTGACGCAGCGGGTGAGGTAGTGAAGTTGGGGGGTCGTCAGGATCTTGTAGTCGACATATGCGGTGTTCGTGGCCGCGCAGGCGTCGGACAAGGCCTGGACAAGGGTGATGCCCGAGGGGCGTGTGTCTCGGCCGGCGATGACCTTGCCCGACGAGGAGAGGTCGACCTTGAGCTGATCGGCCAGCTTGAAGAAGGTGTCGGCGAGAACCTCGTGGCTCGAGCAGTTGACGAGGTCGGTAGCGAAGACCTCCCATTCCTGCTCCAACATGTCTCCCATGGGGTCGACGATCTTGACGCCGTTGTCCTTGGCCGGGTTGTGGCTGGCGGTGACCATAACACCGATGGCCTGGCCGCCGAGCTTGCGGGTGCGAAGCGCGGACAGAAGGCCTACCCTGAATGTGACACCCTCGAGGAGGTCGGCGGCCATACGGAAGCCGGCGGTGCCATACTTGTAGGGCTTGCCGGGCACGATGTCGTGCTTCTTGGACGCCTCGATGATTGCGTTGCGGTCCATCTTGGAGCGTCTCTGGCGTAAGAGCAGCAAAGAGGAAGCCGAGGACTCGGTTTACCAAGGACAAAGATCAGGCAGATCTAGCTGTGTTGATGGTTGTCCAATTAGGCCCCCAAATGTAGGCGGAAGCGGAAGCTGTGGCAACGGGTCAAGTCAGCAAAACAATCCAGCCGTGCTTGGAAATCTCGGGGGGTTCTCTGGGTACGAGGCTTGTGTTGGAGCCCGAGCTGTCAGACAAAGAATGCCATAGCAGTTTGTACACCAGGACCGGTCCTCTTCAGAGGAGGCCTCAGGCGTGGGGGTCTTGTGGATATGCATGTAGGATATGCCACGACGGAGTATAAGGAAGGGGACGGCTGAGGCAATTTACCTTTCAAGTTGCAGCACAGCGCGGAGAGGGAACAAGAGGCGAGAAGGAAAATGTCTCAGGAAAACAAAGCCAGGGAAATGTCACCAAGAACGAACAATTGGCGAGGTGGTTCGCAGGCTACTGAATCCAACAGGAGCTAAGGTAGGTAGAGGTAGGCGTGGAAGGGAAGCATCCAATGGCCCCAGCAACGGGCGGTGTTGAAACTAGCTGCCCCTCGTTTTACGAGGTTATTTACACGAGCCCCGCCAAACAAGTTGCAGCGCCAGCTCAGCGTCAGCGCCAGCAGAAGCGCCAGCAGAACTGGAGGTGAGCACCGAGCAGCCCATTACCTCACAGCTCCACTTCTGCCAACCCGAGAGACTTTTGCGCCTGGCCTCTGTGCTACGCAAGCAGGCAAGCTGAGGTGCAAAACGACGACTACGTACCTAGTTAGGTAGCTAGCCAGGGACCCCGCCGCCAAGTTATGCAAAAATAGAACCCCTTGAACAAACCCTGCAGAAGTTAAGCAGCTACCTACTGTGTAGGTACCTGGCAAGCTAAACACTGTCACATGACTTCGCGTCGTCCCATCCTGCCCGGCGGACGCGTTATCTGAATGACGACACGGTTTTTGGGTCAAGGCACCGTCAGGTCGTCGGCGACACATGAAACTTCCCTGCCCTCATTGTCTCGTGGGAGTAGGAACTCATGGCTCGACGCTCTTGCTGGCCTCTCGGACGAATGACAGTCCTTTGATCACGGAATAGAGTGGCAAAACAGCCGTCCTGTCCAAGTGTCTTCCTTGCTCGTGTTTCCTACTGTTCCCCCAGGCGCAAAGGATCCGGCGATTGTCAACACCAAGGGCAACCCAGAAACTACGTCGCCAGCGTCACAGCTGCTTCTATCAGTCGCTCTTGGCCCAGCGTCTTGCTCCCTTTCCCAATCCTTGGACTTGTACTTTCACTTCACCTGGCTCTCAGCATGTCCCCCCCTTCGGACGAGGCATGCGCCAACCCGCTTCTCCTCAGCTGGGTCAAGGAATGGCTTGACGTCGCTCGCGAGCGCAACTCCAAAGGCATCACGACATACAACAATGCCTACAAGTCGCTCAGGGTGTGCCCCATCACCTTCACGCACCCATGTCAGCTCCAGCAGCTCAAGGGCTTCGGGCCCACCCTCTGCAACCGGCTCACAGAGAAGATGAAGAAGCATTGCGAAGAAAACGGCATGCCTATGCCTAGGAAAACACTGAGAAATTCAGCCACCGCCGGTGTCAACGGGGACGACGTTGAAGAGGAGGAGGATGGCGACGGCAGACCACCCCCCGCCAAGAAGCCCAAGAAGACCAAACCCTATGTGCCCCAGCTCAGATCCGGACCGTACGCAATCATCATGGGCCTGTCGGAACACAGAGCCGCGGGAATGACCGGGCTAAGCAAGGAACAGTTGATCGAGGTAGCCCAACCCCATTGCGACGCCTCCTTCACAGTTCCGGCACAGGCCAATAGCTTCTTCACGGCCTGGAACTCGATGAAGACCTTGATCAACAAGGAGATTGTTATCGAGAAAAGGGGCGGTCCCTCACGGAAGTTCTATGTGCTCACCGATCTCGGCTTTGAAATCGCGAGCAACGTGAAGAAAGCCACAGACCCTGCAGCTGCATCGGAGCCTTCTGCGCCAACAGCTCCCAGGAGACCCGATGCCCCAAGACCACCAGAGATTGGCCTTGACGATGAACAAGATGTCGACGCACTGCTAACGCGTGGCGAAAGATCACCTTCCACCGAACTCCACCACCAACCCCCAAAGTCGTCTCAATCCGTCTTCGCAGATGTAGTCAAGGATGGAGACGCTTCCTCGGACCCTGCAGCCCTCCCTAACTTCCGTCCTATTCGCCTACAACCTGGCAGCTTCACAGTACATCTAGTTTTGGACACCAGAGAGATTCGCGCCCGAACGGACCGAGACTACATGCAAGAGGAATTGCTGAAGCAAGGGGTCAAGCCCATCGTCAGAGCACTCGAACTTGGCGACGCATTATGGGTAGCAAAATGCCACGATCCCCACTTCCTTCAGAGGGCCGGGGCTGAGGGCGATGAAGTAGTCCTTGACTGGATTGTTGAGCGAAAGCGGCTAGACGATCTCATCGGCAGTATCAAAGATGGCCGTTTTCATGAGCAAAAGTTTCGACTGAAGAGATCTGGCGTCAAGAACGTGGTCTACCTGATCGAGCAGTTTGCTCTGGACGATTTGAACAAAAATAGATACGCGGAAGCGGTTGAATCAGCCATAGCGTCGACCCAAGTCGTCAACGGCTATTTCGTGAAGAGGACGGAGAAGATGGACGAATCAATTCGGTACCTCGTGCGTCTGACCACAAAGCTGAAGAAGCAATACGAGGCCAAACCGTTATACATCATCCCGACGGAACACATCACAGCCCAGAACTACCTCCCGCTTCTAAAGCACCTGCGGGAAAAAGAACCAACCACGGGCCATTATATCAGCTATCCTGCTTTTTCTTCGCTTGCATCAAAATCCGAGATGATGACGCTACGAGATCTGTTTCTCAAATTTCTGATGTGCACGAGAGGCGTCACTGGTGAGAAGGCTCTTCAAATCCAGAAGATATGGAAGACTCCAAATCAGTTCATCAAGGCCTTTGAGAACTGCGGTGCCGGAGAGGAGAGCAAGAAGAGAAAACGCGAGCTGGTATCAAGCCAAATGGGAAACATGGTAGGAAGGAAAAAGATTACGAAGCCGTTGAGCAGCAAGATTGCCGAAGGCTGGGGAGATGTGGCATCCTGAGTTATTCCGTCTCCGTCAGGGTTGTCTGCAACATGTTTACTCATGACTCGACCGAGAGCAAACTTCGACACCAGCACAGACGTCTAGAGTTTCAATACTTTTGTCTATCTATAACCAATTGAACCCTAGAAGACCAAAAACCTCTCCACGGCGGTGCCCGAGGCCGCATTACCTATGCAGAATGGCCTCCCATGGCTTGCGTAATGATGTTTTGCACCATCTTCTCTACGATGGGCTTCAAAGCGCCCTCGTCTCCGCTGAGATAGCCTGCCATGCTCTTCTCGGCATACTTGGCCAGCACGTCGACCTCGACGTTGACGCTGTCGCCCTCCTTTTTCTGCGCCAGAACCACCTTTTCCTGGGTGTACGAGATTAGCATGACCTCCCACCAGCCCTCGACATCGTCCACTTTCGTGATCGTGAGACTCGTCCCGTCCAGGGCGATGAAGCCCTTGAACACGACGTAGCGCATCACGTCCTTGTTCTTCGGGCTGAAGCGCAAGGTGAGAGCGTTGCCGTCCGGGGTTATCTTGGAGATGGTGGCTACGCTATCGACATGGCCCTGCACGAAATGCCCACCCATCCGGGTGTCGGCCCGCACGGCACGCTCGAGGTTGGCCTTGGAGCCCTTGGCCAAGGCCCCCAGATTTGTCAGCCGCAAGGTCTCGGGCGCGATGCCGACGGTGAAGGAGGGCGGGGAGGGGGTGATGGAGGTCGCGGTCAGGCAGACGCCGTTTATGGCGATGCTGTCGCCGAGCTGCGCATCCGACAGCAGGGTCGAGGAGGCCGGCAGGCTGATGGTCAGCGAGGTGCCGCCGGTCGCATCTTGGCTGTTGAGCTCGGAGACCTCTGGGGGATCAGACCATGTCAGCGACTTGTCCAACGAGGAGCAGCCCGGTCACACAGAGTTCTGGCACACAAACCTCCAATCTCCTCTACTAGACCTGTAAACATCTTGGCGGGCAGGCTCTTTCTTTTTTCTTTTCTTGTTCCCCAGCAAACCCACGAGTGTCGTATTGCGGGACGGAATCGGGGTTGGCGCAATGACGTTGGATATGCTTGTCGCTTTGGGCCCGTGCGGTTGGCCCACTCTGTCGATTGGGACCCCTGCTGGGTCGGGATCAACGACCCTACCCGCTCCCGAACCTATAACACGGCCCGTGGAATTGTTTCTGATAGAGCTGGCATGTTTTCACATACGAAGTCCTTCTGATAGTATGTTTACTCTACACTTTACGGAGATTTAGACAAGTGCCATTCTCTTATGAGGCCATGCAAGATGTAGGCAGCAGTATCCTGTAGCACAGAGATGTCTCAGAGAGGAGAGTCGGGGCATCTTGAACTTAGACGACGCAATCAATGTAGATTACACGGCTTCATCTGTCCGGATGAATCATCTTGTGATGTAAGTCCACGTTAAGCCAATGTCGCGACGTTCCGTTTAGGCAGACCTCGGGACGGCTGTAATTTTCGGGTCATGTGGATCTCTGGGCCGCCACCACTTGGACTTACGGATGTTTGCCTACATGGGGACCGATCTGACATTTTATGACGCCAAAGACCTCGTTCCAGCAACAACTCTACAGACTCGACACAGCTTTACATATGTGAAGCAAATCGTATCATATATGTCAACTAAAGCCCAACGCCAATGACTGAGAAGTGTCTTAATCCGATACAACGTCAGGGCGACGGACGGTTGACGGCAGCGCCAGGTAGTGGCCGACTCTGACTTACAGTATTGCTCATTGCCATGACTGAGAGTTTGACCATTCAGTCAGCATACAGGTGGCGCCAGGAATGGTTGTCGGTGGACGGAGCTTCGAGACTTCGAGGACAAAGCGCCGCAGAAAGACGGTCCGGCCCTCATTCTGCCGGCGCGATTCCATTCAACCCTCAATTTGCATGCTCCCACCATGGATCCAGATCTTCATGGCAAACGGGAACTGTTCCGACAGCTCGACGGACTTAAACAGGTGGACGACGATGATGAGGTCATCGATGCCGACGAAATAAGGCACCGTGCCAAATGCAAAGCCTTTGCCAAGTCCGCGCTGCCAGGACCCGTTGTGAAGTCGCGATCAACTTTCTCGGGCATTGGCAATCCACCAGGTGCTGCCCCAAGGAGGACGGCATCGGATCCAATAGCAACCAGAGTAAAGACGACCGAAGTCATTGTTATCGATGATACCCCGCAGGCTGCGAGAGTCGTCCCGGGCCAAACACGTTTGTCGTCCCTTCTTCAGGCAGCATCGGGCATGGACGACACCTCTATTCCAGACTCAACAAAACGACATTCTGCACAAACCGTCAGGCGAGACTCAAACACTCGCCTTCGCAAAAGAACCCGTTCATCACCGCCCGCCGAGGACTCGCCATCAACCACCATGGCCAAGCGCAAGCGATCCTTGACACTGAAAATGGCACCAGAGGGCCAGCAATGCTTCAAGGGCTTGTCGTTTTTCTTCATCCCAAATGACGATGTGAATCCAGTCCGAGGACGGCGGATCACCAGGGCGAGAGAACATGGTGCCAACTGGGTCCGATCCCTAGACGATGCGTCACATGTTGTAGTAGATGCAAACTTTACTTACGCAGACATCGAAAAGACTCTTGATGCGCATCCAGAAGCCAAGAAGAAGATCATCGTCAACGAAGGCTATCCCATCGACTGCATAATCTACCGCAGGCTGCTTAACCCGGACCAGCCAAAATATCAAGTTCCAGGCTTCTCACAATCGGTGGCCGAATCCAGACAAGCGCCTGGTCCATCACAGGAGTCTGAAAGGTCATTGCAGCTCAAGCCAGATGCTAGCAGGCGCTTGAGAAAAGGTCAAACCGTCTCTACAGGTACACCTCCACGCAGTGATGAATCAACGCAGAGGAGCACCCAAATTTCCTCTGGCAACGTAATCACAGTGTCACAGCTCGGCAGCCAGGCCGCGAACATCACGACTGGTGCCGCACGATTGGACGGAAGCACTGGACCCAGAGCCTCCCAAAACCATCACGGAGATTTGGCCGGCGCCCCTGTCGTCGACGAACTTTCCCAGCTCATCAACTTTGTGAAGTCAAATCCCAACGCAGACATAGGAGTCGCAAGCGACGACGATGATGTTCTAGAGAACAGGCCTTCATCTTCAGATTCTGCTATCTTCGCAAATTGTACGGGGTCTCAACGATCCGATGACGGATCTGCTAGTTCCGGGAAGGACCGGAAACGCAAACGAAAGGGACCGTCGAGAAAGATGCCGGAAGACGACCCAAATTGGCAGGATAAATTTGCCTGCATGAAGGGAGGCAGCAAAGATGGAAAAGATGATAATCCAAATGCGGATACGATAGCTATATTACAGGACATGTGTGACTATTACACGGGACAGAACGACACCTGGCGAATCAAGGCCTACCGGCAGGCGATATCTGCCCTTCGTCAACAAAGCACTCGAATTACCACGGCCCAGGAAGCAAAGGACATTGCCGGGATCGGTGAACGTCTTGCTGACAAAATCGAGGAAATCGTCAATACGGGGAGGTTGAAGAGGCTTGAAGCGGCCCTCCAGGAACCTGACCACGAGGTTCGCGAGCTCTTCCTCAAGATATACGATGTCGGCCTCGAACGTGCGCAGAAGTGGATCCAGCAAGGCTATCGAACTCTGGAAGATCTCTTGGAAAAGGCAAACCTCACCAGAAACCAACGGATCGGTATCGAGCACTATGAGGATCTCAACACCAGGATTCCCCGTGCGGAAGTTGAGGCTTTGGGCAAGTGTGTGAGACGGACCGCTGCCGATATTGACTCTAGAGTTGAGTTGCTCATCGGCGGCAGCTACCGTCGAGGTTCCAACACCTCCGGAGACATAGACTTCATTATTACGAAGAAAGGAACTTCGTCCAGTAGCGAGCTAACACCGTTTCTTGACCGCCTGGTCGACAAGCTGACCAGCTCAGGGTTCCTGACGGTTGGCTTAGCGACGTCTAGGTCCTTGGGTGGAAGCAAGTGGCACGGTTGCTGCGTGCTTCCGAAGGCCGACTTCCCTGGCGACAAGGCCGACTACAAGCCGATATGGCGACGCATCGATCTTCTCCTCGTGCCGGAAACCGAGTTCGGCGCGGCTCTGATCTACTTCACCGGAAACGACTTGTTCAACCGGAGCATGAGGTGGCTGGCCCACAAGAAGGGCATGCGGCTGAACCAACGAGGACTCTACCGGGATGTCATGCGCGGCCCCGGAGGGATCAAGTACAACGAGGGTGATTTGGTGGAGGGGAGGGACGAGAAGAAGATCTTCGAGGCCTTAGGCGTCCAGTGGAGAGAGCCTCACCAACGATGGTGTTGAGGCTGTGAATGCATACATGAACATGGTGACTTCGCTCAACTACGATACCCCTTACTGCCAAGATATTGCATCCGCATGAGTAAAAGACTTGCGTCACTCCTCGTAAAATTTGGTGGTGCGCCTCGATAGATATTTTCTATTGAGCCTTGCTTTTTACCTACTCTGAAGTATGAAAGTTTGAATATACAGTGTCTGCTTAGCATGTCGAGTAGTGGAGGGGATACTGCGATGCACGGATCAGACAGAACGTTTGGCACTTTACTATTAAGATCGTGCTTTAATGATGCTGTAATGATGCTATGTGCAAAGAGGTGAGAGATGTGTTAGCAGAGTTATTCTGCTATCCTTCAAGTTGGGGATCATTGGGATCGCTTGCTGGTTGGGAGAGAATATAACTCAAATGGCCGCATGGAGTTGCTTGCTGTTCCACTTCGAAACAGGTATCCAAACTTACATAAAATACGACTTCCAACCAGGTATTTTCGACATATACATTTCAAAACATTATCAAACACAAGGAAGACAGACCCAGATCGCCCTTCCCCATACGATTCCGTTCGGACTTCCTCAATTGTTGCCTTCCAACATGAATGGAAAATCAGCTGTGTTCCCCCAAGGTCTATCTTCTTGCGGACTTCCTGCAGCACCAACTCAGGGCTGCTGCAGCTGTCGGCCGGTCTCTGATCCGTCACGTTGTCGTGTATAAGCATGTCGACAGATTTGGCCAGTACCACGGCAGCTCACTCAACGCTGTTGTTCCGACACTGATGCGCTTCACTTCTCTGCGCACGCTTGTCCCGGTCGCTATGCTTGACAGTAACGGGTATAGTAACGTGTTTGAACTCAGGAAGCTGCAAGAGCACCTCAAAAATCTCAGCTCCCTCGAGGTCATGGAGGTACGTCAGTATTGGTGCAAGCCGATGGAGAAAAGGACCGCCTGGGCAAAGATATTATATGAGGAGCTGCAGATGTTCGCCGTCGTATCCTTCACAGTGCCGCTGTATGCCGGTTATCCGATTCGTCTCGAGGGGCTTGCTTGGAAGGTGTCCGATGCCTTCAACATCGCAGATCAGAAAATCAAGGAGATGACGCCCATGAAACCGGGTAGACACCGCATAGATCCTTGTGCGACGCAGGAATTCTGCAACACGCAGAATATCGTCCCGTTGCACGGCTATCCTGGTGCGAGCATCAGCCTGCTAGGGACAGATAGCGCCTACAACGAAAGCGCTTTTGGAGGCTGCATCAGGGGCAATAATGCTATTTTCTTCATTTAATGAATATATGGCCGCAGCTCGCCGCGGCAAGGCTCCATTTATGACGGAGGACCTCCCTTTTAATCTTAATTTCAACGCTGATCGTTCTCACAGCTAAACCGCTGAGCCACAAATTCTCGGGCAAGCTGCATGGCTTTCTCAATAGTCCTACAGGCTGGTAGGCCCACATCGCTTACAACTATTCGGCACATGTGTTTGTTTTGAAGTACGCATTAAAGGGGTATCTCATCATACATAAGTATATATCCAAATCTTATCAATGTACAAGAGGCTAACGGCATATTTGTTATACCGCCCAAATCCTAGGGCCGGTTATATGTAGCTCCAAAGTACTCCGTGTAGGAAAGATCAAACCAAGTCTAAACAGGAAGGCAAAAGAAGGCTGAAACTCCATCCGTTCTAGCGTGCGTGAGGAGACTGATGGCTCGATTGACCCGCGTAGATTCTAGTGTCCACAAGAGGAATGCTGTTCTTCTCTCGGGGGTCGAGCGGAGTCGCTGTGTCTTCAGAGTATCGGCTGCGAGTCTCGCCCTCCACATCGTCGTTCAGCACCTCTCGGGTCAGCTCGACATAGTCGTATGCAAACTCGCCAATCTCGGCGTCGTCGATACCCAGGATCTCCGCATCCTCATTGGCGCGGAGACGGAGCCCGGGGATGAGGTTGATGATGAAAAGGATGAGGGTAGTCCCGACAAAGGAGTAGGTGCCGCCAGCTACCGAGTCTGCCAATTGGTACCCGAGCTGGATCCAGTTCTGGTCGAGCCAGCCTCCGTTGATGACCTGTACATTGTCGAGGTGGGCAATGGCGCGGCTGGCGAAGAAGGCGGTGCAGATGTTTCCGACAAGACCGCCAACGGCGTGGACGGCAAAGATATCCAAAGCATCGTCGACTCCCAACAGAAACTTCAATTTCGTGGCATAGTTGGCGAAGGCGGCTCCGAGGACTCCATAAGGAACGGCAGCCCAGACGGGGACATAGCCTGGAGGTGGTCAGCATTCCATTCGCGATAGTGTCAAGTTGACAAGACTCTCAGAACTTACCGGACCCAGGGGTAATGGCAACGAGTCCGGCGATAACGCCGGAGCAGAAACCTACAGCCGACCACTTGCGCTCCAACCTGTAGTCCAGGACACACCAGGTCATTCCACCAACGCACGCCGACAGGTTCGTCACAACAGCTGCCAAGATGGCGCGCATGTTGGCGGACAGAGCAGAACCAGCGTTGAATCCAAACCAACCCACCCACATAAAGACAGTTCCGATGATGATGTGGGTCACGTTGTGTGGGCGGTAGTTCAGCTCGTGCGTTCCGTGCCCGCGACGCTTCCCGAGCATCATGGAGTAGGCGAGTGCCGCAGTTCCAGAAGCAATGTGGACTGGAGTACCTCCGGCGAAGTCGAGCCCTCCCATCCTGTTTGACCATCCACTAGGATTCCACGTCCAGCACGCAATCGGGTCGTAGATGACAGTCGCCCAGATGAACATAAAAATAACACAGGGCAGCATCCGTCCTCGTTCGGCGACCGCGCCAGTCGCTAGAGCCACGGTGATGGAAGAGAACATGCCCTGGTAGACGGCGAACAAGAGGTCGGGAATCCGGGAAGACCCCACGGAGGGCTGCGCCAAGACGTTCCTGAACCCGAAGTTCGACAAGTCGCCTAGGTAGGGACCGGCCGTGTGCGAAAAGGTCAGAGAGTAGCCCCAGAAGAACCACTGGAATGAGGTCACGGCAGCCGCCATCACAGAAAGCCATATCAGAGACAATGCCGACTTCCTTCGAGCCAGGCCAGAGTAGAAGAAACTGAGCAAAGCCTATCAGCCAATTTACCCTCCATAGACTCGGGTGTACCCGTTCCGTTGAACTTACCCGACACCTGGTATCATGAGCAGCACAAGAGCAGTGGCTGTGATCATCCAGGCAATATCACCCGTCTCGTACCAGATATTCAAATTCTCGGTGATGGGGTCGCCGCCCGCCTCGCCGGTGCCATTGTACGGGACCTTGACGATGTAGTTCAGAGCGTCGAGGTCGACGTCAACGCCGTTGATGTTGACGACAACCATTGTGTGATTCGAGGACGAGACTCAGCAAAGAGCTCTGTCGGAACAAAGTTCAAAGGTGTATATGAGAAAACAGACGAAAGTCAGGAAACCCAAGAGCGAACGCTACAAGTCACACGCGACCTGGGGCTTGCCGGTCTTGAAGTACTGGACGGCTTTCCAGTGCTAGGGCCGGGTCTGGCAGAGACGGTTGCGACTAGGCGGCCGACTAGCGCCACCGTGACGCGGGAGACACCGGGGTACAACCTTAATAGCAAATTCCTATTACCACACCGAGAGCGGGTGGCTTATCAGCAGGCCAAGTGCAACGCAGGGAAACGTTTCCGCCCACGCTTCTGCAGTGGAAAAAGCAAAGATGTATGTGAGCAGTCACGAATAATGGGGAGTGTGATGTGGGCAAACGTAAGCAGAAAAGGGGGGCCCAGGACAAGAGATCACAAGAGAGCATTTCTACTAATCTGCTTGCGAGGCCCCTATGGCATCACACAGACGGCTTGTGTATCGTATCTCTCTCTCCCTCACCTCATCAAAAGGGTCGCCGATAGAACCCCCTGCAAGGACTTCCTTGGGGGGTTAGCTGCTGCGGTAGATTCTCTAGATTGCTGTCCGTTCGCAAGGGAGCTCGGGAGTATTGATCGCATGGCAGATGGATCATCATCAACACCCCTCCCCTCCCAAGCTAGCCAAGGCATACCATCATCTGCCCATTTGCCCTGTCTGAAGCATGGATCGAGGCAATAAAGAGAAGATGCATGGTTGCGAGGAGCCGAGCGAGCGAGGACGGTGGGGCGCTACCCTGCGTTGCACTGCTAACTACGGTATGGTAAGATGGGCCCCGGCCGCCCAGCACCCAAGCACCCAAGCACCTAGCCTTGCCGACCGTTGTGCTGGGTTGGCGCTGCTGGAAGGTGCCGAAAAGGGCGACCAGGGCCGGCTGGGCAGGGGGGCAAAGGCTCTTGGGGCTGCTGCGAGTCAATATCGGGGGTGACATGGCCTGGCGCCACAATTTAGAGCGAGCTGCAGGTCGCTCTTGTTTGTGGGAACCAGCCGTGGTTAGTTCGCCCAGGCTTTAATACGGGTTTGGAAGGGGACAGGCGGCCTAGGGCGAAGCTCTGTGCAGTGCGAAGATAAGAGCGTCGTCTCCCATTTGTCAACTGTTTTCCGTGGGGGCCTGTTACACAAATGTTGCTGCACCGTTTGGGACTATGCGTGTGGCCTTTTTGAGTTTGGTCACAACACGCCATGCGACTCATTGACACCCGGATACTTCGGGAAGTGGCTGTTTCTTTTTAACAATAGGATGGACTCGACAGAAACTCTCTGTTGAAGAAATTTCGCAAGAAAGGGCGGCAAGCCAGTCTGCTTACCGATTTCAGTAGAGTGCCAAGTATCCATGGATATGTCTAATCACCTCTCGCTGCCTTTACGATGGGCGCCGGGAAGGCGGGCGGGCGGGCGGGCGTGCATGCGACGCGGACGAAGCCAGCGCAAAGAAGTGCCTCTCGCTTGTGATCATCTCCGTTGAACTCCAACGGAGTCGCCAATCACGCCTCTCTGCTAATAATAAGGCTTATCACCAAATATTTTCTCCAAAGTGCATTGCAGCACGTACCTGGCATAATCTAAGGTGGCTGCTGCTACCCCACGTTGGACCCTGGGCGGCGACGGGGGCACGGGCGACCCCTTGGACACTCGTCGCCCGGGTCTAGACCCCCAATCCTCGGTCCACAACTACCGCGGAGTTCTTCTGGAACAAGACGACATGTTGCTGGCCTGGCGGATTGCTACCCAGGTTTGCAGCACTTGTCGTAGTCAGACTGGGCTGGGCTACCATTCAGCTCCGTGAAACGTTTGTGGAACAAGTAGTAAGTTTCCCGCACAATGAGAGAACTGACCGCCTGTCGTGACTGAGAAAGCTCCTGATCGACCCTTCCGTTGTTGTCAGTGTTCCAAGCCCGTTGAAAGTCTCTCGATAGGTGGTCGCAATCGTTCTTGATACCACAAGAAAGGTCTCTCCAGCCTCCTGGTGCACGGCAGTGAACTTTCCAGGGGCGGGCCAGGCTAATGCGATGACCCGGAATCAAACCTGCAAGCCCTCTCCCACAAGTACCGGACATATAGTGTCAGTTCCACGGCCTCTTGCAGCTGCTGTGCCTCTTCGGGAAGGTGGATGGGAAACTTTATTCTCCCATAATTTCTTCCATCGCCCGCAAGAGTGTTGCATGCTGCAGTACTGCGCTTTGTATGGAGGTGAATAAAAGGCTCTGAAGTGGCACTCTACAATAGGGCAGTATGACGCCGGTCCACTAATATAAGTCCCAGGTCAATCGGTAATGACGTTCTTTGCTTCCCAATAGACTGGTGCCACCTACATCTGCTCCAGTATGGTCCTGGGAGTATGCATGACGGGGAGCATGATGAATTAAATGTACCGTAGGATATATGTGGACCCTCTTATGTTAATCACGGCCTGTCTAACCAGGTTTTCTATTTACTTCAGGGGACTGAAACCATTTTCGTTCTTGCCTCGAGCTTGATATATGACCGTCACATCAAAGGCCTGCTCGCTACCTGTGTACGATGATATGTACCATATCAGGAGTTTGAGCAAACCTACAGTAGTCAATATGAGTGCGGCAGGTCTTCGCCAAGAACCACGTTCGCAGGACTTAGATGTCCTACAGCTCTTTGCCTCACTACACTATAGATGGCAGAACTGGGAGTACGCATATGTCGTTTGCTGTCACCCCTCGTCCAAAAGTCCCGGGACGTTCAACGGGCTGTCAGGAAAAAGAAAAGCCCACGTTCTGTAAGTTGCGGCTCCCCAATGTCTTACCCCGTCCAAAAGAAATCGTCAAGAAAACGCCTCCGCTGCATGGCCTGAAAGCTCCTGCATGGGTAGCTGCCGAAGAACAACTTTCTTATTCCGGCTCGGGCTACCCGTGTCTCATGATTCCGTCAGGTCGACGGCGACTTTCTCGCCAAAAGGAAAGACAAGCTTCAGGAATAAGCTTTGCCTTCCAACGTACACGGGGACAATCACCCAATGGGATTCAACCCATGAAACAAACAAACACTTGGGCACGCATATTCTGACACGGCTTCTACGCCAAACTCAACGTTCCTGATCTGCTTGCTCCACTCCCGGACTGGTGTGCATATTCAACATGCCGGAGTGAGACAATGACCACACATAGGTTATCCCACCGCGGTGTTGCTAGGACTTGAGTTCGTCGGGATACACCTTCATTCTCAAATTAAACTGAGGATCACATCTCCATACGCCTATCCCCAACACGGGTCTCTGACCTGGTGGTAATTTGTGCTTGATAGCATCATCTATTATCTGAGGAGAGATTACCATTACGTGTTGTTAGACGAATATTTACAGTCGTCGATAGCCCAGCGACTCTAGAACTGAATGCCCATCACACTAGAACCAGCAAGTAGTAACCACCCATGGAGGTGGCAGCCCCATGAGGAAAACAAATCGAACAGATGCGCTCCAGAACTCCAAGCCATCTTTCAGTAGAGGTCAAAGTGCGAGGTCACGTCACCCCAGCGCGCCAACTCGTGCTCATTTGCTGCCGATTTGACCGAGGAGCTGACGATACTGATGGAAAGACCATCTGCATCCGTAGGTGCTACCATTGATCCGTTGTTGTGCTTGATACGGAATCCCAGGTTCTGTCTGAGGAATGGGTCTGTATGGCGTGGATCAAGGCTCGCCAGGCCGCCTGAAGCGACAATCCCCACAAGCGCCGAGGTCAATGGCACTGTACCGCTGACCTTTTGCTGTCCCGCTCCTGCGTGATGCTGAGGACCGGCGAAAACACCCAACGTTCCTGCCATGTTACTCGCAAAATCCCACTCTGATGGAGATTCCGGAATTTCGCCCAGGAACAGGTAAATGTTGAACGACGCATTGAGGGTGTGCTTATTCACACGTATGTTGGCAATCCATTCTTGATACTGGCCATCGTTCATGATCAACTCAACCGGGAGGCTGCCGGAGCTGCTCGCCTTCCAACTCATTTCCCTCGACAAAGGTCTCCGCGTGGCCGACAGATTCATTGTTGCTGGGCTGAAATCCGTATACAGCTTGTTGATGGTGGCTATTACCTCGCTCCGATTGCCACTAGCGGCATCCGCATAGCTATATCCGAACACCTTGTGGTCTCTCACCTGGTCAGAGTTCCAAAACGATGTTTCGTTACGATAAAATGGGGTCAAGTCGGATCGAGCGTCCTGAACATCTCCGATGTAGATCGTCCGGGTGGGAAGAATGGCTTTCATGGATTCCACATATGAGTCGTTGTGAACGACCTGCCACATGGCGAATAATCTATCGAGATTCGCGTGGTGCAGGAAGAATACAGGGTCAAACGACGAATAGGCGATGATGGCCATGTGACCATAATTTCCTCCGCACGCCAGGTGTATTGTATCATGAAGAGACTCGATTGAATCCGTGCTTGCGTTGTTCACATCGGTGATCCAAGCCTCATTGCTCCATGTAGCATAATCCTTGTAGTTGGAAAACAGAGTATAGAGGCGTTGTTGGATACTGGACAGGTGGCTATCCAGAGCCTGGGCCACCCAACCATTGTCGGAAGTAGCATTCGCACTTTGCTGCGGCTGTGGGCGTCTCTTCGTCTCATTCCAGTACATGAACTGCGTGGTGACTTAGTGTCATGGATCGCATGTAGCTTGCCTTGGCGTTCTGAACTTACTGGGAACTGGTCAAAGTCCGAGGAGTTCAGGGGCTTGAACGTGTAACTGTACAGAGGGTTGCTGATGTTCTGAACGCCGTTTGGGCCATCTATCTCTATGTTCACCATGCCGCCGAGGAACATTGGCCATACACTCTCGCCCGGGGCAGGTTTGAGAGCCCAGTCCCAGTAGGGAATACGGAATGTTGCAGCGGCTTTCTGATAAGCCTCGCGACGATCAGGAGGGAACCAGTTCGCAATCATCTGAACGAACTTGTAGATCGTTTGCTGTGTGGCCCCGTATCAGCGGAACTGGATTGAGCTAGCAACATGCACAAGGATAAGTTCTTATTTAGTTTGGAAGATCATACCTCGTAAAGCGCTAGATATGGCCTGTGCCAAGTAGGGAACAGATTGGACACATGAGTACAGTAGCCATTGGCCTTGTTGCCGGGCACCGCCTTCACGCCACCATAGTCTGCGAAAGGCGCGCCGTGGATGCCTGCGGGTCGCTTAGCCCAACTGCCAACATCAATTCTGACCCATGATGGTCTACTAATCGGCCTGCTCACCTGTGACCGAGTACCACGACAAGGGATCTGATTGATTCATCCACTGCATCCAACTCATGGCCAAGATGTAAAGAGTCCATGTTTCGTTGTGGTTTTTGAGATCTCGAATCTCGAGCCGTAGAGGGATGGTGTCATTGTAGGGGATTGGCTGAACAAGAGAATTCTGGTCATCTTCCCGCCTTAGGAGAGCGGGCTCGAGGTTCCGGCCATAGTCGTACCCTCTTCCTCCGAGAGACACGGCGGAGCCCGACTGAAGGAGCACGAGGCAGGTGAAGACGAGTATCTTGGGCCAGAGCATCATGACTGACAAGGCTGCAGAAGCTGTTCGTATTCGATGAGATATCGGTAGACTGAGCACTTCGTACAAGGACGGTTATCGATGGCGTACACGGAAAGAACCGCGAAGCAAACGAGTCTTGGCGAAAACCGAACGCGTCGAGAAGAGAGACGGGGGAAGGGAAAGTCAGCCTGGACCTTAATCAAAAGTACGATCCAGAAGGCCGGTAGGTGTCAGACATGTCCAGAGTGCTGTAATGAATGTTGGGACTCTGATTCACCTCGGGAGCCCCAAGACTTGGGTGAATATTAGAAGGTGGGAAGAGGAGAGAGAGGGAACCACGATACGGTACGGTACGGCACGCGCCAGAGATGGGAAGACACCAAGAAATGAAATTGAAGTGAACGAAGTGAAACACGCTGGCGTGTGATCTGTTGTTTGCCAGAGGCCGACTGTTCGACTGTTCGACTTCGGGAAAAGGAGACTGCAGTGGGTAGCACCTCGGTTTCCTAAGGACTGCGCGAGGCTCGGGAAGGTGCCATGACCTTCAGACGAACAGACAGCCAGGCTGTCTGTACCTTCCCATTTCATTATTTGAATATTGCCATCTTGCCAGGCCGGGCGCGGGCCTGGGCGGAACCATCGAACGGCCGTCCCATTCTTCATTATTCTTACGCATTGCCTGCCACATGTTCAGGACCGACGGATAATATCGAATCGGGCTGCAGCTGTCCACAGGCCGGTATTCTACCCAGATTGACATCCCGGGTGTACGAAGCATGTCGCTCTCCATGTCTTCTGGTCGCAATCTTGTGGGAGCAATAACTCATAGTTCCACGGCCGTCGGCATGTGGAAGCTATTGACTCAGATTTGCAGCTATTCAACGGCTAGGTGCAGCGGAAGTGGAACCAAATATATCCAAGAAAGCTATGCCCTGTATTTATTGCGGTGGTTTCAACTCGGCTCTAGTGAGGATATAATAACGCGGCCTTTCAGCTAGCCGTATCTACAAACAGGGAATCACAGCCAATCAATACAAGAAGCCCCGTTTTTGAACGCCGCCCCATGCTATACGCGCGAAAAGGAAGGAGGACCAGTGCTCTGAAGAGCCGGTCTACGCTGCAACCAGGGCAGGCTGGAGGCCGTTCGCTTTCTTGCCCGCACTCAACGCATCCCAGTTGGTCTGCACGAGAGGACCTTTGCGGGGCGCGTCCTTGGGGTCGACCCGGTACTTCAGCTTCACTCCCATGGCTGCGAGCTCCACATCCAGGTACTTCAGAGCACCGGGGACGGCAACGAGGGTCGTATCCTCTCCGCCCACCCACTGGGTGCCTTGGCCATCTTCCCAGATCTCCCCTGTGACCTTGGTGAGGTCAACGTCTTCCATCTCATCCAGCCGCTTGGCACAGTTCCGGCATCGAACGCTGCTGACAGTCTTCTTCTTTCCCACAAACGGCGATACTGTCGGTTGAATGGACAGGAATGACCCGCATGTCCGACAGATCCAGGAACGCGAGTAGTCGGAACAGTTCATCAGACGGTCCTGAAGAAGGAACGCAGTACCGTGTGCTAGCAGGGCGTCTCGCTCCATCTCTCCCACACGGATACCACCTCCACGCTTCCTTCCCTTGATCGGTTGACCGGTTGTGGGAACCACAGGACCCGTCGTTCTGACCTGGTATTTGTCGTTCACCATGTGTCGTAGTCGCTGATAGTACACCACACCGATGTAGATGTCAGCTGCCAGCTCTTCTCCAGTGATACCAGAGTACATGGGCTCGTTGCCGTGGTAGTTGTAACCAGCCATCTTGAGCTGATGGCCGAAGTAATCACCCGCCGTGTTCTGCTCATCGAAACGGAAAGGCGTCGAATCTTGGGCCAAGCCATGCAGGGCACCGGCTTTGCCGGCCAACGACTCGACAAACATACCAATGGTCATTCGGGACGGGAAAGCATGAGGGTTGATAATGACATCGGGTTGGATACCGGATTCCGAGAACGGCATATCGACCATAGGCCACTTCTGCGAGGCGACACCCTTCTGCCCGTGACGTGACGAGAACTTGTCACCGATGATGGGGGATCGAGGAATCCGAAGCTTGATAGAGATGGTCTGCATCGGCTCGTTGCCCGATTCGCTGCCAATCACGCGGACCTCTTCAATGAAAGCCACCTCGGAGTCCTTGTACTTCTCGTAGTGCGTGACACCATCCCTGTTGACAAGGTTGCCACTGTAGTCGGCCGAGACTGTATGCCAGGCGCAAAGAACATCGCCCTCCTGGACGCATCGCCCGACGTGAGGCAGGCCGTCATCGCCGAGCATGTTCCGGTCCCACCCTCGCACAAGGGTGTTGGGTGCGAAACCGAACAGCTTGGTGACATTCTTGGCCGACTTTGTGCGATTCTCCTCTTTCAACGTGATCTTCTTGGTCTTGTATATCGTGCCATGGCCGAATCCTCGCTCATGCGCAGACTTGTTCAGAATCATGGCGTCGTCCATATCGTATCCAGTGTAGGAAATGACAGCGACAACCGCATTAGTTCCGTTAGGGAAGTTGTCAAATCCATAGGCGTTGTGAAGAGGCGATCTGACGATTGGGGTTTGGCCGGTCTGAAGACGATACATCTTGTTATCGGTTCTGTACCGCAGAGATGTGCCAGGGGTTCCCATAGTTTGTTTACCCATTTGACATTGGTACATATTTCTGGGAGATTGGTTGAAATCTGAGAACGGCGTCATATTTGCCAAGATAGAGAGCATGTTCGTAGGGTCGAATTCGACGTGTGAAGACTCTCCAGAAATGATTTCCGGCTCAGTACATGCGATGGACATGTAAGGCTGCTCGAGCGGCCCGACAAAGTCTTCTTTTTCCAGGGGCAGATATTTCGTTGGTCGGACCATTCGCGCTGGCTCAGAAGACATGTAGATTCCCGGATAAGTGCCACCGTTTGATGAGGGGACGAAGCCGATTTCGAGGTGTAGTGGCACGCCGTGGGAGCCCTCGACTTTCCAGTAGCGGAAAGTGTCGGCTATTCTGCGCGACTCCGTGGGTTTACACCAGCCGATGATCTTGCCATCCAACATAACGACGACGCTTTCATCTGTAGCAGCGGAAGAGGTGTCAACAACTCCGAGCTCAGCGGCCAGCTGTGGGATAGCCGAAGCGTCAACGGCACTAGTCATGATCTTGCATTTGTGGGCCAGATGGTTGAGAAGACCGCAAGGGGAGCCATCGGGGGTGTGTACAGGGCAGAGAAAACCCCAAGACTCGGGTAGCAGCTTGCGGACTGTCGTGGTCTTTAATTGGGCAAAGAAACTGCCTCTGTGCACCATGCGGAAATGACTGATGAAACGCAAGAAGTTGAGTTTTTCGGCCACGACCGTGAACCCGGAGACTTGCTGCAGATCCAAACCCGAAGGACTGGAGAGGTTGCCAGTCGAGAGGAAGTACTCGAGAAGATTCCCAATGTTCTCGCTCAGCTTGGTGAAAATCTTGGCAGGGAAGTCCTTCTGGAACTCCTGTGAAGTAAACGTCCTTCCTGGGAACCTTCTCCAGTACTCTCGGAAAGCAGCACGCAGACCCGTTGACATCAACTCGTCGAGGCGCTCCTTGATGATCTGACCGTAGAGAAAGCCGCCGAGAAGGATCTCCTGGTTCTGGACCGCATCAGGGTTGTCAACAGCGCAGTCACCAGCCACCAGGGCATAGAGCTTCCTGACCATGAGGAGGATCATGCGGAATTTGTCGGAGTCTTGCTCCTCGGTAACATTGACATTGCCAAGGTGAACCAGCACAATTTTCCTCAAGAATTCAGTGCCTACTTCGTAGTTCGACAAGGTCTCCGAAACGCCTAGGACGGGCCTGAATTTCTCGCCAAGGTAGGCTCTGGTCTGGGCCTTGGTGTATATGCCGTAGGACTTGTAGGTGCGCAGTAGAAGCTCCACCCGATCTGTGAGGAAAGTGTTTTGAATACCCTTGGAATTGGGAGCGCCCACGAGGCCCTCGAAGATTTCTCGATCGTTGGTCTCAACCAGAGCCTTCAGAATCATCATGACGGGCACAAGATATTCTGCCTTCCGCCAAGAGAATCGGAAAGTAATGTTACCATCGTTGAGGTAATGGAGGACATTAGTCTGGGAGGTTTCGTCGGGACGAACGGATCTCAGGATTATACCGTATGCTGTGTAAGAGGGGCCGCGGTTTGCGAAACTCGGACGATTGATGGCCAACGGGAAGTTCCTTCTGTTCATGAGCAGCAGCCGAATGATCTTCTCTATGCCGTTGACGACGAAGTACCCGCCCAGTTCCTCCGACTCTTCCTTCTTGGCAACCAGCTGGGCTGGGCTGTTGTTATAAAGATGGCAATGGCGCGACTAGACAATGTTCAGCAGAGTTTCAGCGAACGCGCCAGCCCATCTTGCACATACCTTGACCATGATCGGGAGCTGGCCAATCTCTCGGGTGAACTCCTGAGGGTCTCCACCATTGATTCTGTACTCGAAAGTGGCCGAGAGTTTGCCGCGGTACGTGACGTGCCTCTCTCTGCATTCTGCGGGCAAGATTTCCCGGTTCTTGGCGAACTTGTTGGTGATGGGAATCTGCGACTTCTGAAGCTGCACGCTCTTGTACTTGATGGTCAGGCGATTCCTGCCGACGGGTGCAGATCTGTCATCGCCGTCGAGGAAGATTCTCGTCCCAATGTCGGCGAGGCCCCTCTCGATCAGGCCATCGGGCTTGAAGAGGGCGTCAAAGGACTCGATGTGGGGGTCTACAGCTACCTGCAGGAGGGGGTAGGCAGACCGATCGGTGGGAGGCTCCTGGAATAGCTTCTGGCGGCGCAGGGTGTTGTATTCGTGATCCCACTCGGTGCTAGTCGCTGCGGGCGCCATGGTGGGCAAACTAGCTACCAGGTGCACCTGCGCTACCTGGAAGATGTATTCAATGGAAAGGGCGAAGCTGCGAATATGCTCTCATGAGGCTCGGGGGGTTGGTGGGTATGTCGAGCTTCGCTCGTGGGTGGAAGCTGTGCTGGGTGCCCGGTGGCTGGCAGATATTTCAGTGAAGGTATCGTCCATGCTCCGTCGCGGCCGGCGACAAAAAAAAAGTTTCCTTATCGCATTGGGGGACCACCGATAAGCTATGCCGCCCCGTCCTGCCCACATTTACAGGAGTAGAGAGTTGCAGGGGCCACCAAACCCCGCTATTGTTTGCAGCAGTGGCGGCGTCGCCATCCTCCCCCACTGGCCGCCACTGCACGATACACCTGCAACTAATACCGATGCTTACCATCAGTGATTGGTAACCCCAAGCACTTCTATACTTTGCCTTGTAGGCTGCCCATCGTAGGTCCTCGGAGAAGTGACTATTTCGACCGACGAAATAGAGGGTGCTGGAACTCGAGCGTAGCTCTTTCGCTTTCGAGTACAGGCCATTTACTAGTTACTAGTTGTGTGCAGTGGATGTATATGTATGTGTTTGCTTTTGCGCTTGATTTGGTTGTTTCCGTCATATCAGGCTGTGGCAGGAGCCGTTTGAGCCTTCGTCGGACGAGGAAAGAACTTCCACAGGACGTATTGGCCCATCGGCCAAAGCCAAAAATTCCTATTTGATGCCTCATCGAGTGTTTTCCGGGTCGGAATCTGACTCTTCACCGTTTACCAAAAGCGGGCACCTCTGTAGTTGGTCCAACCGTGTCCAAGCCTCGTCGAATTATCGCCTGATTTGCCCTCTAGCGGCCTGCCACTGCATCAGTAGAGGGCGGATTGGTGCAATTCGGTCTCCAGGCTGCTCCCAAGTCAACAAATCTCACCGTCTACGGCCTGTGCCGTGCCTTGTTCAATGCTCCCTGGGCTAGGACCGCTCACTAGCGCCCTTGCGACCCGAAATCGAGACCTGGGGTCGGTTGTACTCGCAAGGTTTAATAAGATCCAGTCAGGCATCACTGCGACACTTGAGGACATTCCCACGCCTGGTACGCTAGCCCGGCTATCGATCCAGGAGTCTTTCTCAACCACTCATCTTGTAACGACGCACGAGGTACGACGTGCAGGGCAGAACAGGGTACAGGCATCTCGCAGCCCAACCTGGCCCCCCCGTCGTGGACTACACAGGCTGCCTGCCTTACCTAAGTCTGAATCTGCCCATTGATAGATGCCTTGGATCCTTCTGGTTATTGGGTCTGTGACTTCACCAACCCACTTACACACTGCTCTGCTGCATCCCACCTTGCCTCGCCATCCGGGGTCCGTCGAAACGACCTTACTTCAACCTACCATCTCGCCGTCATCTTGCCTGCTGCAAACCGGCCGCTCCTTTGCTCGGGTCACCGCTTCTGCCGCCCTCTCGCCGCAGACCGATCGATTCAGTGTCCCCGGAAGCCTCATCCCATCGCCAGATTGCACGGCCGTGCTGAGTGTTGCTGTCGGTTTTATCCTGTGCTACCTCGCTGTCTCGTCGCCCCCAAGGAAGCTGGCTCCTCTCAGTCAGCGAGCCAGCCAGCCAGCCAGCCAGCCAGCGCCGGAGCGCAGCAATTAATGGCGAGAGAATTAAACTCGGGGGAAAATTGACGCACTTAAGCCAGAAGCAATCAATTCCCTCGCCTGTCCGATAGCCTCTTCTAAAGACAGGCCCGAAGACACTCACGGGATTTCGAGGCTTTTGGATGCAACAGCCCGGGAGCTTGGGAGTACAACGTCCAAGACTCGAGCGACAGGGAGCTTCTGATGTCTGTCCCTGCAGCACTTGCAGCACTTGTCCACAGCCCCAGCACTCAACCCTAGGTCTAGGTCCTTCATGACTCGGTTTACCATTTGATGCGTGCCACTGCAACTGCCTACGCAATTGCATACTATTGTATCAGAAAAGAAGACATCAGGCCATTACTGGGCATCGCCTGACCAAGTGACCAGGCTCTCGGACAGAGCCGCAGACAGCTCGCCAGCGCTCCCCTACGCGACGGGGCCGCTTTACGTCAAGAAGCAGGTCAACTTGGCCTAGCATCGCCAGCAGGTCTCACGGGTCTCAACCGCGGCGCCCCCGTCTGCCGCCGCCAACCTGCACCGTTGACGGCTCGACGTCTCGATTTGCGCTTGCAGGTTCGACCTCCACTGGACCGGGAGAAATAAACGAATGAAACCCCGGTCTTCCTAGCCGCTGCCCTCGTCCAAGGTGCAAGGTTTACCCTCTATCCCTCCCGCTTGATCACTACCTATCCGAGGCACGGTTCATTGTACAGCTTGTGCGAACTTGATGGTGGGGATTGTCATTGTGACCCTCCGTGACTGTGGTCTTGTCAAGCGTCACGGTTCATCCCACCTGCACCGCATCATCGCCCGGAAGGTCTACAACGCAGCTTGGTACTTGCCTACCTGCTTGTCCGCCTCCAGGAGCTCACGTACTCCCCGCCAGACACAACGCGCCAGATTACTCTGGCCCGCGACGCACCCCTTCGCGGTCAGGCGCTACGAGATCGTTACAGGCCCATCGTCATACGAAACATTGTATTCCTAATTTCACCCAGCTTCAGGAACCGAGCGCAACTATTTAACACCTTGTCTGAGAGCACCCCCCGTCACCTAAAGACTTCCGAGTTCCCCACTAGTCTTCTGACCCCAGCCTTGCGCGACTTGCAACTACAGCATCGCCGACCAACATCCTAGGATCCGTGAGCCTGTAGACTCCTGTGCTCACCGCCTCACACGCTGGTGTTCACTCTCCAAGTCCATCAACACCATGGCGGGCATATTCCGGAAAGTGTACGACTGGTTGCTCAGGACCTTCTGGTGAGTTCGCAAGCCTTGACAATCTTCCCCGTGCGCGGGGTCTCGACCCATCTTCCACACCGCCGTATTTGCTTTTTCTTATCGTGCGCCGATCGCCGACGATGGTTTTCGGCATATCCGAGACTGACTTCTTCCCGCAGGGCGACCGAAATGGATGTGACTATGATAGGGCTGCAGAATGCTGGCAAAACATCTTTGCTCCGTGTCTTGGCCGTGAGTTCTGCCGCATCATCGCCTGATATTGTTCGCACTGCTGACTTCTGTTTTCTAGGGCGGGGAATTCGCGTACGAGTAAGCGCTGCTCTTTTTCCATCCCCCGTGCCTTGATCTTGACGGCTCGTGCGAATCAAAACTCTGCTCTCTGTCGAACAACTGGCACAAACAAGCGGCTAATCTTCCACACAGCTCTATACCAACTGTTGGCTTCAATATGAAGAAAGTGACGCGCGGTCACGTCACACTCAAGTGCTGGGACCTCGGTGGCCAGCCTCGCTTTCGACCGATGTGGGAGAGGTATTGCCGCGGCGTGGATGCGATCGTATTCATTGTCGACATTGCGGACCAGAACGTTTTAGACCAGGCGAAAGACGAGCTTCATGCTTTGATGTCGCAAGCAAGTCTCGAGGGTATCCCTTTGCTCGTACTGGGCAACAAGTCCGATCTACCGGATAAGATCAGTGTAGATGAGTTGATCGATGTCCTGTCGCTCAAGAGCATAGGGAACCGCGAGGTCTCGTGTTACGGTATAAGCGCCAAAGAGGAGACGAACTTAGAGGCGGTCCTCCAGTGGCTTATGAAATTCGCCCGGTGAGCTTTCGTCTTTGCGCTGTGATTATTGCCTCGTCCCGATGGTATCGACGCGACTAGTCGGCTTGATTGCGGGCTCGATTCTCATCTTCGACGTACCTAGCAACGGTTACGATTATTCTGGGGTTTAACGCAAGACGGTACCAACCTGCGGCCGGCGACGACCTCATATATATAAAATTCTCTCGCGAGCTCAAATTGGGGAATCTGGCCATGTCATCAGCTTCCGCGACTGGAAACCTCCCAGTTGCCATGTTTTTTTCTTCTTCTTTTAATTGCGGTCGACCAGACGGGCCCGACCTTCTGCTGCATAGTCATCGGCGTGGTATGATACCATTCTCCGGATCATGTGATGGCTCGGGGCAAATAGGATATTATCTCGGCACAAATCTTTCTTTGGTTGGATTCTTAGAGCTGGCTTCAGCTCTTGGGCATTACTGAATGTCCATCAATGGGAGGCAGAGCAAGCAAGCATCGGTGTCTGTAGGCGCCTATCATGATGAATTTGATGATGACGACATGAGAAGCTTCCAAAGCGTCCATAACTTCTCCTGCACATGTATCTTCTGTTTATCTGTAGTGACGAGATGTTGAGCTGCGACCCGCGCCCAAATGCGCGAGATCGTTGGCTGGTTGCGAGTGTGAAGCGGAATGCGGAAAAGAAGCAAGACAGGGGTCCGAAGGTTGCGCGACGAGCTGAACACTTGTTACGGCGGCGCCGTGCTTCGCAACCGCGAGGAAATGAGATGTTGTGAGAACGCAGCACGCGACGCACGAAAAAGCTCATTGCTGCTAAGGGTATATCGGCCGCAAAAGAAGAGAGGGTTGGAAAGGAAAGGAAGTCGGCGCTGAGAGGAGGCCGGGCGAGGATACTTGAACACGCTACACACAGACCACTTTGATGCGGTGATGCGTTGGCAGAACCTCAAACCCAGCGTCGTGATTTGACCCGCGCTCGCGCTCCTGCTTGCTGCGTTGTCAGTCATGTACGAGGCGATTCAATTGGCTCGGCAGCCGGTCTTGGTTCGAGGAGAAACAATATCTCTGTTGCGCCTCTCTCCTGTACGCGAACACCTCTTTTCCGTTTTAATTTGCTTCGAGTCTCTGCACACTGCGTCGGGCTCCCAAATACCCAATAGCCGCGTTGCCTGCTTTCACCTGGCATTCGTCCTCTTCTCTACCGCCAGAGCGGTCTTGGAAGCAATAGCCTGATAGCTAGCTAATGTATGTGTGCGCCTGGCGGGCCCCCTGGGTGTCAAGACGAGAAACGACGCGAGAGGAACCCCACGAGCTGAGGAGGGGTCCCCCCAGCATGGGCAAATGGGATACTCCCGTCCAATGCAGTGTGAGATCGGGTATTTTTTGACGTGTTCGCGCATCACTAGTCGTCACCTGGCGCTGGGCCACTTTCACTGCACCGCTACAGTAGCTATGCGCTGTCGGGAAGCAAGGGTCTGCAGAGCACTACAGTATTGTGTTGTGTTCCTAGCCGTCTCGTACAATCCAATCCGATCCATTGACCGCGCAGAGGTCTGCGGAGGTCTGCGGATCCAGTAGACTGGCGACGACGGAGATGCCAGCGGCCGCGATGAGCCGGTCACGCAGGGCAGTGCAGTGCTCAGAACTCGGGTGCATGAGTGAAATACGTGCACACTATGCGATATAGTGCTGTCTCAATAATGTCAAATCAGGGTCTACGATTAGGGGACCTGCAAGTGGTGGACTCATACAGTGCTCCATCCGCTCATCTATTCTAATCTATGTATACTGGCCAGCAACTAGGCTAGGGCCTGGTCCGGGTACCTAGTTAGGTATACATCGAGTGCTGGCCAGTCCGCTGTGTCAACAACCAATGAAAAGCTAGTGAGGTTTATAGCAAGACGAACCACTCCAGGTGCGGCGTCATCTTGCGATACAATTTGGAATACGCAGTATGTGGTTTGTACGCATCTGGCAATGATTCTAGAAGCTGTGGCGCATTGGTCCCTCGTGAATCTGGCGAACCTTGGGGAACGAACTGGACGGGTTCAAGGTTCGTGTTACGACGACTCACTAACAACTTTGCACTTTAAGCTCGGCTGGGCGAAAAGCTTGCCCAGGCGGCCTTGCGTAATCTGCTGCGGCCAAAGACCAAGCCCGCGATGTCAAATAGTGCCTTCTTGGAGGGTGCGTTTCTTTTGCCCCGTGGCCAGCTGATTCTCACACGACCGTCACAAGACTTGGTCGGTAATTGACGGGGGACACGTCCAGGCCTGTCCCGAGTCCGCACGATCTGCGCCTTGGATGATGACGCCCGGCCGCCTAGATTTCCAGATTCGCCCAAACAGCGCGCTCGTTTATCTGACGACAGCGCACTAAGCTTCTGCATTGGGTATCTGAGATGCTTCGAGCCTGCATCGCTGAGCGGCTTGGGCGGGATGGAGTGTCAAGCTTCACTAGCATGTCAGAAGCTGATCTGATCCAGCCCTGATTCCAAATATGCACCTACACAGGGCACTATGTTATGTCACCCGGGCTGGAACTGACGAGACCCCGGTGGGGATGCTTGCTGGCCGGTGCTTACGGGGCAGATGTTGCGATGGAGTGCCTACCAACTCACTGTAGACCTCTGCGCCACCTGTCGTGGATCATCGGATTAGAGTGGTGGAGAGCATCACCATTGTTCCGCGGCCGCACCCAATGATGACAGATTATAGCGGTAATAGAGGGGTTCGAAGGCAGCTAAGAGGCTGGCCAAGCTTCTACACAGCCACCGAGTCTCTCTCTGGGTTGGGTTACCACGCCACCGCTTGCGCTGCCAAATTGGGCCAGTCTGCCATGGATTCACGCCCGGAACACGGCTTCTCTGCCCAGGCGTCGGCGAAGATCGCACGGTCTTAAAACAAGAAAAGGGCCCGTCACTCCTCGCCTGCAATCCCAGCGTTCCTTCATCATCGATCATCACCTCGTGGGGTTTTCAGACATCGCCGGAAGAACGCGCAGTCGGTGTTGCCACGTTTCCCACCGGTTCTTACATCGACACAGCACCACTGCCGGACACTCGACGTCACCAATACGACGTGCATCTCTGACCCGGCTGATCCCTGCAGCTGTTGTTGAGCTTACCACTTTGCGACATCTGCTGAGTTAGCCTCTCGGGCTGCCTCTAATTTCGGTTGTCCCTGCGCCGCAAACAACATCGTTCTTTGAAGGATCTGTTCCTCAAACCAACCTCACACACGACTCTCACCACTTTCAAATCCCGGGGTTTCTTTTCTTGCCTTTCACAACATTTGAGAAGAGCAAGCAAACATGGCGCCTACAACTATCTTGAACGAGCTGTCCAAGCGCTACACTTGTAGCACCTACGACTACAACAGAGGCAATTGTTACTCTGCGTGGGACTGGTATGGTCGATGGATCTTGTTCGGCGTTATCGTCGTTGTCGCAATCATCATCTTCTTCCTATGGGCGTAAGTCGAAAAACTGTCCCCAGCCCAGCTATCTATCTGTCTACTCGTGCAAGCCTGCTGACGTTTCTGACCCGAACAGATGTGTGAATTCGCGCCGCCGCCGCAGACGTGGCATGCAGCCCATGTACGGAACCGGCTGGATGGCTAGTAACAACGGCCAGTACCAGAACAACCCGCAGGCGTACCATGCCGCCCCTCCCGCGTATGGCGCGCCGGGCCAGTCGTATCCCATGCAGCCCCAGTACACCGGCCAGACGTTCAACCAGGCGGACGGCTACTACGGCCAGCGCGAGGGTGTAGCGCAGCCCAAGCCCGCTCACACCGTGCCCGACTATGCGCCCCCCGAGGGCCCGCCTCCGCCCAAGACCACACACTAGACCGGACATCATATCTGGGAAGTGCGGAGACGGTGAAGGAAATGGACATGAGACTACGGATTTGAGGCATGCACAGTAAATACCCCCCACCTGTGGACGGAACGGTCATTCTTGGCGTTTGACGGTGTTTGACGGTCAACGGTCTCTTTTACGGAATAGGACAGCCTGCTACGGCTGAGAGAGCCCGTACAGGGCAGGACTTAATGATGTGAATAGTGATAAGGGTATAAAAATATTTCCCCTGCCTGTTTGTGCTGTGTTGCGACATCGTTCTAATGCTGGTCGGGTGTGAAACTAACGTTCAGCGTTCAAAGTCCATGAAATGAATAACCGGTATTATGTCATGCGGGCTGTTGCGTGTTCATGGGACTCGAACGTGCACTGAACGAGGCATGCTACCACTATGTAATCGTAATGAATATATAATTTCCAAGGGGTTTAAGTGACCAGCCCTTTGCTCGTCCATCCCAACCCAAGTCTCGCAGCTCTCCGGGTTCGCAACTCGGCGAGTGAAAATGCATGATTGCCCCAAGGATTGGCTGCCACTCCCCGCAAAGAACTGGTTGAAAAGGAAGACTATAGGCACTAAGTAGTTGCTACATACCATAGCGTCAAACTGTATGAGGGGACCAGTGGTGGGTATCCCGTAGCGACGAATACTACATCAGATGGCCGTATGTCTTCAATAGTAGATAGATACGAATAACCAAGCGCAGCGGTCAAACTTTATTCATTGCATCTCTCCCTTTCCTCACCTCCTACACTTGGTTTGAAACTCGGAATCGCAGTGATATCGAGTCATCTGACCCGTGCCGGTCTTGCAGATGGATACGTCAGGCCTAGTGCCAAAGCCCTAACATCACGTCTCGGGCTTGTAGCCTTAGAGACGTAAAGTGGAACGGACATTCAATGTCAGAACTTGGTCACGCCTTGCTTCTACTCGCGGATGTACATCAGCCAAACCGAGTATCGACATATGGGGCAGTAGCTTGATAGTGTTCAGCCTGGCATGGTGAGACCGAGATCATATCATACTAGAGCTGGACTTTGTTTCTCGCCGCTAAACATTCCAGCAGAGATAACAATGTGGCAGCGGTGTAAAGTTAGATCATTGTAAACAGATGTCTCAAGGATGATGGGTTACTAGGATATGGAATAGGTGCAAGGTTGTTTGGCCAATCTGCGGTTCGCAGAAGTTGTACGGCTCCATATATCGCTCTTATCTGATCACAACTGGGAAAATTGTCAAAGTAGGAGAAAATAATCCAGTTATCAATTGGTAGAATACTAGGCGATGCTTTTGAATGTTGAAGAAAACGACAAGCCGGCTTATTGGTAGCAGATTGTCCTAATGCCCCCCTCGACTCAATATAAAACCGAGGCAGACTCATACATGTAGAGCGTTTCATCTTACCTGCCAGTCTCTTCTACTTACGTATAGGGTTTTGTGAGAGATATTCAATGCTATGGTTGTATCGTTAACAGATCCCCCCCTGGACCGCAGGTTCTGGGATGGGTATTACAAATTCCAATAAAGACACCAGAGCAGTGTAGGCATCAGATAATGTTTTGTTACAAGTATCTCAAGTTACTAGATCCTGAGCGGTCAGCTACTATCGACAGATCTAGTTCAACGAGGAGTCGGAGATATATTTCCTGGCAAGTAACATATGCGGGTCAAAGATGAGGTTGCTATGGAGGCAGGCATGGTTCGGAAAAACGACTGTGCTTGAGACAGCCAATATCCAAGGTCGGGGTCTCGTAAAATCGTGCCGCTGACGATATTATTTCTGTGATCTGATTAAGCTCATTGTCCGATGTGATCTGACTCGGCCCCCGGGGCCATCATCGATGCACCCGATGGGTTTCACGGCTCTTACCGGGTCTTCAGTGTAAGCGTATTCTGCACTCGTATACTCCGGAGTCAGAGGACCTGAAACTCCCAAGAGGAATTAAGCCTCGATTTAAAGTTGGCACGAGCTTGGATGCCTATGTCACGCAGGTACCCATCCGAGTTCGGTAGTTACGGTGAGTACTGTGACAAATGTAGGCCTGAGGTTGCCAGTCAACGTTCAAGCTGATGAACAGGGGAGTGCCGCGTCAGCCTCAGTGCGCACGTTCCACGCTCGGATGCTGTAACGGCTTGAACCCCACACATTGACGCTTGCCTTGCTTACCAGCCGGGTTTGGCCCCTCCTCAATCTCCAGTTCATCCTACTATTTCCTGTCCCTGCGTATATCGACCGAACGATAAGACTTTCGGTCGCTCAGCTCCAGAGGCATGGAAAGAGCACCGGACGACTATGCATTTCGAAGAACCTGAAGGTTTACCTGAGGAAGCATAGTGACGGCGCATTTTGCTCTATTGGGGACTAAGCGGCCATCAGGCTCATCTGTTCGAAGCCAGCCACAAGGGGCCATGTGGACGAGGGTCGGGCTAACCAATATTCTCAGGATGCTGACATTGCAGCTTTCTTCCGATGATCCTATGCGGCACAACGAATCGGTCGCCAGTTTTCTACACCTGGGGTTACGCGTTTGGGGGCAAGATCGCCGTGACGGTTTGTGTTTGACCGGGTAACATTCCAATGAGACAAAGCTGTGTCGAGCTTTACGATCAGCAATTAAGAAACGAACACGGCTCGCAGAAACACCCTTCAAATGAAATCATTCGGGACATGGGCACCATCACGTGGGACTCCGACACGAATTGCGTAGTTGCTCTGTAGAGACAAGACACCGATATTGCGTGCCAGGCTATTGTCCATGGTGGTAGCCGCGGACGAGCTTCTAGCGCTAGCCGTTGAGCCGATTCTTCAGAGGACTTTAATGTTGTCTCACAGACCTTCAACGGCCCCCTAAGCTAGAGGGTACTCGCGATGGGCGCAGAAGTGTTCTCGTCAGAAGGTCGTGCTGGCATGTCGGCTGAGCGTGCCCGGCGTCAGCACAGCCTCTCCTCGCCGGTTTCACAGAGCCAGTTGAGACCAAATCCAGATCTCTCGGCGCAAACGTCGGGGGCCCCCCAGCTCGCCAGCCCTAGAATGGCATCCAGTCAATCTGCATCTTGAACGGCAAAGCGCATCAGCTAACCGTCCCATTCGCGCTAGCGGGCCTTGTCAGGGGGTTGCATTGTGCAGCTTCGCGATTAGGGTAGCCCACGACCCCTGTCGGCGAGTTAATTGCGACTCGTCGCCCGTCCTGGGCGGATGCCGTTCTTCATTTCTCTGCTGGCCGCCCGACTCCATTTCCACGAGGCCTTGCATACGCACGCAGCACCTACGCTCTTTTTTTCGGTGTGAAGAGAGAGCCTGCCGCGAAATCCCTCTCTTTTCCACCTCTGCGCTCTCTCTTGACAGGCTCCGACGAGGGGATGAAAGCCGTCGTCGCTCTTTTGTTCACGTAGCTGTGCTCCGATTCAACGTCATTCCTTACCATCTGCTCTTGTTCGTTTCATTCACTTTACCCGAATCTAGCACGTGTTTGCCTGCAACGCACACCACCCCGACGAAGACGACACCGACGCATTTGATCTTTGCGGCTTACCTCTACGCGAAGGAGGAAATTTGAAGTTTGGTTCGACGACGAAGGTTTACACCAACCATACTTCGCCGCCTCTGGCACTGCCCGCTCAGATTCGTATACCCGCCTACACATTCGGAGAATGGATTATTAGTGGACACTTCTTTCTTCGAAAACCCCGACGCACGCGCACCCCGGAAGTAGAGTCGATTTCGCTGTTTCGCCATAGTCGAGCGTCATTTACTCTTGATTGATACAACGTCAAGATGCCTCACATCGGCGCGGTTATGGAGCGGAGTCTGTCAGAGCCGCAGGGCTTGGGCGAAGCGCTGAGGGACCTCGTGGTCAGGAGTGTAGTAGCCGGAATGACCAAACGAGATATTGGAGGCTCAATCAGCAATGTCAAGACAGCGTTTTCCAGCTGGGACAACTGCATGCAAGCAACGTACTGCAAGTATGTCTCCACCCGCCCCAATTGTGTCTTCTAACCCAGCAAGACTAACCCATTTTGCAGATGGCCGGTGATTGCTGTCATTGTCATTGGCGGTCTAATTATTTTCTCGATAGTCTGGTGTATTGTTCGCTGTTGCTGCTGCGGCCTGTCTTGTTGCTGCGAGTGTTGCTACTGCCTCAAGTGCTGTGGCAGCTGCTTTGGCTGTTGCGATCCGCCCCAGAAGAAGAAATATTTGGACGACCCATACATACCGCCTCACCATAATCAAGGCCAAGGAGGATACCGCACCGAAGCCCCCATGACTGCTGCTCACTCTGTGCCGCATTTCGACGGAGCTGTGGCCAAGCCAGAACCACCCCAGTACGCAGAGTTTGAGACCGGAAAGAAAGCTGGAGGAGACGAACTGCCGGCAATGCCTAGTTGGGAAGGCGCGAACTCCAAGAAGGTTTTGCTTGAGGAGGAGGACGCGGTCGAGCTGGAGCAGCTGAAAAAGCCTGAAGCCGCCCAAAACGCACCGCTCATGGCGCCAGGGTCCATGTCGCATCCCTCGAGTCCCAACCCCGGCAATAGTCCCTACGGAGCCCCGGTCAGCCAGCAGCAAGGATCTTACTATGGTAATAATGGTTACGGTCAGATGTCGCGTGATAATGTGAGCCAAGGGTACGACCAGAACTACGGGGCTTCTGGTTATGGAAACCAGGGTTATGGAGCACCGGGTTATGGCGCAGCTGCTGGAGCCATGGGCGCTATGGGTGCTGCGGGAGCTATGGGTCAACAACGCACGCGGACACCTCACCAGGACTACAACAATGGAGGAGGCTACGGACGCGGGCCAATGGATCAAGGTTACCCGCAGTCTCGAACACCGAGGCCCTACGATGAGTACTCACGCAGTGGTACGCCACGAAGTGGAACGCCCGGGGGTGGAGCCTATGGCCGACCACCTCCCGGTCGATCACCGGCACCACCCAACGGGCCCTACGGGAACCCCGGCAGAATGCAGTCACCCGCACCTTCGCAAAGAGGATATGGGTATCCCCAGCGTTCTCACACACAAGATAGCTACAACGCGATGCGAGTTAACGCACAAGACAACTACGCTCCTCAGAGATCTTACACACAAGACGGCTATGGTCGCCAGCTAGCCGCCAACCCTCAGCGACAATACTCCTCAGACTCTACGGTACCCCTAACCCGGCCAGAGACTGGACGTCAATACTCGGATGCCTCCTTCCAGCAAGAGCCAGTACAGCCGTCGTCGCCTATTCAGAACTCGGGGGGGTTTGACTTCACCTCGGGCTACAGCCGATCTACACCAGATATTGCTCCCCGTCCCAGCCCTCCACCCCAGCAAGCCAACGGGGGTGGCGCGGCCTACCCGGGATACAGAGCGTATAAACCGCAAGGGTAATAAGGGACAGATGACCACGTCTGGGGGTTTGATGACATATAACGAGCGCCATCTTTTTTTCTTCATGAGCGGCACGGCACATCCATGATGCGAATATAGGACCTGGAGTTCATCTCCAAGGAGATGCCCGCTGTATATTTTGTTGTAAATGGCATTTATCCTGGGGTTTTTGATGATCTATTTTGAAGACATTCGGTTTCAGGCGTTCTCCGGGGGAATAAAGGTTGAAAGTGCATATTTCTGCATACATACTCCTTCGACTGCATGGGCGAGTGTGCGTATAGCACGTTTTGGTGAAAATGAATGGGGGGATCTTGTTCTTTTTCTCTCTCAAGCCTAGCACTAGCATTCTCGAGGCATAACTCCGCAGCCGAGCTCCTGGAGTTCAAATATATCTTACTACACATTCGAACTGATCTTATTTGCAGCCTGAGAAGTTGACTTCGGGCAGGCACGGTAATGGCTTATACATAGTATGTGTTCGATATTCAGTGAATTTTGAAATGGCGACTGAGTCAGGCAGAATTGGTCGCCAGCTGATGGCAGAAATCACTTTTAAGCGCCCACGGCCAAGATCGTAGTGTCTTTGCCTCTCGGCAGCACCAATCAAGAGTCAACTTCAGCACCTGGTTACTTGCCGTCGAAACGTGGCTACTTGTCTCACTTGTCCATGAACATGGCATGTCCTTGATCGAGGAGACGATCTCGGTGGTTGGATTTTCCAAGAACGAAGGACCTGGCAGCTCCGTCCACCTCATTCCCGCGGATTGTGTTACAATCAGCAATGGGAGATTGGACCATTGGCTGACGCAACATTCCTGCTTACCATCTCCAGCAAAATGCCTATGATAATTGTTCAGTCAGAGACTTATACGACTCAATACAGCCAATCTTGCTAGGGCGATGGTGAGGTGACATTGCTGTGAGCCTGACCCGAGTAAGTAAACTATCCATGAACAAGCTCTCACAGACGTCATCATTTTCAATAAAAGCCTTTCTGTGTAGATTTATAGGACTTGGCAGCAACCTTTCAGTTAGCAAGCATCACTGCGACTTTTAGTTGTGACGTATTCCCGCCTCGCCCAAGCTTGCTTGATGGGTTGCCGGACATGTGATACTCCTTGCAATCCTACCGCTTGCAGGCCTCCACACCGACAAATCTCCTAGACGTTTGTTCTCACACTTCCACACGTATTCACTTCTCTAATCAAACAAATAGCACCTCTTACCCGCGTAAATTCTATAACGGAACACTTAACATTCTTCTTTGACGGAATCGACAATGCTCCGGTGGCGGACATGTCCAACAATAGCCCGACAAGCATTGCCTTCCAACCAAGACAGTCGATAGCCTCCGCCTATACCTCTAAACAGACGATGGTTTGAGTCTGACTAGCGCAACACAGGCTGTTATAGACTTGATTCCAGAACCCGCAGAGCCACAAGGATGATCGGAAGAGCTCACAGCTTTCTAAAAGTTGTGTATAACCACCGCCGGACATGTCCCCCCTTTACCACAGCTATCAGATGAAGCTGGCATGGCTCGTCCTTGCCCTACGGCATTCACCCAAGACTGCATCTACCGTCATTTGGGTCGGTACACCAATCACGTCACAACACCTTCAGTGTGTTCAATAAAAGGCTGATAACAATAGGTTCGGTCTCCGGGTGTCGCGTCTACGTCTGAATCACATCTCCTCAGAGACACAATTCTTAGTATCAACAGCCGCAAGCCGCCTCTGATAGCTTTGACATAGTCTTGGTTGAATACAAACATGATATGATAGCCACATTCTCAGCCCAGGACTTGAAGTCCCCTTCAAGTCGCGAAGACGGCCGGCGCTGGGTCAACACAAACGTATGCCCGCACGCATGCTCTGAGCGGTGGGACGCTATCTCCATTCTGCACACGGGCTATGCGTGATGCATTCGAGTCTACACCAGCCACCAACTACGCTACGCTGGACAGCCATAAATCTGCCGCGGCGCAGTGGGTGTTGTATAGTGGGCAGAATATCTTCTTGGCCATGTTAGTGCCTCTACAGGAAGAAGGGAGCTTGTTGGCATACACTGAACATTGGACGCTGGGCAGCTGGCGTTGCTAAAAGACTAGGTTCGCGGCGGCAGCTCGAGAAGAGCAACTGCAGCCGGAAACAAGATATTTAGCGCAAAGATCTCAGAGCCTAATGGACGCAATCGAGGCCAATACGATAAATGTCTAATGTAAGGGTTTCCCTCATGGCAATTACCCCCGGATCACCTCGAACCACGGAGACAAGTCCCACTGCCACCCATCAATATCATGCGGGTCGCCAAAGGTTTTGAGTGACCTCCGTAGATACCTGTACTGCCCACTAACAATTTCCTTTCCATTCGTGAAGGTTGCACCCGGACGGGCGTAGTACTGAGTTGCTCCGCGAGGAAACTGAATCAGGGGGAAGTTGGTGGCAATGAACTGCGAGTTATCTCCTTCAGTTCGGAAGTGGCCGTAGAAATTGTTTTCTCCCGCTATTGTAGGATACGTCCAATTCGCCGGATCCCAATATCGGTCCACGAACTGTCGTTCTGAGTAAGCACTGATAACAAAAAGTTGTCCGTCTCAGCTTGTACTCACGTCAAGGCTGACTTCGTTGGTCGACCACACGATCTCAAAAGGCGCGTACGGGACCGTCGTGCTATCATTGAACGTGTACGTAGCGCCGTCCACCATGGTCTCTCCCGATTCGTTTAGGAATGGCCGGCTGTCGCCTCCCCAGTGCGGGAAGCTGTTGATAGAGCCTTTTATACCTGATAGTTGATTGAAATTAGCGGAAAACGAGAGAAAATGCCAATTGCAAGCTGAGGTGAGACTGACCTATGTAGGGGACTCGAAGAGTCTCGCCATTGTCTCCGGATATGACAACCCCGCCACCATACACAGGGTATGTTGCTGGGTCTGACCCTACCGGCTCAGTGAACATGACGGAGAACTTTTGAGTCTCACCCGGACCAATATTGAGCTGTGTGGTAGAGAATTCGACCTGCGCCATATCGCGAGTTTCGTTGGAATGGGTAGGAATAAGGGCAATGCGGCCAGTGTCGAGACTTCTGACAAAGTAGGTAAGCTCTGCAACGTGGCTTATAGTATAGGAGACTGCCGCATTTCCAGCATTCGTGACCTCTATTTCCTGATTGGGCGCAAAATGATCGGTGTCGTTCAAATACAGCTGTGGTGGGTAGGCGGAGGTGACGTATTCAATCGCTTTCACAGCATCTACCACCCCTGCGCCTTGTTGAGCCACAGATCTGTAGGAAAAGATCAGCTCTGGTTTAATGCGACGAGGACCTACCAAGGAGAAGGGCACTCCCTCGCCACTTCCCGCCTTGACATGGTGGAAAGACAATAACACTCACGCGAGGGGATCCGTGTCAAATGGGTTCTTGATAGACCTTGCACTCGTGATGATACGACTACGAGCATAAGTGGCAGCATCCGCTCTTTTCGAACGGGTTCCAAAAGCCTCGAGTACTAAAGCCGAGAAGCCCGCGATCTATAATCCAAGCAGAAAGGTAAGCTGAGCTGTCCACTTGACAGAGAAAAAACCAGGATCCTGATGGAGTTGACGTACGTAAGGTGAAGCCATGCTTGTACCAGAAAGAATAGCCCATGTGCCGTTAAGCCAAGTACTGTATATGGAACCGCCTTTCTTGTTTAGCTTTACAGTAACATAGAAGAATCATCCACTAAAGACGATCCACTTACCTGGTGCTGCAACTTCCGGCTTCATCCGGCTATCAATTGTCGGCCCCCATGAGCTCCAGCTGTCCATCCTTCCACCTGCCAGGCTAGGACGTGAGGCACCCAGCGGTGTGGTTGAATCGGTGAAGGTGAATGAAACATTGTAGCCATTTTGATGTTCATCAACCAACCAGGCGCCATCTTCGTAGCTGATCACTGCGGCTGTTCCAAAACAAACGCGGCTCAGGTTAGCAAGATCATGGCCCACACTTTTCAGGCATTAGAGAGATGACGAGGAGTATCTTACAGCCCTTTGGCTGGATCGCCGCGTCATAGATTATTCGTCCAGGTACGGTGTACTCAGCATCCTCAAAGTTGACCCAAAATGCCCATGTAACTTTGTTATTGAGGGTATTGTCCATGCTCTGCCAGTCCGAATCGCACAACTTGGAACGTCTGGACAAGTTAGTCAACCGTATATTTGGATGCTAAAGATAAAGATCACGTACGGAAGTACAAGAACCTGGTTATCCGGGAGTGTTGGCGGCTTGTTCACTGGGAAACAAGCGTCAAACGCCCATGTATCATTGCCTGCGACATAGGCGGCTGAGAAGTCACCCACAAGGTTGAATGGTCTCAAGTCGCTGCTCACATAAAGCTGCTCGAAACCAAGAATGGTGCGTCAGACTAGTCATCATGGTACAGGGTAGCATATGTCGCAGTAGGTCGCCTTACCATTGTTCTGGAATTACCACTCGTCGAGTGGGCTGTGATTTGGTACGCTGCCAGCTCTTCGTGCTCAATGCTGGCCACAGTGAGACCCCCGTATACGTTTCCCAGGTCGTTGGAGAAGTAAGGGCCTATTCCGACCCGATACCTTGTCAGCAAGTATCCTTGGCTTGTTACCTTCAGTAGACCGAGAAAGGTTTCTCACCATTGACACCAGAATTGCCCGCCGCAACAACTACCAATGTGCCTTCAGCCTGTATCTTCGAAAGAACAACTGCGACAGGGTTGTCTGGGAAACCATTAGCCGAGCCCAGGGAGGCATTGATCACATCGGCCCCGTCCTCGTGAGCCCGAAGGAGGGCTGCGATAGCCATGTCGTTGGTTGACCCATCCACACATCCGAATATTCTGTATCCTCTGAGCCGCGCATCAGGGGCAACTCCCTTTATAAACGTGTCATTGGCCGCGACTATGCCTGCAACATGCGTGCCGTGTCCGAAGCAATCCTTAATATCAGTGTTGTTGTCAACGAAGTTCCAGCCGCTCTCAACCTTGAAACCAGGGCCGTATCCACCTCCAAGGGCGGGGTGGGTGTAGTCGATACCGCTATCCACGATGGCGACAATGACGCCAGCCCCATTATGTCCCAGATCCTGCACCACCGAAACGTTTGTCTCCTTATGAGGAGACCAGACATCCGGCGCTGAGTCGATTATGCCCTCGGCTTCAACATCAAGGGTAATGTAGGATGCTGGCCATACTTTCTCGACCTCGGGAAGGCTTTGAATATTTGCAATATCCGCTTGTGTTGCATTATGGAAATCAAAGGAGGCACCGTGAAAAAGGGTTGATGTATAGGAAAAGGTTGCTTCAACATTGGCCCCTTGGCTTGAAAGTGTGCGCATGAAGCCGTCAACCTCCTGACAGCCTATGTTAGCTAGCGAAAAGCGAGAGCCGCTCATTATACGCACCAGACTCCCATCACGCCTTCGGAACTTGGCTGAGCCAACATCAGAAAATTGCACGATGAGTCTCGTGGGATGGAAGATGTCACCGAGTCCAGAGGCACTGGCCGCGGTGGCACCTAACACCCACCACACGAGACCTAGAGCAGCTTGTAAAATGATTGTGGGAAGTGCCATGCTTGCCGTGATGGTGCACAACACTCTTAAGGCTCTGTCGAGAGCGCGTGGTCGAGGACACTACCTTTAAATGTTATTGGCTATTATCTGACGGCATCCTTAAGCATATGCAACCATTTGCACAGACGCCTCTCTGTGTTGCATCGAAGCGTGATCCTGGTGATACGCTGCTAACTGCCATGCAACTATGATTATACTCCTAGTAGTGAGTTGGGGACGGAGGGACTGAGGGAAACGTGGGATTCCTTGTCATTATCTCTTGTCCTGCCTAATCGAGAAGAGGGCGCCGGGAGTAGACGTAGCAACGCAAGAATATTGCCGCAAAGCTAATCAGATGCCAGACTAGCCGTAAACCATGATTTCGTTTAGGTAGGATTAAACAAGGGTCACGTAGTATCGGTGCCAGGGGAGTAATTGACCCTGGTCCGGGCTAGCCGCAACTGCAAGAGTTATATCCGGGAATCGTAATTCATTCCTCCGTGGATGCAGTTGGACATGGCCAAGGTACTGTTGTTCGTCCCACAGAGTGGTGGTACCATCATAGAGTCCGAAGATGGCATCATAGGTGGTCTAGCAGGCTTTGGCGTTCAGACAAGCCAGCTTCTTGCCGTTGGTGAGCGAGGCAAAGGTCTTGCGCTGCACCGGAGACTCGCGGGTGCCGGCTGCGGCCAAGAATACGGCGGCCGCTTGGACTAAGACGGGATTCATGATGACCACGGAAGGAAGCAAGTCTAACGAAAAAAATTGGAGGCGATCCGAGGCGGACACGAGACAAAGAGAGAGTGGTGACTGAGTGGCCTGGTCAGGAGGATGCCGATGACTTCGGATAGTGATGCCGACTCCAGCGCTCACGCGTCGCTGGCGGAAATTAGCCTTCAGTGTACGACAATCCATAAGAGCCAAATGACCCCCAGTCTAGCATCTGAAGAGGGATCCAGCCGAGAGCTAGTAATATTTAAAGTCGATATATAGATATAGAATGCAATAAGGCCACTTGAGCGCGATATTTATCTCCATACAATAGGTAAGTAATAGTATAACGATCCGCGGCACTCGTTTTTACTGACAGCTGGCACAGCCATCTATGCGCATAACCCCCTTTGCTTAAACGTATCAATTATGTTTCTACCTCGGCTTTCATGAAAAAGTTCGCGCCACCATTCTGATCGCGGACCAACCAGCCTCAAAGCCGCTTCTAGTCGATTTATATAGGTGCGATGGTGCCGCACGCTGTCAGGTGAACGCTAGTGCTAGTGGTGGCAGAAGGCCCCACTTTTGATAGAGTATGCAAAGTCGCGAATCTCGCGTGGGTTTGTATTAGATCTTTAGGCTGTTACCATATCAATTCTGCACTTCACACATGAGCATTGCCTTTTTCGGCATGTAAGGCCATGACAGGTACTGCTTCAAAACGCTAAAGAAGCCCACAGAGCAAGCCCACCAACGACCCATGGGAACATCATTCTGAGGCTCATCTGCGCATTGATATCCTTCAAGAGGTCCAGCGTTTTCTGCGGGCTGGTCTTCAAGGGTATCGTCCCGTCAGGAGTTGGTTTGGCGATCGCCAGCAACTCATTCGATGCCACCAGCATCACCTTCCTCACCCACACCCAGTCAATCGGCATTATTCCCGCCGCCGTAGCCCAGATCTTCCAGAGCAGACCCGCGCTGTTCACCTGGTATTCGGTGTATGCAATAGTACCACTGATGATGGTGGTGGCCAAGTCTATGCACGGCACCGTGGCAGACATGGACCAGTAAAAGCACTCCCATTGCTTCTTAGCATCTTTGGGTGACTTTTGCACTGTTGGATAGACTGCAGATAGCAGACGATAGCCTGATGTAATGGTACCGCCATTGATGAGATTTCTGGCGATTGCTACCCCCTTGAGAGCATGAAAGTAGCTTTTAATGGAGACCTGGCGATTGTAAGACGAAGGAAAAGCAACGAGAGTGATTTGACTTGAGCAACTTGACGTCTCTGAAGACATTTTGAATACGAGCAAGAGCAGCGCAATTTTCAGTTGACAATCAAAGAGCTAACTACGGCAACACAGATAAATGCTGAAAAGAATGAAGAACAAAAAGGTGCATGTAGATTCCAGTCGACAGGTAACAGCTGCGGGCGGATGGAGCCTTGGAATCCAGAATCTTTGGCTTTGAATGCCATCTTAGCATCGTACCGTAAGCAATATTGCACCCTGACACAATCAATTTTTGGTGTTATCGTGCGAAGAGCTGAGTTTCGAATGGCAGTCCGGCCCTTTTCTGCTTAGGGAGTTTCAGCCGGTGTGATCCAAGCCACTGCGGGTGAGCCGCTCCGTACAATCGCTCGTTCGAGGCAAAAGATAGCGCATCCACCACGAAAGCCACAAAATGTAGAAGTAGCCTACATCTTGAAAAGATGATTCAAGTGATGGCACAGAAAACGGTTCGACCGCCAATAGTGTGCAATGCTATCGCAAAGGGCAAGTACACTTTCGAAGGGACAAGGGAAGGAGAGACGGTCATTCTCGATCTTGTAAGCTCATCCAAACGACAACCTCTCTTTAACTTGGGACCGACAAATTTCATTGTCAAAGACCGTTACCCAAGCAGACCTCAATGACGATAAGGCTAAGGCTCAATGCTTGACCTCCCAACTCAGCATTGCCGACAAGTATGGTGTCCAATCGCCAAAAATATTTCACCACTCTCTCGTTGAACCCGATGGTCAAGTTCGTTGCTCAGATGAAGAATCCACGTCCCGGTCACAATACACAGGGAAAACTCAGAAAGATCCATCTCGATTCAACTCTCGAGGGTTACGCCAACTATATGGCGCCCATGCGGCTGAGCTGGATCAAGGAGCAGGTAAAGCGTCTCAAGCCCGAAGAGGCTCAGAGGATATTGACCGACGACAACCTGAAACCTGAAGACGATAAATATCTTACGCGAACTTGGGGATGAACTCGTGCCCTTCCCAATGACGTGAAAGATTCGCTTCGATGGGTTTGGCAAATCGAATTACGAAGTAGACAACTATCCATATGGTAGAGTCGAAACTACTCCAACTCTTCCAAATCCCTGCGCGCCGTGGTATCAGCCGCAGGGCCCCAGCACTACCGGAGGGACATTTGCTACTGTTGTTTGCGTTTGCGCTGATGCGGAAGCTGAAGCTGAAAGCGAAGCCGAGGACAAGGCTGCTCAACTTCCGAGCGATGAGGCTGACGAGGAGAAGGAAAAGAAGTACACGCATCACTGCCCTTGCCTTGGCCACTCGAAGAAGACGCCGCAGCATGAGACTGCCCAACCGTCGACTGGATGTGGCGCGGGACGGTAAGGCGAAAGGCGAAGGGTTGTAGCGGTGACAGTGACGATATGGTGCTCTTCGAGAACCTCGCGAATACTGGAGATGGTCTGACCTTTTGTTGACAAACAACGAAAAAATAAAAAGCCACCACCATCAGATTGGCGTACAAGATACCTAGGTGCATTACAGAAATATCCAGCTCTCGAGGCAGATGTAAGCGGTATTGACCCGCGGCTAGTCACATCGTCAAGTATCTGCTTGTGGCTAGTTACTCAAGTACTAAATTGGCGCTTTCCTTAAATCTTGTCCGTGGAAGCAACAGCCGCCGGAATGTGGCAACTCCATACGCTGGCCCCAGACCGGGGAATGCAGTTCAGTATGCATTAGTAAAACGTGCATTTCTGACCTGACCAAAGAGTCGAAGAGAGGTATCTTGGAGTCCCTCAACAGAAGGCTTTTACTTTCTTTCGAAGACAGTTCATAATTGCACAAATCAATACCTGGGTTCAGAACAGACAACGCGAAATAAGCCGTTGTGACGTCGTTTTCAGATGCTGATGTTGGTGAAGCAATAAGGGGCAGGCCAACTTCCTCTACAGAGTAAACAATGATGAATAATCGCAGCATATTATACTGTTTGGGTCCACTCCCGTCAATCCACATTCGTAGGTACCTAGGTACATACTAAGCCATGTCCGCCTACTGTGGTACAGGCCCATCTTTAGCGCCCAACCCCAGCGAACATGCCAACCAACTGCATGTCTCTCAGCTATCTCACCACAGCTCAACATCTGTCAATCTTCTGCAACGACCTCAACAACACCAATAATAGCAGAACAGAGCACGAATGGGTACCATCATGTCTTACATATCGTCTATTCGTACCCGATACCTGGCCTGGTCACACTCCACGCCACTACCAGATCTGTCAGACGCAGCGCCGCCTGTTTTTCAGCACTGGCATGTCTTCGACAAGTCAGCCTGCAAATGGGCCTTTGTTCATCCCAACCCTCTTAACGCCGAGGAACTCAGCAAAACCTTTACGCCGGCAACACAAACATCACATCTAAAACTTCTGACATGGAATATTGACGCTTTCGGTGACCGGCACGAAGCCCGTATGGAAGGAATTCTTTCCAAACTTCAGCATATGCTTGCAGACGGTGACTGCCCAGAGATCGTGTTATTTCAGGAGGTATCACGAAAAGCACTCGCATATCTACTTCAAAACACCTGGGTCAGGGAATTCAGGATCTCAAGTGAGGCTGATGAGACAAACTGGGTTGACGTACCCTTTGCCACAATGACTTTACTTTCCCGGTCTCGATTCAACAGCCTTTCTAGTGAGTCTGGGAGCAATCCTGAATCTACTTTGCCCGGCACCGCCGCCATTAGCAACGGGTCATTACTATTGGGTCCAGTCTGGAGAGTCAAATATCCAAGTCGATTTAACCGAGACGCTCTGTGCTGTGATATCTTCTGGAACCGTACAACACGCATTCGTCTGGTCAACGTTCACCTCGACTCCCTTCCCATTCAGCCAAATCAGCGACCACGCCAAGTAGCTATCGCGGCTAGCCTCCTTCGCACGGCTGGTGTAGGTCGTGGAGTCATCGCCGGCGATTGGAACACAGTCATGGAGGAGGACATGGTCCTGGCACAGAAAAACAACTTGATAGACGCATGGGAGTATCTGCATCCTGGGGAAGACGGTTTTACTTGGGGGTTGGACGGGAAGGGGGAACCGTTTCCTCCGGGACGGTTGGATAAGGTTGCCGTGGTGGGTATGACGCTTGTAGACATCAGTGTTGTTCATCCCGAGACATTACCAACGGCGGATGACTCTGGAGAGGAGAGAATCGCAGGCGACAATGAAGGAATACCGTGGAGTGATCACTCAGGGCTTGTTTGTAGCTTTGTTCTTGGTGGGGCAAGAGGAAACGACAGAAACGATTGACCCTGCATCCTACAGTGCAGCCGATCCGTATTCTGAAGCATATACTAACATAATCTGTGTGTAGAAGCAGCTGGGCCGGAAGGACCAAGTGTGAGATGGTGCGACGCGGCCACAACACGAGTTACAAGGTGCTGGGCCCCAAATATCTTCCTACCCATCTCAGGTGTGCCGGGATAGATTATCTCTACGTAGCTTTACTTGAACGTGGAAAGGCGTGCTCTACGGTTGGGTATCATGCAATGTTACCCTCTGTTGAGAGCTCATGCACACAGCTTTATCTATTCCAAGCTCAAACTCTAGCCCAGAGAGCCTCGGAAACGATGCCTAATCAAGAGGATCAAGCTATGTTTCAGGAAGCGCCGGCAGGCGATAACTGAGAATGAACAGACCAAGTTTACCAAACCCGAAGGATCAATGAGTACCTCTGTGGAAGATATTAGTGAATGAGAACACTTACATCGGATCTGATTTCCAGTGGATCGGTCTCGCATTGCTATTTCTGACACCAGAGCTGATCAGAGATGGTGTTCAATTACTGTTGCGTGTGACAGCAAAGCACTAATTGATTGTTCATAGACCTTGCGTGTGAGTGGCAGGACTGAGATCTATGGGATATCTGTGTTGCCAACAGGTTTGTGAAGGCTGTGGATGTGGTGTTATTGCGCCACTTATCGGAGTTATTGTATACTCCTAGGCGCTGCGAGGTTGGACCCGATGGTCGTCGAGTCCCTCGGTGAGCTTCCACTGGCTTCTCCTGACCTACATAGATTGTCGCTCGCATTACATTGCCAGTCGATCCAAAGTGGAAGATCTTGAGCGAAGTGGCAACTCTCGACTGGGTGAAGGCGAACACTAGCGTATCGGTTCCTCGAGTATTGGCATACAATGCCGATGGATCAACGCCTATCGGCTTTGAGTGGATTGCAATGGAAAAGATGCCTGGAAAACCACGGGCAGATGCATACCGGGATATGACATTCTCTGCGAAAGAGGAGGTCGTTCGCCAAATATCCCGCTTCAACTCAGAGACTTACCAAAGACCGCTGAATGGTATTGGGAATATATTTCCTGGCCCAGCAGATGCGGAAATGGATTACCCAGGAGTGACGCAAGTTGGAAGGATTGTCTCTTCAGCTTTCATCTGCCATGGCATTCATCGGGACGCCCCACGCGGCCCATTGCCGTCTAGCAGACACTGGCTTGAAGCTAGGCTAGATCTCGCAGCACTTGACTGTCAGAGCCGTCTTGAGAAAGCACAAAACTCCGTAGCCCGTAGCGGAGGGAAGCCGGATGCCGACACGGGTTCCGAAGGCGAGAGCAGAGAGGGCCAGGAGGATGAAGAGGAACAAGAAGAAGAGAAGGAAAATAGTACGAAGAGCGAAGACCAAGGTAGTGAAGATGGGGGCAGAGCTGAAAATGGCAACGGAGATGAAGATGAAGAAGATGAAGAAGACGACGATACAGAAGATCTCGATGTGCTCCAAGATGCTCTCAAGATCATCAAAAAGCTAAAGACTCAACTGCCCAATTTCTTCCCCCCTGGAGGCCCCGAACTGGAACCGACAATACTTTTCCACGACGACCTCAACCGGCACAACATTCTCGTTAATGACGCAGGGGTCCTGACTGCCGTGGTGGACTGGGAGTGTATTTCGGCCCTACCCCTATGGGCGGCCTGTCGATACCCGTCGTTCATCGACGGCAAACCGAACGACGTGGAGCCGACCAAGGAGCGCTACCCACACGATGAGAACGGCGATGTCGACGAGCTGTATTGGGGACACCTTGAAGACTTCGAGTCGGTCAAGCTCCGCCGTCTTTTCTTGGAAGAGATGCGAAGGCCGGCCCCTGGGTGGGTTGTGGTTTTCGAGTGGAGCCAACGGCAGAGGGATTTTGACCTTGCTGTGAACTCATGCGATGACGAGTTCTCGATTCGACGGATCCTTGCCTGGCTGGAGGACGTAGATTCTGGCAAGAAGGACATCGTCAGCTTAGAGGAGAGATTCGCGTAACGATCCCCAGCCAAACATTCAATTCAGGCCCTACCCCGTCGTTGTTTACCGAATAAAATGGTTATATCTCAGAAGCTTCAAGCGGCTCCCACTCCCAGAATGATCAACATGTGACATTGAAACTGAAGTAGAGCCCCAAACTATTCAGATGACCTTCCTGGAACCAGAACATTGCGGTCCCTCTAGCAAATCAGTCACACGGGAGGAAATTGAAAACCCAAATCACTTCAAAGTTGTGAGGATGATATTGTAACGAGTTAGCTTGTGAATGACGCCCGTGCCCGCAATGCCGTGTATTCATAAGTCCACCAAGAGCCGCGTGCGCCAAGAATGCTTCCTACCCAGACTGTGTCTAAACGATGCCCGAACGCCATAACCCATGATCCATTCAAACCGTACGTGCGCGTGTCTACTCAGGGGGCACCAGCTCCTTCGGGAGGACCTTGTCCTTCTTGGACCGCTGGCCGCTGCTGCTCCACAAGACCTCGCGCCCGTCCTGCTCGGGATCGTACTCCTCGGTCACGTTCTTGGAGCCCTTGCGCGTCATGCCCTTGTACGTCTTCAGCCTCGACTCTCGTGCGCCCTCGTCGGCAGACTCGCTCAAGGCATCGTCGTCTATCGCTAGGGTATCGTCGAACGGATCGTCTTCGTCGTCGTGGTCCGGAGACACCAGCCTCTCGTGGTCCATCTCCTTCTTCTTGATGAAGCTGTCGATGATGTAGTACTGCATGGCATTCATGATGAGCGGGAACAGCATCATGACAAACACAATCTGGAGGCGCTCGTTGCCGTCCGTCCACGACAGTGCCCAGTCCCCGATGCGCGCGATCCACGGTAACACGAGGAAGAGGATCAGCACGCAGATCTTCATGCCAAAGAGACCGCAGAAGTAGATGAAGGATTGCTTCAGCCACCAGACGGCCTTGGGTGGGCTGCCGTAGTTTCCAGATTGAATCGATTCGGCAGGCTTGCCAAGGGGTGTATAAGATATTAGGCCCGTGAAAATGCGCAGCAACACAATCAATATCGGTATTCCAAGCGTTGTCTGTGAGTCAGTTAGTCGGCCTTTCACGCAATTCTTTGGGTGGCGCATGTCAGATATGGCAACTTACATCGATGGCCAGGTTGAGCAGATAGAACGAACAGGGGTTCGGGACGTATACGTCGTCGTCCCTCCTCAACAGCCGTGCCGCGGTCTGTACGCTCATGGGCTCCACCTTGATAGAGAACCGACCGCTCGTCAACATGGACATGAAGACGTTGGCGATGTGGACCAGCACGCTGCCGACCACCTGCTTCGAGACGTCGAAGGACCAGATCTTGAGGGGCCGCTGTGGCCGCTCCCGCCACCGCTTGTAGACGAGCGACAGGAGGGCCAGGCCGCCGAGGGCCAGCTGCACGAGCAGCGCAAAAGGCCCCAGGAGCCTGCACTCGCCCGAGCCGCCTCCGTCGTCTGAGCCGCCGTCTGGGCCTCCGGAGTACGATGGCGAAGCCATTGCCGTTGTCGCGGCCGCGGCGAGAGCTGAAGTCGTCGTGGATATTATTGTGGAAACGACGTCAGTAGGCGCGGGGATGTCGACGCCGACGGGTACTTTAGATAAGGCTGTCGCTACCGCGGCAGGTGCATTTTGCAGGAGAGTGGTCGTGGCGCCTTCGATGATGTCCTTCGGGCTCATTTGAACGGAATGTCTCGGGACGGGAATGTAGATATAAGAGAGCAGGGCGGATGGCGGCACGCGTGACCAAGCCGTGTGTGATGACGACAGTGGAGGGCGCACGAGACGATGGTGATCGATCGTCGAAACCCAGTTCGTCCAGGTCCCACTCGGCAGCCCAGCGTCGCGTGAATTAGCCTTTCTGTGACAGGCAGGTCTCAGGCGGGCAGAGGGCAGTCGAACGACGTCGGGCTCGAACGAGGAGAACAAAGAAAAGATGAAAGCTAACTGTTGATCGTAGGGTGGGAGGAGTATGAGATGAAAGCCGCAAGAGTTGAACGGGCGAGCTTCAGGGTTTCTGCAACACAAAAAGCAACAGCTGACCCCAAAAGATGTCGTCAAGGAGCAGGTGTCATGTAGAGAGTACAGCCCCAGGATCATATCTACCTTGAGTTAGCCGGAGCTTGGCGCCCTTTCTAGCATGAGCCAGCCCCTGCGAAGCCCACTAATCCTCCTCCCACTGCTCCCACTGGACCTCCCCGGGGCAGGCTGGGGGTGCTGACCTGCGTGCTGTGGTGGCTTCCCGAGGCTCCCAGGCAGTAGCCAAGGGCTGGGAGTGGCCCTGGCCGAGTTTCGGGCGGCGCCCGCAGGGGGGGTCTTTTAAGCGTAAAACATGCGCTAGGCCTCAGTCGCCTGTACCTATGCTGGTAATACGGGACCGTTAAACCCCCCGGGGGGCGTACCACGGCGCGCCATCCCATGGCGAGCCTCTTATTCTCTGATAGAATCATCTTGGCGTCCCAACTGCGAAAGAAAAAAAAGTCTCGGTGGGACAAAGTCACCTTATCAGTCCCGCTGCCGTTCCGATGTTGTCGAGGTCGTTTCAGTGTCCTTCAATGCGTCCATGGCTTGATATTCCCCCTCATGGTCTGACTCGACCACACCGGAGCAGCGGCACAACCTATTACTAATGATAGCCAAAGTACGCCTTGGTTGTCTGACGAGGTTGCACAACATGGCATTAGCGCGTTAGAGCGAGTATGCGGGTCTCTCAGGGTGGGATTCCTTCTGCGTAAGCAAACCCAGCCAAGGCAACCATGTGCTCAATTACAAGCAGTCGAGCTCACTTTTCAGACGGCCACCATGCTGCTGCACTGAGCTGGTTTGCAGTATTATTGCACGCGGGAGAGGTCATCGAGACAATTGACCAATGCACGACTACGGTGAGCATTGGAGCACGCGAAAGAGCCCGCCGACGACGACAACGTATCTCAAGGGAGGTGCAGCATCATGACGCAAGGCAAACAAACGATGAGTGACACAGGAACATAGAGTCAACAGATACGGATTGTGCGCGAGGCAATGTAATCGAGTAGCAATGACGGTTGGTTCTCGCATTCTCATGTGGTCAAGCTAGTCGCCTGATTTGCCCTTATGGATGTCGTTAATAAAAAGAAGTAGCGTTTCATCGAAAAGTCCAAATTCCCAAAAAAGAGGTAACTGGCAGCATGCCATATTTCCGTAAAACCGTGAAAAAAACAACTTTGCCCCTCAATCATCCGAGCCGATCGAACGTTTGCTGCAACCGTAGAACACCCGGGGGGGTTTAGCGGGGACCCCCGTGATGAATGAATGAGACTTCCTTGCGGGGGAGGTTCACAAGTGTAGAGGTGTATGTGTGTGTGAAACGGGTGCAGTCAACGCCGAGCCAAAGTTCCTTCCTGCAAGTCCGCGCAAATACTCGCCGAGGCGACCCAAGATTTCTTGTACATGCCGTACCGTCAAGTCATACACACTTTGTTGCTGGTCTTCTGCGGGAGAAAGCCGCGCACAAAGCTCAGGACTGTTCTTCGTGCCTGGTTGGCGACGTCGTCAGGCCTGCCCTTCCTCGGCGTGGCTGCGGTAGCCACGGCCGATCTCACCACCGTCTTCTTGGCCACGATCGGGGGTGACGTCGCCTTGGTGACGGAAGCGGCGGTGGAGGAGGAGGAGTTCGTAGTGGTTGAAGATAAAGACGGGTCTGCAGACGTTCGACGAGAACGGGTAGTCTGAAGAGCGCCCACAGGCCCGTCTAATCGTCAATCGATACCGTGCTTTTGCTTGAGCTGAGCTAAATTCTCCTTGCGGGCCTCCAGGTCCTCTTTTGATCGGGCCATCTTCTCTGGCTGGTGGTATAATACTGTTGCTAGGTTAGCCAACGGAGGGGGGATCGCGTTGTGGTGCGAGGGGTCGCGTGACACATACCGACCAGGTAGCGGCCCTGGAAGTTGAAGCCGTTCAGCTTGTCGCAGGCCTGCTTCGCGTCCATGACGTCTTCATAGACCACGAAGGCAGTGCCCTTGGTGTTGGTTGCAATGCCCTGTCGGACCTGCCTGGGGGGAAGTCAGCATGACGATGTTTGTTGGCGATGGGATGTGGCTCGAGGGAAGCGTACCGGATAGGCCCGAATTTGCCGAAGAGCTCGAACAGGTCCTCCGGCGTGACGTTGTAGCTACGGGAGACTCGTTAGATGACGCCCATGCGCGACTGCGGGACATGCGAGGGGGGCATACCTTAGATTCTTTACGAATAAAGCTCTGTCGTCATGTTAGCATGCTGTGATACTCGGATGATGGGGGAAGCAAGGGGTCGTGGCCGTGGGCGCGCGGACGCCCTGTCTTCGGTCGTCGCCTCGGGGCGGGGACCACGACCACGGAGCTGGACGCCAAGGCAACGTCGTGCACGTACCGATTGACCTCGGGGGCAAGCTTGCCGGCGCGACTCATATCTCGATGATATGGCAATGATCGGATTTCTCGATGGGTTCGTCGGGTATGACAGAGGGTGTAGGACGCTGGTTGGGGGGGGTCTGCGGGCTGGCCGACGGGTTGATGGAGGTTGAGAAAGACTGGATTGCGAAGGGCGAGGATCACCACGTGCACGCCCAGCCCGTTAGGCGAGATAAGGCTCTAGCGCGGCCACGTGATCTGCGATATCGCCTCGCCTCGCCTGGCAGCCCGTGCTGTCCAGTCCAGTAAGTTGCGTAGTTGGGTCTGTTTATCACCGAGGTGGCCCACTGCTGGTTGCTTGCGTGAGCAACTTTCTCAAAATTCCTCAAAAGGGTCAAAGAGGACAGCCAGCTAGGACGAGAGCCTGGGAGCCTGGCGATCCGGACAGCAAGTCTTCTGCGGCGTGCAGCAGCGTATTCTGGATGTATGCACTGGGTTTAAGTGCCTTCCCAGCGCCCCGACGATAAGACCCGAGTTAGTGAATCCAGGGCGCTGGTAACTTGCTCGGACCTTGACTCGGCTTCAGGAGATCGGGTCCACTGCCCAAGCCGCTGCGTATTACTCACTTTCCAGGACCTATTAGTCTTAGGTGGGCCCTCTTCGGGTCTCACCGTTGCTCCCTCGACCGGATTGAATACTGGATTGTGTCCTTCTACGTACTCCAGGGGCCCGAGTGGCTCGGAAGGTGCGGAATAGGATTCACTTACAGTGTAGTTAACTACCTAGGTACTGGGTCGTTAGACTAGCAATGTCCGTGACCTGTGTAGGGCCACATTGGGCATTCACCATTGGCAGAGACATGGCTCACCACTGAAAGTAAGGCTGCAACTCTATTTGCACAATTCACAACCCGAGCTGCATCGAGCCGCCTTGGCCGCCAAGTAGAAGACCCTGTTCGATTGGGTTGAGAAATGCCATGGTACTTGTGAGCAGCAAGGGTCGAAGGGTTAATATGCATTGCTACGTTCGAAAGCTGGAGGTTCACACGTGATTATGCCGCTTTGCCCAGCGGTCCTGCCCTATTGCCTACATCCAAGGTTGTTAACAAGTTTTCACCACATGGATTCAACGGTGGGAGTAGGACAGAGGTAAATAGCCTGGTAAGAATACCTTGACTCTGAATACGGGGTAGAAGACGGTGATTGTACTCCCGGGATCCCATCCATGCTCTTATAGCTTCTCCGCATGCTCGGCGCTATAATATGGGCCCCCTGGATTATACCCGATGCTGCCAGTTGGAGAAGCAAAGAGCTCGGAAGGTAGGTCCCATCATACAGTTACACTGCTAAACAGCAACTGCCTCATATATATCGCCGAGATCAACCACCCGTATTTTGCCGGGGTAATTTGAGAAATCAACCATGAAAATCACATGATGGCATTGAACCTAACAAAATGGCCCCAAGACGCCCAAGGGGTCAACCTTGGTTCTTGTATTCTAGCATATTATTCTTGGTCTCTGTATTTACCGCATTGGTGAGCGACCGCCTGCGGCACACTACGATGGAGGTTCGAGGCAAGAAACCAAATTTCCTCATCGTCGTGGCGGACGACCTCGGCTTTAGCGACACGTCACCATACGGAGGCGAAATCGACACGCCGAACCTACAAAGGTTGGCGGACGAGGGTCTGCGCATGACCGGGTTTCATACGGCTGCGTCATGCTCGCCGACACGGGCCATGCTGTTGTCTGGAACCGATGCACACATCGCGGGCCTTGGGTGTATGGCCGAGAAGATAGTACGCTGGACTGGAACAATTACTCGGTAGTTGGACGTTGAGCTGATGTGTATGGAGCAACACAGAAAAAGTCCCCGGAAATCTTCAGGGGGAAGCCTGGATACGAAGGCTATCTGAACCACCGGGTTGCTGCGCTTCCTGAAATACTACAAGATGCTGGTTATTTCACCTTCATGAGCGGGAAATGGTGAGCTATGCGTTCATACATTTCATAACGTCACTAAAAGATAGCTACCAAGGCATCTTGGTTTGAAGAAGGAGCTCAGTCCAAGTGCCCGAGGCTTTACCAAAGTCCTGAGCTCCCTACCAGGGGCCGGAAACCATTACAACCACGAACCGCAGCTATATGGCATCAAAGAGAAGCCCACCGCGATCTTCAAGGGCGATGGCATATGGATGCAGGACGACAAATTCATCAATGGCAGCCGGGACCTTCCCAAGGACTTCTATTCCTCGGACACCTTCACCGACTACTTTCTCCAGTTCCTTGAGGGCCGGACCGACGAACAGAAAGAACAGCCGTTTCTTGGCTACCTCGCCTTTACGGCCCCGCATTGGCCCTTGCAGGCACCTGCCAAAGTTGTCAGGAAATACAAGGGGAAATATGACGATGGGCCTGTAGCTCTGAGGGACAGGAGACTGAAAAGTTTGGTGGAAAGGGGGCTTGTGCCACCCAACGTCGAGGCCGCGCCCTTACATACGCTAGGCACAACACCTTGGGAAGACCTCACAGAAGATGAGCGCAGGCGGTCATCGAGAACTATGGAGGTATATGCAGCGATGGTGGATCTCATCGATGTGAACATCGGGCGGGTGCTCGATCACCTGGAACAGTCGGGGGAACTGGATGATACCTTCATTGTGTTCATGTCGGACAACGGCGCCGAGGGACAGCTCCTAGAGGCGATCCCGATTCTAGCAGGCTATACCTTGGAGGATATGGTGAAGAAGTTTTACGACAACTCGCTGGGCAATATAGGGAATCACAACTCCTTTGTCTGGTACGGGCCGCAGTGGGCCGGCGCAGCAACGGCTCCAGCCAGAGGAGCCAAGTCATACACGACCGAGGGCGGCATCCATTGTCCCTGTATTATACGGTACCCTCCCATACTGAAGGCGAAAGGCACCATCACGGACGAATTCACTACGGTTATGGATATTCTGCCAACTATATTGGAGTTGGCCGGCTTGGAACGGCCCGAAAGAGTATTCCGCGGACGAGAGGTAGTACCAATTCGAGGGAAATCATGGCTACAACTACTGAGCGACCCATCAAACCAGGAAATAGTGGTTTACCGACCAGACGACATAGTTGGATGGGAGCAACTTGGCATGGCAGCTGTCCGGGTCGGGAACTGGAAAGCCTTGTTTATCCCCCCGCCGAGAGGCCCAGGGCGATGGGAGCTATACGATCTGACAACCGACCTGGGCGAAGTGAATGACCTCGCAGGTAAAGAGCCGCAGAAACTCAAGGAAATGCTTGCACACTACGAGACCTACTATCAAGAGACGGGCATGTTCGACTCGTATACCATGTTTCAGGAGGCCATGAGGCAGAAGAAGCTCGCAGGGGCCTCGGCTTCTGGCAGCAGGAAGAGGAAAGCACTAGACATCCTAGAAAGGGAAAACATAAAGCCTCAGGGCTCAAGGGAGGAAGAGGGGAAGGATTCTAAAACTAGGCGTATATAAAGGAGGTCTTTCGTGGCTTAGTTAACACCAGGGGCCCAGCTTGTGTAGCTTCCCTTTAGTCTTGCAATAAAAACGAACATAATGACAACTCACATCAGATTTTGACTTTTGACTTACACTCTTTAAAGTTTTGCCTCTTTAACATGCAGGCTGGTTGAATGAGACAACTTGAAGAGATGTCCCTTTAGCCACACGCTGCAGTCGCACGAGGCCGCAACGAAGACGTAGTAAATTAGGTATCCCGGGCTTGCTCCTAGGCCCCAGGGCCACGAGTGGAAACATTACATCGCGGGGGATCAACACTGTCGAAACAGCGGTAAAAGCGGGATATTAGCGCCCCCAAGTCGATCAGACGACCGCTACCAAGGGCTACCTAGACCACTGGCCTAACAAGTTAGCGGCTTCCAGGAAACCACCCAGCGCCACCCCAACCGTGCCCCAGGTTCAGAGTTACCAGGGGCCTGGTTCGCCGGTGCGATTCTTCCGCCGCCGAAACGCAGGGCAACCCGACTGGACTTCAACAAAGGCGAGAGGGCGACTTGACGCTGCCCTGCTTTCTGACCTCATCACTGACCTGGAATACACACACGCTGCTCAGCACGCAAAGGGACACCTTCGTTTTCCCGACCTCTGTCTACGGACCGCTGCGGGCCCCCTTTTGCAGATTGAACTCGAGAAACAACACAGGCAGCACCCGATGCCGTCGGTCACGCACGCCGAGTCGCCCACCCTCACCTCGGGCAAGAAGCGCAGGTGGGACGACAATGCAGAGCTTCAGATGCCGCTGTATGCAGCCCTCGACAACTCGACGCCGTCGGGTGCTCCCGCAGCTGACCTGCCGTCCTTGTACAGCTACACCTCGCCGACGAACCCCGGGGCCCAGGACTACGAAGTAAACAACGACCGCCTGGTCTTCCACCGCACGAGCCCCAACAAGGGAGGACCCGTGCCGAACTCGCTGCTCGGCCTGCAGCGCAAGATCAGGCCGCTGCCCTCGGCCAAGAGGCTCAGGGTCCTGGATGACGAAGAAAACCAACACTACGATGCAGCCGTCGGAGCGCAGGGCTGGCAACGTGCCTTGTATTCATCGGGCCAGGCAGACTACTCAACGCCCCCAATCTCACCACAGATGCGGCCCGTTGCATCCACAGAACGGACCACCTCGTCAACAGTGCTGAGCCCGTGCCATATCTGCCACCGAAAGCCCACCAAAAAGTCGGACCTGGACTCCTTTGCCGACTGCGAGGGTTGCGGCGAGAGGACGTGCTACGTCTGCATTCGGCAATGCCAAGGCTGGGACAGCACAACATCCCGCACAAGCCCTGGCCATGAAGCTCAACGACAACGGCAGCAACAGCAGCAGCAAGAGGCAGCAGACGAGGCGCTGTCGAGGTCGTTCACAATGCACGATGTGGACGATGCGGTGGAAGACCAGGAATCGCATGGACCAAGATCCGGTACGAACAGAGAGAGGGACTCGGGAGGCACCAGTGGATGGAATGCGAAAGGCCACTGCTCTGTCATCTGCAGCCGGTGCTGTGTGGAGCGTGGGAGCGAGGGTGACGTGGTGTGTTTGGGCTGTCTGGCTGGCATTGAGGGTGCATGAGCTAGGCTTTGGAGCATGATCACTACCTGGCTCTCCACGGCACCTCATGGAGACGGACATGACACCCTGCCACGGACGGGCAGAAGCAGATCTCCCAATGCTGGACGGTCCAAGTGCTACAAGGGTCGAAGGGCATGTCGAAGTCACCTAACACCACCTCGTCACGAAGGCAGCTCACGCTCGAAGAGTTCGGAAGTATTTGTAGCATGGTACTCCCAAGGAGGATCGTGCAGACCCACCGACCTGGTCCCATGCATGGAGGACATGATGTAGTGTTTCGGACGATTGATTACGACATTAATGAACAAAGGGGTGGGATGATGGAATTCGCCCGTCAGTACATACGCTGGTCCAATTCGGGTTTGTACATAGGACATGAAGGACACGAAATGGGAGCATCATATTATTATTATCATCAACAGCAACGGCGTTCAGGAACTCTGGCTAGCACCCAAGGGGTGCGATGTGGCAGAGTAACGATTCCATAGACCACGCTTTGCTTGCCGCATTCATATAGTCAAATATTGAGATGGAAAGACAGTATTGGCGTGACCATGACCGGTCAACACATCTGCAATTATCTCCGATCCTGTGAAAATATCTTTTCGACATGACTATATTATTCCTCGGGCCTTGGCCTGGTGATCCGGATAGTACCAAGACAGTGCCTCTCCAAACTAAATCAATCAGCGAGCAGCAGCTTGAGCCCCCTAGTTGTTGAAACCCAACGAGAATAAGCGTCCTGGTTGCTTGATGGGAACGACTACAGTGAGGCCGAATGGCCCCCAATCGATTGAGAACTTGGCCCTCTGCCCATGTGGTTTACCGATGCGGCCCAATGAGCGTCATCACGTTTCAAGTCTTCACTGCAATTTTAGCACCTTTTGTGAGGACATTCTTGCCAGAGGCTCGAGTTGACGAACTACCTGCAAGCCTGACTCGTCCGCCGCAAATCTGCATATTGCTTCACAATTATTCTGCGTTGCAGTCACGTTGTGAGAATCAGTACATCAGTACAAGGAAACCGATCAGTAAATCCGTGGTTCTATGCAGTGCGACCTGAACATCCGTTTACAACATACACTGATGGAAGAAGTACCAAGTCGCCTTCAGCCGATATGTCTTTTGGAATGTTCACTTTTTTGTCTTTCCTGCCATTAGAGTGCTCCGTACCTATCTATAGCCCAGTGGGGAATCTTGACAGTCATATCAGTCCACTTCTATGATACATCTTCCGCCTCACATCGCAGTCCTCGACCAAATAACTGCCTAGAGCTAATCCAGTCATGGACTCAACATCCTCCGCACGCCTTTTGGTAAGAGCACCCCGCTTATCGGCTCAGAGCAATGTCGTCGATACGCAGGATCATCTTGACAGTCTCAGCTGCCAGCTCAATGGCGCTGGTGCTGACCAACAGGGGCTGCAGAACGTTCTCCTTGGCGATGTTGTTGTTGACACCGCCGCTCTTGATACTGACGCCTGCATTCTTCTCACCCATCTCGTGACGGTGTCTTAACTCGGTGACAACCTAGCGGCCCGTTAGTATGCGCAGAAACGGAGGAGGGTAAGTTGCGTTGAAAAATCTTACCTTGATGCTGTTCAATCCTGCGTTCTCGGCCAACGTGGTGGGGATGATCTCCAGGGCGTCGGCGAAGGCTTTCCAGCAGATAGCCTCAGTGCCGGTCAGCTCACGAGCCTGTTTCGAGAGTTGTGCAGCAATCTCGATCTCGGGAGCACCTCCTCCGGCAATGAGAGCCTTCTTCTTGACCAGACAGCGGATGACACACAGGGCGTCGTGGAGCGAGCGCTCGGCCTCGTCCAGAATCAAGCTGTTGGCACCCCTGCAGACAACGCTGATGGTCTTGCCTGCGCTCTTGGTGCCCAGGATCTTGACCATGCGTGCACCGTTGGCCTGTGACTCCTCGATCAAGTCGGCGCTGCCCAGCTTGTCCTCGGTGAACGAGTCGATATCCGCAATGGGCTTGCAGCCGGTCGACTTGCAGATAAACTCGACCTCGTCACGCTCGATATCCTTGACAGCCATGATGTTGAGCTTGGCCAGGAAGTGGAGGGACAGGTCGTTGACAGCGTCACGCAGGATGGACTTTTGGATCAGGAGCACGTTGCACTTGGCCTTCTTGATCTTCTTGACGAGGTTCAGCAGGTATAGACGCTCCTCCTTGACGATCTTGTCCATCTGGCGGTAGTCGTTGACGGCGATGGTGTTCTCCATGTCCGGCTTGGGGGGGCTGAGCTGGAACTGGATCAGACCGATCCTGGCCTTCTCCATCTTGACGGGACCTCCGGCCTGCTTGATGACGGGCTGGTTGAGGACGACGCCATCGACCAGCTCGCTGTCTTCTATCGTGCCCCCGACCTTCTTGACGATTCTGATGTTCTTCAGGTCGACGTTGTCGGCGGTCTTGACGTCAATGGTCTTGGTGACGGCGTTGACGGCCATGGAGCCGAGCAGGCCCGAGTATTGTGAGACGATCTTGGAGGACAGCGAGGTGTTGGCTGCCTGCAGGAGGGTGGCTGTGTCGTTCAGGGCCACGGGTTGTGACATGTCGTGCAGGATCTGGACCGAGGCGGCGGCGGCTCTCTGGAAGGACTCTGAAATGACCGAGGGGTGGATGCCCTTGCCCAACAGGCGGTCGGCAGCACCCAGAAGGGCACCGCAGATGACGACGACGGAGGTGGTTCCGTCTCCGGCCTCGACGTCCTGGGCCCCGGACAGGTTGACCAACATCTTGGCGGTCGGGTGCATGACGGACATGCTCTTCAACATGGTGTTGCCATCGTTGGTGATTATGGTCTCGCCCCTCCCGCTCCTGATCATCTTGTCCATACCACGGGGACCCAAGGACGTCCGGATGGCATCGGCGACGGCTCTGGCTGCGACAATGTTGGCAGACCGCACTGCTATGGGCTTCTCCTTGTCCTAGAGGCGGGCAGGGTCAGCGAACATGGACGGCGCACGGGGGGGTACGGGGCGTGAGGCAGGGGGGAGATGGGAGATGGGAGATGGGAGATGGGAGAGGGGAGCATTACTCTGAAGGTGGCATTGGAGTGGGCGGTGCCGCCGCTGGCGGGGGCTGCTGTAGCCATGGTCGACGAGTCTGGAGGAGCACCGGAGGAAGGGATGGAGAGCGGTGCTGTGGTGTGCGGCGTTGCGTTGTGGTGTTTGGGTCAAACTCGAGGCCGATGGTCCAGTCCCTATGTGCGAGTATGGCGCCCCGCGTTGAGGCTGCCAAATAATTTTTGTCAGTAGCCCAAAGCCGCCGCCGGGGGAAGCTGCAAGGCTGCTGTGGAAAGCTGAGACGGCCCAGACTGGTTAGACTGCTCTCTGGCCGCGTCGGTCTGCTACCATATTGGTTTCTATTGTTCCGAACTATAGTACACTCCAGACACCCCTGACATACTTGAAAACTATGAGATCCGACGTACACTACATTTAATTGTAGTATATCATACCGCGGGTCAATTGTGCACTGGATATTCTTCCCCAGTCGGCCGCTGCATGCGTTCCTCCAAACTCGGGCACGCTTGCACGCTGGGATAAATCCCCGGGCCAGGGCGCTCCAGCACTAATCCCAAAGAAGCAATCGCTCATATGGCTGTCGGACCCCTGCCGCCAGACAGCAGAGCAGGGCAGCGGGCAGCGGGCAGCTAGGTACGTCGCCTACGGTAGGTAAGTCACCTAGGTGCCTTTAGTCAGGTTCTGGTTAGTTCCCTTAGCAGTTAGGCAATCAGAGCTTATGCAACCCCCAGCGCCTGGCCTCGTCGTCACCTGTCCGGCCCCATCCAGCCCGTCCATCCATCTCGCCTTGCCTTCCATCATAATCGACGACCGTCACGATACCCAGCATCACCCTCACCCCGTTATCGACCCTGCCCGCCCGCCCGCATCTCACGCCTCCTCGTTCCCAACCAGATCCGCGGGCCTGCACCATCCCCCGCCGCCATGGTAAGCTCCCGTCCACCGCGTCTTGTTGCTCGCCGGAAGCTCTGCTAACCCGCCACCCAAGCCGTCCGCCACCGGCCAGAACTGGGAGAAGTACCAGAAGACCTTTGCCGACGATGAGGTAGAAGAGAAGAAGATCACACCCCTCAGCGACGAGTGCGTCAACTCTCCCCTTTCCCCCCAACCTGTCCCTCGCCTCGTCCCGTCCCGTCCACTGACCCCCCAGCTAGAGATATCCAAGTCCTCAAGACCTACGGCGCCGCACCCTACGGCTCCGCCCTCAAGAACCTCGAGAAGCAGATCAAGGAGAAGCAACAGAGCGTAGACGAGAAGATTGGCGTCAAGGAGTCCGACACAGGTCTTGCCCCCCCACATCTATGGGACACGGCCGCCGACCGCCAGCGCATGTCCGAGGAGCAGCCGCTCCAGGTCGCCCGCTGCACCAAGATCATCGCCGACGAGCGCGACGAGTCCAAGAGCAAGTATGTCATCAACGTCAAGCAGATCGCCAAGTTCGTCGTCCAGCTGGGCGAGCGCGTCTCCCCCACCGATATCGAGGAGGGCATGCGTGTCGGTGTCGACCGGAATAAATACCAGATCATGCTGCCCCTGCCGCCCAAGATCGACGCCAGCGTCACCATGATGACGGTCGAGGAGAAGCCCGACGTAACCTACGGCGATGTCGGTGGTTGCAAGGAGCAGGTCGAGAAGCTGCGCGAAGTCGTCGAGATGCCGCTCCTATCACCCGAGCGCTTCGTCAACCTCGGCATCGATCCCCCCAAGGGTGCCCTCCTGTACGGCCCTCCCGGTACCGGAAAGACGCTCTGCGCCCGAGCCGTGGCGAACAGGACAGACGCCACATTCATCCGGGTCATCGGATCGGAACTGGTGCAGAAGTACGTCGGTGAGGGTGCGCGTATGGTGCGAGAGTTGTTTGAGATGGCCCGCACCAAGAAGGCCTGCATTATCTTCTTCGACGAGATCGACGCTATTGGCGGTGCGAGATTCGACGACGGAGCTGGAGGTGACAACGAGGTGCAACGTACCATGTTGGAGCTGATCACACAACTCGACGGTTTCGACGCCCGCGGCAATATCAAGGTCATGTTTGCAACCAACAGACCTTCGACCCTGGATCCGGCCCTTATGCGCCCGGGACGTATCGACCGAAAGATCGAGTTCTCGCTACCCGACCTGGAGGGACGAGCCAACATTCTCCGTATCCACGCCAAAAGCATGAGCGTCGAGCGCGATATCAGATGGGAGCTGATCTCGAGATTGTGCCCCAACGCTACAGGTGCCGAGCTGCGCAGTGTATGTACCGAGGCGGGCATGTTTGCCATCCGGGCGAGGAGAAAGGTGGCCAGCGAGAAGGACTTCCTGAGTGCGGTCGACAAGGTTATCAAGGGCAACTTGAAGTTCAACTCGACCGCCACGTACATGCAGTACAACTAGGATGGACTCTTTGGGACGAGACGGTTACGGAGTCTGGGTGTACTACTTGTATCAATAGGGTCGATGATCTACTTGCGGGCCTCGTTTAGACTGGATTGCTTGCATGGAACCAACAGAGGTAGATAATAAGAACTTCTGCCACGCCCTTGTGTTTGGGTGCAGGTAACATGACTTGGCAGGCAATACCCTTGATGCACAACTTGACTTTGGCAGCGATCCCACCCACCTGTGAAAGCAGACGCACTGGCGAACCAAGTGTTGGCCTGGTGTATTTCCACCAGATACAGCTATCAACGGCCATTCTGCATAAGGAGGTGAACCATCCTAACCCATCGTATTTCACTTCTTCACCTCACCCTCTTTGTTCCCCTCCGCCTTCAGTGCGTCGTACTTTTTTCCCGCCTCCTTGATCCACTCGTTATGAACGTCGTTCAGATCCCTGTGCTCGCCGCCGAGTCTCTTCTGCAAACCAGAAATCGTACCCACCAACCGACCGTCGACCCGCCATCGGTCCTCTGGGGAAGCTTCGGCGTTAGTCTCTCTCCGCTGAGGTCTTCTCATTACGCCGCTTGAGAGGGAATAATGGGAGAAGGGGGTTGAAAGGAAGGAACTGTGTTTTGAGAGTCGATATCACGCACCTACGTCGCCACCGAACCGTAGCCGGTATTCCATGAGGTCCGTGAAGCTCCTCCACTCCTTGATGACTTCGTCTAGCCTTTTCTTCGCCTTCTCGGTGCTGAGGTCGGCGTACGATTCGGCGTACATGTTAGTCGGATTGCCAGACTTCTAGAAACACTGAGGACGGTAGTGCTTGGTCAGTGGTGGAGTGTGCAGTAATTTGGCTGGTTCTGTTGAGGTGCGTATGGATCCTCCACGTGCGAAATGCCGACAAGGTCACCGTGGAATAGACTCGACACTGTTATGAAAGGTGCCATGGACAAAGGGAAACTGGGGTCCTTTTTGTAAGTCGAGGCCAGAGATCATCCGGATGCGTCACTTCTTTGTTGTGACGCCTGACATTCACCACTGTCATGCTGAGATCCATACGCGATTACCAACTAGGCTTTTTTTATGTGACGCCAAGCCATCCACCAACAGAGAATAATGGCTAGTTCTTCTTTCAGCGTATCAATTCGGATATGCAAGGGTTACGCCGTTTCGTTCAGCATAAGTACGGGGAGCAAATGCTTGTTTGATACCCGAGTTTATCACTTACAAGCCGCCATGGTAGAGCCCTCGCTCCTTCTTTCGCAACCACGCCTTGACTACGCGGTTGGTCAGGCTTATAAAGACTGTAAGATTCTTTCATTCAGACGCATGCGAAAGTCCCAAGGGTATGCAATTCACCTAATTTTTATTTTTATTTTTGTCTTATTCTCTTCTGTGTAACCTGCCTAGCGGCCGCCAGTCCTGTTTGAACAGTCTTCTGAGAAGCGACGAGCAGAGTACTCTCGTTTTTGTTAAAATAACAGGTTCTCTTCTTATTTACCTCTTAGCTGTAGCTCGATGTAGACGAAGAACTATATGCAAGTTTAGCTTTAGTTAGTCAAACCTTCCATTGTAATAAGAGTGTATAGAGGTATATAACTAATTAGCTGCAGTTCTATTCTGCATAGTTATGTGGGGAAACAAAAAAGAAAAGCGTAGACTGGGGATCTAATAGGCCCCGGAAATGCAAGCTCATGGCCGCCCTGTGCCATAATGATTTTGAAACGGCATCAGCACTTTGATCACTAGTATTCTCAGGTATATATCCTCTTGAGATGGAGGTTGAAATCGAATGACCACACAGGCTTATGGCATTGCGACGCTCGCTCATAACGAAGTGCTGCGACGAAGTGGATCCTACGTGGCGCCTGGAAGTTGTTGATAGTCTTGTGATTTGCAGATACCAAAATCATTACTACTTGTCACTATAGTATGCACTCGAAGTCTTCGAACTACAAGCAGCAGTATCGATAACAGGCTCTAGACCTTCGTACAAACGCTCCTCGCTTGCTGCTATCGACGCAGCTGTGGTGTCTCGTGGGCGGTTTCTCATGCTCACGGAAGGGAACGATGACTTCAATTTCCGGCTGAGTTCGATATCCTCAGGTCGACCCGGGTTCAGATGCCTTGATTGATGGTATGCAAGATCGACTCCTTGTCCGCGACCCAGTTTCTGCATCCTCCAACAGGTATAGAAGGCCTTCAACGAAGGCATGTTCGCGGCAAGAATAGCTACTTGCATTTCAATATTCGATATGATGGCCATTTTCCCAATGGACCAGGTGAAGTCGGGCGACGTAGAAAACTCGAAAAGGACGATCGCTCTCAGACCGCTGACGAGGACAGCTGAGCCGCCGGTAGTGACCACGGCAAGGATGGTGAGGCGGCGTTTCAAGGTCATCTGTAGATTCATTATGATAGGGAGGGGAAGGACCAGGATACATATGTCGGTTGTCATGTTCTGTGATTATTTCTCTTATTTAGTAACAGCACCAGAGTCACGTATTCATAGCCACGGGACGTCTGATGGTAGGCAGGGGTGCCGGCAGCAGGAGAAGGGAACGAGGATACTCACAAGTGTATATGGAACAAAGTATGTGCTGGGAAGCCATGTAAGAATCAACACGAGAGTCAAGGGTGGATAGGGCTGCTCACACGTATGTAGATAGGCATTGGACACCTGGGTAGCTGGCTGGATCATAGAATGCAGCCAATGGTATGCATTGAAAAGCATAGAGCAACCAGATGACTAGAGTTGTAACCACATGAAACGCAATGACACCCCAAAGCGTTCGTTTGTACAGAGTTGTATTGGATAACCTGAAGTAGAACAGAAGGAAGCACATCTTAACGATGAATTGCATCCAGATGTACCAAAACTCCTCTACCAGCAGAGCCTGTCCAGCGGCGATCAGCTACAAAATGGCCATCGGAAATGTTGAATGCCAAAAGTCCAGAGACATACCTTGTATAAGAGAGGGAGCCAATCGGGATGGGATGCCATGACTTCTGTCAAGTGCCTTCGCGACACATCAGTTTGGGTCCCGTTTAGCTCAGAAGAATGTACTCACAGTCCACCCCCATAATGCAAAAAGAAGTACAGAAGCGCCTGCTGGCAGGTGTTGGAGAACTTGGACTTTACTTTAGCCCGAGAATTTGCAAACGAGGGATTGCAGCATACTAAAACCATGGTCATAGCCCAATCATCCCAGCTAAAGGCGTTCATCGTGTACGATCGGACATAGATGCGCATCAGTATCGTTATGGTAACGAGAAAATATAAGACGCTGATCACGCCGTACGACAGCGGCTGGAGGCCTTCCATTTCTCCTACGGCACCGAATTGGTCGAATGAAAAAGTTTGCGCGTCTTGTAAGCTCTCTCGCGGTGTGCAGGCGGGAAGAACGAAAGTGTTCCAGCCATGCTTCGGCCCGAAGCACTCGGCTTAAGTATACGTATCGGATGATGCTTGAATTCGGAGAAGGAAGAATCTTGCGAGGAGAGGGTAGCAAGTGCTGTCTGGCCACGATAGGTGCTAGCGGCAACGAACATATAATACTGATCGCTTGGTTGTCGAACCGGATACAACGGACCAGCACCCGGCCAAATAGAGGCTGGGATGTCTTGGTTTGGGCAGGATTTTGATAGAGTTTGATGGTGTCCATCAGCTGATAGCCAAGACCGCAGGGGTAAGACCGTATGCAAATTGAATATAGCATAAGTTGAAGCCGATCTGCCTGGTCGTCGCTAATAATGTTAATAGCACCTCAACGTCGGACCGCACCGCCATTGGTGTTCGAGATCCCCATCCAGCAATTGAAACACATATTCAAATGAGTCGGTAGTGCTGGTCTAACTTCAGTTTCTGAGAATACGAAGGCTCCAAGCAACGCCCAGGGGACTTCGACGAAGTATTTGCTCCACTCTGGAGGAATACTAATCAAATGCCTGCAGTGTGCCGGTGTGCTGGAACGGGCCGCCCAGTGAGAACCGTTTAGGCGGGTCTTGCCGGGTTCTTCCCCGGTCACACCGGGACGCAGTCGCCCTCGTTTCCGGGCGCATAATCACTTAGAGTTCAGACATAGGTTAGTCATGTGGGTCTTCTATGTTGAGAGCAAGTCTGATGTGATTTCTCTGATGTGATGGGAGCTGGTGATCTTCCCCTCCCGGCATTCTTTTGCCGGTTCATTTGCTCTCCGAAACTCGAGAGTCAACAGCTTTGCAATGCGTGGTACGGATAGCTTCCCCGACTCTTCAGCGATGGAGTGGACGGCAGTATTCGTGTTTTTGCTGGGTGTCTTATTTCATCTCGTCATACGCCCGTACGAGATTGACACTCAAGCATGGCAACTTGTTGGCGCGTACTCAACTGTGCTCCTCGGTACATTCTTCACCTACGCTCAAACATTGTATATCCGAGAAGCCTTGCTGAATACTAGTATTGTCGCTGGTGCTTTTAATGCCGGGGCGCTTGGTTCCATTTTGATATACCGTGGCTTTTTACACCGGTTGCACAGGTTTCCCGGCCCGCCCCTAGCCAGATTCTCCCGCTTCTATGCTATGCACCATGCGGCAAAGCATCTTCAGGCAAACATAACTACACAAAGGCTTCATGAGAAATACGGAGATTTTGTCCGCGTTGGTGGGATGCCTCTATGCAAAGACACTTGAGGCGTGGACTTATGCTTGACCTAGGACCGCGCGAGTTATCAATCAACCGGCCCTCTGCTATTTCTGCCATCTACGGACCTACCACCAAATGTTCGAAGTCTCCCTGGTACAGCCAAGTTTCCTATGATGCGACCAAGATTTCCATCAATTCCACTCGCGATGCGGATATCCACAGGCGCCGGAAGAGGGCCTGGGAAAGGGGCTTGAGCTTTCGAGGTATTTGAGAAAACGTACTCCTAGGTGCGTTCCAGGCTCATCGGGATTAGCTCTATCTGCCTATGAAGCACGTATCGTTGCCAAGGTAGACTTATTACTGTCACGCCTCGATGCGCAGGGAGAGAATTCCCTTGACATCTCCAAATACGCCATGTTTTTCGGATTCGACGTCATGGGGGAAATCGGTCGGTAGCCTATCAAAGTTTGTGGAGATATGCTGAATGTCTTAGGTTTCTCCAAGGACTTCCATATGCTTGAGTCGGAAATCGAGCATCCGGCGATTCGAGGCTTGCACGACAACATGGCCGCAGTTGGTGTCCTTGGCACAGTACCATGGCTGCTCTCTATGCTCAGCAAGATACCGGGCGCAACCGGCAGTTACTCAAACTTCATGGATTGGTGTGGCCAGCAGCTCGAAGAGAAACGACAGGTAAGCAACCCCCAGTTAGCGGCACTGGTTATTTCTTACCCCCCAAAAGCTCGTAAAACAAGAGAAATCCGCTGGGAAAGCTGGGAGTCCCAAGGATGTCATGTCCTGGCTACTTCAGGCCGAAGAAGAGGGTGACCAATCAGCACCTCCGGGTGAAGGCGCTTTCCAAGAGGACTCTCGTCTCATGATCATCGCCGGCAGGTATGTAATTAACCCAACTCACTGGGGTGTAGTTGCTAAAGAGTTTGCAGTGATACCACAAGCGTAGCCCTAGCAAACGCGTAAGTCAGCAAGAGAGCTGCCATAGAGGCCCCGCTTATACGTCCCAGATTGTTCTACTTAGCCAAGTATCCGGCCTCCTATATCAAACTCCAGAACTTCCTGAGAAAGGAGTTCACTCGAGGAGACGCCGACTGGACGTACGATCGAGCCAAGAATGTGGCATACCTCGACTACATCATCCAAGAAACCCTGCGCTTAAAGCCATCGGTGCCCGCTGGTCTCACCCGACTGACGCCAGCTTCAGGGCTGCAGATAGACGAGATCGCGATACCAGGGGATACGATTGTGTCGGTTCCAGCCCATACGATTCAAAGAGATCCACGATTCTGGAAGGACGCCGAGGCATTTGTTCCGGAAAGGTGGGAGGGTCTGTCCCCGGAGAAGGCCCCCTGGATCCCTTTCACAAGAGGCCAGTTCAGCTGCCCGGGAAGGAACCTCGCCTTCATGGAGTTGCGCATGGTTCTCAGCAGGATCGCGCTTCGGTTCGATATATCCTTGGCCAGTGCAAGTGACAGAGAAGCATTCGATCGAGACGCCAAAGACACGTTCACGTTGAACGTGCCGGCACTGCCGATGCTGTTCAAAAAGCGGCCTGGATAGATGCGGGTGACTACTTTTCGCCTGGAGGAGCGTAAATGGAAGAAAGACACGCATGGTAAAGATTCTCAGGCTTAACAGAGTAAAACATGATTTGTCCAAGATTTCCCTCGTGCGTAAAGAAAAATTCAGGAGCTGCGATGAGTCCAGCGTGCAAAGAAACAAACTTTAATCCCAATCTAGAAGTCTAGAGACTTGAAACATCTGCTCGATGATTTGATGTTTCATTGATGATCAAACTTGACCAAACGCAAATGCACAATTGCTAGAGGAACAACGTATCCAATCCAATATAAGTATTCATTACATTATATACGTCGTCACTGTCATAATAGCGACTAGTTCTGTCTTCCTGCCTGCCCAGACCCCCTGTAAGGGTATCAAGTTTACTTTCGTATCAAATGCCATGTGACCGCTCTGGAGAGAGTGGAGATATAGAGATAAACCCCCGAAAAAAAACAGAAGAGCCCCAGTCGTGTCAAACTCCGTCGCTGATGCAGTCTCATCTCGTGTATCTTAAAAGCCCTGCCCATGCGTGTCGCTACCGTGGAGGAAAACCCGCCGTAAATAGTCCCCTTTCTCGCCGTATCTGATCATTTTCGTTCTTCTGTGTCCTCATAACACAGAATTTGACTAATGCATAACTGCATGGCTAAGTTGCCACGCCCATCCAGCCGTACCTAAGGATTTAGTTCTGTCGCTTCTCCAGGACGGCTCGTTTCGGATCCATCCGATGAGTTTCGAGAGTCCATCGTGGGATTATGGATCATATCTTCATCTTGCTCTGTAACTGTATGAGAATGATTGTCCCAAGTCGATACCGACGATCGTCTTCCGTGTAACCAATCGTCAGCACTGCCTTGCCCAGAAGACGGGTATGACCCGGGGGCCTGCACAAGATCACCGAGTGTGATGACTCGTCCAGATTCCGTACGCTCGATCTCCATGGCGAGCTTTTCTGCCTCCTCCTCGGCCGGAGAGATGAGCGGCAGCACGCCGCCGGCCGATGGCGAAGTCCCCTAGGCAAAGCCGTCAGCGGCGGCGCGGCTGCTGGCCGAGTTGGGATGGGGCGTGTTCTGCGCGGAGCCGGAGCTGTCACTGGGGGTGGCTGGCTCCATGACCTGGCTGCGGATGCTCATGATCCACTCATGCTGCAGCAGCTCGACAGCCGAGGCCCGTTTCCGAGGATCCCGCACAAAACATTTCTCCAGGAAATCAATGCCCTGCGGACTGAGCTGGTCGGTGCTTGGTAGCTGAGGCGGGTTACCCTGTGCAATATTGTACATAATGGCCCACTCATTGTCGAGGTTAGACCAAGGTCGTCTTCCAGTGACCATTTCCAGGATAACACATCCCAGAGACCAAACATCGACGGACCCGGCCTTACCAGGGTTTTCGCCTTTAATAACCTCGGGAGACATGTACATAGGTGTGCCGGTCATCGATTTGTTCGGTGTAGCAACCGATGTCCGCATTAGAGTACGTCCTTGTCGGGCTATTACTTTGGCAGCGCCGAAATCAACGTACTTGATAACACCGTTGTGGTCGAGGAGGATGTCTGGCAACTTGGTAAGTCTATGATAGAACCATGTATAGGAAATCAACTTACTCTCTGGTTTGATGTCACGATGAGCAATGCCGCTCTCGTGAAGATAAGCAAGACCCTCAAGCAGTTGCAGAGCGTAAACCATCGTGACTTGTTCGTCCTCAATACGACCATGCTCAAGAAGGTTTCCTAATGAGCCACCGGAGCAAAATTCCATGAAAATGTAAACCCGGTCGCGATGAACCTCGATACCGTAATATGACACAACATTCGGGTGGTCAAGGACCTCAAGGACTCCCATCTCATCCCTGATCTGGGTAGCAATTTGGGGTATCAGCTTGGGGTCCTGAAGGCGGATCTCTTTTACGGCCATCAGATGACCAGTATCCAGATTCATTGCTGCGTACACATTGCCAAATGTGCCGCCACCCACGAAATGTCCCTGCTGCCAGCGCATCGTGACATTCGTAGCCGAAGAGGACAGATAAGCCAAGGATCGATCGACCTCGTTGGAAACCTCAAGGACGCGGCCCAAGCCTTGTCTTTCCGCGATGGTCTGTCGTTGATACTCGTCAACCTCCGCTATCCTCTCGAGTCGCTGTTCTTGGATATATTTGTATGCTTCTTCGTCGTCCAGCATGCGGTTCTTGTCAAGCCTCTTAAATTGTCCGACCAGAGCCTCAATCCGTTCTTTTTCTGACTGCGCGGCCTGATTCGATTTGGCTCCGAGAATATCGAAATGGGAAATGAGCAATCGCATGCACCCAGACACTTTGGCCCTCAACTTGGCATATTCAGAGGGATCCAGGCCAAGGATATGTCGACCTCTCGTCATACCCATTGCAAACTCCAAGGCCGGAACGGCCCATCGAAAGGACTTTCGATCGCTCACAGTACAGTCGTCACAGATGAAACTCACCCAATCTAGGGCTAGTTTTGTGAGTTTCATGTTGTTCATCTGGCGGCGGTTGCTATCCATGCTAATCAAGGATCGCTGGCCAAACTCGGTGGCGAAAACGAAGCAGGTCTGGATGAGCTCAGTGCAATCGAGTCCTTCGGTTTGTCGCCGAATGATCTCTACACTGTCCATGAATGTGTTGGACAGCTTAAACGCCACTTTTCGAATCTCCATCAGCCTTGAGTTGACCTTGTGCAGATTGGACCGTTGCTCTACCACAAGATCCAGATGCATGTCTATCGCTTCAATGAATGACTTGCGTGCGTTGGCGAGTCTATACTGCGACCCGTCGGCAATCAACCGCATCTGACCGACCTTGAGGTCTGTTGAGTCGACGTTCAAGAGCTGAGTGCTGCGGTTGCCAAACCAATGCAAGGGGGTCTCAGGCCTGAGGATCAGAACATACGGTTCAGTCGGGTCTGACTCCTGCTGTGGGCCATGGAAACAAGTCCGCAGGATCGATTGCACTTCATCATCTCGCCCAACGAGGGCCGGGGAGGCAATGATCTGTATCCCGTCGATTTCATCTACGAAGAAATGGCCACTGACTGATAGTCGCTCGTAGAAGTGCTGCAGCTCATCGGCTGCAAAAGCAATGCTGAGATCAGACGCATTTTCGTAATGGTCACTCAACATTCGGGAGAAACGTTGCAACATCCTTTGTCTTACACGAACCGATTCGAGGAGCTGCTTGTACCGTTTGTTCATGGCGTCGGCGGACTCCTTGGGCTTTCGTTGGAGCTCACGCTCAAACGTCGTGCTCAGGCGATTGAGAGCCTTGAAGGTCAGAGTACTAAACTGTTCCGCGACCTCAATGTCACCACCTTGCAGGTTTCGGCCAACCATATTGGCGAAGTCCCATTCCTGGAACAGAACTTCTGCCTCTTTGAACGTGTTCTTGTTCCTGCTCAACTTCCAGTTCAGCATCTTGAAGTAGTACTTGAGCGCTTCGAGTACAACTTGGTCAAAAGAGTCATCGATGCAGGGCGGCAATTGCCAACCAGGCTGAGGCTGAAGAACGGTGAGACAATCCTGTTTGATTTTGATTGCGAGCTTCAACAGGATCTCGAATTGGCCGATCATCTGATCCTGGAGTATAGCATTCTGCTGGGTCGTCTCCTTCATCTTCTTAGCGAAGGCGAGCCGAACTTTAATGATCTCCTCAATCAGCCGCGAGGGGAAACTGATTAAGGTGAGAATTTCCTCGATGTAGGGCGGCAGGTGGCGCTTCTTGAATGCTGCCGAGTTTGCAATGAGGGTTTCCTTCGCCTTCGCGATCGTGGTCGAGATGGAAGCAAGCATACTCCTGCGGATGAGAGTCTTTGTCTTTGCTGCTGCTTTCCGTTTTTCCGCCTCGTCGCCATTGTCGTCGTGCAAAGATTTGAGCCCGTCCTCCTTCATCAATCGGTCCAGGAACGAAGTCTCGTCATTCAAGCCATTTGTGCTGGGGGACTTCTGTTTCTTCATGTGAAAGTCCAAATCACGATTTCCGACCCACTTCTTCAGAATATCCAGCTCTGTGTTGATCATCTCGTTCGTGTTGTACCACGATAGGACGGCGTCACAGGTCTCATGGAAAGATTGCGAGGTAGCCGTTTTGTGATCCGCGCCGAGGGCTTGCCACGACGGGTATAGGGTGACACACTTCTCGACCTTCATGACCACGTCCCGGATCTGCTCAATGGGGGGTTTCCCGGCTTCACTCTCACCCTGGACCTCGAAGCGAGTGATCTCGTCGATAGTCCTGTCCAGGTTGGATCGGGCTTCCTCGACTACCCTGCGCTGCACAGCCAGGGATCGGCCGCATATCTTCGACCGTAAGCCAACCCACAGTTCGGCCTTGTGCGCGGAAATGCCTCCTTCTTTCTCGGAGGAGCCTATGAGACGCTTCTTCTCCTGTCTTACGACATCTCCCGTCAGAACGGCAGCCAGCATGCCGTGCCATTCCAGCCTTTCCCGATTGTCCGGGTCCGTCACGTCATCTTCGGTAGGGTGTAGATCATTCTCGTCGGCATTGTAGAACATGATGGTCTCCTCGTTGTACTGGCCATCGTAGACGCCTTCGGACGAGGGCGTCTCTCCCTCAGACTCGTCGTCCGAGTAATCCAAGCTGGGGGTGTAGGGGTCGAAGTAGCCGTTGGGTGGCTGTTCCTGGTGGCGCATCATGCGCAGATACGCAGGCTCCTGATTGCGGAACTTCTGCTCGGGGTCGTCGCTCCGCCGAGGCCTGGAGCCCGAGCGGGTGTTGATGGAGGACATGGCAGGGCCCCTCTGCGGCGCGTATGTGCTCGAGGGCGTCCTGGTCAAGGGCAATGGCCTCTGCGACTGGCGAGTACCTGTCCCGTTCGGCGTTATGGCGGCGCCGTCGCGCTGAACCCGGCCTGTGCTGTTTGCCAACGAGTTCGGGGCCAAAGAAGCCACGGAGCCGGAGAGGCTCCCTTCTGTATATCTGGACAAGGAGCCGAGCTCATCGTCGCGCTCAAGCTCGGCGGGGTCGCTTGGGTCGGGGGTGAAGTCTTCCGAGGACCCCGAGGCGTCGGAATCTGTCGTGATGGCAATCGGGCGCGAGGGATGGGGTTTGCTGGGGAGCATCTCGACCTCGCCTTGCGAGAAGCGAACAGCGCGGGGAGAGTTTTCGGTGGACATGGCGGGTTGTTGGGCCGAAGCCGGCTCTTGGACGAGGACGAAGATGGTCAAATCTATTAAGGACGAAGCTCGAAGAGTTCGAAGAGGTGGGCGGGTTTGACCGCCTCGCAATCACGCGAAAGACCAGTTGTGCTACGTCTGGACCTCAGGCACGATGGTCGCTCTCGCTTAAAATGGGGATGCGATGGGGCGAGCAATCCATGGGGGGAGAGGAGAGGAGAGGAGAGCAGAGGATGCAGTCGACTGACGAGACAGACTGGCGGTCGCTCTAAACTGGAGTCGAGTCGGAGAAGAGGCTGGCGCCGAGCACTGGCGACGCAATTGCAGCTTGCTGGCCTCGCGAGGAAAATTATCAGATGATGGCGGAGTGGCACATCGTCCCTCCAGTCGATTAGTTTACTCCATCAGCCAGTCAGTCCCGTCAGTCCAGTCCAGTCATTCCTGCAGTCGGTGCTGGCCTAGCTATTTGCCCCCCCCCCCCCCCTGGCTCAAGGCCTGCATAGGGCCAGGCGTGGCATGGGCGACTAACGGTCTGAGCGCGCTGGCCAGCGTCCAGAATGGCCAAGTTTCGGCCCCAAAGGCCACTGCGCGGACATTTGCTCCGGGCCGGGATACCAGATCCGTTCCGCCCAGGTTTTCTGTATATTGCCTGTTCGGTGCCTACTATCGTTGCATTTGCCTCACAGTTGTCCTCACAGTATATCCTCTGTACAGATCGCACAAGATTCACCCGGAGACACTGCCCGCGCAACAGCAGCATACGGTGAAACGGAGAGAGAGGATGCCGTACATCTGCGGAGCGAGCAGTGAATGCAAGCTATCTGCCGCGTGTTGGCGTACATGCAAGGAAATCCGGTTCTCCCAGTTGCGGGTGTTGATGAACTGGGGGTCACTTGACCAGTGAAGACACGACAGAGCCTCCGCAAGGCCTTATTGGACGCCAAGCAGCCAGCAACTCAAGGTCACATCGAATACTCGTGCACTTCGGAAACAACCGAGGACTCAATCGGATGGCACAATGAACCTTTGACCAGACCTCGACGGGGCAAACCCCGGCTGCATCGCAAGGGGGTTTGCCATCACGAGTCAAGGGGAGTTCCCTGCTTTAGACGGCCGGACGACCATCCATTTTTCCGTAGCCTCGCGCCATAGCAATGCTGGGGAGCACTATGTGATCTAGTTATCCAGCTGCTCGTTGAGGGCTCTCGATCCCTCGATCCACCCACGGGCCAGTGTGCCGCACAGGCCCGCGGGCTGTCCACCCGCTGCGCTAGTCTGCTTTCCCACGACCTCGACCCAGCCCCAGCTGCCACTGCACCACACCAGCCCGTTCTACCGGTGGAGCCCGACGCGTGACGCCATTGGCAAAGAGCGCGGCGACGCGGGACGAGCCTCAGCCGTCACGGAAACCGTTATCGACTTTTGCACTCGGCGCGCTGCACAGGTCTGTATATATCGGATTCGGCTTGGATTGGCGTCTCTTGTGTGCTGCTTGCTCGGTTGTCACGTTTGTTCGAAGGCGTCTGCGATGAATTGTGCCCTTCTTCTTCCTTAGCTCTCCTATGTCCTCCAGACGTCTTGGGTCAGACGCGTCGCGTCAAAGCCGGCCAAGTTCCCGAGCAGCCAACGTCGCCCGGCCGCTCTCGTCAGACAACCGCCTGAATAACGATGGCGGCTTCACGGCTGGTTCCACTCCGGCCAGAAAGCGCAAGCATGATGCCTATGCCATGGAAGACCTGCTCAAGCCCTCAATTGTGGTCAAGGTAGGGTCGATACCTCATTTCAGCGTCAGGGAAAACTAAGTTCGGTGCAGGCATATCCTACTAAGCTGTCCATAAAGCCACGCAGCCTCCAACCCCTAATGCTGCTGCCTCGGGAACGACTGGGTCTCTCATGCCTGGATCTTGCCGCGCCCTCGGGCGAGTTCGAGTATGCTCAGTTCTATGAATCAACCATCAGGATCCTCGACTTGGAGAGTCGCATGGGAACCCGGCCCATTGTGCTCATCGCAAGGCTGGAATCCAACAGGACGTCCTATGTTTTGGAGCGCCAAGACAGTGGCCTTTACACCCTATGCAAATTAGGAAATTGGGTCGACCTGGAGAAGCTCAGTAGCCACGCAACCGTCGCCTACACGAAACTCATCAGACCGCGCAGTAATCCAGCACACGCCTCTATGCCAGAAGCCACGACAACGCCTGAACTTCACAAGGAGAACAAGAAGCGGCGCCTTGCTATTGAAGCTATCCAGTCGTTAGTCAAGAGACCAGCGAGATCACTATCCATCTCTCTGCCTTCTCAAGCGCCGGAAGCTGCACAGGTTCCAACAGCTGTCGAGCAAGATGCTGCATCCCAGACCCTTGGCCCACCGAGCGGTCTCTCACCAGCGGAAAAGAACCCCGACCTAGAGGCTATGGCCGCGACGCAACTCACCAAGGATCCTGTACCCGAACAGCCATCATCGCAGCACACGGCTGATGATATCTTTGACAATGTTCGCAGTCACTATTTCGAAGCATTGTACCATTCCATGGTAAGCCCGACCCCTCAAATATCTGCGACGGTTATCTAATGGGTTCAAGGGATCTTTGGCGTATTTTGCAAAAGGACCACTGTCTCGAGCTCGCGCAGCCTTTCATCTTGACTGTGATTCCAACCTAGACATGGACGATCTAATAGACTTCCTGAAGAGCCTTATTTTGACCACCATCCAGATCGACAAGAAGTACCGCGAGACCGTACCTGACATCATCGCAAAATTCAAAACTCACATAGCAGAGTCAGCAGACGAGCAAGGCCCTAAGGCCAAGAAAAGAAAGTCGAAAAAGATGAAGTTGGGAAAGGATTCTCTGTATCCAGCCGAGGACCAGCACGTTCGAAGATGGTGGGATGTTCGTAAACCACAAGCAAAAGACGACGACTCGATGGCTGCCGAGGCGCCACAGGACACCAAGCTCCAGGTCTCATGTCTCCGATCGCGGGAAACCCAGCTGCAAATCATCCTCATTCTTGAAATATTGGCATTGGAGCCACTGAGATCTGCTGCCAACGCCAACGAATCGCAATTACCTGGCTTGCCTGCAGACGAACCTGCCACAGAGGCATCCAAAGAAACGACGTCAAAGAAGCGGAACAAGCATAACTACCCAGTTCTTCTCGATGTGCATGCCGATCGACTCAGTATCTGGCAGTCGACCTCTTTGGATGATATCAAAATGCTAGAAGACTCGCAAGCTGGGCAGAGTAATACGGCGCAGAAGTCCAACGGTACAGATTCCGACCCCTTGAAAGACTTCTGTATCGAGATTATCGTTCCATTGTAAGCATCATCCAGAGGAATACTGCCAGTACTCAATGACTTACAATTTTGCAGCTTTTCATCTCGACTACCCCAACAGTGCGATTCCCTCACTCGCAAATTAGGAGGGCCAGTGATGCCTTCCCCTCCAAAACCCAAGCCCAGGAAGACCGAAGCCCCTACCAAACCGAGAGCTAAGCCAGGCATGATCACTAAACGCGCAACTGCACCCAAGCCAGGACGAACCCTAGACCGTGTCTTGTCCAAAGAAACGGAGCAGCACCGGCGCAGCATGTCTCGTGGACCTAGTAGCGTGATTGCGTTAATGAGATCTGCGTCAACGCCTATTCCGATGTTGAAGCGAGAGCCGAGCGATGTTGTCTCATTGACAGCTGCGCCAAGAAGGGATTCAAAGGACGCCACTAGCGCAAGAGACAAGTCTTCAGGCTCGTCCAGCGCGGTGGGCAAGCGCGTTACTCAGGAGGATAAAGCTAAGAGGGATGCTGAGATCAAGGCGGAGTTGCAAGAAGCCATCAGCAGCTTGAGGAAACCGAACAGGGAGGTGGTCGGCAAAGCGATGGCCGAGGCCGACGAGCGCAGAGCGACCACTAGTCTGTCCCAACTCAGGAAGTCGAAGAAGCCCACCGAGCACACTGGCTTCCATAACGTCATTAAAGCCACTCCGGTCGGCCCACGCTTCCGGAACGCGCTGGCTCGGGATGCTTACAGCCAGCCCAACATGGGCATCATACATGAGTCGATCGAGGGCGACCATGTTCCATCCTCATCTTCCCAGAGACTGGTCCCGTCTTCTGCGCCAAGAAAGCGAAACAGAGACGGTGCATTCTTGGTAGAGGAGTCATCGCCTGCTCTGCCAACAATGACTGCACCCGTAGACCTGGTCGGTGCAACGCCTGCCCGGCCGTCGTTCTTGAAGCGAGGCTTCCTCTCCGCCCCTGGGCCGGACGAAGGTCTGGTGCTTGCGTCTTCGCCGATTGCAGAACGGAAGTTCCTGGCCCTACCTGGCAGCTCCTTGCGGCACCGGGACAGTGGGATCGGGATGCCGTCGTCACCCGACGGGGGCCTCGCCGAAACACCGGTCAAGAGACCACCCGTCGGAAGAATGGGTTCGCTCGAGGGGTTTGTCACCGTCACCCCTGCTAAGAAGCGGGCGACGGATAATATTGTGGCTGCTCCAGCGGAACAGGAGGTTACCAAGGGGAAGGACAACAACGCACGCATGTCGATATTTGAGAGACTGGGTTGGGATGATGATTTTGACGATATGGTCTAACACTAGTGCTCCTGCCCTTGCTTTGGCTTGGGGCGTAGGGATTTGAAAACGGCGAGAGGATTCGGGGCAGTGGTCCCAGAAGTAAATGTTGCAACGACTAATGATGGACATGACTGCATACTGCATGGGCGGGCGTTTATAGAACTGCATATATACCTTTTTTGCTGGCATTGCATAAGGGCAACAAGCATAGGGCGAGTAATGAATATGGGAGCATCTTTTGGGAATCCGGCAACGGCCCGTCGTCGGCGTTAAGTGAACAAGCCCCAACCTGCCTTCGAGTGGTCAGGCCGCAGTGATGATGGTAACCTAGGTTACAATCCTCTGCGCCATAGTCCGGCAGTATAATAGCCAGGAACTTGAGTGGATGTTGACGCACATAGCTTCCAGGCATCTCTTAGTCCCCCATAGAGAGGGAAAAGGGGGGTCGCAGACAACATAGGTCACCCACAACGAGGGGAGACCCACCCCAAACGTATCCCCGTTGCCTTCACAGATTCTTTCTTGAAACATGCCAATAACAGTGTGACTTGCTAACATATATATATAAATAGGTTTTTATCAAGTTTAATGAGTGGCAAATTGCAATCTATGGGACTTGCGGATGCTCAGGTGCTTACCGTACACAAAGGATCACCCATCGTTCCTCGGTTGCACAGGGTCGAAAGACGCCACATGCCAATCCCGCTTTCTTTGGGTATGCTTATAAATTTATACATTTGAATGTTTTAAAAAAGCGAGCCGGCCTGTTTTGCAAGCATACCTAGATCGAAAAGCTCTGAAACATGGATAAGAACTGTCTAAAGCCCAAAGATGTGATCGCGATTGGCTTCGCTAATACCAAGAAGACGTATTAGTAAGGGATGAAACAGATGCACTGGTCAAGGATCGAGTAGAAGTAACAGAGAAGGAATTACAGAACAGCTAGAAGAGGTACTAGCAAACAACTATAAAGGGAATCCGCAGAATAATTAGAAAAGGAGAAAATAGAACAACTGAAAAGGGACAAAGAGAGACAGCCCTTAGAGTTGAAATGGAACCTAGAGTATTATTTCCAACTGTCAATTTTGGAAGAACAAACCGATCAACGTATATCCACAAGTTTAGTTTCAGGTTAAAAAAATATAAACAAAAAGAAGGAAAACGGTTCATCCGGACAGATTGACTAACGCCTATTCAAAAGGCATCCCACATTCTTAGCAGGAAATTGATCGGGCAAGCTGTACCTGTGTTTGTCTCTGTCTGATGCCCCCCAACAACACGTGCTACGTAGATACGGTAGCCCACCTGGCCGTGGCCTACAAGCAGTAGTATAGTCATGAGGGCACGCCGCGGTTGTGGAATCTCATGAAATTCTTGAGGGGAAACAAGTTGTATACGTGCGAAGCTTTCGTCCTCGCAAATTCTACATAATGCCTTCCCTGCTATCGATTGAAAGATGCAAGACTATCCCTAGGCCGTGTTGCATTAGCCACCACAGCGGCCCACGTATGAAGGGTAACATGAGAATGGAAGGCCTAGTAAGTGATAAATCAGGATTTATGTCCGTTGGTTGTCGGAAAAGGGGTCGCGAACATGGCACAACCCTGCAAAGGTAAAAGCCACCTGCAGAACGCTACTCCGGGGAAGGGCACCGGGCCTAAAACGGTGCTTAACGAAGTAGGATACCATTCGTCATGCACAACATATCCGCGACAGTCAGCGCCCACCTTGGCTTGCAAGCTGTTGGTTGGCGCAGCCACGGAGCATCGCGCGTGGGATGGCGCCCGAGTACTTCGGAGATTTCGTGACAGTTAGTGCCAAAACTCCTACGGAGCCCTCAAACCGTTTCGAGCTCTAGTATTCGGCAACCAGCTGTAGGAATTTACCCGGTGTCAAGAACGACTGCCGTTAGACTATTGAGCAATACGATTGACGCAATTGGATTCTTGGCAGTAGACTTTTCACCATGGTCAATGTGAGGGAACATTAATGATTACGGCTGTCTTGCAGGTTAATAGTCATTCAAACATTAAGCATTATCGTTCGACACCGTCTGGCAAGTATGGGCAGCTATCTGGGCAGCGGATGACTGTAACTATATACATCAGGCCATGGCCCTGTGAGTCCCTTTACGATGCAGCATCTCCAAGCTATCAGACAGTATCATCAATGTTCACACAACTAGTTTCCAAACACAGTAAGTGCGTTCTGGATGAACCAGTTGATTCCCTCTGCCCTGTAATCATCGGTCTCTACGAAGCTGCCATTGTTCCGGACGGTGTAGACAACATTCTGACCGACACCGCCTCCGACTGAGGTATCGTATGCGGGCCATGCCGGACTGACCGTCTCACCGTTCGGGTTGAGACCGACGAAGAAGTTGATCCACGATGTAGACATGGTGAGCGCAAGATCCTTGTAAGCCTGTGTGGTGTTGGCGAACGGATTGGTCTCGTAGCCGTCGCCATTCAGGTTGTAGAAGACGAAAGCGACCTAATGTCTGTTGTCAGTGGCTGCCCTGAGGCGACTTACGGGGGGGTTTCTTACCTCTTGGAAATGAGTTGCTGATGCGAAGTCTACCCAGTGTTGTTAGTTATATGAGAAGGACGAGGACAATTGTAAATAGAGTCACATACCAGGAATGCCGTTTACGGTAACATCAAACCGATAGCTGTACGACGGCGCACCTGCTTGATCCCATGCGATATTTGATCTTCTCCGAGCATAGTGCATAGAGTGGTCGCCTGATACGGCGTTGATTCGTCGATATTGCAAACCTAGCTTTGTGGCCAAGTCCGAGCCATTGGTGATGACCTCGGGGAATGACTCCAACGAGGGGATTCCAACACTCTGGATGTTCGGGTACAAGTAAGAAACCTCATCAACAAGTTGATCCGCAGTCTTTCCTGACGTGGCTGCGACGTTGGTGCTGAACAGGTTGCGTATCGCATACTCCCAGTCGGCATCCGTGTTTACGGTGGAGCCATTCGGGCCTTGGCCCGATCCGAATGCGGCACCCTCGTCCGTGTTCTCCCCAATGATGATCGGCACTTGAACAAATTTGCCACTGTTCAGTTGATTGGTAGGGTAATCTGCGATAAAGTCGGAATCGAGAACGGGCGGCCATGGGCCAATGCCAGTGACGTTCAGAGCCTCATTGATCTCCTCGAAAGGAGCATCCCTAAGACACGTAATGGCCTCAGGGGTGCCTACAGTCGACGCGCAAGAGGTGTTCGTCACGAGGCTGTTGAATGCCTCTTGCTGGTAGTCGGTGGCATTCAGTCCTCCAGGGTATCGAGGAAGTACTCCTCCAAATCCAGACTGGGCGATCGCACCTCGGAAGAGACCATCATCACGGCCTAAAATGGTCAGCTGTTTTGCCAAAAACTTGTATTAACGCTGATTCCGAACTTACCATTATAAGCCAGGACCTGAGCACTGACGGACTCGGCACCAGAGCTCTCTCCGAAAATTGTAACCTTGTTAGGCGAGCCGCCGAAAGCGGCAATATTCTCGTTGACCCAGTGAAGAGCTAGACGTTGGTCGTGAAATCCTATGTTGGTAACACCTGCGTCGAGCGCCTCCTTTCCACCGAGGAACCCAAAGGCGGACAGCCTGTAGTTGAAACTCACGGCAACAATTGGAGTTCCCTGGTTCACACTGTTCTCGACGATGAAACTGAGGTTGTATCTCCTGTCGGCGGATCCACCCATGTACAGACCGCCGCCGTGAATCCAGACGGCTACAGGCAAGTCAGAAGTATCAGTGAGTCCTGCAGGCCTGATGACGTTCAGATACAGACAGTCTTCCGACAACTCGTATCCGATTTCGTCCCCACCATAACCAATGCAATGTAGAGGGTAGGCTGTTGCTTCCTTTGTGCCATCCCATGTTGTGTCCAGAGGCTGAGGTTGCGAGAAACGGACAGCTTTCTGGAAAGAGGGCAATTAGACTTTTTACTGTAATAGAAAACACGGTACATGGCGACTCAGGGGCTTACCTGAGCATAGGGAATCCCGAGGAAGTAGTCCTGGTCATACTCGTTGCTATGAATGCCAGAGTAAGTGCCATTTGTAACAGTGACCGTCGGTGCTGTAGCATAATCTCTCTCGGCCACTGGGACAGAGAGGACCGAGCTTATACACATGGACGAAGCCACAAGCAATGGGAGTAACACAACCATCTTGGCAGTAGCTAATAGCAGCACGAATGACCGGATGGACAAGGAGAGTGTGGTTGAACCAAAGCCTTCTGCTAGAGGCCCTCCTCGGGGGAGCTGCCCTTTATTATGAACATCTTCGGAGCCCATCCTGACGCGACCTCGTCATCGTCCAGGTCCGTTTCTGGAGGCCACGAGCCGCGGTACGCCTTGGCTCTCCGGCCGGCGAGGGAGCGGTCCTGGCCCTCGTGGCACCAGGATACAACTACAACACTACGGAGCCAGCAATGTATGCACAGCATTCGGGCCTTTCCAGGATATGAGCGGAGGAATTCTCCTCGGGCGTGGAGCAAAGCTTCATGTCTAGGCCCGAACGGTGCGGGGAAGACCACTTGCGACGAGACAGCACTGGTGATCTTGCCGTCTCTGCTCGCAAACTTGGCTGTAATTACCGCTTGGCTGGAGCATGAACGGGCTGGGGTACTTTTCCCCACAGCGAACTGGACAGGGGTTGAGCTCTTCATGACGTGACCTGTTTGTGGGGAAGCATGTCCAAGTTGCCCCAGAAGTCTGGTCGTCGGAACAAGAACACAAGATGGGCCACCGAGGTTTTGCCAGAGTTGCATCCTGGACTTGCCAAACTACCCTAGTCAAGAAAGAAATTCCAGAGTTGCTTTGGAAGTCAGATGACTCCATGAGTGGATGTAGTTGTCGCGGAAGCAGCCTCCGTGGCCGGCAGTGAGAGCTCTTATCTTCGGGAATAGTCCGTTACGTGTATTCATCGGGGCTCGTCCGGTTCCAGGCCGTACACAGCCCGAATACTGTATGGCCGTGGTCCTGGATCGAGGAATGCTTGTCGCCAGCTGGCGCTCAGTCGAAGCTGAGACGGCCGCTCCCTGGAAACAATCAGCTACTTTGTTTGGAATTCCAACAGCGTGGGGCCGCAATAAGCCTGAGCACGTATCAGCATTCTTGGGCTACCAGGCCGGAATGGGTTGTGATCAATCACAGCAAAGCTATATTGCATAAAGACCTTGGAATATCACAAACGCTCGTACCGCTCGACTTTCTCATCTCTTGATATATATATGATATATGAAACTGTGCTGTTTCCCGTGTCGTATCGCCCCAGTATGCTCAAATGGACCCGCCGACTTCCAAGACAATTAACTCCATGACGCGACAGATGCGCATTCACCCATCATGATATTTTCTGTATCATAATTATCCAGCCCGAAAAATATCCAGAGGCTCCAAGCGCCAATCATACAAATTTGTGGGGTATTCAGACACGTATTGAGAAGCAAAGACGCATCCTCGACAGGAGGAGCGCAGACATGGCAAATCACAGCAACTCCGGTTTCCGACCGCACATTTCCCATCCGTTGGGCATTATGCGTTCCGTTGTATGCTAGAGCCCACCACGCAATGGCCCTTCGCCATTACATTATCGAGGATTGCCGCGCGCTTTCCACGGACGTAGCCGTGGAAAGGGCGCGAGTCTGGGGAAAGCAAGATATATCGCTTTATGGAATGCAGACGCTGAAAGCAGATAATGTGCAAGATAACCAAGCGCCAGATATTGATACACTATTCGCTGAAGAGACGAGGCCGACGTTCTCAAGGAGTGGGGACAGATTCAGTGGAAAGAAGCGCCCGTTCCTAGGAGCAAGGGGCAGGGTCTCGACTGATTTCACCTCTCATGCACAACACTGGTGTTGTAGTCTTGAGGAGTGATGTTCTGTGTGAACTGAATCTGTCTGGAGCGAGGTTGACCAGGGGATGATTTCGACGATGTTATGGATTCATTCGTGTCCCAGTCATACTGTGTCCCTGAGGCAGCAAGGTTACTCGAGTCTTGTGCCGCTGCATTCATCATGTTGGGATAGAGTGGCGTTGACGGGAGGCTGTTGTCACTCATGTCGACATAACTCGGCACATGGCGAAGTGTCAGGTCGGGAAACTCGCTCTGGAAATATGGCGTGAGTAGTGGCTGATCAGGAGAAAAGTCGACACCGGTACCGAATTGGTGTGCGCTGAAGTTGTGCGCGCCGAGGTTGGTGATCAACGCAGGAGTCTCTGGGGGCGTCTTTAGCGACTCGATGCCTGAGAAACCATGCCCAAGAATAAAGGCTTCGTCATCGGAACAAGTGGATGAAACGGTTGGCTCGCGCCCTCCCTGATTCATGACTGCAGGTGTCATCGGGGTGGGAGGGGTGGTTCCCGAAAGTGCAGCGCTGAGTATCCCGACGGGAGAGCGGGAATGGAATTGCAAATAGGCCTCAGTGCTTCGGCCCAAGAACAGAGGAGAGCGCGGCCCATTGCTCTGTTTCTGAATGCGGCCGGCCATGTTCCCGCCTGCCGAAACGATTCTACGCATTGCAGTAGCAGGACTTGTTGGGTCGATTCGGCGCAGCCCGTCCATGCCCGTCTTGAGTCCGCCACCAAGGTTGTAGGACCGCCCTCTCAGTGAACCGACATGCAGCGCCGCGGGTCTGGCAATGTTGCGCCGCGATGCGATGTTGGCTGGAGGTGGGGGGGACTTGAATGAATCCGTCGGTGTGGAAAGACCATCAACAGTTGAAGACGCCATGGACTCTTCGGGCAAGCATGGGCTATTCGATCCAACTTGCCGCGCATTCTCCTTGCTATGGTGGTCTTCCAGGTTGTGCTCACCCAATGGCGACTCAGATTGGAAGTAGGGTATTGCTGAGCTTGAGTAGTCCGCTCCAGCCATCTGGTGATAGTGGGTAGCTGAGTAGTGAGGAGCTGCGGCCTGCTCCTCGGGAGATGGTAATCCGTGGGCCAAGTTGTTGACATCTCGGTGCTGACCGAGTTGTTCGGCCGAATGGTGGTGTTGGAATCCATACGAGTTGTAGTTGTGTATGGATGATGAAGTCAGGAAGCCCTGGGCCATCTGGGGTCGTGCGTAGCTCAGGTCATCTGGTTGAGAGAAGTTCAATGACAATGGCGATTGCAAGTCAACGGACTTATCATCCGGGGTTGAGTCGGCAGCTTGAGGCGGGTATCGCGAATCAAAAGCCTCTGCATCGCCCGCTGCATCCTCATCATATGCTACGCTACTGCCCAGGGAATGACCTGAGGTGGTCGGCAAGGTAAGATCAGGAAACAAGGCAGACGAAGGCTTTATCCGTTCGTGGTGATCATGATCAACCGACTCGGAGGCGCCTGAAGAAGCATCTAATGGCGAGCCGGGTTCAGAGCCAGGATTTTCAGCCGCTCTACGGGCCTCATACTCCTCTTGCTTCCTCTCTTGCTTCGCCTTCGCCCTCCTATTCTGAAACCAGTTCTGCAAAGCAGGTCAGTGACTGATTAGTGGAAAGGACTGGGGTAAAAGTCACATTGATCCTTGGCCGTTCAAGGCCCAGCTCGTCGGCAAGTTGAGCTTTGACCGAACTCGAGGGCTTGGGGTTATCTTGGAAGACCTTTTCTAATCGCTCCACTTCCTCCTTGGATAATCTAGGTTTGGATTCCGTTTTACCGTCGTTCAGAGAACCACGATCGGGAGGGTAGTCATTAGGTTGTTGTTGCTGTGACGCATACACGTATTGCAGTCCGGGAAAGCCGGTATAAACAGGGTATTGGCCTTCCGGATAATGCATGGCGGTCCCCTGTCCATGGGAGAAGTTGAAGACAGGGCCGAAATTCGACGAAGCGCAAAATTGCATATCCATTATGAAGTCGCTAGAAGAGTCGACTGCGCAAAAATCAAACTATGTCGGCGGCGGGTAGGAGTTGAATGCAATTGACAAATGGCGCCTGTAGTCTCGACACGGGTATTCGGATGGTTGGGCGCGCCCGAGCGAGTAGTGATCCTTGGTCGTATATACTTGGGGCTTATAGTATAGATAGTGTGCTGTAAAGAGCGACTGCAGGTCAGATGCCTAAGCAGAGTTCATCCGACGTGAACCTTGGGGCCGAAAAAAAATGAGCGTAGCGGCAAGACTGATACGGGTCATAGGAGAGTTGCGCGGCGACCGAGAGGATCAAGCTGGTATAAGAGGGAAGTGAGTGGCCAACTCGGCGGAGCTGTATCCAAGCCTGGGTGAGACAGACCTCACTTGGGTGACGGTGGCCCAAAGACTCAAAAGATCTCGAGTAGAGACAACTTGAGTCGGGATGTTTCAAAAACAACACACAGGAAGCGCAGGAGAGGACGAAAGGGAGAGGGGTGGGCGTGTAGAGAAGTACTAGTCGAAGGTAGCAGTGGGCCCCCGACGAGCGACTGCAGTGAGAGCAGTTGTGTGCGAGGGTCTGGTCTTTCTGGTCTCTGCTTGTCTGCGTTGTCGTCCCCCATCCCCCCCGGCCCCGTCCATCGCGAACCAGGGTAGGGTGCCCAGGTCTGGTCTGGTGTCTTGCCAGCCTGTGCTGTGCTGTGCTGTGCTGTGCGGCACCGCGGGTACCTCAGGTACCTCCACGGTACCTCCCAGGGCCAAGGGGAGATTGGGTGGGGCCAGAAGACAGTGTGCCCTGAGAGAAATTGGTCAAGGCGGGCGCTCCCCATCAACCCATTCAGCGTCGGTCCCTGCCAGCCAGCCAGCCAGCCAGGGCCCTCCCCCCCCCTCTTCCAAAGGTGTGCCAACCCTCGCGGAAGTCTAGGAAGAGGTGACACCATCCCTCCGGCGTGTGCGCTCAGGGCGAAAAGCGCCCGCGACGCCGCAACGATGCGGACTTTTCATCCTGAGCAGGGTCGGCCGCTTGAGCTGAGCCAGCGCGTGCTTGGCCCCAAGAGCTCTGGATTTGCGGCGGTCCGGGCGGCTCAGGCTCCAGGCTCAGGCTCAGATGCAGGCCCAGTGCTATGTGGACTTTCGACGTCAAGGTGCACGCTCTAAGCTCCCTGCGCTGCAATCGTCACCAGCCGATCTATGTACGGAGCAGTACCATGGCGATGATCCTGCGTCGGCCCACCTGAATAGAGATGCGATGGACATTGATTGTCAGTGATGCGCTGCCAATCGTTCAGGTCGGTGGCCCATGCTTCGGCCACGGTTGACGGCATGCAAGGCTTGCACAAGTCCCCGAAACCCGCGGAAGAAAAAAAAAGTGTTGGTCGCCAGCGCCCGAGCTCCCTTCCAGAGTGGATCTACGAGGGTGCCACGATGAACAGAAATGGGGGTCAGCCAGGCTAGTCAGGTTCAAGGCAGAAACAAAGGGCCCCATACTTCGCTCACCCATGCTCATCCGGCGCGCGTTCCTGTGGTAGACGAAATCGCCCCGAGCTGGGGTTTTGGGGGCTTTGCAGCTCGGGGGGCTGTTCACAAGGTTGAGTGTGCGCACCGAGCGATCTCAGCTTTCAACTCAGCCGTGCTTGTAAAAAGAAATATGCTGTCCCCCTTTGATCAGCCAAGCCAGGGCACGACTGAGGGAGAGGTAGGCTCTCTGTGATCCCTCGGTGCGTCATCCTTCTACATGGCAGAGAGGTGAGGACTGGAAAAAGTCCATGGTCTTGACTACAGGGAGCTCGGGGGAACTCATCACAGGTCTCACGTAGAATCGGACCTTGCTTCGCCCAGTCTACGTTAATGATGATCGTGACGCAAGATCAAACATCGATATACATCTCTCATCTCCCGGGCTTCTACAGGCGACCAGGCGCCAAGCTCCTTACCAAAGACAGTGCGTCAGTTCCAAGATCACAGTGTTCTTATTAAGCTTTGCTATAACTGTCTACCATGTAAGTTAAGTAATACGAATGACTGTACTAATAGAGTGATCTTCGTCTACTGTGGTAAGACGTCCTTGATTCGGCCCATCGACAGCTCCCGACAGCCTGGTTACAAGCACTGGTAGCTAAGTTATATAATAATGAGGAGAGAGGACTCCTGATGAACCATTCATCTGTGGAGGTTGCACAACGGAGTTGCACAATGATCTCAACCCCCTGAGACCTGATTTGGGGGGGTCGCTGTCCCGAAGTTACGGAGCGAAGGACGGGTTTCCCCTGAAAGCTGGCTGGTGAGGGCGCCCTTAGCGCGCGCCCTCGGCTGAGATGCTGTCACATCCCATCTTCTTAGCTAGTCTCGATGCTGCCATGCAGTTGCTTTTCTTCCCTTAGCAAGTTGTCAAAGCTGCATTTCATCACGGATTGAGCAATGCGTCTGCGACTGAATCCCGATTGGTAGTCGGCGCACTCAAGAGAGGTCCTCGTTCAGGCCAATGGTAGTGTTTTCAAAGCAGAGTTCTGCCGCGTAGAGCCTGCAGGTAGCCCATCGTCGTTTTCGTATAGCAGCACCCCGACATCCCGTCCAACGCGCAAGGCCCTGTCACAATACCCACACCTACGAGGTGTGCGACGCCTCTTCAGTGTCTCGCTTACCACTGCAACTTGATTCGCTTCTCGCGCCATTTCATATGGGGAGGGCCGGGAATGCAGCAACCATGCAGTGACGGATTGGCAAACGAGCAGGAGCTGCCCTGCCGCGCGCGTCGAAATGCGATTCTCGGCCCAATTTGATGAAGCTTCATGTTGAACAGCAACTCAGAGGCCCCCCTGCTACTAAGCTACGGTACTGTGTAGAGAGTCATGAACTTGAACTTCAGCTCCATGGTCCACCCACTATCTTAGCCCCACGGCCGCCGGCGACAAGGATAAAAGCACCTAGCATGCACCTCGAGATTGCTGCATCTCCCACCGGAACGGTCAACCCTAGTCCGAACTACATTCACATACAGCGACTACGTAGTCTCTTGCCCTGCACAGATTACTAGGTAGTATTTGGCATCCACTATGTTGGAATCACCTTGGCCAATCCATGTCCTCGAGGGCGGTAAGGGACGGACTGGCGATAAACACCACCGGCCGGAACATCTCCCGCCACTAAGTCAACTTGGGCCTGATGCTTCCGAGGGCTAAACCACCGATCCTCCAGCACGATGGCAACCCCGCGATGGTGGCCCTGTGGCCCTCTCTATACAACCCACGCGGTCAAATGTTGCGGATCTTCATGTGAGTAGGAAGAGCTCCAACCGAGCTGTACCCACGATTCGACGAAGGCTCTTACGACCACGGCAGGTTCGCTGGCTGCGAAGAGGGTGGTCATCTCAACGCCTCGCTGCTTTTTTGCCCGACTATCTACCTTTACTACGTTCGGGCCCGACGTGAAGACCAAGCACCTTCACCATAGCAAGGACAGACCAATGACAAAGTTCAACACACCCGGCTGACACAGGCGGCAGAACCTGAAAGGCACAAGTGCGTTGCCCATGTCGCCTCTCTACCTATGCCACACCAAACCCCTCTTCAGAGCCTGCAGGTATCAGCAGGACCGTTCAACCCTGGTTACTGATGCGTAAGCTGATGGACAAGCACGGATGTGAAGCCCATGCCGTAGAGTTACACCGCGTCGAACCAGGTGCATGGAATGCTGCTATTTCTGGCACTTTGCCCTTTCGCAAACCTGAACATTGTGGCGGTTGGTCAGACACCTGCCGAGGTAATTGGTGGACATGCCAAACCCCTGCCGCCAATCCGCAATCGTTGGCCAGTTCTCTCGAGGTTGCATCACAGATCCAGAAGAAACATGAAGCCGACACTCTCATGACCACAGTTGTGCGCCCGTGAGTGACCACCGTAGCCTGAACCGCAGGAGCTTGGAGGTTCGATGCCACCCATCCGCCGGTGACCTGCGATGAATCATGGCTCTACACACTACACCAATGGAAATGGATCGCTGATGTGCCGGTGAACGGGGAATCTTCCCTGTGTGGTCTACCCTTAGGGGATAGCGACGGAGGAACCGTGCCCCGCAAAACCCGCGCTGGTTCACCAAGTTGACCAAACACGGAACTTGCTTCCAGTTCCACTGCTATGGATCTGGTACTAGTCAATCTTGTATGCTGTAGCTCACTCCTATGGTATTAAGTTAATCTGGATATCTCGGGAGCTAATCGTTGTAGCATCTGCATCGAATCTATCTGGCCTACGACTGTCACGGTATGACGAGGTGGCAGAAGCTTCAAGCCTCTGGTTCTCCCGAGTACACCTCTGATCTCCTTAAGATGTGCAATATAGCCTTTGCGAAGCGGTACTTGGGTTGCAGCCAAGCCATTGCAGATTAGAGGGTTCCAGCGCTCTGGGGCCCCGCCATATCGACAGCTGACACATCATGAATAAGCCAGCGAGATAATGCCCACTTGCACACTTCATGAAGATGAATGCCAGGTGAAGCATTGCATTTGACCGAATGCCACTGTCGCCACAGCTGGAGTCCCTGGATAACGCTGGTGCCCAGATCTGCCATATTCGGATAACCTTCTTTCCGGGGAGTGGGTCCCCCTCGATGGCCGGCGTCGATCCGGCCAGAACGCCGACAGAACGTCCAGGTCTTCCAAGTCGACACGCGTCATCAGATGGACCGGGCTCTAGACAGGATATCGAAGCCGCGAAGATGGGTACGTGTCCAAATTTTGAAGAGCAGTATACAGCTGGACATGCCAAAGTCCACGCAGGCACTGTTGTGACAGGTCGATATTGACGCAGGGGCAAACACCCCATCGTCTAGCTTATACGTCAAACCAAACGTCCCTGGGGCTTACCGACAGGTCAGACAAACTGCACTCGGCAAATTAATCATAGGCTGGAACGCAGAGAGGTGCCTATCCAACTCGTTTGTATTTTAACGTTAGAGGAGAAGTTTGGTCAGGCGCTCACCTTGCACTCACCTCTGGCACGTTTCCGCGATTTTCTCTTCATCATTCTCCATATCGTGCTTCTTCAGGGGCGGAAATCAATAACTTGGAGCCCTTGGTCATAGTGAGCGCGATATCTACATAATTCAGGAGCCGGACAGCGTCCTGCAACTGCCGACTTTCTCCTCAAGCCCCCTACGGAAACACCTATGATCTAGCCCTGACCAACGGGGCGGTTCATGAGGAAGCTGTGGCACATTGGGAAGCGAACGCCGCGAAACCGTTTCCTCTTAGGGGCAGCGCACTTCTGCGGTCCACACACCCGCCATCCGTAGCGACGGGAAGGCCTCCTCGGATGGGACGTTTCTCGTGAGACGGCCAGGTGCAAGTCATCATTGGCTACCGTACGATTGCCGGGATATCGACTTGGTGGACCCGACAGACAGGAATCTTTGTTTTAGCGCAAAGTCTTTTCATATTAGCTCTCTCTATTAGTCCTCGCTTGACCCCTGTTGACGGCAGAGGCCGCGCAGAACCCTCCCCCGAGGCCTCAAGCCCAATGGCGAACCATGCCTCGTGGATTGGTCCCCATAGCCATCAGCTCTCGTGACCCCCCCAAAACCTAGAGAGCGGCAACGGCAAAAAAAATTGTTGAAGTGTGCATCGGAGTATTCCCTTGGCCGGCCGCTTTATGGAGATTGACTATCACGACTTCAGCAGGAGAGCCCCGGCAATCCTCTAAGCGATGCTAGAGAGTGTGCCACAAGCGTTGACTGAGATTCGGTGAGAAATGATCCTCCAACCCATGCTCCTATCTGCGGCTGCCTCGACTGTCCCGACTGCGCCGGAGGAATCGGTACGAGGTCGCGCGCACGCATTCCTGTAAGCCACAAGCAGGGCCGCTGGATGGTGTAGGACACTCCTGTAAGCACTGTGATTGTGCGACGTCCAATCCTTGAACGCGGCACAATGTTGGTTGATGACGGTCGAACCACGACGGTGTGTGCAACCCGTATCTCTGAGGCCCAGGCTGACAGACAGCCTTCTCGGCCGCTCTACCTGCCCTGCACCAGATGCAAGATGCCTGTGCAGCCACAACCCCCAAAGGGGAATATCAAGGAACAGGATATCGTCGTGGAGTGGACACCATAACTTCCTGCGAGCTATTTCGGGCCCCGCAGTTCTCGGGGCTGCGGCTTGCAGCATCTTCTTCAGAGAGTCTGCTGAGTGAACCTTAACAAGGGAGATATTGCATGGAGTGGCGTCCGAGCTCAGGAACCGTGCCATACAATACTACACTGGAGGCTACCAATGTCACCACGAGTCGGTAGTTGTGAACGCGCATATAACATCAGTACATGCTCCGTAGTAAGCCCCCAAAACTCCAAGTAAGCCTTGCGAGGAGCGCATCACAAATTGCTGAGCATTGCTGAGCGCTGCATCACGGCGGCCGTTGCGCTTCTCCACAAGCACCACTAGTCTGGTAAGCACCCGCAGGCTGAGGATGCATGTTCTCGATAGTTGATCGGGACGATGATAAGCATGCAACGGACTTTCTTCAGATCTCGTCGACGTCCGCGGTAACTAGTTACTGTACAGCACAGTACATGCTCTCCACGGAGAGCTCAAGCTTTGTTCACTGGCCTCAGGGGTAGACCATGGCCTGGTCCGAGCGGCCACGTGGGTTCGCGCCAGGTGACAGGACGTCCCCTGCGTCAAAAGCGGAATGGCTTGCCTCTGGAGCGAGGTACTGGCCAAGTACCTGTCTCTGGACCTGACGCCCCCAGTCGTCTCCTGCCGCCGCTGGCCAATCGCCATGCGCCCGTAGCGGCCAGCTCACGGCACAGTGCACACCCGGCGAGAAAAAGAGTCAACCCATCAGCCGTCGCTGGCGGGATGGCTGAAGGCCATGCCATCGCGCGCTGTCAAACCACCCTTGGTACGGTCGCATAGGCGGGTGCGGGACGCGATGTTACTGTCGCCCTCATCCTCACAGATCCGTGCATCGCTCTTGCGGGGGGACCAGATACGGGCGGTCGCCTGATCTCCAAGCCACCGTCGAAGGATTGCGCAGGTGCTGGCCGAAACGCCCGGATTGCTAGCAATCGGTCCCTTGAGCCGCATTGCTGCTTCAGCTATCTTGAAGGCATGCCATTCCTTCACTTTTCAGCAGACTAATATCTTACCCGGGTCTACCGCCGTGCCTCGTGGTTTCAAGTCCCGAGACCTGAGTCAATCGAGGTGTGCCTGAGGAGGGAAGGGCGCACACGGGCGGGCGAGCAGTGGGAGACAGACGCTCGAGTGGGCTGGTGCGTGCTGGTCCTGTTGCACCGACGTTGTATTCAGACCGGCAACTTTCTTGGCCTTGAGAATGCCGATCTGGCACTGGGTGAATAATAAGCTCATTGCCGGAGCTCGAGCGCATCTCAGGTCAGTCTCACTTGCCGGCCGCACGGGGAGTCTGACGGTCTCGCACCGCCATCCACTGGTATCACTCTAGGCTCAACGCTCTCCTAACGTAGCCAGCTTGCAAGCCAGTCGGCCCAGTGTGGTTCGGTCGCTCGACGGCCACGGTTGGATTCTACATGCCTCGAGCTACGATCCCAGTTTTCCGGAGCGGTTCCTGCAGTAGAGTCAGACTGTCTTTCCCCCAAGGGCTGCCGGCCTGAAAGCTTTTCCTTGACGGCTTGGGTCGACACGCCACCAGCTCCACGTTCATTTGCACGACCCTTCGATGCCGCATCGAAGGGTGTAGCTTTAGGTGTGCTTTAGGTGTGCTGAAGGACGCCGGCGCATCTGCGGAATTACCATTACTCCTATCTACCGTGCCTGTGTTGCCCTTGTCTCATACCGTATATGACATTTCTAGACTGGTTCATGGAAAGGGCAAAGGAACCCCCACCCCTCAGCATCGTCGATGATGTCGTCCCTACGCTACTTGGGATCAGGCTGATCGCTGCCTCATCGGCCAAAGTGGAGGGCATGTCAGGTTGTGACTTGTCACGTAACCACATCGGGCCCCTGTGCAGCAGTTGGTTACTCAAGTCGGCGACCTCACCAGCCCATAAGATCTCCAGCAGCTGTGGCATCAGCCCATCTGCACCCATCCGTCAGCTTGATCGTCGTGTTCCACATGCAAGTCGTTGTCTCTGCGGTGAGGCAGAGAAACGCTTGTCTTGGCAGTCGAGATGGCTGGCTGGCTGCCCATGTGTCGGGGGTACCAGCCTTCACAATTCGGGTCCTTGCAGCAAACTGTAACGACAGCCATGAAACCTTAGTTATAGTAATCTTTCGACCCGGCACAACGCCTGGTTTTGTTCAACGTCGGCGCATTGCACAAGGTCTTGACTTGCACCAGGTGAGCCATGACCATGGCCCCGGGTCCTCTTTAGGCAGAGATATGTTTCTTATTCCTTGGTGAACACTACCTTACGAACCAGCAACACGCGTGCGTGCTATGAAGTGGACTGCAACTACGCGTCATCTACCTCTCCATCGGCGTCCAGCAAAGCCAGACACGTGAATTTTGGTTGTTGGCTAGCCTTGCTCATTATGGAGTTATTCTGTCCCAGCCAGGATCCTCGTATAATAGGCACTGTGCTCAGCAACATGGCTCTCCGCCTTTGCTTTTTCCTGTATCTGAGTTCTGATGAGCACAGACCGAGAAGGGAAGGTAACTTGGCGTAGCAAGAATCACTTTCCGCCCTCTGAGGGATCAGTTCCCACAGCTCACGTCACCGGCACTTGAACGGCCTAAGCGGCATGTCGCGGTGATCACCATCGATCAGAAAGAATACCGCACCCGGCATTCTTGAGCTTGACTGGCAATTGGACCCTGTCAACCAAGGATGTGTGCAGATTGGGGACATCGTCTTGCTCAGATCTGGGTTCGGATCGACAGCGCTAGAACGGACCGGCTGCTCGTCGTCCCCTCACCCCCGGCAACCGTGCCCCCGGTCAGAAAGTTCCGTACCTTTGAGCAAACCCAAGCGGCAGAGCCTTAGTGTCCAACGTTTGGTGAAGGATGTGCTCCCAGGTTTGACAAAGTCCTTGCCTGTCAAGATCGTGGGTGTTGAGTGATCATATTCTCCACGATGCAGGGTACCGGCCCCCGCCGCAATCTACCGAGCCTGCAGATATAAGCTCGTGTGGCTTGTGTTCTCTGGGCAAAGCTAATAGTTCTGGTGATCGCAATGATGACATGCACCGGGGTTTGCAAGACAGACAAGGTAGGCAAGAGTGTTATACTATGGTAGGCTCTTTTCGACGGCGGGAGACTGGGATTCTCAATGATTACCATTCACTCGGGACGGCCAATTGGAGCTTTTCCATGCCTTCCCGTCCTGGCTCTATCTGAGTCTATTTGGTGTTTAATCTCACGCCGGTTGGTGACGGTTCCGTTGATTTGCAGCTCAGTTATTCCCGACTACTTTCGTGGCCAGCACGACCACAAGGCCAAGCCATGTTGCATAGAGGGAACCCTATCTCATGACATGATGTTATACGCACATTGTCATGATGGGCGTGACCCACTAAGCCTCTTCTCCCTTAGAAGAGAGGGCAGGAGGAGTCTGGGAGTCCCACGAGCCATCACGCGGTCGTTGATCACTGCTCAGTTCGCCGTTCGTACCAGGGCATCAGAGATTTGTAACGTCACGACCCCATCCTTACACTCGACCATCTTGACAGAACGCAGATCCTTCACTATCCAGTCCGGCTCCGCGGCTACGACCTGCTGCATCGTGTGGCTCGTGACCAGCCCTATGACCTTGCACCCGGCCGCCTTGCCGGACTGGATGCCAGCGGGGCTGTCCTCGAAGACGAGCACGTCAGCATCGCTGCTGAGCTTAAGCTTCGAGCGGCCCAGCTGGTAGCACGCCGGGTCGGGTTTGCCGTTCTCCACGGACTCGGCAGTTACGAGGTGCTCGGGGTGAGGCAGCTTCAGCACGTCCAGCCAGCCGGTGACCAGGGGAGTTGTGCCCGACGTCACGATGGCCCAGGGAGCGGCGGCGGGGATCAGGGCGTCGAGGAGAGCCCGTGCCCCGGGGATCTCAACTGCATCGTCGCCGTGGAGTTTGGGCAATAGGCCCTCCATTTGACATACATCTACCTCTTGTCAGTCCATCAAAGCTGGGGTTGTCGGGGAGCGTTCCCCTTGAATATATGGAGCGAGCCCTGATGAGTGTGTTCTTGACCTACATTCCCAATTTGCCTTCTCCGGATGCAGAATCTTCAGGATGTCAATGCTCCTTCGTCCATGCGAGGTCTGCAGGATAACTTCAGGGTCTACGCCAATCTCCTCTCCGACGCTGGGTAGTGTTCAGTTTTTGGTTGCGGTAAAATTGACACGGCGTCTCATTCTTGCGACTTCGTAACTCACGTATGCCAGTGCTTCTCTACTGCTGCTGTCGAGTCGATTATGGTGCCGTCCATGTCAAACAGGAGGCCTTTGAAGGAGACCGTCTCCGGAGGTGCTGTGTACTCCATGCTTGGACGTGGCTTGGCGCAGAGGTCACAAGAATGGACAAGACAGCGTATAGGCGAATGGGGTAGCGTTAAGGGCGGGCTGACTGCAGCAGTTGGAGGGCAGAAGTTGGATTTTTAATGGCCAGTAGTAGAGAGTGGTCGGGCAAGGTTTAAGAGCAGGTGGTTGTGTTTATGTTGCGGTGGTGAGAGTGATTCGCTCTGCCCTCAGGGTGCTGTCATGTCAGACTTGAAGAGCCGCAACGTTGACATCGCGCTGGGCATCGTCCAAGAAAAGCAACCGTCGCCCTGTCGGAGCGCATCCGATTCAGGAAGTTCCGCCCTCGACGGAGTCAAATGCCATAGCAGTCGGTTTCTGGCGAACCATTTAGCAGACTTGCGGCCAGACTCCACGGCCCCGTAGGCGGGCTGCCAATGAGTAGTTAGGCGCTGGACGACGGGTCTAAGTTCACGGGAGGCACAGCACACGAGCACTAAAGCAACAGACCAGCGGTAGACCCTGATAGGCGGGGGGGCCGGCATGGCAGTGTCGCATTCTGGTCGAGGTCGGCAGTCCCAGCGGCGCTGCCGTCGATTACCTACATAGACGTACATACTAGCCCCAAAAATAAAACTTTGCAACGACGACAGAACGACAGGGCCGTCTGCGTTGCAGCACAGGGACGCGGCGATTGGTCTGTCTGCGACGGATTACCAGGTCGAGTTTGGCCACCTGTGCTGCCCGATGGAGGGGTGGCCCCGAACGCCTCGAGGTCGTCGGTTGCCGACCCCACCACCACGACCCGACGCCTAGGCCCGCAGTTCTCGCTGGCCCCCGGCCGCTGGCATGGGCGGATGGGCGGGTGGGCAGGAATCGGGCCCCAAAAGTGGTGGACGCTTATCGATAACAAAAAATTCGGTGGCCGCCTTTCCATTCTGCGGGCGTCTATCTAATCGGCCCTCCAAAATTTCTTGGGAGGAGCAACAGCAACAGCAACAGCCGCCGCCACCGACTGTAACTGTACCGTGCTCGCCATACTGACAAACACGGCAAAATGGCTGGAAGCATCACCAAACCCAAGAGTACGCCCGTCGCTCCCCCATTGACCCTCCAGGCCGTTTATGCTGACCCCGCCCCTCTGCAGAGCCCAAGTCCAAGAGGACCCCCGTCCGCTTACGGCACAAGATCGAGAAGGCCTCCGCCGCGAAGCAGCGCAAGGCCAGAAAGGAGGCCAAGAAGAACCCGCAATGGCGCTCCAAGTTAAAGAAGGACCCCGGCATCCCCAACCTCTTCCCCTACAAGGAGAAGATCCTGCAAGAGATTGAGGAGGGCCGCCGGAGGAAGCAGGAGGAGATCCAGAAGCGCCGCGAGATGGCCAAAGCCGCCAAGACGGGAGCGAACGCCGAGGGCGAGGACGAGGACGAAGTCGACATGGACGGCGCCGATGGCGAGGGCTTCGAGGGCTTCGCCGAAGACGACGACATGATGGACGATGACGAGGCCGGCGACGACTCCAACCCCATGGCCGCACTCATCGCCAGCGCGAGGAGAGCTGCCGAGAAGTACGACCGCCAACTGCAGAGCGGCAGCGAGATGGACGATGACGAGGACTCGTCGGACGAAGACGATGAGTTCGCCGCTGGCACTGGCGAGGCAGTCGGCCCGGCCACATCGCGGAAAGCATTCGACAAGGTCTTTAAGCAGGTCATCGAGCAGGCCGACGTTGTCCTCTACGTCTTGGATGCGCGCGACCCGGAGGGTACACGGTCCAGAGAGGTGGAGCGCCAGATCATGGCTGCTGCCAGCGGTGGGAAGCGGTTGATGTTGGTCCTGAACAAGATCGACTTGATCCCCCCTCCCGTTCTCAAGGAGTGGCTCACATACCTGCGGCGATACTTCCCTACACTCCCGCTGCGCGCATCTGGCTCGGCGCCGAATGCGCAGACCTTCAATCACCGTGACCTTACCGTGCAGAGCACTTCGGCGACACTTTTCAAGTCGCTCAAGTCCTTCGCTGCATCGAAACAGCTCAAGCGCGCGGTGTCAGTTGGTGTCATTGGTTACCCCAACGTTGGAAAGTCATCTGTTATCAACGCATTGCTTTCTCGTCTGGGTGGCAAGAGCACCGCGTGCCCGGCCGGAGCTGAGGCCGGTGTCACCACCAGCATCCGGTCCGTCAAGATCGACAGCAAGCTGACCCTGCTTGACTCGCCCGGTATTGTCTTCCCTTCGGCCAAGGACGGAGAGTCTGCCGCGAAGAAGAAGAAGGACCCCATTGAGGCCCACGCCAGTCTGGTTCTCCTCAACGCGGTGCCGCCCAAGGAGATTGAAGACCCCATGCCTGCAGTCAGCCTACTGCTGAAGAGGCTAGGGACAACACCCGACCTTCTCCAGAAGCTTTTGGATGTCTACGACTTGCCACCTCTTTTGAGCACTGATGGCGATACCACGACAGACTTCTTGGTCCAGGTGGCGCGCAAGCGAGGCAGACTTAACCGTGGCGGTATCCCCAACCTCACCTCCGCCGCCATGACCGTCGTCACGGACTGGCGAGATGGCCGCATCCAGGGCTGGGTGAATGCTCCCGTCCTGGCCGTCACCACCGACGCCTCTGCCAAGGCTCCGGAGACCGCCTCATCGGATTCCGTGCCCATGGCCGATCATAAGCAGATTGTGACGGAGTGGGCGAAGGAGTTCAAGCTGGATGGCTTGTGGGGTGACGATGAGGAGTCGAAGAGTGCAGACGCGATGGAGCAGTAAACTTAGATATATCCTTACAAGGCAAGCTTAGACAAGCCCATGGCGTTTAGGAGTCGTCCAAAGGGACTTGATAATCATAGGGCTCTTTTCGACAGTTTGATGATGAATGTGCTATCCTTGTGTGATGTTATGAAACCTGGTATGACGGATCGACACCTGCATAGAGCATGATGCAGAAATGACTCTGATGAAGTTAGCAGCGGCTCCATTTCCCAGCAGATATGGCCACAACAACGTCAGTAGATCTGGCATCATGTCTACTCTGACCCCGTCTTGCTCGCCTCCACCGTATTGCTCTGACATGCACCACCAATCTTGATCTTCGAGGATGCAGTCAAGCTGCTTTGCTTCGTATACGCGTCTGACTATACCGACCTTAGTCGGTGGCAGCTTGCCAGCACCGTAGCTCTCAAGCTTCCCATCGCAGAACCTTCCATGAACTACTCGAAAATATCGTTTCTGTTATATGAGCTGAATCACCTCCTTCTTGAGGCTAAGGTGGATGGGATTATGGAGGGTTCAAGGGAACTGAAACGCACTCCACCCTGATATGCCGCCGGCTTTGAATTCTCCAGACTGCCGACTTATGCAAGAATGGACGATACTGGTATAGGGGACTATGCTGCTTCCGGAGACTCTACGACATATGGCGCCTAGAACGTCGACAAGCTTCATCAACGCATACGAGAATTATAGGATGATCCAATGAAGGAGGTGACTAGGTAAGCGAACATAAAGAGATCGGCTGCAGTCGACGTTCTAGTCTTACATTCATCAAGTCTGATGTTGCGCCATCCTCGAACAGGCTTTTATATGGCAGCTTGGAACTTCGATATGAAACTATAGATGATGTTGTGTACTTAAAGAAACGGTCCTAGACGCCAGCAGATAAGAATGTTACGAAGGGCACATTCTGATCTAGGATCCCGATAGAGGTTTTGAGCGGTTGAAAAAAAGAATAGAAATTTGCATTCACGGCATGGAAATATTATTCGACGAAGACCAGAATGGCGCTATTCGGGAATCCGCTAGGCAGTATAGTTCGATCCTGTCCAAGGAAATGATCTTAGTTGGGAGAGGGCTTTCTTCTTCTTCTTTTTATGTTCCCTGGCATTTGGACTTTGAGAATGAGTCCTGCGGTATGCAGAACGACCATCGAATCGAATCTCCGTTCACATGTTGGTCTAATTGCCCAAAATAAAATATATTGTACTGCCTAATAACTAGGGGGGAAAAGCAAGTTTCGTCCACATGTATTACCTAGATTGACACGAACTTTGGGCCTCTCTTGGACCACGTCGATGATGTTTCTTCGACATGGAAAGGTTTTTAAGTTACTCATGGGGTATTTCATTTGTGGTGGGGATCACAAATACCAAGGAAGTAGAAGCGTGGATGACAGGCGTTTGGTGGCGACGATGCTTTAGGAATTTGATATCATTACGTTGTCCTAGAGCTATAATGGCATTGGAAAACCCTGTCTAGGAGTGGTGGACAATCCACCTAAATCTCGTGCCAAAATACCCCAACGAATACTTTTGACGTGAAAATGATGTTCCATTGTACGGTCGTTGGACTTGGCAACTCTGTTAGTCCATCACTTGTATGATATACAACCAAAACCGAACTACGCCGCCATAAACCACAGCCAAAAAGCATGTAGAAAATGCAACAAAGGACAAGGGGGAAGGGTTCTCCCATCAAGCGCTCAGTAGGTCTCGAACGCTCATCCCTCTTCCGGCACCACTACCACTGGTCCCCCTCCGGTCATTATTCAACATGAGAAGGGCGGCCGTGGCTTCTTGATCCAAGTCTCGCTGCGGAGGTAGTGCAGGACTTGTCAGAGCCGAGTTGGACGCTGATGGCGGGCCTCTGGCGTAGCCGTAAGTCTGTGGGCCAAAGGCCGGCGAAGCTGCCGAGGAGTAGCTATAGTGACGATGATGATCCGTCGATACGGAGGAATAAGAGTCATGCCTCCGACGGACGTCTTCAGCCAACAGCGCAGGGGATTCTGATGGTCGCTGAGAACGAGAGGTAGCTTCAGTATGTGTAGGGGATGCAGCCTCCGACCCTGTCATCTCAACATCCCCAGATCCATCCTCCACCTGGTATTGCGGCGTCTCAAACGTATCGCGACCTACGGAGGGCGGGAGGACAAAATCGGTGGGGGTTGGCGCAGATGATTGAGAATTGTGTTGTGACTTCAATTGGGCCACGCAGTCTTCGAGGTATCGTACGTATTCTATGGAGGCCTAGAGTGGGAGCCACATGTTAGTCTCCGTGAAGAAAGGCCCGACGAGTGTCTTGCATGCAACTTACCTGGAGAATGGCTAGCTTATGCATTTCCCCGTCGCAAGCCGGAATGAGTCCCTTTAGCACAGCGAACTCCTCGTTCATCTTAGATCTTCGGCGTCGCTCGATGAGACTATGGGCTGTTTTCCTGGCAATCTTCCTTCCCGCGGCGCTTGTGGAAGAGGGCTGTTTCTTCTTTGACGACGAGGTTGCTGTAGTCTTAGTTGCTCCCGCGGACGGTTTGGCTGGGCTGGAAGGTTCTTCAGGCTCCTCTTGCGGACGAGGCTTCATCTGTATGATCTTGCGTGATCTCGTAGGGGGCGGCGGCAAAGCAAACGACTCCTTCTGTGCTGTCGATGAACGCCTTCTCGACTTGACCGCTTCACTAGGTTGTACGGGATAAGATGACTTGGGCGAAGGGGTTTGTCCACCCGTTGTCGACTTTGAAGCCTTAGTTCCCGTGCCGGAAGTCCCTGAAGAGCCGTTGGCACCAATAGCCGAGGGGGGCAGTTCAAAGGCCAACTGCAGTGTAGATAGCTGATGTGTTCCATCCTGACTCTTCATCTCAGTAGAAGAGACTGGTGTAGGAGGCATCGTCGGTCGTGGCATCTCGATTGCGTGTGTAGTAAAACCAGTGTAAGTCGACACGTACAGAGTCGTGAGTCTGGTAAAAGCCCGAGACTCGTGACGAAGAATCACAGTGATCCGAAGCCTCGTATACGGCCTCAACGAGCAGATTGACTTCGATGTGGTCCGAGACTTGCACAAGGATATAGCTCGAGACGAGTGATGCACGGAGTACAGACGGGGCAGCACAGCGATGAAACGGTGAGACTCAAGATGTCACCGCACTCGACGGAGCTCTTATGACGAGGAATTTTCGAAAGAATCGTGGATGGGGAAAGTCACGAAGATCTAGGGAAACATTGTTCGAGAGGATTGACTGCTGATGGCAGTCGAGGGGACCTGACTCTCGAGGAAAGATGCGACACGCCACTAAATGTGCTCTAGGTGCTCTACGAAGTGCGACGGCGACCCTTGTCGCGGGGCGCATCTCGCAATGGGTGTGAGCTCCATCCAGTTCCCTTTCACTCGAATGAGCACGCGACAGAATCGATGTCTGGTATTGGCTCTCGAGCAGGCAGCCAATGAGGTTGGAGGTTGGAGCCAATTGAGGCAGCGAGATCAAGCACGTGGGATGGCTCTTGGAGGCACGGAGCCACGCTTGGCAGTCTTGGGCCCCTGCTCAGTTTGCAACGGGCTGAAGAACCGCGCTCCCATGTCCCATGCGAGGCGATAACCGTCTCCTCGTCCCATTGAAAAACGCCATGATCGGCGCCAGCGACGAGTCAGGGCCTGGATGAGCTTGCCGGCTCCATGCGTTGCCTACCACGGCTTTTGATTGGATGTCCAGTCCTGTCATGATCTGGCGACGAAATGAGGTTGCAGGTCAGAATCAAGAACCTCCAAGAGGAGCACGTGCCTGGTCTCCCGAAACGTTCATTGGACAATCTGGAACGCCCATTAGCGGCTCCGTGGATTCTCCGCCGCCCAACCTTATATCAACCACACACAAGCCCAGCACTGTCCTGGGAACACCTCCACGACATTGAATACCAAGGTACTCATCAACTAGGTGTAGTTTGAGGGCTGGTCCGAGACCACTGCACTGGATAAACATCGCGAATGCCATGATGCGGGGCTAGTCGCGGATTTCTGCAAATCCATCTGCAAAAATGACGACTGACACGAACGCTGTGCGAGTCCAGTGTGACTGACCTCTTTCGGTACGGTAGGTTATTTTGAAAGCAGGCCGGGCATTTCTGTACTTGATCGTCAAGAGTAGTGGCTTCTGTTATCTGCAATCTGTTCTGCAACGTCGCGTTGAAAAATACGGAGACCCGAGAGGCGTCTGTTAGGCCTTCATGCAGATAGCGCGCGAGATAATCTAGTATACGACTCGAGAAATATTCTGAGGACGTATACATCAACCTATGATAGTACAAGAGTTATCCGCACCTTGACGATACATTTGGCAAGCCCTCTAAACTCAGGGATCTCGACTCGACTCGGCGTCGTCTCCCACACATGGCATTTGGTGTTCGCAGGGTACGCAGCAAGATATACCGCTGCACTATTGCAACTTTCCATTGCTAGACAATTGAATATCACACGAGGTGCTGAGTAATATATTTGCTAGCCATGCAAGGCCCCTAACCGGTTTCAATGTTTGACTTAGTGGTCTGAATACTCGGCTCCACCCAAAGTGACACGATCGCTCTGAGCTTATATGAGAGCTAAGCCACTGCTGTTCGGCTCAAAAGTCGATTGGATATGGAGTAAGACGCCTTGGAGAGGATGTGCACGGCAATTGTTGCAAGACAGAAGAAAGGCTCTGAATGTATGTCCACGAGGCTGATTGCAGCTTACTTTGGGCAATGTGACTTCCACCCTAATAGATATGGTTGGACACTTTTGAAAGGGGATCATAACTACTGGAATATTGCTAGATAGAGATCAAGATGCTTGATGTAACGGATGCTCGAGGTTCAGATATAAGTGCTGTGCTGCCTTCTGATAGCACAAGAAAGCCAGTACCACAGGAGATGCCAGAGGGGCAGCATCTAATCTTGAAGGAATAGAACCGAACGAGTGGAAACTCATATTACTAGACTAGGAAGTGTGAAGAGACCACAAGCTGAAGTCCAAAGTGATAGAAGTTTCAAGCTGAAATGAAGACACCAAGATTTTGAACGTGAGGCCTGCACCTAAGTGAATTGCCCCTAGTCGTCATCGCAATGAGGAAAGTATCTGCAAAAGAATATCCTTTTTAATGAAGAAACAGGAATTCAAAATGTTAGATAACCAAGCCCATGAATGCCCGTTGCCTCCGTGGCAGCGCGCCGTGGCCCTGCCGGCCCTTCAAATGGAATAACCTCACCAGCCCTCAACAACAACACAGCCTGGGTGCAGTTACTCAATGGCCGCAGTTAACAGTAGAGCACAGAAATTTAAATCAACGACAACGGCGACAGCCAGGACACCCGGGGTTCTAACCCGGCTACGACCACCGACAAACCGCCGCTCACGACAAAACCAGCGCCTGCACTGGCCTGACGACAACATCTCGACGACGATATCCCGATCAAAATATTCCGACGACAAACTCGACGACAACAGGTGCTGGCTTCCCTCGACGCCTACCTCGGTAGCCAGCCCGTGACCTAGCGTTTGCTGTGGTCATCTGGTTTGGATTTGAACCGTGGGGCACTGCCCATCAATCCGCGCAGAACAAGCCAGTACTTACAATGTGGTGGGAGACGACGCATGGTGGTAATGGGGAGGAAGAGGAGGAGCAGGAGGAGGTAAAGTTGGGGAACGGATAGATGAGTGAGTAGGCCCCAGCCTCCCCCCTCAGTATCATGCTGTGTTGAGTTCTTTTTTTGCTCCTGGACTTCACCACCCATGACTTCAATCATCGTGATACCTTCCAATCCCTTTTTGCGCAATATTAAGCGGGCTCTTATTATTTTCTGGTGAGTATTCAAGATATTGTGATCTTATCTAGGGTGTATGCGATCAGACATCTAAATACATGCTACCGGGATGTAACCTCTGTATGTCACACCATAATAACCAATAGTACAAGTATGATGCGACTACTCATTCAGTTCATCCTTCCCGAGAAGCGCCAACCTCCCACCACAAGAGCAGTTCCTCTGCTGGCTTAGCACAAACTTCAACTCCGGTTTCATGGTAGCTTCGTCCTCCATAACGCTAGCACACCTAACGCATCTCCGCCAGGGCACCACCATATCCTCGCCGGCAGCACCCGTAGTCTTCTTCTTCGGGGTGATCTCGACGCGCTTGAACAAGTCGACCCGCACGCCCCTCTGCTTTCTGGATGTGAGCAGCTTCGGGTCGTCATCCACCTCGAGGATATCGTAGTTGGCGAAGAAGAGCGAGGCCGGGTCGCATTGAGCTCTGAAGGCTGTCAAATCGTTTGTGAAGAACCTGTGTATCACCTGTGCCAGAGTCGAAGGTGGACTGCCGGCCAGCAGCATGGTAAGCTCGCAGTGCGACTGTGCGCGTTTGACGGCCTCTTCAGCGATGTTCTTCGGTGCATTGGGGTTTTTCTTTACCGCCTCCGCGGCAGCGCGCTTTCCCAGCTCGCCAAATGACTCGGTATATTGCTGACGAATACTTTTGCTTAGAGAGCCGAGCAACTGCTCGAAGTCGTTGACATTGACAAGAGCACTGCTGGTATATCCCAACATTTTCCTATACGCCTGGTGCAATGCCAAGGATGACCCTGATGGGCGCGAATTAGGATCACTGGATAGATTTCGGGCCTCGTAATAGGATATGGCTCTCTGTGACACGTGATGCAGGTGAGCCATCCTGCGGCATACAGCAGAGAGTAAACCGCGTATAGGAGAGGACAACACCATGTGCAATGATATGTCATTCTTGCTGTGCAGATATGGATTCATGTTTGCATATTGCGATGGCTGCTTCAAAAGATCTTGGAACTTTTGATCATCTAACAGGCAGAACAGGGAGTCGGTGATCCAGCAGAGCAAGTCTATAGACCATTTGCAACAGGTGGCCAACGCATCAACGACCTCTAATTATGCAGTTAGAGCTTGGGAGTAAGTAAGGCGGGGGCAACTGCTGTTTGGATTTCATACCTGGCTCATCAAGGGGAGTACTTTCCTTCATATGACCGTTGCTGGCAATAGTGATCAAAATGACGATGTTCCGTAGGTTGAGAGCGAACATAGCCATCTTGCCGCTGAAAGCACGAGGCTGGAAATTCCCATTCCATCCGAAATGGCTTAGTGTGCTAAAACACATCTGGAGCAGCTGGTTTCGGACTAGAGCATCGTGGTGTGCCTCCTCCGAGTAATCAACCGCAATGCGCATCATTCTGACTATCTCGGTGACCCAATCCTGGGCAAATCCTAACGATCGTTGAGCATTTGTAGAGAAGCGTAGAAGGGTCTATCATGGACGTACGCTCTTTGCCAATGAATTGTCTTGCAGTCGCAAGGATATCATCAACATTACTCTGAGTGGCAGCTAATTGGGCCGTCGACATGGTCAATGCAGCTATCACACCGCGGTACTGAGCTGTGAGAGGATTAGGGAGAAGCCTGAGTGCGCAAGTTCAGCGTATAACATACCGTCGTCCATGGAAGCCGGGTCAGACAGGGTGTAGTTGACTCCATGCCACTTGATTTTCCCATCCTCGCACATTTGAACAAGTGAGAAGAGTGTGGGCGACACAGCGGTCTGTAAGCCTGCGGACGCTCAGTTTACAGATTATTGCACAAGGGGGGACATGTTCTTACATGATGGTTCTCCGCTGTGCGTGAAACCAGCTTCATGAACCGAGTTGATGCGGTCGAGTTTAGGGGCAGTCCAAACCTCGTTCATCGTGATGCGGTCCCGATATTCCACAGTCCCGTCGCTGTATGAGAAGCAGACGACCGTGCCCATCCGCACCACAGTGATTCCGATGATGATTTTGTTGACAATGATTGGATCCAGCCTTTTTAATCTCTGAGTGACCTAATAATACGGTGTCAGGAGGTGCACATCCTCAATGGAAAACCTCTGGAAACTTACCGATGGCGAGGAGCCAGTGCTATTCCTCCTGGATCCTAGGTTTTCAAATGCATGATGCATTGTCTGGTCCTGGTTTAAGATAACCTCCCATGTATCGATAACACTCTGCGTTTCCTGGTTGTAAGGAGTATCGGGGGTTGGCACAAACGACCGTACTGTCACCACCAGGGGTGGGTGCCAGGTTCTTGATGCTGAATCGAATGTAGTTGGTATGAACTCGAGGAGCGAGAGTCGAGTCATGGCTGCATCCAGATGGGATTCACTTGGACCTCCAGGAAGCCAAGTGGATATGGCAACAGGCCTTCCCATCAGGGACGGGTTGAGTGATTGGTTCTGAGGAAGACCTCCTTTCATGTTCTCCTGTGATGGCATTCCCCAATTCAGAACGACCTGAACAACTTGCAGTTGTTTCGAAGACGTGGCCATAGCCACTAACATGCATTTTGCTAATCTTCCGCTTAGCCAAGGGGGTCGACAGAACAGGTCATAGACACCTACCTCTCGTATCTGAGACCATTGCTGCGTGTGTAATTAGGTCGTCTGATGAGGTGACGCTCTCCAATTCCAAGGAAGACTCCTCGATCTTGCTCGTTATATTCTGGGCCCAAAACATCTTCAACAGGCCAACCGTGGTGATACAGAAGAATGCAGATTTAGCAGGGTTTGGGTGGTAGGGTGGATGACTGACAACGATGGAGTGCTCGTAGTTGTAGTTGTTGCCTTCTTTGACAGCCGGTGCGTGTAGATGATTGGCCTGATGGCTGGTCAGACATGGATTCATGGTTGGGGCAATACTGGGACACTATACCTGTCCCCTGTGCGCGGGATAAGAAGGCAGCCAATAGGTTCCCACAACAGCGTTTGTGTCATCGAGGGGATCCTTGTCCCAGCTTCTTGCAGCAGGCGATGGGGTGTTGACGTTGGTGCCAAAGTTGACCATCAGCACCCGGCCTACAGCATCGATGATTGCGAGCTCCGAGCCCTGTGTTGGTGCCCAGGCCAGATGGACGATGGGCCCACCAGCAAGATTCTGCCACGGCGTACAAGTGGTCGGCTCGCTCAAACCCCAAGTGGCATCTTTGGGGTCAGCGCGAATGTAGCGCAACTCAAGAGATCGACCATCAGGCGCGATGGACGCAATGGAGCCCGTCTTGGACCATGCAAGCCCCCTATACCAAGGCTATCAGTAACAGCCCGGACGACAGGATCTAGTGCGGAACATTACTGGCAAGAACCACGGCTGCGCAGCTCGCTAAGTCTGAGCAACAGACGTTTGCTCGGGGGGCGATTCTGCAGGGCAAGCGGCGCATCCCCGAACAGATCGTCGACCCCGATGTCGACTTGCATATCGCCGGCAGCTGCCATGGGATTATCGAGGATAAGAGGCATATTACTATTGGTAGTCATGTGGGGTGCCTGGCGGCTGACTTATATGCAGAGCGTGCTCAACGGCCAGTCTCGAGCACGTAATAAGGTTTGCTAGAGCTTCACGTCCATGTGGAGCTGGGCAGCGCTACCATGCGTTGCAACGTGGAGGAGGCCAGCGACGGAGGTTCTGTTAAGCAAGAAGGGTTCTCAAGGAGATGATATACTAGAATGTCCCGTGATCATAGTTACGGGTCTGCCTGGAAGATATGTGGAGTAAAGAGTATATTCGAGATTCAAGACAAGGCTGAGAGTGCTGGTGCTTGAAGATGGTCCGGCGCGGCTGGGCAAGATGCTGGGCTTAGCGCCCCAGCAGAGCAGGCGAGCAGGCGCAGGGGTCCGTCCTAATCTAACGGGCACAGCCACAAGAGACACTGGGCGCCACAAGCCCCCAGATTTGAGTGCCAACTTGGTGTGGCGTCGGTTGTGTTTCTTTCTTGCATCTCTAGCGCCGAAATCCCTGGATCCAACGGCATGGGTCTGTGGAGGTTGTCGAAGCAACGGACGACCCATAATTGAACAAGGGTTCAATCTGCCAATCGACGGAGACGGATCGTTTTCTTCTGAGGGCAGTTCTTGGGCTCACTGGGCTAGGGGTACATCGTATGCTTCTTGAGCAGCGCATTTGTGTGCTGCATGCTACAGTTGTCGAGGGTGTTTAGAGTGGGAACAAAGGATTGTTTTTGGCGGCCGCAGTTGGACCAGCGGCGGTGGCCGTAAGTCAGATGGAAGAGTGAGATTCGATCGATTACCTGCTTGCCTATGAGTTACACGGCTGGTGGGCATTCCTAGACCACCCAGCCGGTGCCGAAGGTCTCAACTCGGAATCAAGATCAATTCGTGTGGTTGCCTTCTCTGCACCCGGCGAGTCCTCCTTCTTGCTGTTTTCACAGGAGGGCACTGTGACTGCGTAGGTCATTGGTTACTTTAAAGGTTGCATGGTGTGGCTTGATGGGCGAGATTGGCGGCCATCTCCTGGCGATCTCTGTTGCAGTGCGACACAGGGCAGAGGGCAGCCCATGGTCGCCCGTGGTCGCCCATGCTCGATGACAACACTGGTGCCGTGGGCCCCCCCAGGACCCCCAGGACCCCCTGGCTCCCCCTTGCTAGCAGCGGTCCACCCACACACCGTCACAGGATCCAGCGCCCGTCGGCAGCAATAACATTCGGGCTACGGGGCGACGGGGCTGCGGGCTGCGGGCTGCTTTGCTTTGCTTTGCTTTGCTTTGCTTTGCTCTGCTCTGCTCTGGGTAACTGCAGGCTTGTGGGCATTTGATCAACGCCCATCTGAGCCGCAACATGCAACTGTCAGCCTGAGCCAACCTCTCTCCCCCAAAACCTTGAACTGGCGCCAACGTCGTCGGCCAGCTCGCCTTATTCCCATTCCCACCCACAACACGCCAGCACCACACGACAATTCGCCGTCGCATCGCCGTCGCCCGCGCCTCTCTATATACGCGACCCCTCGCATTCTGTTTGTGAAATGGTCCTGGCCTTTGGATAGTCCGTCTTCCCCTCCCCGGTCTCGTGTCGCCGGCAGATTGTGTGATTCCTGCCATTCTTTCCTTTGGGCTCCCATCTGCCAGAAGCGCCCCTTCCACCCACCTCCGGCACATCGCCTCCTTGTCGGCCAGTCGAAAAACAAGAACAATAAGCCCCTCAAATCACACTGCACCCGGCCTGGCGACCTGAGGACAACCGCCTGCACAAGATGGATTCCTCATCAGAACTCTCAGACCCGCCGTCCTCGGACCCGCCCTCATCACCCCTGTCCGAATTATCAAAGTCGCCCTCGCTCTCGCCGAGATCGAGATATCCCTCGCCTTTGTCCACTGCGCCGTCGGGAAGCGCCTCGCCCATGAAGATGTCTGAGAACATCAACGCCGCCGCCGCCGCCGCCGATGCAGACTCCATCTGCGTCAACCCAGACGGTGGCCGGCCTACCAAGCGCCGCAAGATCGAGAAGAAGCCCCGCACCACCGAGTATCTGGATCTGTGCGCCGGCTACGACCATGACGACGACGAGGAGGAGCTGCTGCAGCGCCTGCTGCGTACTCTGCGGAGGAAGAAGAAGATTGTGGTCGTCGCCGGCGCCGGCATCTCCGTCTCCGCTGGAAGTGAGTTATCCCCATGTCTGTCCTCTATCCAGTCCGCAAAACATGGCTGACCTCCACCCCTAGTTCCCGACTTCCGCTCTTCCGATGGCCTCTTCAAGACTTTGCGAACACAGCACAAGCTCAAGGCTTCCGGGAAGCAGCTATTCGACGCTTCCGTCTACAAGCACAACGACTCGACCGAGTCCTTCCACGACATGGTTAGAGAGATGTCCCACCAGACCAAGAATGCAAAGCCCTCGCCTTTTCACCACATGATTGCTTCCATAGCCGAAGAGGGCCGTCTGCTGCGGCTCTACACCCAGAATGTTGACGGCATCGACACCTCCATGCCGCCTCTGGCCACGGCCGTACCCCTGAACGAGAAGCCCCCGTGGCCCCGGACGATTCAACTTCATGGAGGCTTGGAGAAGATGGTCTGCTCAAAGTGTAGTGAACTCTATCCGTTTGACGGCTCCCTCTTCAATGGACCCGAGCCTCCGCCCTGCAAAGGTTGCCTAGAGACGGATAATGTACGCACATCGCACGCTGGCAAGCGCAGCCATGGCGTCGGCAAGCTACGGCCTCGCATGGTCCTCTACAACGAGCATAACCCTGACCAGGACGCCATTTATAAAGTCATCAAAGCCGACTGCAAAAAGTCACCTGATGCAATCATCGTGGTCGGCACTAGCATGAAGATTCCCGGGGTGAAGATGCTCGTCAAGGATCTGTGCGAGGTTACAAGAGCACGCAAAGACGGTGTCACTGTTTGGATCAACCTGGACTCGGAACCAAGCGATGCACAACTGAAGGATTGTTGGGACATAGTCGTGCGGGCCAAATGCGACGATGTTGCTACCTTGGCAGGCCTGCCGTACTGGGATCAAAGCCCTGCCTTGGGTGATGACGTGAAGGTGGACGATGCGAAGATGAAGGAGAATCTACGTGGCACTGAACTCGAGGTCCGGATACCAAGATCACCTGATCTCTCAGCCTCCTCAGTCAAAGACGAATCGCGCGCCAGTACCCCTACCGAGGCGAAGCCCAAGTCCATCGAGAAGTTCAAGGGTATTCCCACGCCGACTGCTAGCCCCAAGATGCGCACTGCATTGCCCGACAAGCCCTTTCAGAAGACAAAGCAAAGCCAACTTGTGTTCCCTGGGAAATCCAAGGCAGCTTCCATCGGCGGGCCCAAAGAGGCCACCAAGCAGCCTGCCCGGAAACCACGACAACCCAAGAAGGTTGAAGCGAAGCCGAAAACCACTCTCAAGAACTCTTTCAAGCCGACGAAAGCCTCTGTCGCACCCTTGGAAAAAGTTCCAGCCAAGCGAGTCCTGGACTCTGACCTGCACGCCAAGTCAATTTACGCCTCGGACTTCAGCCTTCGCCCCTCAACAGCCAGTAGACCAAAGAGGGAGAGTTCTGGCTCTGAAAGCGTTCCCGATCAACACGCAGTCGATTCTCAGCTTCAGCAGGAGACAACTCGACACAAGCTTCCTACAACGCCCACCCAGCCGAATCGACCTGGGTCTTCTCATTCTGAAACTATCAGCCCCCCTTCGAAGCCGAGAGGACTGGCGTCACTGATTGATTGAAGTGCATTCAACGGATCAGCATGTCTGTGACTAAACTGTCCTCCATATACATCATACCACGTATTTGTTGGCGATGAGCAGTTTGTATTTACTGCTCGGCTTTGTACATAAACTAGACCGCACATAAGGCGATCTTGCATAGGGGACCCCCATCAGGGATTCGTGATGGCTTTGTCCTACTGGCGTCAAGGAGTTGCGAGCTCAGCCGTCGAGCTGGGTTTATTTGTGTTTGTAAGGCTGGAAAGACACAAGAAGGATTGATACCTTTTGATTCTAAAGCGTGGATTAGCAAGCTTGAAAAGCTTGACCACAGGACGTGGTTCGCAAGCAGATAGACACAGAGCAATGCAGTACGATTCCACATACCCCCAGTGACCTGAGTCCGAGTTCTAATCGCCATAAAGTGGACTGTCTTCTGTGAAGGTGCACACGAAACATACAAATGGTGGACAGGCTCAGAACATACTGTGTTAGAACTAGTGCCTAGATCATTCTCTCCTAATTACCTCTGCCACCCTTCCATTCGCCATCCGCACAACCATGTCAGCCTCCCCAGCCGCATCTAAACGATGACTTATGGTTATAATAGTGTAACCTGCAAATTCCTCTCTTACGATGTTCGCTATGGCCGCGCTCGTGGCATCATCGACACTGCTCGTCGGCTCGTCCAGGAGCACGAGACCACCTCTAGCCTGCCGATTCCGGGCAATGAGCATAGTGCGCGCCAGCGAGAGCAGCTGTTTCTGGCCGCCGGAAAGGCCCACACTGTCGAGCTCGGCGTCCAGCCCACCGCGGCTGCTCACCACATCCCAGAGTCCGACACGTGTGAGAACGCGCTGCATGGCTCCGTCGTCATCTCTGCCGCTGTCGTCGTCACCTGTCGGTCCTTGGCCCGATGACGACGGGGCTATGTGGGCGAGGTTGAAGCGCACGGAACCAGGGAGCTCCACGGGCTCCTGGGGGATGGTTAAGATGTGTGAGCGGAGAGCCTCGTGTGATACGCGCGCTATGTCGACTCCGTCGATCTCGACGTGCCCGGACTCAATGTCGAGGAGCCGGAGCAGCGTGAGCATGAGAGACGATTTCCCGCTGCCAGTGCGGCCAGCAACTAGCACATTCTGACCTGCTTGTACTTCCAACTTAACGTTGCGAATTGCTGGTGGTGACAGCGAATCGGCGAGACTGAGGGAGGTCGTTAGTATGCCGCCAACTGCTGACTCGACTGTCCATCGTGGGGCTTACTTGTACTTCGCGGTGACATCTTCTACAACGACGGAGCCTTCTTGTAGCCAACCAGGAGGCGGTGTGGTACCTTCGCCCTCGGAGTTTTCGGACTTGGTCTCCGCCAAAAAGTCCTTGAGCCGGGCGATAGCGCCCAGAGACGTTTCCAGTCCTGTCCAAGAGTTGATAAGCATCGACAGGCTCTGGTTGAACTCCATCAGGTTCAGCATGGCCAGACCAATAGAGCCCTGGGTTGCCGAGTTCGGGAGGCCGAGTGCAAAACCAACGAGAATGACTGCTATCGCCGCGACAAAGAGGTCGAGCACTACGTTGAGCCAGCGTTGGATGCAATACCTGAGTTGTGGCATGGTTAGTCTAGGATAGTTGATGTATGACAGGCTAATTGACGCCATCCGATAGCATTGCCTGGTGCCCTTTCTTGCTTACATCATATAGTACGGTCTCTGTGAGTGATCGAGCTGTCGGAGGTTCTCTGTGGTCATCTCATTTTTCCAGCCGAAGGCACGAATTGTGGTTATACCACCCGCTGTCTCTGTGAATATCCGATACAGTGGTGATTTCGCTTCTAAATCCAGATGTCTCATCTGGCGGGAAGTACGGAGGTAGAACTTCTGAATGGCGTAGACAGTTAGGATACAGAGTGGAATGATGGCTGCGACATAGGTGGCACCAGAAGCAATAAGGGCCGCGCCTGCGAGCACGTTGAATACGTCTAGGGGGAGCAAGTCAGTTGCATGCAAATGCACGCTCGAGCACCAATTACGCTTACCAAATGTGGTGGTGAGCGTTGCCACCGGCAGTGTCTGGTCGATCAGTGTCATGTCTTGACTGAATCTGCAGCCACAGTGAGCAAAAAGGTCATGATAAGTTATCTTGGCCAGTCTCTCATACCGATTTAGAAGAATGCTAGTGTCCATCGAGGTAAAGAACCATAGCGGTGCACTAGAGCTACAGTTAGCAGATCCCAACATTCAAACCAAGGGGCCTGTTCCTTACCTCATCACAGCTTGAAGCAACATCCAATGTAGGTTTTGGGCCGACTTCGGGACGACGATAATCATGAAGTAGCTGGTGGAGAGTTAGTAGAAAGTCCCTCAACTAGTTCAAACGCAGGACTTACTACATGCAGAGCCCTGAGAACAGGACACATAAAAGACCGAATCCCAAGTAGCCTCCAAAATACGAGGGTGAGCGATTCGTTGTGCCATTTTCTGTCCAAATACGCAACCAGATCTCTGAGAAATAAAAATTAGTCAAAATCGGTATATGATGCTCAGGCATCACTTACGAGGTATCTTCCCAGAGAAGATGTAGCCAGCGCCCAGAAAAAGCCAGCCGACAAACAACCAGGCACCAATAGAATTCAGATAGAACTTGTACAAACTTATGTCTCCAGTTTTCCTAGTCATTTCGTAGGCATGCTTTTCTGCATCAGAGTTCTTGCGTTGTGGATCCTGGGCAGGTTTGTCCTCGGAATTCACTGCAAGTGACTCCTGGCTGTGCCCCTCCTCTGGCCCAAGTGCCTGTAAAAGGGGTTGACTTAAGTCTAGTTGGTCATTTTTCACCTGACTAGCGATAATTCCCCCTTCTCCCAGGACAATGACGTGGTCGGCTGCAGGCAACAGGTTTGCTACATACGGTCAGCTCGATAGCCTCAATCACAGTTCAAGTTGTATATGCCTTACCTGCATGGGTGACCAGAACAGTTGTCGTCCCGCTCCTCCGTAATAACCCATCGCTACCTAGGAGATGAGTGAAAACCTTCTGGGCCGTGCTGTGGTCGAGGGCGCTGAAGACATCGTCTAACAAAACCAAGGGAGTTCGAGCGTAGACAGCCCGTGCCAGCGCCTTGTGCCATATCGTTAGCACTTCTTGATGGAGATAGGGGATATGACCTACCACTCTCTGCTTCTGGCCACCACTTAAAGCAGCGCCCGCATTGCCGACGATAGTCTGATCCCCGTTGTCGAATTGAGAGATATCCTTGTCCAAGGCACATGACCGAACAACGTCTCGATACCAAGTCTCGTCAAATTTTTCTGGTCCCAAGATGTTTTCTCTGACTGATCCCATCCGCAACCACGCGGCCTGGTCACAGTATGCAGCTCGAACACCAGAGGTTACAACTGAGCCACTGATGATTTGTGCTTCGCCGAGCATTGCCTTCAATAGAGATGACTTCCCGGACCCGACAGGACCTGCAATCATTGTAAGGCTCGACCTTTGTACATCTATGGTAACATGCTTTAGAACAGCCTCGGCGCTGTTTTGATGTGAAAATGAAGCGTTCAAGATACGGATGACTGGGGATGGCAAGGATTTGCCCCTCAGATCTACTGGCTTTGCGGATGCTGACAATCCAATGTCGTCTGTTTTGAGTGGGCTCTTAGGATCCGGCGAAGAAGAGTCAATCGAGCGAAATTCCTTCATATCATCATGTAGTAGAAAAGCCTGAATGCGCCCAAAACAAGCTAACCCAGAAACGAACGTAGGATATGCCGATATGAGGTTGACCAGAGGCGTTGAAACAAGGGAAATAATCGATAAGGAGGTGAACGCTTCTGATACGCTTAGATCCTGACCACCTTTCGTCCAAAACACCGCCGCGGCAATGACAATGATTGGAGTTAGTTGGTCCGATGCATTGGCTACAGACCAGTGGTTAGAGAAGTTGTCATTTGTTATCACAAGGTCGTATCTCACCTATCATGTTCATCCATACGATCAAAATGCGAAAACTCTTGGATGCAGTGAGTTCAGAGACGCGGAGACGTTGTATCAACTGAGAGATACGATCTGACATGCCCATCATCTTAATACCTTTGATTTGATGTAGAACGGAAGACGTTGTCGATACTCGTTTCTGCACTTTAGAGTTCCAGGCCATCCTCGCAGCGCCCATCCCCCCAGCGACCCTACCAGTTGCCAAGCTAGACACTGTATGCACATGTTGTTAGCGACATGCAATCGTGGTTGAGTATACAAGGAAAAGTTTCTCTTACAGACAGCAGGCATCAGAATTAGAAAGCAGGCTGCGCCTACTTGCCTCTGAAGTAGGTAAACGGCTAAGCCCAGCTCAATGACACTGGCCCAGATGTCATGAATACTCGATATCCCGCTGGCAATCCCATCAATGTCAGTACTCATCAACGTGACTGCGGCAGATGCCTTGGCTGTGGATGCATCCAGATTTAGGACCTTTGAGAATATGAGTGCAACAAGCCCACCTCGTAGTGAGGTAATCAGGCGGTAAGTATGGTGCATGTAGTGGCATTTAGATATCTGTGACCTTTAGCTGACTGGGTGCCGAAATATTTGTGATTAGAAGTGAAGCCTACAGCAATCCCCAGATAAACCAAGGCTGTTGCCCCTACCAGACCTCCAATTGAACGCTGGGAGCGACTCGACTCAGAGGAACCGATATTGTCGACAATTGTTTGGAGCAAGAACGGTTGGGCAAATATAAATGCGGTATAGCACAATCTAGGAAGGACAGCAATCCAGAATGTAGCCTGGAAAGCTCCAAATGTTGCCAGTGCGAGACAATGCGTGCTTTGTTTGTTGGCTAACACCTGGTTAACACTACAGGACTGTGCAATGTTTGATGCTTCGCTGCTGACCTGATCTCCATTTCCGCTCTAATTTGGTGGCGAGATGTCGAGACTCAAGTTTGTGATCAAGCCTAGACAGGTCATCAACTTGAAGGAATACCTTGAACCCTCGAAGAAATGTACTGTTTAACCACCAGAACATCGATCGATTCCACAGTCCGCCCATGAACTCTTTCGATGTATTTCGTTTAGCTTCTTTCTTAGGACACTCCTCAAGTACAAGGATCAGGAGTTTAATTGCGACACCTGCTGATGTAATTGAGCCGAGAGCCACTAGGTTTTCGCGGAGAAACAGAGAGCGAATCATGGCAGCATCAAGCAGGATCGTGATTGATAGGAAAATACTGCACATCATAGAGGGTGAATAAGAATAGCGATGCTCCGCACAGAGCAGCAAGCCCATGGTCACAGTCCCCGCAAGAGACACAGATGCTGCTGCTATGGAAGTTCGGGCGTAGGGGACTGAGGAGATACTCCATAGTGCTAAACTCGACAATTGGAGGCCAAACAAGATGACCACCGCGACCTTGATGTGTCAGGGCTAGTACGCCATTGGAAGTAGGAGTCTTACAAGCTTGATACGAACCAACGTGCTAAACTCTAATCTGGACTTGCTTTGGGCTAGTGCAGCAATGCGAAAAGGTGCAGCAGCCAACAAAAGTGTAGAGGGACCCAGAGAGAAGATGCTCTGCTCGAAGAGAATGGTGAAGTCGAAATCCGTGCCATGTTGGGGGCCAAAAACCGCATCCTTGGTTGTGTTCATCCCCATAACAGGCAGAAACTGTCGATTTCAAAACTCCTACTGGAAAACGCGTATGCTCTTGAGGAGACATACAGTCTAGATTTTGTTGTTGAACATGGCGACGCTGTCCTGGCTACGCCGTACAAGCACGCCGTTTTGTGCTAGGGTTCATCTGCAGGGGTTAGTCAGTCATCCTGGTCGAGTCGACATGCTGCAACGCATCCGAATCCACAACACTCCTTGCGGTAGCTGTGCTCCCGAGGCAAGGAGCCCGTGTTCTGTTAATTTACAGAGCCACTCATTTCCTATGCTTCTGACTAGCTTGGGCGGGGATGACTCAACATGAGAAAACTAATTATACACGGCGGCATACGTGATTTGTTGAGTCGTTGCTGTTTTTCAGGGACGGCAACACACAGTACTGCGCTCTCCACAAGTGCACATCGCTTAATCAGCGGGAAAGACGGTCCGGATCGCAATGCGCTGCCGCCGTACCCAACTGGGCTGATATTCTCAATAGATACAAGTAGGCTGAAACGTGCATCAATAGGTTACCCAATGTTTACTACACTCAGATAGGGACAAGGTAATAGGATGAATGTTAGCTCTGCATATTTGCAAAGTGCCCCTCTCTAACTATTCGGCCTGACGCAAAAGGTGCCGGCCCACATGCGGCGCAGCGGGTGAAAGAGTCATGCCAATTTGACTAGGAAGTGCCCAGGACGTGCAACGTGGATCGTGTCCGGGAGTGAATTATTGGTTGAGCTTGTTGCAAGTGAATCGATTGTAGCGGGACACGTGATAAGACTGTATACAGGACGCATACAGCTGATGAGCGCTCGTCTGGTAACCTAATTTCCTTCAAGTTTCTATATGCTCACTTACCATGCTTTGCATACTATGTATATTAGCCTGGCACGTTGTAGAACCATTTGAAACGCCCACCACAATGTATCTCTGAACGCATGGTGAGGTTGAAGGATCGATCTGCTCCTAACTAGATCAGGCAGTGGGAGTCTGGCCGAGCACAAAGCATGCTGTGCCTCAATTCCACGTCAAGTGTTTCGTGCAAGAGCCAATTAAATAAGCATTTAAATTTAAAGAAGGGCTCTTCAAATTAAATGATTCGCAGTCTACTAATTTTAAGGCTAATTAAACTCAGTTTAGATAAATGTAATGTCTGTATGTATATGACTCACCAACCCAAGTGAGTCGACCCAAACCCATGAACCCGTGCGTGAGCGGCGCAGCAAGACGATACAACTATCATCCATGCACTCCCCTCTATCCCTCCTTCCTATTTGAGCTCGCCGGAATCCCATTATTTTATCGCTATATGGAGTAGATAGCACATTTGAGCTGGTTACATAATGTTTGCTAGCAAATCACTTTTATACCTGCTTTCTTTCTATCTCGAAGGAGAGCATGCGATATTCGTTTATTCCTGGGATAAACCAGTATTATCAAGTGACGCACTGAACTTTGATGCAATATGGGAAAACTTACGGGAGGCCATCATGATGCATGCTCAACTCCAGATTTTCCAGCTGGAAATTCTTTCGCGACAGAGCTTAGAGACTCAGATTCGCAAACTGAGAGTCAGAACATACCTGATGAAGTACAGTACGTTGATTGGAACACTTCAGATTAACCTTATTCTCATTGGCGCTACAGCTCTTTGGAAGGGGGATTTTCTGCCATTTCATTAGATGAAGGCAGCCTTCAACGGACGGCAACGATCGCTTTCAATGCTTTGCGCTGCTTGTTCTGCAGGGCCAACAGCTCAACTTTCCAAGAGAACCTGGAACATATGCTGCAAAAACATGGCTTGTTCATACCCGAGGCTGGCTTGCAGGTGGACTTCGAGACCATCGTGGAATATTTGCATCTGGTTATATACGGATATTTTGAATGCATATTTTGTGGCTCCCCAAGGAACAACGCTCAGGCAGCTCAGCAGCATATGCTCGGCAAAGGGCACTGTAAGATCGACCTAGCAAGCGATGATTCAGAGTATAGAGACTTCTATGACTATGAAGAAAGCTCTGAGGCATCGGGTTCCGAAGATGACGATGGCGAACATGATACAATGAGAAACCGGAAAACTCGGCATAACGCGAATATCGTCGAAACCGGCAGTTTTATGCGTTTATCGTCCGGCAAAATCTTATCACATCGATCACATAATACTACACGCTTCTTACACGGGTCTACGAGCACCAGGACGCCGAATGGCTCGACGCGAATCTCAGCGGGATCTCTTCATGTACCTGAGGCTGCCTCATTGCCAGCTGCTAGTTCCACTTCGGATGCTGGACCTTCGAAGAGCGTCGCGAAGTGGGAGGCGACCTTCCAGCAACAGCTCTCCAGTTTGCGGGCTGAAGACAGAAGGAGCATGATGCATTTGACTATGCCACAGCAGCGTGCCCTCGTTATGAAGAGCAAGAAGCAGGTAGAACGAGCGAGGAGGGATGAGAATGACATGCTGCTGAAGATCCAATTAAAGGCAAACAGATAATCGAAGAGCTGAGCGCCTTCCGCATAGTCAATTTATAGAATGCTGATACGTGGAAACTTGAGTTTAATTGCCCTTCCGGATGTATAAAAACCTTACACATCAGACGCACGTTCATCTGCTCCCTTCCTCTGGGTTTCAAAACTTGTGGTCCTCCGAACCCACTTGCGGCTTACAGATCATATTAGTCACAGAACGTTGAGGCCATTCAGTTTCTTATCGTAACCAGAATTCCAGATTTGAACGTAATCTGGCAAGCGGTTCATGTTTTTTCAATATGTCGACCACTATGAGGCTCCGCAAACCATTGTTCGGCATGTGACCCGGATTTCGCGCCCCAAGTTACGCAACCACCAATATATTGGATGCTACTGTAGCTTTCCGGTAAGCTTGGCTGGATGATCAATGCAGTCGACACTCGAAGTAAGAAGTCCTCCTGAGAATGGTCTCCTCAAAGCCGCCTCCGTGTTCTATATTCCTGTGTACACCATTCGGCGAATCGCTCGATTTGAACGGATGACAGGGCTCAAGTTGGGACCAGCAATCAGGGTACCATATATTGAGAGGGCTGACTAAAGCGCTGACGGAGAGAAGGGTCCTGCCTATTGAGGGAAGGAATGCCAGGGGCTTCACATTCTCCAGGGTTTCGGAATGGAAACGTCCTGCTTCGCAAGACTGAGACGCGCAATGCCAAGACGGCACTTTCCCGAGATCCCCGCAATCTATACCTGCAACAATGAGTGCTTATAACAAGCTTAAAATTGGGTTTTTATAACGATCCGCAACGGGGTTAGCACAGCGGTGGCGCCAAGGACTCAATCAGTGGTAGACATATGCATTGGCTCCCGCGGGGTTGAGGCCGCGTGTCATTGACATTGTACAGGACGCATTGGAACCTTCTTCTTGAGGCACTTTGCGCCGACAAGTTTTGTATACAGTTCTGCAGACAACAACGGGTTGAGTGGTATACTCGGACAGACATTGGAAACTGACAAGTTTAAAATCAAGATGAACGCCACTCTTCATGTCCGTCTTGATCAAGAGGATTGTTTACCCAGGGAACTGGCTGAATAAAGGTCTTCTCAATATAGCTCCCAAAATGACGTCCTTAGTTCAACGCGCTCTCTTGTTGTTGGCAGCAAGCTCGATCGTCTCGGCGGTTCCAGCCAAGAGACAAGCCTCCGTCTGCACTGAAGTTCGAGAACGTGTTCCCTGGTAAGCCCTTTTTGTCTCCAATGATTCACGAAGCAGGTTGTCTAAACGTATTCGGGTAGGTACAACCTCACTTCGGAGGAGAAGACGTCCTACATCCAGGCTGACTTGTGCCTGATCAACGCGCCCTCGAAGTCGGGCATCCCCGGAGCTGTTACACGATGGGACGACCTTCAGTGGCCTCACGTCGTCCAGACGGCAACTGTCCATAACGTCGTAAGAGACAGGAGAAGACTGGGGACAGCGAATGACAGCAAGACTAACGAGAGCAGGGAGCCTTCCTCCCGTTCCATCGCTACTACATGACAGCTCACGAGCGTCTGATCAAGGATGAGTGCGGATACATGGGACGTATGCCGTATGTTTCTAACCC